CGTCGTTACGAGTCAAATTCTCCGTATCCGCGCAAAGTTCCCTAGGGGTCCGAAAACGGTCTTCCTGTCTTTTTCTCGCGGCGCAAATGCATGGATCTGGTGTCTAAAATCGCAAATGGTTCCTGTGCAAAGTTTCAGGTCAGTTCAAGCTGCGGCGGCGCATGGGAAAGCGCGGACGTGAGGGGGCGCGTCTGACGAACGCTCATACGAATTTGGAATAAAAAAATCGCAAGTTAATTTGGCGTTAATTTGGCCGATACGCGGCTGACTGGGCGTCATACGATTTTCACTTAGGGCACCTCGTCTGTACCATTGTAGTACGAAAGTACTTTGAAAGTACTTTCGTACGAAAGTACCTTCGAAGATATGTAGCAATGTAGTATGTACACGTAGCTATGTACCTTCAATAGCCACCGTCGTAATATTACAGAAGTACTCCCGGAAGTACGCACATGCCGCGCGTTAATAAGTTGACTTATTGCTATTGTATACCTGCGTAGATACTTCGGGAAGTACTTCCGTAACAACTCATTACCTTCGAAGATACAAGATACAACTACTTTCGTACGACGTTGTACTTCCGGAAGTACACGCGACTACACGTACCATCAATAATAGTGGATGGGATAGCTACACGTCGCTACGTGTTCGGAAGGAAGTACGGAAGAACTTTCGTACGGAAGTACGTACTTTCGTACAAAGTACTTTCGTACTTTCGTACTTTATTTCGTACTTTCGTTCGTACTTCGGAAGAACTTCCGGAAGTATCTATCTTCATACAAATGCAGTAGTATGATATGATAAGTTGTTTTACAGTACTGTATGATCGATACGATAACAACTTACTTCCGTACGAATAGAATACTTCCGAAAATCGGAAGTACGAAAGTACTTTCGGAAGTACTTCGAAAGTACGAAAGTACTTTCGTACGAAAGTATGATACGAAAGTAAATACTTTCGTACGAAAGTACTTCCGTACTGTACACATTCCGTACTTCCGACCGACGTAGCGAGTCAGCCAAGAAACTCATTTGTCACAAGCTGACTGTCGGTTTCCTGCTGGTCGTACACCACTTAGACGAATAGGAGCCGCTCTTTTGCAACTCGACATGATACTCAGTAGAAGCTTGAGAGCTTCGACTGATTTGTGTGCACTAGCTTGGACCTGCTGCTCTGACAGTTGTACGGTTAACCCACATAACCCTAAAAAAGTAAAACGCCGTGCTAATATTCTCCGTTGGGTGAAGGCGGGAACATCGGGCCTTCCGGACGTGCCGCTGTCTCGGAATGCAGGTTTACACAATCTGCACTCTCCACTGCGCTCGAAAATCACCAGGGAAGCTCGCTCTGCTTCGGGAGCCGACGGGCGCGATTTCGGATTACGCCAGACGGCAGCTTACACGGCGCCAAGGAAGAACAGAGAAGGACCGAAAAAAAACTACAGGAATTTGTCCTTCAGTGCTCATTCAAACACGGCATATGCGATGAAAGGATGTTTGCACGACCCGGCTTATCTGGATTGGCGTCAGAGCGTGAGTTGCAGAGAAGGTCTAGACGCGGCAAGTATTACTCAGGCACCAATTACAATTAAATCGTTGGCAGCAAGAAACAGAAGTCTGTGTGAGACAGAGCCACCTAGAAATCTTGATCCCTTTACCAGTAGTGCCGCAACAGACGCCCTTCTGGATATGAAAAACGGAAAATTTGCTGTGCGACCTACCAATATAGTTGGTTCAAGTCCAGATGCAGGTCTGTGTGAGCAACCAGATGGCAAAATTACAGCAGGATCTTTCATCGACTGGAAGATGATGGAGCACCAGGACTATCAGACGATACCAGACGATCTTTTCGATAAGTTATCACGAAACCTGCACATAAAGAAGAAATGGCGACCCATGATAAGTTATCTAGTAAGTTTAGGGCTGTCCACGTGTGAGCTGGAAAAGGTTCTTGTGAACTGCGAGGAAGTTTTCAGGCGCCCTGTGGCAAAAGTTGTTGCGCGAGTTGAATACCTACAAAACGAGCTTGGTTTCGAGGGTGCCGAACTACGGAAACTAATTAAAAAAGAGCCTAACGTTCTCTTGCAGCGAAATCGCCACTCAATTCCGCGTTGCCGCTACCTGATGGAATTGGGTATACCAGCAGAGAAGTTGCCAACCCTTCTTCGGAAACAACCACAGATTTTACATCTTTCTGTTCAGAACGGACTTATGCCTCGTGTTGCATATTTCAAAAATGAGCTATTAGTTTCAGACGCAGAAGTCGTGAAACTCATCGAGCGGAACCCTGCTGTGTTGACTTTTTCGATTGAGAAACAAATAAAACCACGGGTGGATTTTCTCAAAGACCTGGGTATATCACATAAGAGTGTTGTTAAGATGATTGTCCGGCATCCTCGCATCTTGCAGTATAGCTTCGATGGTTTAGGAGAGCACATCAACTTTTTGATGTCTATTGGTATGGACGAGGAGGATATCGTGCACACTGTGACCCGATTATCGCAACTCTTTTCATTAAGTGTCAGGGATTCACTCAGACCAAAGTATGATTACCTCACTGGAGAGCTAGGTGGGGATCTGAAGACATGTGTAAAGTTTCCAGCATACTTTTCTCTTTCTCTGGATAAACGTATCAAGCCTCGGCACACCTTCTTGAAGCGTTTCAAGTGTGCACCAGAACCTTTCCCGATGAAGTATCTTAGTGAAAACGACACGGCATTTGCAGCTCGCGCAAATAGAAGCCTTGAAGAGTTTGAGGAGTACAGGGAAGAGGTTGTTCCTATCTTCAGGATGGAGACGCTGCGCCGGAAGGCGCAAGCTGACGAGTCTTTTCAGACAGATTTGCAGCACCACCGCAAGCGTGAGGCGAGGCTTGAACAACAGCACCGACTGCTGGATAGGAACCAGGGTTATAGCCAGAGGACAATTGATGCCCGAAACTCTATGAATCGCGTGAAGCTGTTGGGTGTTTCGCGGAAGTCTCATTGATTTTGGACAAAGACTGCGACTTTCTATTGTGCTAGGTTTATTACTTGTAAGAGCCATCACGTAAAAGGTACCAAACATATTAACTCCTGAGGCAGCAGTCACGCCTTTTCTCTCCTAAGCTTCTAAGAAAGCAGGAACTGAGCTCATATCCTGTGAACCTTCCTCTTGTGCGAAAGTGGCTACTCGGCGCAGTTTGAATACAACTTCTTTTGGAGCTCAAGTATCTGTGGTTCAAATGAAATCTCATTTGCTCACATGCACGGAACATTAAAAATGAAGCACGAACCTCCTTATGTTTTGTCTCCTGCTTGATTTCAAACACCTTCAGTAGTTTATCGATACGAACCCTGAAACAAAAGTTATGTTACAGAAACGAAAATGATTTGAAAATGCGAAATGGCAAGTTTCAAAACCGGCGAGAACCGCACACTCACGTTTCGTTCCGAATGAAATTGAGGCGCTTGCCTACGTTATTCTTAGCCTCTACGATATCCTGCCTGATCAATACTGGCCCGATGAGTTTATAGACGCCATTTTCTTCGTCGTCGATTCTCTCGAGCTCCTACGAGACGCACCAAAATCAGAACTTGTCCAACAATTTTTGCGCAGCTATCCCACCTTCATAACCATGTCATTCTCACTGAATTGCTGTACGAATTGCCGGCGACTGTGCATGCTTCGACTGATCTCTAAGAAAGTTCAAAACTAGGACGTTAACGCTCGCTCAAGGTCGACAGAAAGGGAGTCAACGCACACCTTTCTGGATCATCTGAAAATCGTTCGCCTCCAGCGCCAACTTGTCCTGGACCGACTTTGACGCAATCTGCATTCTATGTGTATGAAGAAAGCGTATGATGCGTTTCGCGAAGACCTGTCTCGTTTCTTCACAAGTGAGGTCTACTACAGCGTGTAGCGACTAGCTCTTGATGGCACTACAGTAGCCCCGTGATGTTTCATACCTTCGGAGTAGGTCTCGTTCGGTGACGGAAAACTAAGATTTTTCCCCTATGGGCAATTGGTAACAAGTGCCGAATTTCCACCGTTTTTCGGCGTAAATCGGCGGAAAATCGACGGAAAATCACAAAAAAATGAGTACGGTGAGGAAAACTACTCGTACTCGTCGATGATTGCCCATATTGTAGATAAAGATTCAGTTTTTTGCCCGGAAAGCGACGGAATTCCGTCGCCGAAGACACTAAATAGAGCTATGATAAGTTTTTTTTATTCTAGCTACCCCTACACGCACACGTGTTCAGTACACGTACATGGAGGGATATCAGTAACAACTTAGGATACTGTATCTATGTTGTATTACTTAAGATATTTCCGGAAGTACTTTCGAAAGTACAACGTACGTGTAGTCTCTATCTAGCCCTACAGGTACTAGCTACGAAGGTAGCTTGTACAACGTTGTAGATACAACAATGATAATAAAGTGATAATAATACCGAATAAATGAAATGAAGGTATTACTGTGTGTACAGTACACGTAGATCAATAGTTGTACACGTAGATCGATAAATAAAACATGAACTTTACGAAGGTAAGTTGTTTTGGCTACACGTACGTGTACGTGTACACGTAAGGCAAATTCTAGCTAGCTACTACGCTACTTTCGAATGTAGTACAACATTCGAAAGTAGCATATGATGGATAGCTAGTACGAAGGTAGCTAGCTACCTTCGAAGGTAGAAAGTACTTTCGTACTTTCGTACTTTATTTCGTACTTTCGTACGAAAGTACTTTCGTACTTTAGTACCTTCGAAGGAACTACGTTTAACGCGGTGAGAGCTACAATACTGATACAGTACTGTCATACCATTGTCATATCATAGACTACACGTACACTATGATACATAAACATACTGTACTCACTCTGATATTATAAAATGGTCCAATACTTCGGAAACGAAGGTTTGTACAAATAAAGTACGTGGAGCTGCTGGTGCTTCGCTGCTTACTGTGAACAGGGTGTCTGGCCTCTGCGCTCGAATCGTGAGCGGCCGCGCTCTTCCTCCTGTGCGGCTTCGGTTTGCCGTTCCATCTGCATTGACGAGGAGAATTTGTTCTGTAGGTATTCGATAGGACGTGACCCTTGCCCTGTGTTTTTCAGCTGTACGGTAAGTTTCCGCCCTGCACTCGTGAGTTTACGCGGAATAGCGAAAGGTGCAGGACACCGCAGATTTTGTTGGCATCAATAGGAACAAGGTTAGTTTGCGAATCGGCCGTGGGTCCTAAACATTATAGGTCGCTACGCTGTGATAACGCCGAAATAAACGGCAGCTCATCTGTTTTCCACATAGTCAGATAGAGGCAATGTTGTCACGGGAAGGTACGAAGACGATTGAGTGTTGCGTTTTCGAAATGATAGTCTATTGTAAACACAGCGAGGGGGGTCAATTTTCCGTCGAGTCAAGCAGGTATAATTGTGCTTTAAACTCCTCCTTCTCTCGAAGTTGGTTTGCTCGACCATTTTCCGTTCCAAACTTTTGAATTTCGATGCCAGCTAGCATTTGCCGCTCTACAAGTACACTTTTGGGGTTTCACAATCTCTGAATTCCTTCTAGGATACAAGTTTTACTCCACACTCTTGATTTTACGACTATCGCTAAGATATGTGGCCCCTCTGAATCTTCTTCAGATAATTTCAGTTCTGGCCACCTAATTTGCACGGGTCAAGGTTGTGGAGCACTGCTCACATATCTGCAGGTATTAAAACTTCCATACTACCCTCAAGGGCCTCTGGATCTTGCAAATTCTTTACCTCGCAGGGCGCAGCCTACGTGCAGTGCGCTCTGTGCCATACTGTCACACCTGCCCCATCATCTGAAGATATAGCTTGGCTAACTTGCGGAAGTTGCCATATTCAACTCATGTACAGATCTGGTGCTGCTAGTGTGTCGTGTACTGTCTGCAACTCAATAACTGCTGCTCCAGTTGCTCCAATTTCAGGTACCATATTTCCTTTCATATACACATTTATGTTCTGTCTGCTGGAAGTGTTCTTGAATAAATTCCAAGAAATTCTGCTCAGATAATCAGGTAAGATACTGTCAGTGCGGAGGCTGCAGGATGATGCTCAAGTATTCAGCCGGTGCACTATCCGTGCAGTGTGCTGCCTGTCAGTATATTACTGTGACGATTTTTACCAGAGGAAAGCGTGGCGCTAACATGGTCGTAGTTGAGAATCCACCCACCCTGGACGAAAATGGACACGTGAAAAATAGCACTTCGGTCGGGTTGGCTGAAGATTCCTGAGCCAAAATGGCTGTTCTATTCCAACATGTGATGCTGTTGCCCCGGCATTTCTCTTGTAAATTTTCTTTCAATCAAGCTGGGATAACCTGCTGGTCACAGTGAAAAATTTAACGATGTCAGTGAGTTTTCTGAGTATGACTTGAAGTGTTGAGTGAGTGTAAGAGCAAGAGCAGTATTTACAGAGGTTCACGCAACTCACTTGAATGATAAACTTAAGTATGTTTTCTTCAAGTTATGAATGACTTCTGGAACGTCTTCATGACAAGGTTCGCGACCTCTTAAAGCTACGAAGTCCCTTCGCCAGTTATCGATCTGGTTGGCAAGAGAACCATGTTTTTCAACGTGGAAAGCTACGTAAAATCCATACTCTTCGCGCCCATACTCCGTTTTCATTTGCTTCGAGGTTTTCCGGAAGTCACACCCCTCACAAAACTGCACTTTTGCTGTCGTGGAAGCACCTCGAAAACGTCCCCTTTTTCTACGACGTGTTCGCCTCATGAGAATTACAGAACCTGTAAGGTCATTATGTGGAGGACGACTTTTATTTCGCGGAGCCCTTCGCATCCACTCTGATCTCTTAGCTGTGAAAATGTATGGAGAATCCGCTATACATGCTGCATCAATCACACACATTGTCAACCAGGCTTACAGGCCGCAATACTTGTGGATGATCTACGCGCGTTTACTGTTTTTAATCGAGGGAATACGGCCACGAGCTTCAAAATATCTATCCACGCAAGATGCCTGCTACCTTCGAGGTACCGCGTGATACTTTGTCTTCCAAAAACCAGTATTTCACGTACACAGGGACTACGTGGACGCAGAGTATTCGTGCACGGGGAGCACGGGGAACGGACGGGGTCAACAGAAAATTTGATAAGCCAACTTGAATGCGCGAAAACATTTGAAAGAATAACTTTCATCGGCGCGGAATTTTTCAAAGGGCGCGTTCTCGCGGGCCAAAAACTCCTTTCAACGAAGCCTTCGAATTGATAGGCGCGAATAACTTCAAAGCGAGCGCCCAAAAGCAAATTTGAAACCGGTTCAGCATCTGGCACACCTCCGCCGGCATGGCGCAGCCGGGACGACGGCAGAAAGGTAATCAAGCCCCGGAAGGCGCACTAGTCATCTCATAACTCTCGTGGGAAGACCCTTACGCAGAAAAACAAGGCATGTTGCACTATATAATCTCACTCGCGAAGCCTCCGAACACGCGCGTCGCGATCGCTTGAATCTGAAGCTGGCACTCGTCGCTCGACAGCTCGGTTTTTTTCGCGGGCCTTCAACTTTTTTTCGTTAGTTCTCACCTCGTCGACTTCGGCGGCGACCCCAGGTAGAGGGAGGCGCTTTCGCGCCAAACGACGATTGGTAAAGTTGCTGGAAATGACTACGAGAAGCGACATAGCTTGTTTAATTGAGATGATTATACTAAAGAATTCGATGAACTCGGCGCTAACGCTCCTTCGCCGAGATCTCGCGCGATCCCACAGATGTCCCCGCGATGCCTCAGCGCGCTACTTCACGGTCAGACTTCGTCAGATTCTTGACAGTAACGATGTAACGTCCTTCTTTGCAATCGCTTTCATCGTAAGTTTTGGGTTTACTCCGCGAGTTTGGAGACTTGGTTCGTCGAAGGGCGTCGTCGCGGCGTCGCGGAGGCTGTCAGCGGCGGAACCTTCCGCGACCTCGCCGGTTGAAAAGTTCCGCGCCGATGAAAGTCGTTCTTTCAAATGTTTTCGCGCTTTCACGGCGGCCTATCAAATGTTTCTGTTGACCCCACTATCCCCGTCCCTATCCCCGTGCTCCCAGTGCACGAATACGTACGCCGACCAGAATGCGGTTTTTCACCCGCATTCAGATCGTCAGATCGACCGACCAAAGACCCGATCAAAGCGATCAGGGATTTTCCGATCAAAACTTTTGAAAAGATATTTTACTCGCAATAGCCGATCAAAAGCTTAACGCGGGTGAAAAACCGCATTCTGGTCTGCGTAGGACTTTAAATACACATGGGGCGCTGAATCAGGCTGTCACGTCGCGCAATTTACTTGTACAACGTACTGTACGTGTACACGTAGTTGTACAGTGTACGAAGATATCTACGTGTACGAAAGTAATCCAGAACGTAGACTTGTATGTATGATAGAATAAAGTACTGTACTTCCGTACTGTATGAAAAGTACGAAAGTACGAAAGTACGAAAGTACTTCCGTACTGTAACAACTTATGACATACTGTAATATGCCATATTTATTACTGTACGTACCTTCAACGTACGGATGTACTTTCGTACTTCCTGAAGTACTTTCGTACTCCTGTAGGCAGGATAACTATCTATCTACTAGCTAGGGCAGTTCTAGGGCTACAACGTACGTGTAATGTATTTTTTTGCAACTTATTCCTGTACACGTAGTCCTATCGCGCATACACTAGTAGGCCACCTTCGTACTATCCTTCATAAATCTTTTATCTACTTATAAATAGTCCTAGATACGAAGGTATCCAGCAGATAGGGCAAGTAAGTCTATTCTTCGAAGATAGATAGCCCTACAGTACGTGTCCACGTACTTCGAGGGAAGAGCTCTTCGAAATAGAATACTTCCGGAAGTACTTCCGTACTTCCGTACCTGCGTACGTGTAGATAGAGCTACGTGTACATGTACATGTACTGACTGCTACGTGTGCGTGTGTGTTCCGGAAGTACGTTGTACTTTCGTACTTTCGTACTTTCGTACAACGTACTTCCGGAATAACGAAAAATAATTAAGTACGAGAAGGTACAAAATAACTAATAACAACTTTTTACAATGAATACGTGTACAACTACAGTACGTGTACACGTACTGTACTACCAAGAAACACAAATAAATCACAAATACGAAAGTACATCATAAATATTCTTTCGCCCGATTTACAGCAGTCCGTAGCGGCTACGTGTCCGCTACAACGGCGTTCATAGCTCGTGGCGGATCTGCTATGATTTGGGAAAAAGAGGTGCATATGTACGTTATTTGAAGAAAACGCGGTATTGTGGATATGAGCAGGGGACGCCGACACCCACACGGAGCTGTGTGCGACTGCGACGATGTGTACTGGAATCTAAGATGTTGAAGAGACATTCTCTTCAAGAAAGTTACTTTGTCTTACTTACTTGCGATCCCAGACAGAATCGGTGGATGGCGCGCTTTCGAAACTACTCGTCGTAGTCAAGTTTATCATATGGTGCATGCCTTCTCGTCGATGTGCTGGACGAAGTCATGGTCAGTAAACTGCACAAAAAAAACTCACATATTTTGTCTGTTCATGACTCTCACAGTTTTCAAAGTGTTCGCATTGCTTGTCTTCTTCTCGGGTTTTTTACTCGCTCGTTTCGAGATATCCGAGAGAAGTTCTTGCGCGGACTTCCCAGCAGAACGGGCAGCAGCCCATGATGATTGCTCTCTGCATGAAATAAAATCTGTTGAGGGTACTTGCTGGATTGAAAGTCCCGTACAGAAGATAGTACTCCTCATAATTGATGGTGCTCGTTTTGACTTCGCTGTATCGAAGAGTCGCACCGATCCATCCCATCACCGTGTTCAAGAACGTTATTCTCTTAATTCGATACCCGAGATCATAGATGAAGCCCAGGGAGCCGCAGAGCTTTACAGATTCGTGGCAGATCCTCCTACCACCACTCAACAACGCCTGAAAGGTTTACTTACCGGTGGTCTGCCGACCTTCATAGAAGTTGGTAATAGTTTCGGTGCATCGGAGCTCGTAGAGGATAACATCATAGCTCAGGCCGCTGCGGCTGGTCGTCGAATAGCTTTGTCTGGCGATGACACCTGGCTGGAGCTATTTCGTCCTGAACACTTTGCTGCTGGAATATCGGTTTATCCATCTTTCAATGTTAGAGATTTGGACAGTGTTGACCATGGTGTTAGACAACACTTGACGTCATCGCTCCAGCATCCAGATCAGTGGGATATGCTCATCGGACATTTTCTCGGAGTCGATCATGCCGGGCACACTTTCGGGGTTGAAAGCTCAGCAATGGCTCGCAAACTCGAAGAATACGACGCTGATATCCGGACCATGATTGCTGCTATGAAAGCAGATCAATCTTTTAACAGCACGCTGTTAATTGTAATGGGAGATCATGGTATGACAAAAAATGGGGACCACGGTGGATGCACTGCAGAGGAAACAGACTCTTTTGTTCTTGTGCTTCACCCCTGGGCAAATGCTGATGTCGGGGGCTGGATAGACCACAGTGAACTGTTTTCACCTCGGCGCACTTTTCAAGAGGAATATGAATCCATGCCTCAAGTTAATTTCGCTCCGACCATTGCTCTAATTTTTGGATTGCCCATACCATTTGGTAGTGTTGGCTATGTTCCAAGGCGTTTTTGGGAAATTGCAAATGCAAACCCAATGAATAGTCTTTCTGATAGTAAATCTTGCGCTACCATGGGTTTCACGAATGTCTCAGAGAGGATAGAAGAGCAGTATTATCATGTCTTAAAAGTGACATCTGCTCAGGTTTGGCGTTACCTGCATCACTATGCCGGGGCAACTTCCAATCATTTTAGCATTGCAGACTGGTCACTGCTTTCAGATTTATATGACTCTGCCAATAAAGAAAATATCTCATCACGTGTTGCGACAAAGCACCTTATGAATTTCATGCACACTGCAGCTAAAATTGCTCGAGGACGATGGATACATTTCAGACTGGTGAACATTGTTTTTGGCATAACATTGCTTGCCTTATCCATATCTGTCCAGTCTCTCGCTTTGCGCATATACCGCTCCAACTTTCTGTCACCTTCGTCAGACCTCGTTGGAAGAAGGTGCATAAAAAAGATAGTATCTTTCACCAATTCTCTTGATATTCTCGATCAGGATGAACTTCGTCGAATGCGTTCGTTGGAACCTTTATCAACGTCTTTGCTGATGGCCTTAGGTTTATGTAGCAAATTCTCAAATAGTTTTATAGATGCAGAAGCTGACGTCGCCCACTTCTTTTTTGCTTCATTTGTGTTTCTTCTCACGGTTAAATCCTGCTCTTCTGCAGGGCTACTGTGCTACACCAGATCCGGCAGATTCGGAGGAGCAGTAGCTGCAACAGGGCTAATGCTTTGTAACTTCACTTCTCGCAATTTGTGTGCCTCGTGGGCTAAAAGTGTACATAACGTTGCTGGCAAGCAGTCCCAGATCGAGCTGAACAGAATTTCAGCGTATGTATATCCACACGGCAGTCTCGCCATAGCATGCGTTTTAGCACCGCTAGCACTGCTGCCATTTGTTATACACTGTGCAATAGGTCCGATATATCGAGGGATATTTCGATTTATCATTGCGAATAGTTTAACAGCTGTCGGCGTAAAATACCTTTTTCTTGGAAAGGCACTACAAAATGCTTTTGGATTGCTGTCGAGCAATGCCTACGGTCTTCTTAGTTTGGCGGGTACAACGTTTCCATTCAAGTTTGTCTACATGGCCTCGTTTGTGTTATTTTCGTTCACATTGATAACAGCTTTTCGTGCACGTTCTGTGAATGCTGCGGTTTTTGGCGTGTCAAACAGCACTTTAGTTACCTTGGTTCCTGCGTTGATCATGATTTCTGGTGACCAAGGATTCATTTGGAGTTTTCTTGCTCTCACTGAGTTTGCGTTTTTGTCGCTCGCCCTCCGAAGTGACATTCCGGTCTTCAGCTCTACAGACATACCAAGAGAACTTACTCTTACATGTTTTCTCCTCGTACTGAATATGCAGCTTTTTGCTGCAAGTGGTCACAGGAATGCATTTGATGGACTGCACTTTGATCGTGCTTTTACTGGATTCACGGAGTTCAACCTAATCTTGATGGCTACTATTCTCGCAGTGAACACTTGGTCGTCTGATATCGTTGCTGCCTTTTTCCTCCCTGTTGCAGCTGCTCTTCTCTTAGCTCAGTCCCGTGAAAAAATATCCACTTTCCACATTTCTTTCCGCAAAGCACTTGCTCGATTAGCACTCAGGTACGGTCTGCTGCGCGCTATTGGTATCCTGTCCGGCAGTATATTTGTCGCAGTGGAGCGTCATCACCTGATGCTATGGGCGACCTTTGCACCTATGATTACCATCCAGGCTTTTGGTTTCTTATTTAGCGAGTTCCTTACAATTTTCATACTTTCGATCGGTTTGACTGTTTGTGGATGACTTGCTCCGTCACTATCACAGGAGAATAGCAGTCGGTTATACCAGCGAGTTCTCGTCGAAAGATTATGTTTGGTGAACGTAGCTGCTTCGAGCTAGGGAAATATCGATAAGTAGGGAAGTTTACTTTTGACAAAAAAAACGACTTGGATTTGTCCTGGAGCTCTTTTACGGCCCCCCTCTCTAAGCGCTACGCGCGTATCCGGCCCAATCTCAGGATATGAAACTCTCACTAACAACTTAGCCGTTTTTTCGCCACTCCCGGCCTCAATTTACTGTACACGTACGTGTACGTGTACGTGTTCAAGTTATTCCGAAAATATTACGGAACGAAGTATTATGTAAGTAGGTACTGTATCATAATTATACTTTCGAAAGTATCATACTTTCGAAACTACTTCCGTACGTACGTAGCTAGTCTACATAACCGGTACTTTCGTACATACTATCAGCGCCTCCGGCGCTTCGGCCGTCGGTAGTTGGGAGAAGGGGCCCGGGAGCGTATTTAGTCTGAAGAGTACGAAAGTTCCCGTACAGGACGACTTCATCGTCACGTCCCGAGGTGCAGTTTCCGCGTAGTACGAAATTCGCGTACTCATTTCAGACTAACAGACCAACAGAGGCCGAGTTTTGGATACGGAGCGCCAAACGCATTTGATTGGTTGAAATTTTCGTCCCTAGGTCGGGAAAGGTGCCTAGATGGTGAGAAGGTAAACCTTCTCTCAAACATAGTCTACGTACTTCCGTATTATAAAAGTACGTACGGAAGTACTTTCGTACTTTCGTACGAAAGTACTTTATATTTATTATTTTACTAGTTTATTTGTACGTAGTCTACCTTGGAGGGTAGCTACTATCTAGCTACCTTCGAAGGTAGCTAGCTAGCTAGACTAGCTGCGAAGCGAAGGTACTATTTCCGGAAATCGAATACTTCCGTACTTCCGTAGGGCCCTACACGAGTCCTACACGTACGTGTACACGTACAGTACAACGTACAACGTTACACTCGTACGGAAGTACTTCGTAATTCCATACTTCGTTCCGTACTACATATCTTCGGTACTTCGTTCCGTACTTCGGAAGTACTTCCGTACTTCCGTACAATAAAAAAGATATTATTAAACAACTTGGGCCTACTATCATACAGTACACGTACGTAGCTACGTACTGTATCATATTTCTAGCTAGTTGATTATTGTTTTACTTCCGTATTTTTATTATTTATTAAAAGTAGTTGTTTTAGTGTAGGGCATGTACACGTACTGCACACGTAGTAGTGGTACTGTATGTTTGATATTAATATTATCTTACGTGCACAACGCGTTTATACGTACTGTACATGTACACGTAACCGGTGTACACCAGGGGATAAACTATTTTATTAAAATTTGTACACGTACGTTACACGTACGTGTACGTGTACACGTACGTGACGGATGGGTAGGATAATAGCTCATCAGTCTTTTTGTAATCATCAGATACAATAGAATACAATATAATACCTTCGTACACGCACGTACACACACGTAACGTTACGTGACACGTTGTACGTCTACACGTGTACACGTACTTTCGTACTTTCGTACTTGTCATATATACTTTCGGAAAAAAAGTTTCTAGAATCAACCTCCGAGCTGTGCAGTTTGACAGAGAGGTGTATAATTTCTTCTCCAGGATACTGGGCAACCTTATTGCTGTTACCAATATTAGAATGGATGTGCACTGCGAGAACGTTCGCACTTTGAACGTCAATGTTGGTATCATGGGTCACGTCGACTGTGGTAAAACAAGTCTAGGTGCGTTGTTTCACCCTTTTCTAAATTTCTTGCTCGTTTACTTTCTCTCACGACAGCCGTTTACAGCTCGAGCGATCTCTACGCACTTCTCTACCGCATCTCTTGACAAGCATCCACAGAGCATCGAGCGAGGCATAACAATTGACCTTGGCTTTTCCAGCTTTATGGCTCCAGTTGAAGGGAGCCTCTTCACCTTACCTTATGATCAAATCCAGTTTACAATAGTCGACTGCCCAGGTCATGCCTCTCTTATTAGGACCGTGCTCGGTGGTGCACACATAATCGACATAATGTTGCTGGTTGGACGTATTTTACACGTATTTTGTTTGTTCCTGTTTGTTTCTCTCATGAATCATTTTTTTCACACAATTTTCCTGATGTCTGTCCGTAGGTAATTGATGTGAACAAAGGCATCCAAACTCAAACTGCAGAGTGCCTTGTGGTTGGGGAGCTCACCGCAAACAATCTCATTGTCGTGCTCAACAAAATTGACGTGATTCCTTCCAAATTGCGAGAAGTGGTTGTTTCTAACATGCAGAAGCGTCTTTCAAAAGCAATTAAGACGACTAGATTTGGTGACTGCAAGATGGTCCCAGTCGCAGCGTGTCCTGGTGGTGCGGATAAAATGGATGTGTATGGTTCTCCATTAGGGATCGATATTCTAGTAGCCAACCTCATGGCACTTGTCAGTAGTGCGCAAAAACGACTCCAGGGAGGTGATTTTCTTCTTGCGGCAGATCACTGTTTTCCAGTTAAGGGGCATGGCACTGTGCTGACTGGAACAGTTTTGAAAGGGCAGTGCCGAGTCGGTGATATTGTCGAATTGCCGCACTTGAAGCTCCAAAAGAAGGTGAGGAGTTTGCAAGTGTTCAAGAGACCTGTGCAAACTTGTGCAGTCGGAGACAGAGTTGGTATGTGTATCACGCAGTTTGACTCTAAGTTGTTTGAAAGAGGTATAGTAGCAGCACCAGGTACAGTCCCCAGCTTTATTGCCGCGGTTGTCAGTGCTGAGAAGATCAGATTTTTCAAAGGCATCGTCCATTCCAAGATGAGATATCATGTGACAGTGGGATATACAACAGTTATGGCCACAGCGGTTTTCTTCAAAGCTCCATGTCATCCAGCTTCTTTAGCCACCTCAGCGAAGTCCTGCGAAGAAGGAATTCTTTTTGGGTCCCAAGACGACAGTCCACTGCAAGCAGACTGTACTAATGATGTTGACATATCACTTAATCGGGAATCGAATATTTCTGCATTCAACGAAGATCTTGAATATGAATATTCAAGTTGCTTGGATAGTGTTCCAGGGGATAATTCGTGCACTGCTGGGGTTGAACACTTTTGTGAATTGAGAGTAGAAGACAAACGTTGTCATCGAGTTATCACTTCGACCTGTAGCACGTGGGCACTTCTTCGATTTGATCGCCCTGTAACCTGCCCTGCTGGATCAAAGTATGTAGCCTCGCGTTTTGACGCTGATATCCACAAAAATTCGTGCCGCCTCGCTTTCCATGGGCGTATTATCCACCCCAGTGTTGAGGATCCAGCTTCAGTGAAGCACATTAAAGTCTTCACAATGAAAAAACGTTTTGGTTCAGTTGATCGGGTGCATGATGTGAAAACTGTCATTGGTAAGGGAATGTTTAAAAAAGAGACCGACATGACGATTTTTCAAGGCTTGCGAGTTTTCACTAGTCGCGGAGAAATAGGAACTATAGCGGGTGCTTTTGGTAAGAGTGGAAAGTTCAAAGTATGTCTTAAGGACGGCGTTTCTCCCTCGGATTTGAAAGGTAACGCATCACGGCTCATTCTCAATTACAAACATTTTCTCTTTGGTAAGGAAGCAGGAAAACAGATGAAACAATGATACTTTTGATAAATGTTCCGTGCTTCAGCAAGTTCTGCGTAAAGTGGTTTTGTTTTATGATCTACAAAAGGAGACTATCTTTGTAAAACGTGTTGCAGAAGGACAGCCACAGCGATAATATGATGGGATTTGGACAGAAAAATCCACGCAAGCACGGTATTTTATGCGAATGATATGCTGATATTGCACTGCTTTTGTTCTCTTCATAATGTATCCAATACGCAGGTATAAATTACGTTCCTAACATTGATAAAAAGCAGCAACTCATTTCACAGCAAAAACAGTCAGTCTAGTGGGACTCTGGCAAAGATGGAATACCTAAACGCTCAACGACCAAGGGCACAACGTACCCACGTGCCAGCCGTTCACACGCAGCTGAAATTAATTTTTTCAGTTTGCTGGTATCATGCACTTCATCATATGGTTGACTTTGACCTATATCTAAATTTCCTGCTTTCTTGTTTCCTGTGAGGAAAATTCTTATTAGGGCAGCTACAGACGCTTCTGCCAACTCTTCCCAGCACTGCTCGAATATGTCCTGCACAGATGGGGATATGTAGCTTCGAAGAACGCGTACTCCGTCGAATTTGATCCCGAAACGAAATTCCATGAGCATGAGCAACATCTGCAGTGCTGCAGAAAGACTGCTTTGAGTATTTTTTAAGTCGTTCGACAGAGTTTTCGAAAAGTGTACAGCTTGGCTGATCTGAGCAACCGTGTCATCTAACAAGATTTCAAGTTGAGACAGAGATACTGGATTCTTGTCTTTGAATCGCAATAGTACACGCTTTTGCAAGGCGCGTAACTGTTTCGAACGATAAACAAATTGCCGGTGCAATATATTGTATTGTGAAACTGCTGCGCAATGTTGATCAAGACTTTCAAAAAGGTCTTGTAGGGGCAGTGCCTCTTGAAACGAAACTTCAAGGTTCTCCTTCGCAACCTTATTTTTCTTGAAGTGCTTGCGGAGGCGATGAATTAACTCGCGGAGGATCAGCCACATGGCCTCAAGTTGAGAAGACTGCAAGCGAAATCTCCCAGCATTTTTGCTTAGTATGAGATTAACTCGCGCCCCGTTCGTATATTGGAAAGTCAGCACATTATCAACGGGATTAATGTGCTCCGAATCTGTGAAACCCTGCAGCATGTCTCCGAAAAGAAGAGACAATAGTGGTGGCGAATGATTGGTATTGAGTGTTATCTTGTGACCCGTAGTTTTTGCAGGAGGGATAAGCGAGCAGAAAACTGCAAGTGGCACATATACTTCGCAGCTGACAGCGCGTAACTCTCCATGAACTTTATATCTTGTAATTATATAGACTGCATTGTTTTCAGGGAGTTGCCTTTCTCCTTGAAGCGCATACAATGAAATAGGTATGACTGTGGAGTTGTCAACCCCACAACTCAAAATGGGAATATTTAAACTTTCCTGACAGCAGAAAACATTTGCTGGAGTGGATATCGATATTTGAATATCCTCGAGGAAATCTCCTGTCCCCACCCCAGTACATGTCAAAACGATATGCATTGTCAAAGTCTCATAGCATCTAGACTCGGGTCGTTGACCTGTATAACGTGTGTGACTCTCCATCTTTGCCTCCATGTTCACGTGTACTGTGCCATTATCTACATGAGTAAGCACTTTTGCTCTGATCTGCAGAGCTTCAGGTAAATATCTTTGTGCTTCACAATTTGACACGGAAATTTCTCGTATTCGCCTCAGTTGTTCTGAACACTTCTTCTCGAAATCATTTCCTATATCTTTGCCCGGTGCGACTACGTCCGCAGGGAGCTCTGTTCCAAAGTAGCTCATGCTCAGGTATCCATCGTCACCAAGACCTACCATGCAATTCCCAGTATCACCAATAGGTGCAATGCTGAGCGCGATAAAAGAGAAGCTGTGCCTTGCTGCCCATAACAAATTCATGCCGCTATATAACTGTACATTTCCTGTAGACCCTGTCACCAGGAACGCCCTCCCTTTCTCAGAGCTACTGCTGCCCAAAACTGGCAGTGCAGCACAAGTCATAGGCAAAAAATCTATTTTTTTCTGAAAACATATTGTACCGCTCAACGATATTCCAAATATGCTGCACTCTGTAAGCACCAGAATATTTGTCATATTCTCCTCTGAGTTGAAAACAATATTTCCGTTTGTGTCAAGCTTTTTGTAGTTACACAAGTGATCCATGCCCACAATTTTCAGTGCTGGCTCGCCTAAGCAGACACTCCACTCAGCGGGCATGTCCCTTGCCTGCGAAATCGTTTCTGACTCCGTAACAAGTGCTCCATATTTGTAACACTTCAATTCTGTTGTAGCGCTCACTGTTACAAAGGAGTCAGTTTCGTGCAAATAAAGTATTGGGCTAGACACCGTGAAATCTGTTAAGAGGCAGTTCATAACAGTAACCCCTTTTGCATAGACACTCAGCTGCCCACTTGAGTATTGCACACCAATCACATCCTTGTGAGACCCCCCAAACTGTCCAATCACCATGTTCAATGCTAAAGATAGAGTCCACCGAGAAAAGGAAAAGAAACTAAGTAGACGAGGGCTCTGAAGTATATTTTTTTGGAAATCGGAAGATACCTCCTTGATCAAGCACAGCTTCGAAATTCAAGTGAAGTTCGTATTGCTTGCTTAAGGGCATACGCTGCCATAGTGTATAAACCATCAGTTTTCGAGGGTGTAGAACCACCACTGAAATATTTCCCTTTCCCAACTCGAACCTACCGAATTCAATCTTTAGAATTGGCAGTTTCAAGTTTAACTCGAGAGCGTGTCCTCCATCTGCGAAATCACTTTCACTGGGAGTATACAAGCGAAGGACGCCGAATAAACTGCATGTTGCAAGTATCAATTTGTCATCATAACTGCCGACGGCCAAAGAACCGACGCCGAATTTCTCGTCGCCTTTGCACGTCGACGACCAGAAATCACAAGTCTTAAAAACAGACATAATGCAACTGGGTGCGAATGGGATCGCTCCCGAGAGTCCGGCTTACGGGATCATGGTACTGAACGAACGCGATCCTCTTCAAAAAGTTGTGCACAGTACTCGCATTGTTTTCAGAAGGTGATGTTCTCTGATACACGTACATACTGTACTCTGTACGTGTACAGCTGTACACGTACCTTCGTACATGCTATGTACGAAGGTACGTACGTATTTACCTTCGAAGGTACGTAACTAGCTAACTACGTATGTACATATGTAGTGTACAGTAGTACGTACCTTCGAAGATAGAATATGATATCATATGTCATTTCTAGAAAGTGCATGTACTGTACAGTACGTGTAGTTGTACGTGTACGTGTAGTAGTGTACGGAACGCTTTATTAATATTACCTTCGTTCTTTCGTATTTATTTAGCCATATCATTGTGTACTACAAAGTTGCACGCACGTACGTGTAGTCTACGAAAATATACCTTGGAAGATACCGAAAAGGTATCTAGCTATCTACCTTGGTACGAAAGTACCTTCGAAGGTAGCTAGCTAGCTACTCGTAGGGCCATAGAAAGTTAGAAACCTTCGAAGATATCTATTTCCGAAGTATCATACTTCCGTGCCTTCGGACTTTCAAAGTATTTCCGTACGTGTACATTCGGAAGACTTTCTTTGTTGAAGGTAAAATACTTTTTTGGGAGAACACCCCTTTTTCCCGTGGCGTGAGAATCTTCTTGAGATTCTTCTCTTTGTTTTATTCTTTAGTATGATACGTACTAGTGTACTGTACAACGACTTCGTTCGCTCTAGCCTTTTTTAATATGAAAATGTACACGTAGAAACACTTTTGCATACTGTAGACTACACGTACACGTAAGTGTACTGCACGTGTAGCGAGTGGCACTTCCGGAACAGAGTAGGAAGGATAGACACTTCCGGAAGTACTTCCGTACTGCGGTAGACTATGATAATATGTGTACTGTACTTTCGTACGAAAGTACGAAAGTACTTTCGTAATACCTTCGTATGTACGTACCTTCGTATGACTTACGTATGTAGACTAGTTGCAATCAGCGATACAGTACAGTACTACACGTAGCCAATAATAAAAGGTGAGAGCGTATGAAAAAAATGATCAGAGCGTACACGTACACGTAGTACGTTTTTAAAAGGACGAGCTCATCCATTTAACTGCCGCGCCGCGCGAGGACAGTCAGAGAGGCGCGCGCCGCGGCTGCGTCCGGAGCGTCAAAGCGAACATCGACTAGACAGTGTAACCGATCAGTCAAGCGAGTTAAATACACATGGGGCGCTGAATCAGGCTGTCCCGGCGCACAGATCCGTCGTTTGCAAAACAGACTCGGCGTTACGAAACATTTGCCGTCTCCTGAGCTCGCGTACGCGACGTCGAAACTTCATGAAAACAGTTCCGAACGTAAAAAAACTTCTTGATTATATCGCTTGAAAACATTAGCGCATATTTAAAATTCGCGCAGCGCAAAAAAAAAACACGATCGCTTGCGTCGGCAGTTGAACTCCGCGGGTCGAGGCGGTTGCTGCGAAGAAAATTGCTCTTTTACAAATCGACGCGATCGCGCCAGTCTATGCTTTGCTCTTGCGATTCAGACACGAACGCGGTCGATCCGCGCACCTCGAGGGTGATGTCATCTAACATGCCGTGCAGTTACAGAGCCAAAACCGGCTTCTGCGCGATGTTACAGCACACCGCACGCTCATCCTTTTATATCCTTACTGACAGTACATGTACCTTCGTACAGGATTATCCTGACGCTGATACAGGTAGCCACTACACGTGTAGGGCTACCTGTAGTAGACTAGTCGTATGAAAAGGATAAACTGGACTACACGTACACGTACAGGACGTGTACACGTACATTAATATGATACTGTACAGTAGGGCTAATCTGATAAAACAAAAAAACTGATGAGCTCTAACCCATCCGGGCAAACATGTACTTTCGTACGAAAGTACGAAAGTACTTTCGTACGAAAGTAACAACTTACTTTCGTATCTATGTACAACGTCGTACGTGTACGTGTGCGTGTAGCCGTGTACAGTGTACACGTGTACGTGTACAGCTGTGCACGTACAACGCGTATGTAATACATTTTATTGTACGAAGGTATCACTCATCATGAATCTTGTGTATTAATTCTTCGGAGGATCTTGTTTCCGTTCTCTACAAACACAATAAATTGACCCCCGAGTGTGTGGGGCCTTTAACGCCACTTTACTCTATTTAACTCCACAATACTAACCTTATGTGTACATGTGCCTCCGTAAAAAATTCTGGAAAACACTTTCTCCGAATACCTCTTTAAATCTTCGGGAGCGTTGAAGGAAGTTCGTTGACATGCTTGGTCTCGGGAGCAGCACCGGAATATTACAGTAGAGCCGACATAGACCCCGTTATTGTCAGGCAAATAACTATGCAACTTTCATGTTCATTAACAATAACTCTCGCGTGTTCAAGTTTGTATCTCGCAAACGCTTTCATGCACGCCTTTTTCTTCTCGAAACACAACCCTGCGAAACGACCGGGACAGCAGACCGTGCTGATTTTGATCAGCAGGATGTCATTTGGTCTGCCCACAAGCGCCCTCGTCTGTTTTTGGCTTGCATTATGGATATGTTTCTGGGAGATGGCGCGAGCCCCGTTGTGGAAACCGAGAAACTCGCCCCTTGCCATTGACAACTATGGTTGTGTTGAGATGTGCGGAGGGGGTTTTCGAACTTGGTATCATCTTGGGGTATACTGGGGTTTGTACGATAGATTTGGTAAAGATGGTATGTCGACGATGCGATTCTCTGGCTCAAGTGTCGGCGCTCTCGTTGCAACAGTCGCAGCTTGTGGAGTGCACCCTGCTGATATTTGGGCGCATATTCCGGCCATAGCCAATTCATATCGTGAGACCTTTTTAAGCCACGTAACAGGGGTTGGTCAGTTTTGTCGATTTCTTCTACACTCTACCTTGCCTCCAGACGCACATTTACTCGTTAATGGTCGTCTTTTTATATCGGTTTCATCGCTGTTTCCCACACCGTTCAACCGTATTATCTCTGAGTTTGACTCTCGTCAAGATCTTATTGACGCCGTGATAGCAGCACAATACATACCTACGTGGACCTATCCTGGTATTTGTTTCTACCGTGGAATGATATGTGTTGACGGGGGTGTCACGAACAATCTTCCGAACATTTGTGTCCATTCATTGCGTGTAGGTCTGGATAAAGATGACACGTTCACTTGGAATGCTGACTTCGTTCCATCACAACCGCTTTCCAGACTGAATACTTTTATTCCGGCTCAGGAAGCAAGTTTACAACGCATGCTAGACTGCGGTAAGGACGACATCAATGATTGGTTGAATACATGTCGAGGTATTTCATTTATACAAGAACTTTCTGCTGTTTGGAAATCTTGTCAGAACACGTGTTCGTTAAAATAGTGTATGCAGAAGTCACTGAGAGAGCAGAGTACGTATACTCTGCGTTGCTGTAGTTTCTTCTGATGATTTCTTTTGTACGTGAAGGTTTTGAGCAAGTATAGAGCTCATATGCGTCGTGCTAGACTGTGGATTGTCAACTGGAAAGGAGAGACGTGCGGTTGCCTGTCAAGGTACGAAGTTCTCAGAACTTTGGGACCGCAATATGGGTAGCCCTGCAATATCAAAAATCTGTGCACTGAAAGATACGTCTTGGGGTGTACACTTGGCGTGTTCCTTGTATTTTTAGATGTTGCCCGAGCATCATTGGATCGGATATCGGACATTTTAAATAGACAAAACGTTCGTGCTGTCATTTTTTCAGTCACAGGGCTACACGCTATAGGGCGACACTGTGTGCGTGTGAAAAAGTGTGTATGTGTGAAAAAATATGCAACCGCCGAGATTCGAACTCGGGTCTAACGCTTGGAAGGCGTTTGTCATGACCACTAAACTACGGAAGCATCTAAAATTCTAGGCAGAATAGGCATAACATACTTTATATATCTCCATGACATCAAGGCGCCCCAGCACCCACCGTGCCGAGCACTCAAGAACCTGCGGTGTTCAAACCGAGCGAAAATCTCATTTCTTCAACGTTCCTTTCAATGACACATTCTATTTGAATTTCAAGATCGAATGTGACCGTAAAGCGCTGTGCATCATTCGAAGTACTTCTGTATTGCATGTGCCAAAGATTTATAAGCCTCTCACAGCCTTAAAAAACGGGGCACACTAATTCCCAGGTTGGAATCCAAGTCCCAGTCTGGGATGTAGTGCGCCCCTTAGAAAATACTGCACGTGTGCAGAGATCACAGTGCACGTACACGTAGTGCTGCCTTTGAATGATTCCGGTATTCAAAATACTTTCAGTAGAAACTTGCTCGCCCTCGTGCGGGCGGTAAAAAACTAGCTGCGCGGTTGTCGTTTTTTACCTAAAGTTCACAAACTAGTCAAGCAAATGTGCAGTAGTCGATAAAGCACGCGGGGAGGCGCTATTGTGCAACGCAAAAAACGTATCGAGGATGCACTGATGACGTTTGTTACGAGTAAACAATGACGAGCGCTTGGAGACTGATGTTCTTTCGATTCGCTTTAAGCTTCAATAAAAGTGAACAAACAACCAGAAATTTGCTGAAGTGTAACTTAAGTCTTCAAAATTGTTGCTGACTGTGCCAAACATTACATTTAAAGTTTCAACTGCATCAAATCCTTCAGCTTCATTCCAGCAACCATGCTTTTTTGCTTCGTATCTCTTTGAGACGGATGAGAGCTACCGTTCATGAGAACGTTGTCAACACAAAGATTTCGACACCGTAAATCCATACTGCAAATTTTCCCGCATGCAGACAAATCTAACTCGCTCAGAGTATCTGACCGGATCCCGAGGGTATGCAGAGAAAAACAGCTGTCCAGCTTCAGAGTTTCAAGGTTTTTACACTGGAGGAGCACTTTGACAAGATTCAGGCAACATGACAGATCGATGAAACGAACGGTCAAGGACTGGATGAGGACAAATTGTAAGGAAGCACAACTGGAAAGTTCCACCCTCAGCAAAACAGGACAACACGTTGCAGGTGAGCTGATGAACTGTGAAAGCCGATGACAGCCACTAAATTGAATAAACTTCAAGTCAGGGGGTGACATTTTTAAAACCTCTGCCGCAAAGGCGTTGTCAAGTGAAGAGGTGTGTGTTACTTTAATCTGAGCAGGAATATGAAAAGCAGAAAATAACTCAGCGAATCAATCAGAACGCTGGTGAGCTCATGACGAAATAGCGCGAAAATTGGCTAAAAAAAACAACCCGAGCGTCGCATGCTAGCTGTACAGATGTAGGTGTACACACATGCGCAGCTCGCATAAGTATTTGCTCACGCAGAGTACCCCAGGTGGGCCAATTTGAAATATCAGGAAGAGCGTCAACTGGGCGATCCCAGATTCCACACTCTATCGACTGTAAGAAAAAAACAAGATGTTACTCGACAGCATAATCTACACGTAGTTTGGTTTGATGGTTATTATCTGGAGAAAGAAACGGCCCCTTGGTGACTAGAGTCGCACCCGCTTCCACCCAGGGTCGTGCTGAGGTTCTTGGTGGCACGCAATAATACCACCATTAACTTTTCTTTTCCCTTTTCGCATCCTTCAGCAAGGAGGGTTTGTCTTTTTCTATTCCACGAGAACTTACATGGGAGGGTGGGAACACCTCAAGTGTAAAAGCGCAAATCGAAGTACGGAGTTACTCTGCGTCGTCCTGTACACGTTGTACTTCCGGAAGTACATTCGTACGAAAGTACTTTGTACTTTCGAAAATGGAGACGACAAGGGAGTGCCTGTGGCTACGCTCACAATTTTGGCTACACGTGTACACGTACACGTACACGTACAACGTTGTACATATGGATGGGAAAATACCTTCGTACGAAAGTACGAAAGTACCAAACTGCACGATCGTTCTCACTCAAAATAGCGTACCTACGTGAGGGCCTCCAAGTACCCCCCCCCATCGGTTGGCTTTCCGATCAAAAATGCTGAAAGGGTATTTTTCATCGCAAGAGCCGATCAAAGGGTTTTTGCCGCTAATGTCACACCTCCGGCCTGCGTAGTATCTATCTATTTCCGGAAGTACGAAGGTAACACAGTGCAGCTGTCGACCCGTTTTTCGTGAAAGTGACGGACTGGCCCTGACATAGGTAGGACACTCCTTTACAGACTCGGGCATTCCACACTCCGACGGGATTCATTTGAATCGGGCCTGCCGCAAAATATGGACAGTTCTTTTGACATCGACTCGACAAAGAAAGTTGGGAGCAAGTTATTTTACCACTCGAGTATTTGCGCGAAGAAGAAAAGCTTGACACAACCACCGTTGGCATCTGCACAGCATGAGACAGTACCCACCGCGAGCCTAAATATTTCTCTTCCTAACGGTGTCTCAGACGCGGGGGACTTCAACGCGCGGGTCGACGGATTGAGCAAAAAAAGAAAAAAGGGCTGCTCTGAACCGCAGTCTGACAGTAGGCGACTGAAAGACTGTGTTGCCGCCGCCGAAACCATGACTGACCATGTTAGTCGAGGCAAACGACAAGGCCTGCCATCTGCCCCTGTGGAGAAGGTGAAATCGGGCAGTTCTTCTGGCTGTGACCATAAATGCTCGAAAGACTTCGCTTCCAACAACCTCTCCAATTTTGCCGCAAGCTCGAGTTTGGACACTGCCCTACCTGGGTTGCCTCGACATCAAGCGCCTGATGAGTTGCTATCTTGCACCGTATTTGTTGGAAACCTCCCCTTGACCACTAAGCCAAAACTGCTCAAGTCTGTCTTCTCAAAGTTTGGCCCTGTTGTTTCTGTCCGTATACGTTCTGTACCTGTAGATTTGGAAGGTAAGATGCCGCGTGGCAGGAAGATCATCACCGGTAAACTACACACCGAAAGGAAAAGTACGAATGCCTACATCGTGTTCAAGAATGCAAGTTCTGTAATGGCTGCGACGGAGTTGAACATGCAGGAATTTAACGGTCGTCATATACGCGTGGACCGGGCAACACCACCAACTTCTAAGGGAAACAGGCACGGCAGTGACTTGGCGTATGACCACTCCCGGTGTTTATTTCTCGGGAACCTGCCATATGCAGTTGACGAGGAGGAAATTATCCGTTTCTTCCACCGTAGCAAAGAGTATCCAGAACTTTCGAATTCGATCGAGGCGGTGCGTATCGTGCGCGATCGGAAGACAAGCGTGGGTAAAGGAATTGCGCTAGTACTTTTCAAAAGGTCTGGAGACTCACGTGTGGGATTGTTGCTTGACAGGGGGAAGATAGGAGAGCGTGAAATACGTATCGTGCGAGCAGGTAAGAATACGACCGTACATACCCCAGCGAAAAAGAAACGATGCGGTGTTGAAAGCTCAAATGCGCTGAGTGCGCGGGGAGAAGCCAGAACTCCGAGTATCTGTGGAGGCGTCACACAGAGGGGAACCTCAGTGGGAGCTGTCGTAGGCTGGGAAGGGCTGCGGTCGCGGCCGAGGGGTAAGCGACGCGACGAGCCGTGCATAGGAGACAGAAGTGATGGCTCTAGTTCTCGGGCTGTGAATACAGCCATGAAGTCAACACCACGGAGTAGAAAACGGCCTGCAGTTGCAGCGCGGAAGGCAAAGTGCAGAGTACAGGCACTTGCGAACAAAGTACAGGCACTTGCGAACAAAGGAGATTAGCCTTTGATATCGTGTTTGGTCGCTAGCTTTCCATATATGCGTTAGGATAGCTTAGACACGCCTCAATTCACCATCCCTTCTCAAATGTTTTCCTTGTCATCGTTTTCTTGTTGAGCCTTGGGCGAAAACTTTTCTTCATTTTTCTCCTTGAGTTCGTCTTGAAACTCCTGTGTTGGTTCAAAATGGAGTGTCCTCCCAAGGAGTGAATATGCGGACAGATGCTAATTGCGAGAAGACACGCGGAATGCCGCGCGTAAGGGAGATACAGATGCTACGCACATTAGCGGCAGCCTGAAAGCTCTTCACTGTTTTTCCGAGGCTTTTACCGAGCTCGGGAAGCTTGCTTGGTCCGAATAGCACCGCCGCAACGCCGCCAATAACGACAAGCTCCGGAAGCCCGAGTCCGAACAGACCCATCGTGGCTACACTCCTTGGGCCCGCACCAGCTTTTTTGGAGCCGAGCCCAGCGGAGAGGTTCATCGGACGAGATCCAAGGAACGCGGAAGCCGGGGCTATATTCTCAGAAATGGCCACAAAATGCGACCTTCGTGTAGTCGCCGAGTTTCTCTTCGCCGCGCGTGTATTCTGGCGAATGTGAGCAGGAACGACAATAGACGAAGCGTGCATCAGCAAGCAGGCTAGACGGAGATGGCTTCGCCGCGCTGACTTAGGTGAGCGGCAACCTTTTGGAAGTGTGTGGTGTACGGATGTTTCAATAAAAGACTGTACGTGGGTAGCTATGTACCTTCGTCGCTTTCCGGAGTACAGTACACGTACAACGCGCACGTTACGGTACGTGTACAGCTATTGTACACTATTGAAAAATGATACGTACGAAGGTACATAATACATACTGTAGTTGTACCTTCGAAGGTACACGTGCGCCCCTTTATATTAATAAGCCGATATCGGTCATACACAACCCAGTGCACATTTAGAAGTTAAGGTAGTCCTCTACGTACTGGTCTTAGTATCCAGAAACAAACGGCTTACTCGTACACAATCACGCAAATGGAGATGCTATTATGGCTGCACAAGCCGATTCACTAGCTAGAGGGAAATGCGTTCACAAGTTAATGTCATCGAGATAGAAATGGAACTTCAATATTTTGTTTATAATGACGTCGATAAAATGTCGATGCGTTCAAATTTATCATTTTACTGTATATTAGATTTCAGCACTTTAAGAATAATGGTGAAGAGACGATTGCCATGACGGGGCAGGAGATGGATGGACACGCGGACGACTATATACACGTGTACAGAAAAGTGTTAAATGATAGCTTAAACATTATGTGATAGGTAATAATAAAGTGTGGTATTATAGCCCTTTTTGGTGAAGAAGTATAATCTCACATCTTCTTAATCATAGCCCTAGGAGACCCGATGATTATATTGACGAGGATTTCATTAAAGATTTTCAAGAGAGCTGGGGAATACTTGAGATTTTTCTTGGTGACTGCATCACCTTGGAGAACAATTTTGTTTTAATAGTCTTTCTATACAGTATGGTACTTTCGTACTTTCGTACTTACTATTCAATTTTGGTCTTTGATGGTAGCTAACTAGCTACGAAGGTAGCTACTAGCCTGGTACTATTCAAAATAATAAAGTCTTTTATGGTTGTGTGTACTATTTCCGGTACTTCCGTACACGTACATAAAGTAGCTTACTGTAGTACCGAAGGCACCTTCAAACCTTCACCTTCGAAGGCACGTACACGTACAATCTGTAGCAATTCTATGATAGTCTATTGTACGGAAGTACGAAGGTACGTAATTTCGAATGTAATTACATTCGTAAGTTATCTTACCTTCGTACTGATGAATAATAAGTACGAAAGTACTTTCGTACTTCCGGAAGTACATAGGGCTAGTAGTCGTACATGTACAACGTTGTACAGTAGGCCCTACATACGACGTTGTAGCATTGTAAAAATAGATTAGAAATACAGTACGTGTACTGTACGTGTACACGTGCACTGTATGTAGCCAGTTTGTAGCCCATTTCTATCTATCTTCATTGTACTGTACACGTAGCCGATTTCTCTCTATCTTCAATACCAATGTACAGTAGGGCTAGTTATCCTTGAGGGTGTGTAGCTGTGTACAGTGAGGAACTATTTATAAGTACGGAAGTACTTCCGGTAGTACTTCTGACAGGCGACAGTAGTGCAGTACACAAGTCTAAGTTGTTACTACAAATATAGATAGAGATAAGAGATTGCCGGGGTTCACCCGACAGCTCACTATTCAATACACATAACACGCACAAGGAACTCACCGACGTATCCTCGATAGGCGACTGCCTATTAGGAACAGTAGTCCCGGATAAGTACTACTTTCGTACAAGCTAAACAGTACGCTAGCCCACTTTCATGGTTAATACGAAGGCAGTCTACAAGATTCCGGAAATAGTAACGTGTACGTGTACTGTACAGTACTTTCGATAGTACATGTACCTTCGTAGTTCTACGTACGTATTTTCGGATGTACGTTGAGTATTATGTAGTTGTACACGTACGTTGTACACGTACTGTAGTGAACAACTACAACACACGTAGCCTATTTTTTATTCGCCGAAGGTGAAGAATTTTTAGAGTAGTTGTAGTGTACGTATGACGACGTTCTAGCATTGTTCTAGCTAGCGAGCTAGGGCCTGCACGTTCAACGAATAGCCCTACATAGTTTATTCATACAGTAGCCCTAGTGTACAGTACAACGTTGTACCACTGTTGTACCTTCGTACGGAAGTATTTTTTATTACCATTTTTCGGCAATAAAACTGTTTACAAACGTGTACTGTGCGTGTACTGTACGACTACTGTACTGTAATATGTACGGAAATACTTCCGGAAGTACTTCGTTCCTTACAACGTTAGTTGTAGCCCTGCAACTAGAATATTCGTTGAGTACAAAGTACGTGTACAGTCGTACAACGTTACGCCTTACGCGTGCTGTACAACGTTGTACAGTACGTGTACGTGTACAGCTGCACATCGTTATTAGTCACGTACGGAAGTACGGAAGTGTACTTCCGTACTTTCGTACGAAAGTACGAAAATATTTTCGTATTTATTTACAAATTTGTACACGCAGGCCACGTTGATATGAGTTCAAAACCCAGGCTTTCATGTTTTACGGTCACCATATTTCTAGATATATTTCTAGGTAGCCCTACTGTAGCCCTATTGAGAGGACCGTCATAGGCCCACGTGAATAGGGCTACCATAGCCCTATCCCTATGCGTTGTACATCCGGAAAGAGAGTGTACTACAACGCGTTTTTTTCACGTACGTGTGCAGCTGTGCACTATGCAGCTGTACAAGTACACGTACTGTACACGTACGTGTACAGTACGCGTACAAAACTTGTACGAAGGTACAAATATGTTCGTTTTTTTATTCTCCCGTAAGTGAGAAGCTGCGGAAACTTCAGTGGCCGACGACGACATCCATAAGCTCTGAACGGTAAGTGATTCAAAAAAGAACTATGAGATTCCGAAGATGATTCCGTGCCACTGAATCGCCGTAGTGTTCTTCATAGTTTCTCCTGTCATCCAGTCTTCTTTTACCGCCCTTGTCCCCGGCCACTCGCGGTGAAATGGCAGTTCGGCATCAGTATGAGAACAGGTCTGGTCTGTCAGTCACTCGAGCAGTTTTGCATCGTTTCATTCCGTGCAACTTTGACTTCTTTAAACTCAGCAATGATATCGGGGTGTTCGCAAACTTGACAAACGCGTACTGTTTAACGGCTGTCGGTGGTTCTGAGAACTTCTACAGGTAAACTCCGAAACACTTTCGCATTTTTTTCTCGAAAACGTGACATAATTCACCTCAGCGTGTTTCAAAATGAGCTATCAAACGATATACCAGTCGTGAAGACTAGTATCGCCGGAACTAGACTTGTTGGTAGGATGACAGTAGGTAAGCAGTTCATTGCATCAATCAAAGTGAAAGACTAGTCATCTTAAAGGTCCAAGGAAATAAAAATGGAGTGCTCCTGCCAAATTCAACTACCGATCAAGGTCAAAAGTCAAATTTTAACTCGGATTTCCGCACGTATATATCATGCACTTCATGCACGTATTTTTCAGAGGCTCTGCATATTAGAAATTCTCTTCCTGATGAAGTGCTAGTTCAACGTGTTGATGAAAGACTTTCTGGTATCTTCTTTTCTTTGCTTTCCATACGGCTTCAATATTTGTTCAATTTATGTTATGCAGCTCTCGGTAATTGCATAGCATGCAACGATTATGTTGCTCTCATACATCCTGATTTGGACGAAGAAACGGAAGAAATCGTATCTGATGTCCTTGGCGTCGAAGTTTTTCGGCAGGTGCTGCCTTTTTCCTGTTTTTCCTGTCCTTCTTATTTTACAATATCTCTTGCAGACAATAGCAGGAAACATATTAGTTGGAAGCTACTGTGCATTTTCGAACCAGGGTGGTATTGTTCATCCACACACGAAAATTGAAGATCTAGACGAGCTCTCTGCACTCTTGCAGGTAAAACAACCGCTTGAAAAAAAGGGTTTGCTTGACGTGAAGTGTTTTCTACATAGGTCCCCCTTGTGGCAGGAACAGTTAATCGAGGCAGTGACGTAATATCTGCGGGGCTTTTTGCTAATGATTGGACAGCCTTTTGTGGTTTAGATACTACTTCAACTGAGTTACAGGTGATGTTTTACTACGATTCAGATTCTTTGTAATACTCACTTCTACTATCAGGTGGTCGAAAACATCTTCAAATTGAAAAGCGCCCAGTCAAGTGCTCTGGTGACGAACCTTCGAGCATCACTTGTAGACGTCTTAGTGTGATTCCCGGCATATATTTCACTATCGGTGTCACACGCTTGGATCAGAAATCAAGCAGTAACTTTTGAACGTCGATCGCATGGTTTACTATATTTCAGCCAAAGACGTGTTCAATTCAAAATTCGCACTTGTCCACTGTTTCCTGTTAGTCTCGTCTCGTCCCGGTGCACCGGGCACTTTTTTCGGACTGAAACGAAACTTTTAAACCGTGCTTTTTGAGTCAAATTCTCCATATATTTGATCGGAGATGGTTGCTTTCAAAAGTTCATCGAGCCGCTTTCAAATTCTCATCGATCAAATTTTCGATCGGAGAAATTAACATCGGAAAATATGACTCATAAACGACGGTCTAAGATTTTCGTTCCGGTCCGAAAAAAGTGCCCGGTGCACCGGGACGCGACGAGACCCACATGTGTCTGTTGTTTCTTAAAAAATGTTTTCTTTTCACGTGATGTTCTCCTCTGGTCTCGTGAGGTGTCTGACAAATTTACATCACCTTCGTGCGTATCTTCTGTCCAAATAAGAAGATGTGATTTTGAGCAACCAGTCCTCGAAATAGCTACACACACATTTCTTTGAGATATTTCACGAACTTAAACTCCCCAAGTACAGTTTTCTGTGGTTTGCCTTGGTCCAACTTGTCCAACATCGAAAAGGACTCGTGCGCCTGCTCAGAGCACCCAGTGTATTTGATATTCCAGTTGTTGTCACAAAATACCTCGTGTTTGGCGTGTATGTACTCGATATCATTGCGGATTCTATCAGAGGGAAACTTTCTAGCTATCAATAATCGTGGGTTGGTCTGGAGAAACCTGCGTTTATTTTTAGCTGTTGTACTCCCGTAGTTGAGCTTGACGGCACAACTTTCGCAAACCCGCAACTTGACGAGTACTTTTTTTACATCGCAGGCTTCCATGTAATGAAAGTGCACCTCATAGCTCTCAAGACAGCTGCAACTGTTACAATACCTGTTCGCACAACAAAACTGGCCTTTGCCTGTCAAAACTTCCGTTTCAGAGCGCCACCGGAGGCCGATCTTTCTCTCCTTGAACATGGCCATATCTGCTATACAATATTCTCGGAAAAGTTTTGAGAAATACCGGTTAGCCAAGCGCACGTCGACTACACCAGAGCCGCTTTCACTACCGATGAGTCGGTATTTCTCGAGTTTAGCACTCCTTGAGAGAAGATCTCGAAAACCTGTTCTCCGTGCCGTGCATATTAAATCAGGTCTGAAATTGGACAGAATCCTGATATGCCGTTCTCGTGACGGCAAAGTCAAAAGTTCGCTTGATTGACTTAACATATGTATTCCACTTACAGTGTGTGAGCATTAGAATCTCCGTGAACAACAATGGTGGCCGTCTGAGCTATCTTCGAAGGTATATCTATCTGTCTCATACGTGCATAACAATAAACACGCATGCGTATTTGACTACGTGTACGTACACAACTACGAAGATACTACGCACGTGTACAGTATTCTATCTATCTTGTAAAATATTTTCGTACGAAGGTAATACACGTACAGTAAAGTTGTTTATTAAAATACGAAAGTATCTTCGTACGAGTAAAACGTAAGTTGTACTTGAGGAAAGCACCGACCGGAAATAAATAAAGTATTTCTTACGAAGGTACAACCTTCGTAGTTAGCTAGGGCTACGGAAGTACTTCCGTACTTTATTTCGTAAAGCGTGCAGTATGAAAATAGAATATCTTCGAAGGTACGGAAATATCATAGTGTACCTTCTACCTTCATTCATTTGTACGGAAATAGATACTTCCGTACATGATTGAGTACATAGCAACATATGCACCACGTACAACGAGTTACATGTGTGAGTTCGTACAACATTTATATTGTACGAAGATAATACGGAAGTACTTTCGTACGAAAGTACTTTCGAAAGTACTTTCGAAAGTACTTCCGACGTACGGAAGTACGCACGTGTACTTTCGTACTTCCGGAAGTACTTTCGTACTTCCGTACTTTTATAATTCTCAGAGAATACTCAGGGCACTCTTAGGGCTAGGAAGTAATAAGGTACAGTACCAAGGTACGAAAGTACCTTCGTATTTGCTATGTATGGTGATCATAAAAAATAAAAGCCTGAGTCAAGCGCGCGCGCGTGGGATATTTGCCTTTCGAAATCATTGCCCCTTGATCGTGAATCTATAGTCAGCCTTGATGAAAAATAATCACCGATGAAAATGCGATGAAAATTTCCCCACCGGGAGGACGCGCTTTCAACGTTTTTTTACACGACTAATTTGAAACTGGCGGAGGGTCCATTTTGGACCCTCCCGCCACTTTCCATAGGGCGACCCGCGAACTGCATATAGAAAGTTTATAGAAACTGCCCAGTGATACGTTCAGAACACACTTCAGATGCAGGGACTGCTCCGTCCTTACCAACTTGAAAATCGCTAAGGACGTGAAGATCAATCGCGCTGCGCTGAAACACCCTCGCTCGTTTTTGATGACAAGCCAGGGTTGCAGTTCGGGAAGTTTGGTTTGCCGTGGTGCACGCGGGCTCTACCGTTGTGGCCGACAAACAGGTTGCCCGCGGCGTGATACTTCACTACTTTCTCGCCGAACACGTCCGCGTTCCTTTGATGCAAGTTGTGGTGCTATTTCTGCTACTGATATCGGTGAATCCATCACCATAGTACCTGATGTTATCACTGCAGCCATATTTGCGTCCGAGCAAATCGCCGACCTTTCCGAGTCCACTTTCACTGTCGGCGCCACTGTCGTCGATTCCTCGCACGCCACGCTATTTGCGGAACTCTCTGCTCTGACTGAGATAACAGGTCCACAACGTATGGAGGGCATACTTTCCCCCGTATCAGATCTGTTGGAGGAATTCGTTCTTGCTACGCAACGGTATTTTTCTGATGCTGGTGTCCGCTATCCGCTGGGTTCTTCTATTATCTTCACGACATTTGTTGTTAAGGCGCTTACTTACCCTTTCACGAAAGTGCAAGTTGAGAGCGCACTCAATATGCAAAATCTGCAACCACAGGTAAACGCAGTTCGGGAAAAGTATAGAGATGATCAGGAGCAGATGAACATTGAGATCAATCGGCTTTATGAGGATAACCAGGTTAGTCCTTTGGCCGGTTGTGGGCCACTTCTGCTCACTTTGCCAGTTGTTTGGGGTCTATACAGGGCTTTCAATAACGCTTCCATCGACGGCTCGTTTGACGAGCCGTGGTTTTTTATACCTTCACTAGCTGGTCCGACTCCCGATCGTTCTCTAGCTTGGCTTTTGCCCCTCGACGACAACTATCAGCCCCCCTTGGGATGGCACGATGCTTCTCTTTATCTTGTTGTACCGATATTGACTGTGGCAAGTCAATATGTCAGCATGAGTATCCTTTCGCCTGTTAAGGATTTAAATGATCCAAATACCGCTGAAACGGAGCAGCAATCCTTCCTTCTAAACTTTCTGCCACTCTTCATAGGATATATCTCACTTACTGTTCCAGCAGGGCTTACCTTGTACTGGCTATTCAATAACATTTTTACGACTGCTACCCAGGTGTATTTAAGACAAGGAGGGGGTGCAGTTGCTAAGGTAGAGAAAATAAAAGATGTCAAGCTGAAGGTCCCACTTGGATGTGCGATAGTCGACCAGAACAGTACAGATCAACTCTCTGTACATGACGTTTTCGAGGGGCCATATGTCCTTGTTACAGACTCAGGTGAAATAGACCTGGCTTATTCAGGTGAAATAGACTTGGCTTATTCCGCGTTACCTGATCATGACAAGGCATACGGGTTCTATCTATCGCCCGAGTTACGCAGTGCCAAAACGGATAAGTGGAGATTGCATATGGAAAAGCGAGGTAAGCGAAGTCTTGATCCTGCGGAGAGATACAACGCAACACCCGAAGAGTTGCGCTTACTCATATCCGAGTACCTGAAGTTAGGTATGGTGGCTGAGGCTGAAGAAATATCGGTGGAGTTGGGTCGACTTGGTTCGGAGACAGAGAGATCAGATCCACTGTGAAGTGTACAATATAAAGGTGTCTTTCATTATGGAGACGGCGATGAAAAACACATGGATGAACAGCACTGCAGTGAACTGAATTAAAATGTTGTCAAATAAGCCGGCTAGGTGGGCGAATAGCCCGGCGCATAGAAGGAATTCAATACATTTTCAACACTAGAGATACGGTAAATAATAATAGGGTAAAATCAGGGTAAAATCAGGGTAAAATTATGTTGATTTTACCATGGTAAAGTCTACAGGGTAAAATCAGGGTAAACTTTTTACCTTTTTTTTACCCTCATTTTTCAAAGTGGTTACAATAATTATTAAAATAATAATAATATGATAAATAAATATATAAATAAAGTTTATGAAGATATTATTATTATTATATTAGTTGTAGTATCCGTACTTTCGGAAGTACGAGAGGGCGCCGACGTAGATAGCTAGGGTCTAGCTAGCACGGCTAGAAACTACAAAGTTGTAGTAGATAGCCTCGTACAGCGAGTAAGATACGGCTGGTACTTCCTAGCTAGGTAGCTACGTAGTAGCTAGAGTATTCGTTGGCACCTTGTGGAAAGTACTTTCGAAAGTACTTTCGAAAGTACCTTCGAAGGTATTCTATACGTACGTGTACTGAAATACGGAAGTACGAAAAAATACAGTACGTGTATGGCTGTATGTCTCTTGACTACCTTCGCACCTTCGTACCGAACGAAGTTAGCTAGCTAGTTGTCTACGTGACTTCTACGTGTACGCACAGTCTATTCATACCTTCGAGGTGGTAAACATTGATACCTTCGGTACATCTATTAAGTACTTCCGGTACACGCACAGAAGAACAAAAGTAATAAGGAAGTACGGAAGTACGATAGTACGTAGCTACGTACCTTCGAAGGTAATAAATAATTATAAGTTATTACCTCCGCAGTACAGTTATTATATTAACATACGAAGGTATACGTATCATATGTTCGAAGGTAAGTTGACAACTTACTGAATTACTTTATGGAAGTAATAATATTTATATATGTATGTAGCTACGTATGTAGTCGTACGGAAGTACCTTCGTACTACCGGAAGTGCATTATTCATTCATTCGTTATGTACGTAGAACTGACATGAATATGTACGTACGTAGCTACGTACGTAGCTCGTACGTACCTTCGGTAGCATTTTATGTAGGCCCAGAAGATACTTCCGGAAATAGCTATCTTCGAAGATAATAGCCGTACGTGTACTGTAGAATATCGCGTTACCTTCGTAGTTTGTTCCCACCTGGTAGATACTACGAAGGTACCTTCGTAGACATTACACGTAGCCCTAACAGACTAGCTAGCTAGCTATGTGTGTAATTTTAGTTCGATTCCAACAACACATGGAAATTGTACACTATGTAATATGCACGTGTACTTCAACAAGACAGGACGTTTCGTATATCTATAGATAAGCCAAAAAGCTCATAGGACGTCACAGACGAAATGCCCCTGGTCTCGGCAACCAAATATTCGGGCAGAACGGGGGGATTCGAACATACAACGCTGTACACGTACAGAATGAACCTCCTAAAGTACGTGTATGTTGTTCCACGCTTGCTCGTTTCAAACGTCTATGGCCTCCAGCTTCGGCCCTTCCTCTTCGATAAACGCCCTTCGTGGGGCAACTTTATCCGACATCAGAAGCTGAAATGTCTGGTTCACCTCGGCCGCGTCGTCCACGGTCAACCGCTTCAACAGTCGCGATTCCGGATTAAGCGTTGTATTCCAGAGCTGCTCAGGCATCATCTCGCCTAAACCTTTAAACCGCTGGATACTCCGTTTCGTATCATCAGGGAGCGAGCTCAACAACTTCGCGAGCTGCACTTCGTCATAACAGTACGTGATCGATCTCTTCCCCCCGCCTTTACCATCTGTGTGTTCAACCTTGTAAAGCGGGGGAACTGCAACAAATACTTTGCCTCGTTCGAAAAGAGCTCGTTGGTAGCGGTACAAAAACGTGAGAAGTAACGTCCGAATGTGCGCACCATCAACATCCGCGTCAGTCAGGATGACAATCTTGGAATACCTCAGTGCGGACTCGTCGAAGTCGTCCCCTTTCAACCCTAAACCTAACGCCGTGACCATGGACGATATCTCCGTGTTTTTGTACATAGATGACTCATCTTTCCGTTCTACGTTAAGTATTTTACCGCGAAGGGGCAAGACAGCTTGGAAACGCCGATCCCGGCCTTGCTTCGCGCTGCCTCCCGCAGAGTCCCCTTCGACGAGAAATATTTCACTAATATCTGGATCACTATTGCTGCAGTCGGACAGCTTTCCAGGAAGAGAACCGGAACGCAAGACGGACTTGCGTCTGACGAGTTCTCGTGCTCGTTTTGCTGCCTCTGCCGCTTTTGCTGCTTGCTGCGCCTTATTGAAGATACTCTGCAAGACGCTGGGGTAAAATTCTAGATGTTCTGCGATTTGTTCCCCTATGACCGCTTCAACGACTTTTCTTACCTCCGGGTTTCCTAGCCGAGTTTTCGTTTGTCCTTCAAATTCTGGTTGCGGAACCCAAACAGCAAGAACAGCAGATAATCCCTCTCTAACGTGCTCACCTCCCAAGTTTGAATCGCCATCCTTCAAGAGTTTCGCTTTTCTCGCCTGGGCATTCACCGTGCGCGTGAGTGCGAATTTCAAACCGTCAAGATGCGACCCTCCATCCGACGTTCTTATGGAATTCGCATAACCTAAAGTTGTATCCGTAAATGCTTCTCTCGTCCACTGCAATGCACCTTCGACTTGAACACCTTCGACTTCTGACCTGAACGTTATAGGGTCATGTAGCGTCTCGCTTCCCATGTTTAAGTCGACAACATAATCTTTTAGGCCGCCGGGAAAAGACAAGATCTCCTCTACGTATTCTATTCCACCTTTTGTAATGATGTGCGCGTGTTCCTTTGAGTCAGGTATTGATCTGGAGGGATCCCTCCCGTACAAAAAGGTATTTTTGTCTGTGTCTTCGTGATCGAGGGTGTCCTTGGAGAGTCTGCCGTCACTTACACTGTCCTCCTTAACGTTCGCTTTCTTCCTGGTCATTTTCTTATGCACATCGACAGGGATGCGAAACTTCAGAGTCGCTGTGCTGTTCAGAAAAGCTAGCTCCTTCATGCGACTGATGATTATGTTTGGGTCAAAACTGGCTTTTTCTTTGAAAATTTGATGATCCGGTTTGAATCTCACCCGTGTTCCATTCTTCCCATCCGCGCCCGGTTCGAAGCTTTCCGTCATATCTGCTACTGCGTATCCTCGGCTAAAAGCCTGTGTGAACACCTTACCTCCTTTCCAAACTGTGACCTCGCATAACTCGTGAAAGGGTCAAGAACGATGGGTAAAGTCATCAATGACAGAGGTGTCACATGGGTGATCAAATGCGAGTAGAAACCATTGGACAAGCAGGATGGAGCCGCACCTCACTAAGCGCATTTACGACAGATATACCGACGCCGTGTAGCCCGCCGCTGACGTGGTACCCGCTCTCGTCACCACCAAACTTACCACCTGCGTGTAGCACAGTTAGCACTGTTTCGAGGGATGAAACTCCAGTGGCAGGGTGCACATCCGTCGGTATGCCCCGGCCGTCATCCTCGACACTCACGAAACCATCAGGTTCGAGCACGACTGTTATCACGGAGGCGTGACCAGCTTGGATTTCGTCAACGCTGTTGTCTAAAACCTCCCACACCAAGTGATGTAAACCCTTTGTGGACGTGTTCCCGATGTACATACCGGGTCGTTTCCGGACCGGTTCGAGTCCGCTCGATATGGTCAAATGAAAACGTAAAAAAAAGACATCGGTTTAGTTCCTCTGGTTGGAAAGAAGGATAGACTAAGTCGCGTAGGAGTGAAGACAGTTGCAAACAGTCGTACCTTTCAATACTTGGATTGACCCAGAGCCGTACTCGGAGGAACTTCCGGTTGCTAACGCAGCCGCAATTTTAGCCACGCGCTTTTCTTCGACGAAAGCGTCGTTGGATGAATTTGATGCTTCTCTTTCTTCACCCCCCGCTGCAACAGCGCTCGCGGTAGCAGCGGGTGAGGTCGAGAAGTGTCGTTGGGGATTCTTCCCCTGGAAGATAGACAACGACGAGTACACCGTGCTCAGCCCCCGGAGACTTCGCACAGACGGCGCGACCAGCGCTATCGATCGCGCAGTGGAAGATGCCCTCGAGGATATCTGCACCTTAATGCGACTAGCGGGGGCGGCGGCAGCGGGTGTGATCGCGGCGACACACGAGGACCGCAGCGACTTCGCCAGCCGACGCAGCCTCATCGACATAGGAGACGCGCTGAAGCACTGAGGTCGCGGAGACGAAGACGACGCCGCGGGAGAGGATGTGATATTCCGCAACTTGCAGATGTCAACGACGTGAGCGCCATTCATCACCTCGCCTGCTTGGGCGGCTTGAAGTGGACTTGACTTACCCTGTAGAGAAAGGACAACTTGCGTCCTTTCAAAAACCAAATTTCAAAAACATATGCTGAAAATCCGGCTACAGGTACGTGTACACGTGTACACGTACACGTACATGTACAGCTGTACACGTGCTGTACTGGCCTACAGTACGCCCTTTAAGCCCTGAATATTGACGGAGCTTAAAGGGTTGAACCTATGATACTGTACAACGCGTTATGTGTACAGCTGTACACGTACACAACTTCCGTACGTGTACGTATCTGGGATCAGGGATTTCAGGGTCGGAATCAAGGTCGCGTAGTATCAAAATCGCGTTTCAGGCTCAAAACATCGTCCGCGCGCGCTGATCGATCAAGTCTACGCTTTCAAATCGTCTCATATCCGTGGTTCACATGCCGGCGTCGCGGAAGGTTCTGCCGCGGACAGCCTCCGCGACGCCGCGACGACGCGACGACGCCCTTCAACGAACCAAGTCTCCAAACTCGCGGTGCAAACCGAAAACGTGTGATGAATGCGATTGCAAAGAAGAACGCGGCATCGTTACCGTCAAGAATCTGACGTGATCTGACCGCGAAGTAGCGCGCTGAGGCATCGCGGGGACACCTGTGGAATCGCGCGAGATCTCGGCGAATGAGCGTTAGCGCCGAGTTCATCGAATTCTTTCGTGTAAGCATCTCAATAAAACAACCGAACTCGCTTCTCGTGGTCATTTACATCAACGTTACCAATCATTGTTTGGCGCGAAAGAGTCTTCCTCGACCTGGGGTCTCCGTCGAAGTCGACGAGGTGAGATCTGACGGAAAAAAGTTGCAGGCCCGCGAAATAAAACCGACGAGTGCCAGCTTCAGATTCAAGCGTTGGCGACGCGCGTGTTCGGAGGCTTCGCGAGAGAGATTTTATAGTGCAACGTGCCTTGTTTTTTTGCGCGGGGATCTTACCACGAGAGTTTAGAGAGGGCGCGTCCTTCTTCGGGGGCTTGGTTCGCTTTCGGCCGTCGTCCCGGCTGCGCCAGCCGGCGGAGGTGTGCCAGATGCTGATCCGGCTTCAAATTGATCGATGAGCGCGTGCACGATGATTGAAACTTGCGATTTGAGCCTTGAAACGCGATTTTGATACTACGTTGTTCTGACCCCTAATACTACGTGTACAGCTGTACACTGTACGTACATGTACACGTACAGTATTCTACCTTCGTACGAAGTATGATAAGATAGAATATCTATCATAAATGTGACTTCATTATGTTGTACACGTACGTACGAAGGTAGTTGTACAAGTGTTGTACATAGCCTATGTACGTATGTAGTCGTGTACGAAAGTACCTTCGAAGGTACATAGCGTACCTTCGAAGGTATCCGATATCTTCTACGGAAGTGCTTTCGTACCTTCGAAGGTACTTCGTTCCATCCGTACGTCACAATACACGTCCGTGCACGTACACGACTACACGTACGTGTACTATGTTTATCTGCGAAAATACAATCATACGTACTGTAGTGCTAAGTTGTTGGGGTTTAGCAACTTACCTTCGTACACACATAAACCGTTTTTTTTCCGGATGTGCTTTATTTCGTACGGAAGTACGAAAGTACTTAGTATGAAAGTACTTATTATTTCGTACTTCCGTCGGGAAGTACATACATGCGTACATAAAAATAAAAATAGAATAGTCTATTCGTATTTAAGACTACATGTACGTACGTGTACACGTACAAGTACTGTACACGTGTACACGACACTATTTCTTTCTATCTATTTCTGCACGTTGTGCAGTTCTATACTTCCGGAAGTACGAACGAAGAAGTAATAAGGTACGGCGTATTATTTCCGGAAGTACCTTCGAAGTTCCACTGCATACGACGTAAAATTCGAGACTCTGGACCTAATCCCTAGCGCAAGTTCTGCGCTTCAGGCGTCGCCGAGTGCCCGTAAACGCCGTCGCCACAGTGACAAGAATTGCTCTGAACACCGTGATCCGTTGATCCTTCTATAAAAAGAAAGTGGGAGTGATTTTATGTTGTATTCGGACGATAGTCTAGCTAGATGTTCTTCAATCGGGGTACACGTACACAAAACTTATTACATACAGTAAGTTGTTTTTACAACTTAGTGTACACTGTAGTGTACTTTCGTATCAAGGGCAGCAGGCTTTTTCCGAAGGCCCGAAATAGCTCTCCGTTCTGCTTGAGAAAGTCTACGTGTAGCCCCAGCCCTACACTACGTGCACTGTACACGTACACGCACGTACTGTACACGATTCGCGGATAAGAGCATTATTTAGACCGCACGAGCCCTATTTTTGAAATCTCCACACACATACTGTACACACACAGACACACACACACACACACACACACACACACACACATACACACACAGACACACACACACACACACACACACACACACACAGTAGTGATTTCGAGCAAGGAACTTCGTGTACTTTTTTTGCTTAGATGAGCACCTTCATTCGAGAGATCGAGCATCAGGTGGTAGCGCAGGTAGCGTTTCGAATCTTATGTCTGGAGTGTGAAGTGAGCACGCTACTTTTTTCGCTTGCAGATTTGCGGCTCTTATGAGACAGTAGATCTTGGAGCCACTCAAGCTGTCGCCGAGATCCTCTCCAGGCAAGAGAAACAAATCAACTGAATGTTTGAGGCTGTTCTCGTATTTAGCCATGAATTCCGTCCGTTCCCTTGCTTTTGGTATCTTATTGAACTTGGTTATGCTGCACATCGATACGCCGAGATCGGGGTTGGGCCGTCCTCGTTTAAGTTGTTCGGTTTTGTTTACCTGAACCTTTTTTTTAAACTCGTAGCTGCATACTCTCGGGTCTCTAATAATAGGGCAGAGCTACTGTAGATGTTTGCGATGTACTTTTTGCGCTTGTTGGTCTCGGTTGCACTTTCGAGCGGTTGATTCGAAGTACAGGTTCCCATGCAGTTCCATTTACACAGACCATACCACAACGTCTGCGTGTGAGCAGACTGCCCAAGGTGTCGCGCTTTTCACGACTTATATACTGCTTCTAACAGCGTTCTCCATGTTATTCCTATTTTACCTGATCAATACTCTTACAGCGAGCACCTGCGTTCCGTGAACTTGGGCACTCTAGCTTTCCACACTACCCAAAATACTTGCCGTCGTTTCCAGATGAGCACACCTTACACACTCACTCCAAGTATTATCGGAGGGTGAACATAAGTATTTCTTGGCAGATCTTTCCGTTCTTATACATATATGTTCTTTTTTTAGGCCGGTGGTACAATTTCTGATCAGAAACTCTCCAAGAACTTGACAGGAGAGCTGAAGGTAGTTAAAAGTGTAAATCTTCAATTCTCTGTTCAAAATAATTTCGTTGTCGAACTCTGAATGCAGGCTTGCTATGATCGACGAAAAAGGAAGAAGATGTCTTGTGAACTTGTATCTAGCAGGCATTATGATTTTGAGAACTTGGCATCAGTTACAGAAGATCTTTGGTTTTCCTGCACTGCTCGTGAACTTGGTCACCACGAAGTAAGTTCTGCTACATCATCATTTCCTGAATATAATGGATTTGAAGCAGGAAGGTTGTCTCACTTCTCTGCGCTCGCTGAATGCCTGTAGGTAAGTTGATGCATTTCATGCCACTTAAACATTACTCTCTTTAAGCGCGACCTTTTCAGCTACGGTGGTATTCTGGGAGGTGCTAACACAGTGCGTTACTTCAAAAATGCTCTTCTTCTTATTATTCTTATGAGGCTCGACTCGAATCTATTCAGACACTCCGAACTCATGGAGAAATGCAATATTTTAATGTATATTCAGACTTTGCACGTAAGTTCTCTGATTCTTGAAAGAAGTGTCCTTGAGGGTATAACAAATATATATATATATATATATATATTTTTTAGGAGCAAGAAAACGTCCACTAAACGCGACGACGTCATCATTCAGAGAACACACAACTTGTTCTCATGCAGATCATTCAGTAGTTAATAAACTGATCGGTGGCTGCGTTTCAGTTTTCGAGAGCAATTGACCTCAGCTGTCTCGCCTATTTGGATCGTCCTTCATGCTTACCTTGAGTATTTTGGTACCGCGAGTGCCGACCACGCTGTTTACGACCACGCTGTTTATTTAATCAACATAGTCTAATCATTTACCTTCGAAGGTATTTAATCAAACATAATCATCCAAAATTCCCAAGAACACTATTTTAGGTATCACAGGGAAATCCATATGCTTCCAACTTCCTGTAGCAGAACACATTAGGCAGGTCCACTAACACTTGACGCATAACACCTACAAAGTGACAGAAAGAAGGCATTCGAAGTGTTGAGCCATCAAGCAAAAACCATGGCTTTCTGACCTGAATCTAAGAGAAATTATATAAATCTTGTGTGAGGAAAGTGAAATCTTTGGGTAAATTTGTAGTTCGTTCACCTCTTTTGAAAATAACCGTCTCGTCTTCAGAGTTTGTCGAGCAGCAAGGTGTGGTTTTGGGTCAAACTGGCCGCGAACTTCTTTTTGTCCTTTATACTCGCGTGCACGACAGTTACAGAGCATGAAATCACTGCTGCAGACCTGATGAAGAGTTTTAGTCCAAATAGATAGCGAAAATTATGAGACAAGTACTCTTTGATCGTTGTCCTCGACATAGTGCTCAAGTCGCATCGGCAGCACAGGGTAACTGCAACTCAGTAGCAGCCCTGTGGTTGATTCCATCTGCTAAAGATTTTTCTTAAGATGAAAAATGATAAATGATACCGTGGATAGAGTGGAATTTTTTTCTTATCATAAGACTTTTCTCGAAAGAAGCTTTAAGATACTCAACCAGCCTGTTTGAAACTGAAGAGTAAGTCATCAATGCAGCATCATGCAAGAATAGCTGTTCCTCTTCTCAGGTGGAATATTTGACGGCTGAAATAATCCCTGAATAACAGAGTCATGACATTCAATAAATACGTTAAAGATGTAATTGCAAATACCAGACATAGACAAGTTAAAAGAGCGTGTGATCTGCGGCACTTGAAAGCCTGAAAACAGACATCTCATAAAAAATTATGGTAAAAATGCAATAATCAAGTACGTGTGACACTGTGATATCAACTATGTTTAGAAATTGCAGAGCAAGTCCCCTTGAAACTTTTTGAGAGAAAGTGCAGTATACTCTAACTTTTGTGTCCTGGATATGAAGAACCGTATGCGTGTAAGTGACAGTGGGCAAGGTGCACACAAAAAGCGTACAAATGATTGGGATTTAGAAAGTCACCCACAAGCGCGGTTTTCGAAGCGTTTGGTGGCTGTGGCGTATCAATGAAAAGAGTTCTAGAGGAAAAAAATGAATTAGGGTCCACATGGATGTCATGAATTGAAAAGAACGCGAGAAACCTGATTTTCTGTAGAACTGGGCCTTTAAGGGATTTTCGCAAGTGACATCGTCCTCTCTGCAGAGACACACTCAGCCGAGAGAGAAAACACACACAAAGAAAAAACACCTCTCGAATTTGAATTCTAGTTTGAACAAAAAATGGATCGCCGATGTGTGACATCCCTCGTACGATATATCGCCGCCTGTAGCTATGCGGAACGTTGACGCTAGAAACAGGACGACCCCGGTAAAAATAGTGTCGATTTAATGATAAAGTACTGTACGTTTATGGTAAACGGTTTTACTTTTTTTTACCCTCAATTTTCTTTATTGCTACTGTACACGTAGGGCTACACGTACAGTACAAGCACACGTGCGTGGTACTTCCGGAAACACCTTCATTCGTAACGTAATTAAGTACAAATAAAGTACGAAAGTACTTTCGAAAGTACGTGCCTTCGTAGCCAGATAGACATTACAAATAAAGATATCTAGCTAGCTACCTAGTCTACATACGTGCGTGTGCGTACTTATTGTACACTACTACAACGTTGTAGACATTGAAGGTGGCTTAACTGCCACGTGTGTGATAATAAAAAAAGCGGAGGTAAACAACTTTATACGTGTACCTACGTGTACAACCGTTTATCGTTTTACGTTTATACGAAGGTATACATGTAGGCCCTAATAAAAAAATGGCCCTACGAATACGAAGGTATGATAGGAAGTACGAAGGTACCTTCGAAGGTATAACTTCGTGCGTATTACGAAAGTACTTCTGTACGGAAGTACTTCCGGAAGTACATTGCAGCGTTATGTCTATCTGCTATAACATTACTAGGGCCACGTACTTCGCGCCGAGGCTAAGTTGTAACTTATTACTTAAGTATTTCCGAAGTATTTCCGTAGGGCCCACGTGTACTTGCAGGACGTGCTTCCGGAAGTATTATCCATTTTCCGGAAGTACCTCCGTACAACGTTGTACCTTCGGTACTGTACGTGTACGGAAGTCCTTCCGTGGAAGTAAACTGTAGCCCTAGCAGTGCCCTAGCCCTACCTTCGAAGGTACGCACGGAAGTATCATACTTCCGGAAATATTTCCGGAGATACAACAGGGCCCTACTGCTGTAGCCCTAATATTACCTACTTCCGGAGTACGAAAGTACCTTCGTAGGAAGACAAAGTTGTCTATGTGTACACGTAGATGTATGTGTACTTCCATCTATCCGTACTGCTGTAGAGCCGTACACTTATCTTCGAAGGTACGGAAGTACTTTCGTACGTCCGTACGTCCGGAAGTAGGCAGGGCTACGTGTACGACTATTATCTACATCTTCCACTCATCTTCGTATGATAAGTTGATATGAATACATAACCGGTTGAACAACGCGCGTTACGTGTGGCCCTACGTGTAGCCCTACTGTACGTGTACAGTACTTCCGTACAGCGTTGTAGGGAAGGGAATCTTGTAGCGTGCGCTCGCCTTCAAAGCACGCGTCCGACATCGATGCCGTCGGAGCATAACGTCGTGGCGTATGCCATGGACCTAAGGAACGCATCCTCAAATCTCCAATCAAGCGTTGACGCTGCGATAGCCTTCGATACCGATCACGTGGGACTTCCCCGGCGGTCCTCCGCAGCTGTTGTTGTCGGTTACGCGCGATGCATTGGCTACACGACCTATGCACAGAACGGTTATAGACTTGGGCAGAGTTTGTCTGGCATCAAACCACCCGCGCCGCAGGAGGAACTCTTAAACGCGAGTAGTTTGAGCGGATCTGGATTGGAGTTGAAGGCCGCGAATGCGTGGGCAAGCGCGAGTGCGGCGGTATCTTTAAACGCGGAAGCAGCAGAGGTAACCCCTATGTCGGGGCAGACATTGAAGCTGCTCTCGAAGTGGAAGCCCGGTGATGCATGGCCTGCAGGAGTGCCGGCGCCGCCACCTGGATGGAATCCCGGCGATCCAATCACTGCGTTTGCTAAAGTTGTAGGCGATTTACACTGCGGCAGAGCTGGCCAACACACTTGTATGTCGTTCGCTTCTTCACATCCGTCGGCGGTGAGGTCATCACGGGGCAGACCGGTGCAGCCACTGAAGAAATTGGTGGGAATCCAAGTTCCGTTTGTACAATTAGACTTGAATCCGGATATGCACGATGCAGTCGACGACTTCGATTACTCCTCGGATGAGTTCGAAGAAGTTAGCAAGCACGAATCGGACTGATGAGTTCAACGGTAGCGGGAGGTTAGTTTCTCAAGCATGAGTCAAAGGTTACCCGCGGCTTTAATGGACGTTGTTGCTCTTAAAAATTGTTGCACTCGTACTGAAAGTTACTAAGGGCTTAAAAATAGTGGATGACGTGAGGACTTGGGATCATGGCTCGCTTGCCGCTGGTTGGTATCTCCTTTTTTAAGATGTGTCGTGAACGAGTTTTGAGCACACGCTTGCCTGGAAACCAATTGATCACAAGCTGAAATAGAGCAATATTGCGCATGTGTAGGGCTAGATCATTTACTACCTTCGAAGGCAGATTCGTACACATGCATGGGCAATCTTTTACTATCCTATGCTGCAAATGGTACAGTACCTCCATGCAGCCGTGAGGACAAAGGCTGCCAAAGACCCAAGTCCAAAGCAAACAGTACTCAGCCGTATGAACTCTTCGCAGCAGTTTAGTACACGCGCCGGTATTGTCTTGTGCATCTCTCCGTGAGGCGTAACCGATATCGCGAGCGAAAGATAATGTCTTGCTTCGGTAGGGTGAGAAATGCAGCCATTCATATCGTTGTCGTCACGGTGAAAGCACCAGCCATCTGAGATAGTGACCAATACCGTGTCAACTAGAACGGCAGGTGCTCTGGCCGAGGACAAATTGTAAGCTATTGGCATCGTATTATTTACGTGAATGTATTCTAGGTTAGCAAGGAGTATTGCCGCCACTGAAGGATGCAAAAAGGAAAGATCAGTTCAAGACGATAAGAAAATGTTATTAAGTCCAAGTGACGTGCCTCGTGGAACAGCAACAAACTCTACGAAAGATGGGTCTAAAATGCCATCTCCAAGCGTAAAAGGAGTTCTGCACGCCGCTAGCACGTCCAATCCTGCAGCGACAAACGACTGCAAAGACAAGTTGGTATACCTAGGTCAGATGAGTTCAAGGACAAGAAGTGGAAATCTGGTCCTAGACTCACCAAATAGTTTCCAAATGCAGAGCTCACCCTGACGCGAACCGCCAGAGCGTCACCATCTACGCCCGTCAACACGACCCCGGGTATCTTTACCGTTTTGATGAAAGGCGCACGCACGAGCTCCAATTCATGCTTCCCGTCAATTTTCCGTGTCAGGAGCGGAGCGTCTCTCGCCGCCTTTGTCGTCACAAACGCCCTTGACACATTGGATGCAGCGAACTCTGCTCCGTCTTTACCTATCAGCACAAAAGTGAATTTCCACGTGTCCACTGAAACTTCGTGTTCGGAATTTCCGAACGCAACGGCTACTGGATAGTTGTGATGGTCAATGTCAGGGACATACAACACCTCAGTGCATACAGCAGTTCGAGGCAAGAACGCGTCATCTTTTTGTTCTTCTCGCAAAGAGCACAGCCATCGATCAGAAGATGACAAGTTGCCTTCTTCAACTTCAACTCCATCTATTCTTCCATCGCAAAAGATATTAGTCACTATTGCGGGGATGACATCACCTGGTTGAAGACTGGCCCCATCGCGGTACAGAACACCATGGGCAGGTGTTGTCTCTATCCTCGCGAAAACTCTACTTGTTTCAATGCCGCCACAATCAACTCTCCCAAATTTAGTATGATTGCGTGTGTACGCAGGCGCGACTGATGCGACATTGGACGAGCTGATCGTCGCATGCAACACTACCGATTTAGCAACATCTTCGAGTGTTGCAACCCGGACAGTGTGAGCAGCAACAACAAGAGGGTTGAGTTCAGGCAAAACAACCTGTATATCCACCTCTGCAATATGCCCATCGCTGTTCTCTTCGTCGCTCGACAGCCCCTTTGACCATGCGGTGGCGGCTTCAATATCATTGTTACGGAGCGAAGCTGTAGCGGCGAAGCGCAATTGCACGTATAGTGGTGTTTTGTCCGTCAGAGGATCAACATGCCTCGTTTTGTGTACCCTTCCCCTGAACTTTGGCTTGAATCCTACGCGCGTGTCGCCGCGTCGAAGCAGATACGGAGTAGACGCGATTGGGGCGAGTGACCTTTGGTCGAGTAGTGTACCTTGTGATGGTAAGGATGTGATCGCGTATGTAGCGTTAGGGTCCTCGCCACACGAATGAGAGGAGGAAGACGAGGCGACGGCAAAGATGCCAAGGGAGATGAGGAACGGGGCGTCGTCAGCGTTGGATAGCAAGGTGGCGTGCACGACAGGGCTTGGAGCGCATGCAGTAGCGTTTCGCGTTTCGATGTCTGACGCCAAAGTCACCGATGCGAGGAGGAGGGAGACGAGAAGAAGGTGGAGGTCCGCTGGCATCGAAGAAAACAGCCACTGACGAAACGAAACGAAAACGGCTGATGAAAGCACGACAGTACGAGTACGTGTACAGCTGTACACGTACACGTACTGTAAGGCTAGCTACGTAGCTAGCTAGTGTACAGCTGTACACAACTACACGTTGCATAAAAACGGTTGTTCGTGTACATAAGTTGATATCTACTTTTTATATGAAGATATCTACGTACGTGAGCCTAAAACGTTGTAGTCGTACGTGTACCTTCGTACAGTATGCGTATCTTCGGAGATAGAATACTTTTATTACTTCGCACGTGTCCCATCCGCGTAATTTTTGGGCTACGTGTACAGATGTACACGCAACTTAGGCCAAGCGTGTGTACCTTCGAATAGTATTTCCGGAAGTACATACGTGTACAGTTTAATAAAGTTCTAACCTTCGTATTACATGTTTTTTTGATCTTGCTTGTATCATGCATGTGTGTAGCTGTGTACTACCGGTCTGCTCATATTAATTCCACCTAAATCCTACCTACTGTACACGTACTGTACTGTACACGTACACGTACAGATATATTCCAGTGCCATTCCTATCCCGGCCAGTCGGGTACAGGTGTAACTGTTTTTAAAAGCGTTTTTCCAGACTTGTTTTCTCGACTTCTGTTGAGAGTTTAGTATATGCACTTGATGAATATTGATTTATCACTGCACGGGGGTTGAACCTCCGTAGGGTTGATTCGTTCGTCCTCCGCCACAACTTGGCCCTGTATAAGTTGTAGGGTTGATTCGTTCATCCTCCTGATATTGGACACAGGTTCACTGTCAGTAATGTAACTACTGTTCTGAGCTGTCTTGTCAGTTTCGTCACTGTCTCAGCTCCTGTTTTGTGACTTACGGTATCCGTCATTCCCGAGTTCTCACTCGGATTCAGTTCGCCGAATACCTGGCACTCGTTCCTTTCTGCACATTCTCGATTACAGTTCACTGAACTTGACCCGACCCTTGTCACCTCGCGTCCGTTCACTTCGAGGCAGCCTGGGCGCAGTTCATGATTTGGGTTGTACTAGTACGTACTCAGTTGTACTACACGTATGCGTACTGCTCACGTACTCACTGCATGTACGAAAGTACGCGAAGGTACGTTGGAAGACATGTTGGCTTTCCGAGCTGAGTGTAGAAAACGAATATGCGTAATAACAAGAAGTGTACTCGCGCATTACATGCAAATTATGATTTGGCACCTCTGCAAACGACGCACTAAATTATTCATAAAGTGAGCTTTCGCATAAAGAACATATTCAGCAGGTTATCCTGATACCAAATTATTGTTCCATCAGGTGTATATTTAGGCCAGAGCAAGTATTTGGTGACTCTCTTACTAAACCAAAGTCGCGTCTAACGCGTTGGAGTTTGCGCTCAATGAAGTAAGCAAAATAAGGTTCTCGATCAACCAAAGAGTCAAAACCACACGGTTTGATTTGGTCGGAGTCGTTATCGGTTTCGAATATTCTAAAAACTTCTGCGTCATGTGCGTCGGCTTCTTCAGAAGAGAGTAAAATCAAGTTATCTAGATTTGCTGGCTTAGACGGATTCCAGCGCGTCAAGCATAAATCCGAGGTATTTCGCCACATCCCTTTACCTATCGACGGATTTTGAGCTCGAGCACTGCGACCTTGCCAAACATCCTTGATTAGGTATATCACATCCTGTGAATATAGACAGTTTAGTTCGTCACGAAATATTGAAGAAAGTTAAAACCCTTGCCTGCAGCTCAACATTTACCCAGCTCTTCATACTGCCTCGGCTGGCTTCCCTATCACGTAGCCTTTCAAATTGCGTTTTGTACTGCTTCGTGTGAATATGCAGAATAGGGTCAGAACTAAGTACTTGTCCTGTTAAAGTACTTATAACATGTGCAGCACACGATAAACCAAATATAGCTGGCAGAGCACCAAACACAGGAAGTGTCCTTATGCGAAAATTTGGCAAAACCTGAAAGTCTTGCAAAATAGACGCACTGCACGTTTCAGCTGTTGCCCCAAGTGAAACCAAATATTATGGACATCAATAGATGGCCAACGTGACGTGACGCCGAAAACATATACTTTTGGGAACAAAGAAAAGTTTGTAAGAAATGAAGGATAAGACAAAACTTGCCAATTTGCAGCGTTGTTTCTCTGTTGATAATAAGACAGGTATGCCACTTTCAATACCATGAACCTGTTTGAGTCGATGACGAACAGCGCGGGCAAGCGGATCAACAACACTTTCTCGTATGTCAACAATCTTTATTCGTGTAGGATCACACTTCGCACCGGCACCACCAGACGCCAGCACATTTATATTTTTCCGCACACAAGCAGCAAGTAAGTCAACCTTAGTGTCGACGTTGTCTATGCAGTCAACCACGAAATCAGGCTCTCCCTTCAATAACTCGTCTTCAACTGTTTTTTCAAACATTGCCACTTTAGTTTCGAGTTGAGCTTCAGGAAAAATTTTTCTGAAGTGCTTCGCGAGACACTCTGCCTTGTAGCTGCCAACGTCCTGGCGAGTGCCCAATGCATGTCTGTTGAGCGAGGATAGAGAAATTTGATCGAAATCAATAAGACGCATTCGTGACACCCCGGAGCGAAGGAGCATATGCGCACAGTGACTTCCAACGCCACCCAATCCGACGACAACGACGAACACGCTTGATACACGCTGTTGTGCCGTGCTGCCAAAAAACTGCACGTTGCGAGTGAAATGCTCAGCTAGGATCTCATCTGTTGCGCTACTGGTATGAAAGAGTTTACCCGTAAAAACACGAGAAGGCACCTGATGACGACGCGAATAAAGTATCGACACCAACACAGCCCCAACAGTGCTACCCGCCATAAACGCCTCAAACAACCGCATGGTAATCATCGTCAGCTTCCAACTCAGTGAAATACACAAGTTGGAGAAACGTTTCGAAGTGACGTGTTTCGAAGTCTACGATAGACGAGTTGCCCTAAGTCGAAAATTGTATGACGCTCAGTCAGCCGCGTACTCTACCCGTAATCGGCCAAATTAATCGCGACGCATGGGGAAGAGCGAACGTGAGGGGGCGCGTCTGACGGGCGATACTAATGGGGAATTAAAAAAACGCAAATTAATTTGGTTTCGGGTCGCGGAACTTTCATACAAAATGCTCATAGTTTTCACGTACTTTCGTACGTGTACTTCCGAAGTACTTTCGTACTTTGAAAGTACACGTACACGTAGCGTACTTCAGGATGTAAAATACGAAGGTACGAAGGTATGTAGCTATGTACTTTATGAGCAATTTCTCGGAACGAGACTTAGGGCAACTCTCGTCCATTCAGCCAACCTTTTCAAAACGAGACGCGTGGGCGCGTACGAACGTGACGTGTACGCACGTACTTCCGGAAGTACTTTCGTACTTTCGTACCTTCAAGGTACGAAAGTACTTCCGTACGTTTTCGCGATTTAGACTGAATACATTAACAAGTTCTGTAGGGCTGTGACGTGAAGGTAATAGCCCGAAGACTGCCCTAAGTTGTTTTAATTCATTATCCATATAATAATATTTTTTCTTTCGCACGTGATGAAGTACTGTACTTCCGGAAGTATCTATTATTTCCATATCTAGCTATCTACGAAGGTACAATCGTGCGTTGACTACACGTAGCCCTACCGCCTAGCTAGTTATTCTATCTTGTAGTCTATCTATATATCTTATAGTGGGAGGGATCGATGTATGCAACTATGCATGCATGCATGCATGCATGGACGGAAGTATTTTATTAGTTTTAGATACACTAACTAGTAGCTACCTTCGTAGTACTTTCGTACGAAAGTACTACCTTCGAAGGTACTTTCGAGGTACCTTCGAAGGTACTTTCGTACTACGTATTACGAAAGCTGATTTAGTACCCTGATTTTACCTTCGTATTATTTCTTGTGAAAGTACAACTACAGTACTTTATTTCGTACTTTCGAAAGTACTTTCGTACTTCCGTACGTGTACATGTACGAGTACGTGTACACATAGATACAGGTACGAAAGTACATTTTACCGCCGAAGAATATGATATTTCCGGAAGTATCATAAACTTACAATGGGCTAGCTAGTCTATCGACGTTTATAGGGCTACCTGCACGTCCAATAAAGCACTTCACGACCACACGTTGGGATACTCTCTCGGACGTGTTCTCCTGCGTCGTAAATTTCGTTCGCTAGACGATCTAAATTAGGCATCCGTTAAATTACAGCTTTCTTCACCCCCATGGCTTTACGAGATTTGCCTTTTTAAGTTAGCATGGGTGAAGAAATTGATAGGCACGTCTTGAGGAAATACGAAATACAACAGAAACTTGGGAAGGGGGTGAGCTGAATGCAGGTTGCACTTTCTGATCATCACGTTGGTTGAAAAAACGCTGTTACTATGATAACAGGCGTATGGTATAGTGTGGAAAACGGTTGACAAGAAAACACGAGACACGGTTGCATTGAAGAAGATTTTCGACGCTTTTCAAAACTCAACAGATGCACAGGTATTAATATTATATATATATATATATATATATATTATGGACATCATCCATACTTACCTCGCATGTTTGTTTATTACAGCGAACATTTAGAGAGATCATGTTTTTGCAAGAGGTGAACAACCATGATAATATTATACGGTACTTGTTTTCAGACTTCTTTGTACACACACAAAAAAGAATTTGTGCGTTGTAGGCTACTGAATGTGCTGAAGGCAGAAAATGATAGAGATATATATCTTATTTTTGAATACATGGAAACTGATTTGCACGCAGGTGTAAAACCACAAATCATATCATTTTGATACAAGTATTGAATCTTTATTCGGCGTGTACAGTCATCAGAGCCAATATCCTTGAGGACGTCCACAAGCAGTACATCATGTATCAGTTATTTAAAGCTTTGAAGTTCATGCATTCTGCTGAGCTTCTGCACCGGGACATCAAGGTACTCTGTTCAAACTCGACATACAAGTTAATTATGAAAGTGATCAGTCAATTCAAAACTCTCAATATACAGCCCAGCAACCTTCTGCTTAACAGTGAGTGCCAAGTCAAGGTTGCAGACTTCGGTCTTGCACGCTCCATGGCTCTCATGAATAAGGATTTAGCTGACAGGCCAGTATTGACAGATTATGTTGCAACGCGCTGGTAATTGTCAGTGGGATCATTCCACTTTGTGACATAATTGTAGCTCTTGTCAGGTATCGTGCTCCAGAAATTCTCCTTGGTTCTACGAAATATACTTTTGGTGTTGATATGTGGTCCTGTGGTTGCATTCTGGGTGAACTCTTTCGAGGGTAAACCATGCAATTAATTTGAATGAGATAAAATTTTCTGATATTTCTCGTGAAGGCAGCCTGTTTTCCCCGGAACGTCAACCATGAATCAACTCGACCGCATTATACAGGTGAGGGACAGATATTTTTTGTTGTGCTCTTGTTTAGATGTTTATTCCCTTTTCTTTACGTAGTTAACCGGAAAGCCAACGGAGGAGGATTTGCTTGCAATTCAATCTCCCTTCGCTGAATCTATGCTAGAGTCATTGCCATGCACAAGTTCAAATACAACACGTGAGGTACACGTATACTTACTCCAGTTCTCTACAATTTCTTTCTCAACACTTCCTATGTTTTTTGGCCGTAGCTGATTCCGAACACAAGCGAGCATGCATTTGATTTGCTGCACAAGCTCTTGGACATAAACCCTGATAAGAGGATAATAGCTGATGCAGCATTGCGTCACCCATACCTATCGCAGTTCCACAATCCTGCGGACGAACCATCATGCAACCACGTGATATCTATTCCTATCAATGATAATACAAAGTATACTATCCAGGAGTACAGAGAAATTTTATACTCGGAAGTTGTAAAACGCAAAAAGGTCCCGCTTGATTTAGTCATTGCATACTTTTTCTCAAACGCTATCATTTGTCAGGAGTTAAGACGACGCTTGCGACAGCGGGAGTTGGCTCGGCCTAATTAACTTTAAAGGACGTTCATGCTGCAGAATGGGTTTCTTGGTTCAGGTATCATTACTCGGGGTTTAGCTATCAAGTGAGCACTCATAGGAAATGTATTAACGAGAATGGCTCAAATGGATTCTCCTCAAGAATTTGTGTACCTGATGACCAAGGTATCTGTGACCAGGCTCAGCTCTACTATTCTTTTATCAGTATTCTTCATAAAGGTCCATGATTTGATGACTGATTTTTTCACACACACCCTGTTTTATTTCATAGTCAGCCAACCAATTCGATGACAATTTTAAAGTCGACATCAGCTTCGAAGCTCAAAATAGAGAAACAACCCGATCGATCGCATGTGCATAAGTAAAACTACTGTCGGAAAAAAAATGGGAATGCAGAAGTTGTGACGAACTTCAAGAACCTTGCCAAGATATAGAACTGAAACAGCGATTTCATAAGCAGTATACTGCAAGCTTAGAGTTGTTCTTAGACTGTAAAGTTCGTGGAGAAGTGAGGCTGGGGAAATGATTAATAAAGCATAAGATTTCACAGTGATTCTTTTTCTACTCCGACCTGTCATTTGCAAAATTCCACGCAACTTGCGCAAGACCGCGGCTAAGGCTTTCATTCACAGTCTGAGCTCTGGTCACTCTCTTCACTGCATTGAGCAAATGTCTATACGGGTGCTCCACATTAAATTCAAAGCCAAGAGTGTGTAAAATAATTCTTTCGGCTTCTAGTATGTCATCTTGCCGCTCCAAGTAGCAGTCCTGCAGAGAACATGAAAAAATGCGCACAAAACAGGCACAACAAGTATGGTAAGTGGACACAAGCACCTTTTGGAAGATTTCCTTTGCTGCTCTTTCATGGTCGTTTTTGAACTGGACAAGGTAGGAGATGCGCACAACCTCCCGGAGAGGCTTAGGAGTTTCCTCCACTTTTCCAGCTAAAAAAAGGCTAGCTGTCGCTATACTCTGCGAAAGTAATCAATAAACTATGAAATCTCCGCTAAAATTAAAAGAAAGCTTACGAAAATATCAAGTCGAGTTTTGCTTCGAGGCTGCCATGCGTAAAAACGGTGACAGAAAACTATAGCGGTAGCGATTGTGAGTTGAGGCCTGCAACACGTCAGCACAAGTAAGGTAAAAAGCTAAAAAGGTTCATCAGAATCTGCCCACATTTTCAGCTCTAACCCCGCATCTTCCAGAAATTCGCAGTACACCCAACGAGACGAAGCCTCGAGAATTACTTCGTTTTCAGGTAGGACCATGTAGATGCGCAATTTCCGCGTGACCACAGTCAGGCACGCGAGGGAAACAGCACTTTTTCTCTGCGGGATAGGCTCTATGCTTTTTCAGTTTATCTTTTTTATGTACTGTAGTTGTACGAAGGTACTAGGTTGTACTCGTACGAAAGTACTTCCGGAAGTACCTGTACATATTATGTACAGCTAGCTGTACAACTTGCGTGTACACGTACACGTACGTGTAAATAATAAGTAAAATAGTCGTGTACTTTCAGCACGCACGTTTATCTTCATAATTTCGTATCCTTCGTACGAAAGTACGAAAGTACTTCCGTACACGTACATACACGTACGGCGCTTCGGCCGTCAGTCAGTTGGGGGAAGTGCGGGTCGTTGTTCGGCGGTCTGGATCGGAAGAGTGGTTTGAAACTCATACTCCAAGTCACGAACGTTGCCTCCGCGCCGTTACCCGGCGTGCCGTCGGATAGAGTCATCCCACGCCTCCCCGCGCGCGCCCGCGTGCGCAAGTGGCGCGTCGCCCGAGCGGGAAGAGCCACGATGCGTTGAGTTACGAACCCTCCCTCGAAACTACGACTCCGATGAAACACGCGAGATCTGAAAGCGCGTGCTCGATCAAAGTTAGGGTTACGACTGAGGACGCAGTGCCCAAAAACGCACGTGATTGGTCGAAATTTCACTCCCGGAGGCTTGAAGCGAGCCCAGATGGGAGAAAGCGCTTCGCACTTCCCCCCAAATAGTAGTACACGTAACTCCGAGATACCTTCGAAGGTATAGATATGTAGATAAACTCTGGGGTCTAGCTAGGTACTGTACCTTATTAGGTACTTTCGTACCTTCGAAGACATCACTTCATATATACTTGTAAACCACGCTAAACGGCGTACTTTAGTAACTGCTGGTACGTGTACTTCCGTACCTTCGTTCGTTCGGCAGCTAGCTAGCTACCTTCGTACGAAGGTACGGAAGTAGTTCTCAAGCACGCGATAGAGCTACAGTATCTCCATTTACACTTCCGGAAGTGCTTCCAGAAGTACTTCCTTCGTACTACTTCCGTTTCGCAGGGTTTAGGGTTCAGTACACGAAAAAATGAGTTCTTCCAACTTAAAGTACCTTCGAAGATAGAAATAGCCCTACATAGACCAGCTAGCTAGCTACCTACCTTCGAAGGTATACTTCCGTACCTTCGAAGGTACTTCCGGAAGTAATATCTACCTTGGTAGCTAATAAGACTACACGTACCTTCGAAAGGTATCTATCTATCGACGTTCCGGAAGTACGTATATAATATAATATACAGCTGTACACGTACACGTACACGTAGGCCCTACTTCCGTAACGGTTGTTGGCCTACGTGTACAGTGTATCTTCGAAGGTACACGTGTAAGTGTACACTTACGGAAGTTTGAGGACTTCGTTTCAGAATTGGGGGAGGTAAATGTCAGCAGTGGGTTTAGGGTCAGAAAGGGGAGACAACTCTGGAACTAATCGGAGGCAGTGGTTCAGAACGAAATGTAGTCAAGAACCAGGAAACAGTCTTTTCCTGTTTGCAGTGCCAGTTCATTCGAGATAAGGGTTTCTGCGTGGCGATCGAATGTCTGTTTCAATTTCAAACATGATCTCATTACCGTGTCAACTTAGACGAATCTCCACTTTCGCCTTCCTTCATCCGCTCAGCAAGCTCCTTCCACGACAGAGTCGACAAGTTATCTTTATTCTTTTGCATCCAGCTTGTGTATGCCACCGTGTCACTCCCGCCCGGGGACATGTAACGCTTCAACACCGAGCTTGCCTTGTTTTCCTCATGTGCCCGAAGCCACTGCTCGTCAAAAACCTCGTCGTCTGCGCCTGAACCGGCAGATATCTCACGCACAAACTCGGGAGTGTAATCTATTTCGTTTTCCTCCGATGTAAGCTTTGCCGAAGGCGCGTTTGTCTCGAAATTAAAAGTCACGGTTGAGCCAGGATCGTCTATGGCCGTCAGTGGTAACAACTCCTTTGTAAATGGCGTGGTGGCTTCAGGAGGCTCAAGGCCCTCTTCAAGTTTTCCGGAAACACCTGACTTAGTATTAACCTCCTGTACTTTCTTATCTCCAAAGTCAAATGCACCCTCGATCGTCACGAGGTCAGTCTCTTCAGAGACGACCGACGAGCCAAGAGAGTTGAACGCCTTTCCAAGAATAGACACGGTAGAAGATTTGGGCGCCCTTGCATCCGCCTCATCTTCTCCAAATTCTTCCACGGCAGACTTATCTGCCACTGCAGCATCGGCCTGATCCTCGCATTTTTGTTTAGTGATTCCTCTCTCCTGTTTTTTCAGAGCGCGAAACAGTGTGCCTGTCTCGACCGCTTCAAGACCGAGGGGATCGAAGGATCCCCGGAACGTATCGTCAAAGACTTCTGAAGCGAACGAATCTTTGCCGAAGCCTCTGCCAGAGAGCCAAAACTGTTCGAAGTCCGCGCGTGAGTCGAACGACTTCGCGAAACGATCCCGATCCTTCTTGAAAACGAGGTTATTCGCAATCAAGAACATCATCGCCGAAGTCATCGCTGCCTCGCCCCCTATGTTCACGAGTGCGTTCGCGAGATCCGCATCTGCAACGAGTCCAGCTACCCCCAATGAGCCGATAATGGCCCCTGTTGCAGCTCGTTTCTCCGAGTCGGTGAGCTCAGGGAGTTGTGGGACATCAAACTCGGGGAATTCATACTTACGCATCACGGCGTTGTGCTCTGCGGTCGTGACCGCTGTCAAGGAAGCGGCATCGGCGTCTGCCTTCTTTTTCTTTATTATCGTACCATCCACACCCTCTATTTCTGCGTTCTTGAATGCCAGGAATGCTGCCTCTGCCTCGCGTTTAGCGAGCATCGCGACTGCCTCTGTGGCGGTAACTACTTCGTTCTTCACTTCCTTCGCACGTTCAACCGATTTGAAGGCAGTCACTGACGAGTTTTTTACGTGCTCCTGTGCCTGAGCATACGCCACTACATCATCCTTATCTGTCGCTTTGAGCTTCTCGACTGCGGCGTCAGCAGCCATCACTGCATCTGCCGCTGTCGCGGTGGCATCATCAAACCTCGCCTGTGCAGCACGCATCAGCATGACCTCCTCGGACAAATCAATGTCGTAAACAGTGAACTCGGACGCATCATGTGATTGCATGTTATCTACGAGTGATTCGACCTCCGCCGCAATGAGGTCCGCTTCGATCATTCCGCTTGATATCTCACCATGGAATTCTTGTCTTGACGCGTGCAACTCAACGATTTTGCTTGGGACAGCCTCTGTCATCGTAACTCTCACGCCGACACCGACGTCATAGCAGCAACCTGGAGCGTTTAAAGTGCACACGTAGTTACTACCGTCAGGCCATGCGAGCCAACCGCTGGATTCATCTACTGTCACGAGCTTAAACTCGATTGAGTTTGTGTCGCGTTCGCCAGTGAATATAGCCTGGTCGGGAGCAACTTCGACGAACGCAGTCCAGTTATCTCCGGGACTCCACGTCATTTCTAATCCAGACTCTGCGTTCCATCCACCAAGCTCGATGATGTTCCCGACGACTATGAGTTTCTCGCCGTCGTTCAGATGTTTGTTCACAGCGAACGAAATGAGTGTTGGATTCGCGTTCACAAACCGGTCATCGGCAACCGCTGCTGCCAGCTCATTTTTGGGTGTAGGTGGTGAAGTGGGTGGCCGTTCAGGATCAGACCTTTCCTCTGGCGCGTCGACGGTCTCTGATGCGGTGGCAACCGTGGGGGGTTGATGGTCCACCCTTGGCATAAGGTTCCCATTTTCGTCGAGAGAAAAGATAATTGGCGCAGTGTCCTTTGAAGAAATCGCACCAGTCTTCTGTGTTGCGTCTGTATCATATCGATGCACCGCTGCCTGAGATCTGGCAGGGCTAGGCACCATAGAAACTTCGGACATGGGCAGAATAACTCCCGAGTTCACGGGACTGCAACCGGCGCCTAAAATTTCCACTGACACGGTTCCGATCCAGCTTGAGTCTTCCTCTGTCGGGACGACTCCGTTCGGGTCACCGCATGCCAAACCAACGTCTGCAGCGAAGTTTTCATTCGAAAGCCAGGCGTGAAGAGGTGCTCGCGCGTCTGTCAGTCTTTTCACGCGTAGTTTTTCGCTCTCACATATGATACTCGATGTTCCATTTCGATGGTCAACTTTCACTAGTTTGAAGTCAACCCAAGCAGCAGCAGAGTTTTCATCTAGTGCACCGAAAACCGAAAACGCGTCAAATAGTGCAGCTGCGCTCCATACGTCCCCGTCAGTCCATGTCATTGGGACGATGCGTTCGGTGTTCCATCCCCCAAGCTCAGGCAATGAACCGACAAGGGCGAGTGATTCCCCAACTTCAAGCTTTGAGGTCGCGCGAAACACGACAGTTGCAAGAACTTCTTCACCTCTTAAGACGTGATCGACCGAGATCATCTTGCTCTTCAGAGCTGGCGCGGAGACAGCGTTGGAGTGAAAAGTACCAGAGTTTGCCAGGGTCGATATTGATGCGGAAGACGTAGTGTCATTACAGTCTTCGGCCCCGTCTGGAAAGTAGAGACTATCAAGTGGTGGGAGAACAAGATCTGGACCTGGGGACCACAGGTCGACGCGGTCGGCGCGTCGCACGACGACTTTGAAATCCCCGACTGCAGCCTCAGGAAGGGCGACAAGTCCGCTCCAACTCTCGTCACCATCAGGTCTGTCATCTGATCGAATGACCTTGTGCAGCTCTGCCCCGAGCAGAGGGTCCCAGTCACCGAGGAGGTCCCCGGCACCGACGACCACAGCGACGCCTTCGATCCCGTCCCACTCTCCTCGCGGCATGGGAAACGTGAGCTTGACGACGCGGTATGAATCCGAAGCGGTCTCTCCGGGAATCCCCGAAGTAATAGACGAGGCCAGAGCACGCCCGCGGTGGGAAGCCACGTTGAAGACAAGACGTGCGTCGGCTACGGAGCGTTGCTTCGCAATCGTGGTTTGTTTCGCGCTAGATTTTCCGCGTGCGAATGCGAAAGTTGTGAAAGAGACTTGCGGGGTGTTCGCATGCGATGCCATCCTATAAAAAAATGCGCGAAATACAAGTCGTCGCCACGTGTGCGCGATCGCAGCGGGACGTTGGTCCCGACAGGGCGTGTTGCTCTGTGTTCAAATATCAGACGAATCGATAAATTGCATTCATGTCTAGACTACGAGTACACCTACGTGCGTGTACAGTAACTTGTACGAAAGTACTTTCGTACCTTCGTACGAATGTAGTACACGTACACATACAGTAAAACGTACGAAGGTACTTTAGTACTTTCGTACTTTCGTACTTTCGTACGAAAGTACTTTCGTACTTTCGTACGAAAGTACTTTCAGGGCTGCCACAGAGGCACGACTTCAAGCAAACCTTGTCCTTCTTTCCATAAATAGAGCACGGACTCGCTATTCAACGCGGGTATGAAGGTCGTCAGCTTGTTTTCCGGCATAGGTGGTCTCGACCTAGGTCTAGAAGAAGCCGGGCACGAGGTCATCATGCAAGTAGAGAACGATCCTCACTGCTTGCAGGTGTTACAGCGGCACTTTCCTGGAAGAGAACTTCGTCGCGACGTAGCTGAGCTTTCAGACCTTCCTGCAGGAGCGCAATTGCTCGCTGCAGGATTCCCGTGCGAGGTCCGGCACACTTCTTTCCTTTTCCCCGATTACCACGTTATCTGTTGCCTTCACAGGACGTCAGCACGATGAACCCAAGTCGGCCAGGTCTCCGAGATGGTATGCGCACCGCACTGTGTTCTCATATTTTTCGCCTGCTTCGCAGAACTCGCGTGCCTTGGGTTCTCTTGGAAAATGTTCCGGGCTTGCTGACGTGGCATCTTGCCAGTGATCCACCTCAAGAACCTGCGATAGCATACATCGTGCAAGAACTAGAAAGTTTGGGTTACAGCTGGGCCCACCGCGTTGTCAGCTTATCTGCGTTTGGTTTACCGCAGCGACGCCGTCGCGTATTCATCGTCGCTTCTCTCCATGGCGATCCTCGAGACGTAATTCTTTCGACAGAGAGCATATGTAAGGGACAGTGCATCGATGTGAGCAAAACAGACGGTGACAAAAGATCTGCTGCTGAGTGTTATGACTGCTTCATGACACCTCCGCATGTCACACCAAAGATATCCGTCACCTGTGTTGACCTTGCCGAGAAGCGATTTTGTCCGCTAGCGCATGAAATATGCACGTTGACTGCGTCAAATGGGAGACGTCTGTGCATGGTGGAAGATCTAGGTGAAGGTAAAGGTCGTGCTTTCAGGTTTGAGGTCGAAGATGCCGAGCGGTTAAGTGGCTTCCCAGTTGGTTGGACAGAGCCTTGTTTCCCTCTCAAGATACCTGGCCGTCCGTGGATGAGAGCGGCCAATACTCAATCGAGCTATATCAAACGAATGGAATTGCTTGGCCGCGCGGTCTCAGTACCGCAGGCTTACTGGATAGGGCAACGACTCATGAGCCCTTATGAGATTAAGTTTTCCCGAGAATGTGAAGGGGTGAAGTTTTCTGAGCCAGTTCCCAGGCTTTCGAGTGTTGCGACAGAAAGTCACGAGAACGACACTCAACTTCACGCCTGGCCTTCAGCAGCATGGAATATCATTTCTTGCCCCGAAAATATCGAATTGTCCACTACCCATGACCCAAGTGGTTTATTATGGCGTGGCAGACGAGGCCTGCCTCGCGTGGCAGAGACACCAGAGATTTGTTCATTTACCCCATTGGGCGAATTTCTGTCTTCAGCACCACGTCAAGAAGTCGATCCCGATGCACTTTCAGGGTTCGTATCGCGTGCTGTGGAACACGGCATAAACTTGGATCCGTTTGTCTCCCACGCCTTTGGGATACGTGTTCCCGCCACGCCACACGCCAAACAAAGAAAGTCACCGAAACCCAAGGTTTCTGCAGAGCAAACTGAGGGTGAGCATGCCGGGAAGGTTGTTTGGATCCCCACAAAAATTAGCAAGACGGCGTGTTTTTGGCCTGGAATCGCTCTGCATCTGGACGAGGATCGAGACGTTATTCCAAGCTACGCGATAGAAAAGATAAAGCCCGGTCAGACGTCTGATTCACATAGAATGGTTGTATATTTCGCAGAGGAGTCTTATGAGTGGATGAATAAGGATGGAATACTCCCCTTCTGTGAGTATTTTGATGAGCTTGAAATGCAGCCATTGCTTGCATCAAGAGCGAAGTATAGAAAGGCAGTAGAGATGGCTTTGGAGTGGCAGGTCAATCAAGACAGGGCTCTTGAAAACGTGTATGATATGCGTTTACGTCAGTTGCACGCTCAGGAGGCAGAAAAACTTCGCCGGAAAATCGGAAACTTGAGCGAGATACCGCAAGCGACTTGCGGTGTGTGCATCTTTTGCCAGTCGAAAAAGCACGAGTCGCAAAACAGTTCATTCAGTGAGCGACACATCCCACGAGCAAGCACTCGACAAAAGAACCGTTCGCCTCTGAAAGGAGTGCGATCAGGCCATGGCTGTCCTCAACTAAGGGTGGGTATTTGCCGGTTACTTCATCACTCGTGCGTTTACTTATTGCGCACTGCTTGCAGGTACTCTCAGCGGCAAAGAAAGGTTCAATCGGCGCCCAACTTGCCTTGCTGCGAGAGAAAGCAGTGGGCCGGCGTATAGAAATATATTGGCACGTTGATAGGAAGTTTTATCCCGCGACTATCACTGCTTTCGACAACCAGAACTACTTACATCGAATTGAACACGACGACGGTGATATAGAAACCGCAGCAAAGCTTTGGGAACTACGCGTTAAACTTTTGGTGAGTGTACCTGCTTCATAGAATTTTCGCTGACTCTTCTCTGACGTGAGCCACTTGGTATGTTCAGGTGCAAGACGAAGGCAAAGAGGCACTTCAAGGCAGTGCGTTGCGGAATATCACCACAGAAAATCCTCGAGAATGTAAGCGCGCGACAGGGGTGAAACGGTTATGTCCCTTTGGATCCAGGTGACTTGCTCGCAAACAAATCCAACATGACTGACTCCAACAACCGTTGTCTCTGTCGTGGCAGTTGGGTATGCGATTTTTCGATACACATGCCAGAATTCGTGCTCGGAAGGACAGCTCAGGCTAAGGTCCAGAAGGACAGTTGTGAGGAATTCAAGCTACAAGGCACGTGAGTTCGTATTTTCCGTAGCTAGACTGCGATCTTCCAAAGGGGTACAGATTGCGTCAAAAATAGCCTTTGTCACAAGGGGTGAAAACGCGTTACCTGCCAACCTGTGGCCGATGCTCAACTTGGCATGCGGAAGGCTGGAAACCTTGAACCCAAGACAAGAGAGTGCCTCGGCGGGAGTACAAACCCTGGCTTCCTTGGGATGGACAACGCGTCCTTGGAAACCATCAGGTCTGAACTGCGTCGTAAAAGAACAGGCTGGCCTGTCTGGGTTTAGACGCCTGAAGATGAGCTGAGCAAACTTTTCTGCGCCCGAATTCATATCAGTCTCTGCACGGCTGATGGGATGTTTTTTTCTGATCTTCGCTCTGATATTTGCGTAGCATGCATTTTCATCAATTGGAAGCGCATCGAGTAGAGCTCTGACATTTTCATGTTCTTTCCGCTCAGCGTGAAGATCACCAGGTAATGACGCATCTCGTGGTGGTGCTGTTGGAGACCCTAAATCACACAGCACCCTTCGTAACGTGACCGGTGGAAGTAATTCATCGTCATGCTCGTCATATGCGCTCGGTTTACCTTTCGCAAGAGCCCAACGCACACCACTGCATTCTGGCCGACCTACTGAAAAACACCGATGCGTTGGTCTCGGCGGTGGAGGAACAGGAATACCTCTTCGTGTTGCTACCAGCACAAAACGAGTTCTGGTGCTGGCTGCCCCAAAGGCACTGCACGACAGCAAGTACGTCTGCAACTGATATCCTGTCATGGCCAGAAGGGCTAGCAGCGTACAAAGGTGTTCTTCATTCCGGCCGGATGTAACTTCGGGTACATTTTCCATTAGGGCATATGCTGGCGTAAATTTCAGCACCGCCTGTCCCCAATGTCTCAAATGCCAGCGCTTTTCCTTTGATCGGAGACTGTGGTGATGTCTGTTCATGTTCGAGAATCCCTCACAAAGGGGAGAACCGGCGATGCAATCGAGCTTGCATTTTGATATAAACTCCAGTGCATGCTCAGCTGAACTTCCCTTTCGACAGAAGTGTCCCTCTGCACCAACCAAAACTTCCACCTTTTCATTGATTATCTCTGCACAACCTTGTAAATAGTCCTTGGACACTTGCGCAACTTCGCTATCACTTTCGACTGCCATGCCAAACTTCAGTTTTCCACTGCGACGCGCACCATCGAGCCAACAACCAATGCCACTGTAAAGTTCGCATACATTTAGGCCCGAGCTGTCGGCCAAGGGGTGATGCTGTGAGCAATTGTCCGGTGAGATCACATCAAGGATGTTCTTGGGCAGATCGATGAGAGACATGGATTCCACGTCAATGGCCATGGGAACTATTGCAGCGCAACCTTTAGGCAATTCCCAGTCCCGGTTGTATCCAACATGGGTGGCCATCGGGGGGGTATCGATTGAGCACAAATATCGCGGAGGTATGTCCATTTGACTGCCTGTTAGCAGGAAAACGTTCTTTTTAATACATGCTAAGGATCGCTGGAACAGAGGCGTTGAAGCAGCGTGCACAACTTCAAAAACCTGGTCCGAATTAACGACAGGAAGGTATAATGCATAGCGCAATTGGAATTCTCCATCTTTGAGCCAAGAAACGATAGACGGGCCTTCTTTCGCGGATAATAATTCCTTCATGCATGGTGACGCAGGCCCAGTCTGGCCATCAAGACCCTCCCATAGGCGACTCGTGAAAGAAGATATCTTCTTATCACGATAAGCTTCGTCATGACAAGAGCTGCAGAACCACTTTTCCGAAGCGCGTGCGGCGACAGTGTCACCGAGACATTCGTGATGATACACGGTATCACACCTATCACACACCAGGCCGTCTCTGTCGTCAGCTACACCACAAAGCATGCACGGTGCCTGCACCCCAAAATTTGTAAAGTCAAACTGTTCTCGACACTGAAGGCAGTGCCAGTCATCGTCAGGAACACAACTAAACGGTGGTTTCATGCACGACAGATGAACAAGCTTATCGCAGACTTCACAAACCAGGCCTTCGCCTGCGTCTACAATACCGCATATACTGCAAGGACACGTTTCATACGTTTCAAACGTGACGGTTCTCTTTCGCTTTTCGTGCGTTGGGTCGAACCTGCCTGGTCGGGATATTCCTCTCCTTAGACCGTTGATCTCGCGGCATGTTTCTCGGACGACTTCTAGTGATAGCTCGTCCTCTACACTGCGCGGGTTCGGGTACGCTTGAATGCACGTTGCGTCAGAATCACGTCCGACAAGCTCGCGGCAGAGATAAGTATCACTGCTATCGTCAGTAGAACTAAGGTCGCTTTGAGATCCCTCACGAGGTCCACCGTGGAGGTTTCCGAATGCCAAACGTGTTTGCTGTGCATTTGACTCGCTCGAGAAGATTGAGTGGCACCCTTGACGGGTAGACTGCTGGTTTTGGGCCATTTGTTGAAAGGTCAAACACGCAGGTCAACCTTGCGCAGGCCACTAAGCTTCGGTTGGATCGTCAAAAAGATTTTGGCGCCAAAAATCAACAGTGGTAGTTTGAAGGTATACTTTTTCTTAGTGTCTACAGACCAATTTTGATAGTGTGTTTGAAAACAGCTTCAGTCAGTTCTTTTCAAACAGGTTCGGTGGAGGGTCTGTGGAGATAGGGGTTTATTTTTATAGCGAACCCCAAATTGGTCTAAATTAGACATAGCTCCTACGACTTCCACGACTTTCGTCAAGCGACCCCAAAAGTCGTGCTGTCTCATTTTCGTAAGGCTCCTACGACTTCCACGACTTTTACGACTTTTTTTTAAGTTAATATTTTCAAGGAGAGGGAGGGCATAGGGGGGGAGGGGGGGAGAGTGTAATAAGTCAAAAAAAGTCGTGGAAGTCGTGGAAGTCGTAGGAGCTATGTCTAAATGACGGAACTTTTATTCCACGGGCGTTATAAAAAGTCGTGGAGGTCGTAGGAGCTATATCTAAATCACGGAACTTTCGCGAAATGGGAACAGCCAGTTCAAGCGATATTTACAAAGGTCTCAAACACCCGTCAAAATCTCACAGAAGTTCCCAGAAACTTGCGTGAGGTTTCTATATGGTTTTGTGAAGGTCTGCCGTAGGCTAAATCTCACAGGGTTCTATAGAAGTCCATGAAGGTTGCGGCCGCGAGGGGTCTTCAAAAAGGTCTCAAACAGGCTTCTTAAACAAAGCCTCATTTTGGAGACTTGCGTAAAGTTATGGGCCTTTTAGACAACACGCGATAATACATTTAGTCATTTAGACCAAAATGAGACCAAAAACTACCTGTAGTTATCACGTTGTGCTTTAAATAACCAGCGGTCGGTCGGTACCAGTCGTCGGGACATTTCTCCGGAAGCTCTCTGCACACAAAAAATAAATGCGATCTCCCGAGACATCCTTCGAACCCCTTGAAACGCATGATAATCTTAACTGATTTCCATGAAACTTCGCACACAGACCGACAATGGCCGTGCGCGCCAACCCTAAACTTTTCGCGCCCCAAAAACCCTAAAGGCTTTTGCGCGACGGGAACATGAGACCTTTGAGAAACCCGCCTGACGAGACCTTCTCACCTTCTCCTGAGATTTTAATTTAGCGATGACCGCGCAGCGGTCATCGTCGTACCTCCGCTTTTTTTGTGTAAAATTAGGTTCAAATTGTATATTATTAAGGGTGAGTGAAACGAACCTTGACCGACGCAGTCGGTCAAGCTTAATAGTATCACACTATTTCACCTAATTTTACACAAAAAAAGCGGAGGTACGTGTACGTGTACAGTACAGTACATGTACGGAAGACTTAATAATACGGAAATAGATATTCTATTTTCGTATGATACGAAAGTACTTGTACTTTCGTACTTTAAAGTACTTTCGTACGAAAGTACTAATGTACTCGTATTCAGGAGTTTTGGCAGAGGAGTAGGGTTTCGCGCGCGGGTGTTCGCGCGTACATTTTTGTACATGTTTTTAGTCACGAGTACGTTTTTTACGTGGCTTTTTTCGAATTACGTAGAGGACTACCTAACGTATTGTAAAGTTCGAATTGTTGCCGCCGACTCGAGTGTGAAAAACCGACAAAAGCCTCGCGATGACTTATCCTCACGACTCGCACCGACCTGTAAGAAAGGATAAACTAACATGTAAACACGATTCGTCCGGCTTGCAAAATCTACACTTCACGAAAAGAACTTCATGCTCGGAAGGACCGGGCTGAGCAATTAACTTTCGACGCGAAGTTGACCCGTTTGCCGGGAACAGTAAAAAACGCGAAAGCTGCACAGTGAACCCTTCACAAGGAAACGACGCAGCCTACTTCGCCATCATCATCTTCACGAATTCATCGTAGTTAACTTGGCCGTCGCCATCAACGTCAGCTTCGCGGATCATCTCGTCCACCTCCTCATCAGTGAGTTTTTCCCCAAGGTTAGTCATGACGTGACGAAGTTCCGCAGCGGAGATGAAGCCGTTGCCGTCCTTGTCGAACACTTTGAATGCCTCCTTGAGCTCTTCTTCGGAGTCGGTATCTTTCATCTTACGAGCCATGAGGTTTAGGAACTCAGGAAAGTCGATCGTGCCGTTCCCGTCGGCGTCGACCTCATTGATCATGTCTTGAAGCTCGGCTTCTGTAGGGTTCTGCCCGAGGGAACGCATCACGGTTCCAAGCTCTTTGGTTGTGATAGTGCCGTCGCCATCTTTGTCGAAGAGGGCAAAAGCTTCTTTGAACTCTGCAATTTGCTCGTCTGTAAGTGTGTCGGCCATCTTGAACCAAGGTGCGAACGGAAGTGTTTCGCGCTCATTTTGTTCGAAGTCAACGGAAACTAATTTTTAACGTTGTACGTGTACAGTACAACGTTGTTGTACAGGTGATGTACAGCTGTACACGTGTACAGGTGGTGTACAGCTGTACACGTAAAACAGTTGTACAACCGGTACTTTCGTACGAAGGTACGAAAGTACTATCGTTGTCTGTATAACATAAAAATGTTATCTACATACTTCCGTACTATTATGGAAGTACAACTACTTTCGTACTTTCGATAGTGCATGTACGGAAGTACTTTCGTACGAAAGTACGAAAGTACTTCCGTAGTTGTACTTCCGTACATAATAAGTTGTTTTAGACTTAGACTAAACGGTCAAGCTCGGGTTCAAGCCGATGAACCGTGTACATATTTTTTTTGAGTGAGACTGATTTGCATACACGAGATTTTGTACATAAAAGCTACGAATCCGAGATTACAGCGCGAGACATTGATTTTTGATTTCAAACATTAATATTTTTTATCTGTACAATAAGTACGACATATCATAGCCTTGCCTTATCATACAGTACAGTAGGTTTCCAATTTTCATTTTTTTTTTGGTTTTGTTCGCCGGGGAAAACCTAAAAAAGAAGCGCATCGCCGTGATCACCATCATCAGGGCTCATCGCGGTCGTGATTTCGCGCACGTTTTCGTCGGTGTTATGGAGCTACACGCGCTTGAAGTTGCACCTCGGTCAAGTATCCTTGAAAAAGTCGCGATGAATTCTATGGTTTGATTAAGTCATCGATCAACGCTGAAAGCAAAAAAAGTTGAAATGGTAAGAGCGCGATTTTCTGACTATTTCTCGAGCAAAAACGAGTACGACGATAGAATACTTCCGGAAGTACGAAAGTACGAAAGTACTTTCGTACTTCGTACTTTCCGTACCTCCGAAGGTACAACTACTTCGTATGAAGATAGATAAATGTTCGATACAACTCAGGGCTACGTGTACTGTAGAATATCCGATACGTCGTTTTTGAAACCATAGCTTCATATTCATAGTGTACGTGTACAGCCTGTACGCACGTGTACAGCTGTACACGTACTGTCGCGAGTGCGAGTGGCTTATTTCCGCTTCAAAGAAGTACCGGTGCACCACTCTAACGACTGGAAGCCATACTCACGGGTACAGGAAGGCTCAATATCGGAAAATATGAAAGGCATCGCCGTTGGCCTCCAGAAAGGTCACGTGGTTTCCAAGCATGAGCTCGCGGCACGCCCGGCTCGCCGCAAGGGGGTGCGCTTTCCAACAACCAATTTTGCTCGGGTTTCTACACGCGTTCTGTTATCTTACGTGTGTTCCACAGAGGCTTGGAAAGCGTGTAAAAATGATCCGGGAGCTCGTTCGCGATGTGGTCGGCAACGCTCCATATGAGAAGCGGCTCATGGAGCTATTGAAGGTGGGCAGAGATAAGCGAGCACTCAAGCTAGCAAAGAGAAAGGTAAGCGCTAACGTTAGGGTTTCACGACAAGCGCCGCCGTGCACTAGATCCTTCGTTTCGCTTTTATGGTCGTTTTAGCCTTGGCAACATTCTACTCGTAAAGCTTCCCGCATGGTATCAACCGTATGGGTTGCCTGAAGAATACGCCCAGGCATCACGTATTTCCTCGATAACGCCTCTTCTCTCGTTGAAAGCAAAAAACAATTTACCTTGCGAACTGGGAAACTACTTGAGGATTCTATTTATCTATCCTAAAACTCCGTATTTTTTGCAGCTCGGCACGCACATTCGAGGCAAGAAGAAACGCGAAGAGATGGGCAATTTGTTGCGTAAAATGTCTCGGAAGACCGCATAATGGAAGTCTTAGAAGTGGATTCGGGGACTCAAGCTAAAAACTGCACTTAGTGTTGAATTTCAACCAAACTTAATTCGAGTTGGGCACTTTTTCATTCCAAAAAGAATTCTGCCGCTACTTCACATTTGCGGCGAGCGATTTAGAATCAGTGCTCCCCGAAACAGTCGATACTAACAAGGATTTACACTTCCAGCTTAATTCACTTTTATACTTGGCTCACTGATCAATCAAATCAGACTTAGTCACTGAGTAACTTGAAAACTTCGACGAAATAATCAGAGATATTTCAGTTCAAGTCAGCGCGCATCCTGAATTCTCTACTCCTGTCCTATTTGAATCAACCTTTCATGAATGTCGCGTCACCGAGAGGCATCGACTCAGGCTGATTCAGAGAATGTCCGTTCATTGCCTGGTGAACACATTTCCAAGACAACCCATTTCTTACTAGCTAGAGTACAGTACGGAAGTACGTTCGAAAATAGTGTACACGTCCACGTACACGAACAGTTATTTTCAAAAACTGCATTGTTATTCTAAGTTGAACTTCGTATAAATAAATAAACATTTTATGTGTACACGCACGTGTAGGCCCAAGCTGGACAGAACGTGTCGTTGTACACGTGCACGTGTAGCACTTCAAATTTCAATTCCCAACCTCACTACGAGTACAACGTTGCAATCTGACAATTCTGAACCGAATGGTTCATAGCTTCATACGAAGGTACAGTACACGATACACGAGAACGTCGTTTACTTCCATAGATCCTTGCGTAACACTCGTTTATCGATACCTTCGAAGGTACTTCCGGAAGTATGATACTATCGTACTTCCGTATCTATTTCCGTTCTTCAAAACTACGTGTACTATCGTGTACAGCTGTACCTTCGAAGGTACATAGCTACATACAGTGTTGTGCGTTGTACGGAAGTACGAAAGTACCTTCGAAGGTACTTTCGTACTTTCGAAAGTACTTTCGTACTATTATTGTACTTCCGGAAGTACGTGTACTTCCATTACTGTACGTTGTACACGTACAGTACGTATCAATTTTTGGCGAAATCTACAATAGACTCTGCAAACGGTGATATGATACTGTACGTGTACACTGTACAGCTGTACTGTACACGTAGCCCTACGGGTACGTAGTGCAGTACGGAAGTACGGAAGTACGAAAGTACGTTTGTACTTCCATAGATACGTACGAAAATAAATATCTATCTTCGAAGATAAGTTGTTTATTGTACAGTACGTGTACAGTACGTGTACAACTACTGTATGATATTATCTTTTATTCTATTCATAACAACTTTTATTTCCGGAAATAAATAATGATGTACTTTCGTACGAAGGTACAGTACATTGTAGTACTGTATGACTGATGTATGTGCGTGTACTTTACGTACGAAAGTACTTCCGTACGTGTTTGGAGCCGTTGTAAATATTTATTGGAGCCGTTAAACGAAATCTGTGGCACGCTCGTGATACGCCCGCCGCGCCGCTGAGTAAAGTCATTGATAGAGCAGTCTAGTCTTGCACGTCTCAGTGTCAGGTTAACAAGAGTTTATTTGAAAAAGTCAAAGGATATCACCTGCAGCTGCCCGAAGAAGCCGCATCAATCAATTATTTTTCATGAAAATTGTTTTCTGAGAACAAACGGAAATCGGACTCGAATACAACAGCGCGACCACAGCAAAATCAACACTTCGAGCGTTTCGAGGTCCGCGATCAACGCGCGTCTCTCGGTTGAATCCCTCTATCTGCCTATTCATGCATAAAATGTGGCACAGAGGCTGCACGAACCTATGTGCAGCGAAACAAATCTGCCCGTTAGGTTTGATCGACAGCAGAAACACGCGTTTTTTTCCTGTGGCTTCTCAACAAACTCGAACGCGACGGCTAACCTCACATACCCCCGACTTCCTTCCTCATTAGAAACAAGCTACAAAGAGAGTCACGTTTTGAAAGTATCAAGTGAGGAAGCCAGGGCATAGCTTCAAGAAAAAGAACACCGACGAATTCGGCAAGTTGCGAGAAAGCAGAGGTGTACAGAGTAAATGGAAGAGATGTTGGACGGAGAGGGGTCGAATTTCGAAGATAACACGAACGATGACCCCGATCTCGCTGGGATTAATATGGAACACGAGGAGGAGGCATTTGAACAGGAGCCCGAAGGCGAGAAAGCGAACCACGAAGAGGCAAGTGGGCAGGAAGGCGAGTCTTCGGCCTATCCCAGCGAGCAAGAAAACGATGCTGAAGAGGAGGCGGCAGACGTCGTGGCGGAAATTGGATCGGACAGATTTGAAGATCGACCAACAGCATCTCCGGAACGTCCCAATAGCGTGCCGCACCTCAAGCTCACCAGTAAGAAAAAGAAAAAAACGACCTCTTCTGAAAAGGAAGACAGTGGCTCGGACACGCTGCCGTTTGAATCCTCTTCCTCAGAATCTGAGTCGGAGAGCTTTGATCGCGACGAATTTCAAAATTGGAAATCTCGTACACGCATCGGGACTGAGAATCGATACCCCACACGCAACATGCACCGTTCGTCCGATGAAGAGTCCCTCACTGATGGTCTGGAAAAGCAACGACAACAAGAAGGATTACCTGCGAGATTTGATGGTAGGTCTGAGTATAAGTCGCTTGTGAATGAAGTCCAGGCGTACGGCGAGACACACAGAGGCATGGATGGTAAGATTCATAGAAACGAAGACCTTCCCGTGCGAATGGCCTTTGAACACTTGAATTCCCTAAGCGGAATGACTAATAAAGTTCAGGATGCTATAGACCTCAGTCGAAACGTTTTTGAACGCAAGGTGGTAAAAATGGAGCGTGGGATTCTTTTCAAAGCATGGCGCGGCTGGTTATTGGTGAACGCCGGTCAATCTGCGAAGAGGAACATTTTACAACGCGCGCTGTCCAAAATGCGTCGGCGGAAACTCTGGGCTGCTTTTTCAAAATGGTCAGAGATCACCAAGAAGGCAAAACGTGGAAGCACCATGTACCGTGCAATATGCACAGTGATTCGGAACGGGCGCAAACGTCGGGCATTTCACGCGTGGGCGGAAGAAGCTGCGGATGGAAGACGCCGGCTTCGCATGGTGGCGCATAGCCAGCGAATGAGGGAAGAGTACTTCGAGTTGCTCGTTAAAGCCGGTTTACGTCAAGTCATTCATAAACGAGTTCGTTCAGCGTGGAGTGCGCTACACCAGTTCTCTGGGAAACGCCGGGCGAAGAGAAACAAGATGCGGCAAGTGATACGACGCGCGACGCACGGGAGAGAATCTCGAGCGCTTCAGAAATGGATCCACTGGAACTTTGAAAATAAGCAACGACGCGCCAAGATCAGACACATCATTATTCACATGCGAAAGTCGAAAATGGCGCGTGCGTTTGAAAAGTGGAGAGCAGTGTATCTTGCCAAAAAGCGCGTGTTGATGAAGCTCGTGCAGGGAACTCTTACTAGGGCATGGGCGAAATGGTGGTCCAACATCGTGCTCTTGCGCAAAGCTGCACTCATATTCTGCCGATGGAAACATCGAAACTTATTTTCTGTGTTAAATTGCTGGGCATCCATTGTGGAGACGAGGGTCTTGCAACGTAATCAGTGTGAGCTAATTTGTTTACGCGTCGGGAATCGCATTAAGCGCAGGGCATGGAAACAGTGGATATGGTGCGTTGAGGAAGCCACTGGGTGCACGATGGAGCACGTCAAGGAACTTCAAAAAGAAAATGCGCGTTTACGTAGGGACAACGAACGTTTCGTCAGGTTAGTGGATTCAGGCGAATGGGGCCGTGGCCGGGTCGAGGAACTCACTGAGGCGGGCCGCGTCTTGCGTGCCGAACGCAGGCAGCTCGAGGTATTGATGGAAAAGATCACGCTTGAAAAAGAAGAGACGGCAGGCTTGAAGAACCGCATGCTTTCTGGTAATTTTGTACAGCGTAACAAACTGAACATCGCTGGTGGTTCTACGTTTAATGCTTTGCAACGGGTCATGAAACAAGATGTACTCGATAGCGGCGCGGTAGGACGATACCCGGATCAACTCAAGGCAATGTTCGAGGTCCCCCGAATGTCCTTGGACACAGTTACTGTGTTTCCTGATGGGTACCTAAACATCCAGGCTGATAATTCGAGCTCGAGGATGGAGCCCTTCGCGAAAGGGGACACATATTCTGAAAGTATGACTGATCAAGAGCAGCCGCAGCCTGAGCAAGCATCAGTAAACTTGGCTCAGCGCCGAAACTCCAGAGACAAAGTTCTCATAGATGCACTTTCTAGTCTGTCTGCAGATGAGGTAGACGCTCTTGAAGATATCCTACGTCGCAGGCGGTCCTGAAGCCTATCTAACTTACAGTATTACTTTGAAAGTACTCTGAGCTTACAACGATTCCATCGCGCAAGAGTTTATATACTTCTCGTCAGCGCTGAAACTTCGCCATATGGGTTGAAAGTTTTTGTTCGCCCCGATAAAAAAAACTGTTTTTTCCTCTCCTTGGACGTGGCAACGGCGACCAGCGGTCGCGGAGGCAGGACGTCGACACGTCGGTCATTTACCGATGCAATCGCTTCATCACGCGCGTCGAAGACCCGCGCGCATCGCGCACGTCGTTTCCGGCGTCACATCCCGCCGTCGTGTACCGCGTCGTTCCGTATGACTTTTTGGTCATGACCACCTCGGTTGACGATTTGCATTTTTTCCAGACTAAAAAGTCTCGTGCCCGAATACGTCACATTTGCCCGGAAGGGCTGCGTAGTCTACGTGTAGCTATGAAGGTAGCTAGCTAATAGCTAGCTAGCTAGACTACTACCATCGAAGGTACTGCACGTGTAGGGCTACTTGCTAGTCTCCAGGAGCCCCGCAGCAATGTCGAAGTACTGTAGCAGTTTCGACCTTTTTTGGTGCTCTGACCTTGCCGCCTCGTCGGAAAAGATGATTAACCCTATTATTCGCCCTCGCGAGTTTTTTCAGCGACCCCCAGTCGCTTTTTCTCGCTAAGAGAGTTTGCTCGCAGTCGTACACATGTGTTGCCCTGACCGGAAGAGCACCATTATTCTTATAATGCTATGTACGTAGCTACGTACATACGACTACCTTCGTAGCTAGCTAGTCTAGCTATTAGACTAGTACGGAAGTACAACGTAGCTAGAATAGGATGGAACTGGAGATATTCTTTATTTCATGATATACTTCCGGAAGTACCTTCGAAGGTACTTCCGCCGGAAATACTTCCATACGTGTACGTGTAGTCGTGTACGAAGGTACTTTCGAAAGTACGAAAGTACGAAAGTACCATTTTACAACTTCGAAGGTACAGTACGAAAGTAAGTTGTTTACTTCCAGAAGGACTTCCGTACTTCTTTATCTTTATCTTCCGTGTATGTGTACAGTAGATAGATAGCTAGGCATTATTATTACGAAGGTATGTAATTATGTATTATCTTCGAAGATATCTTCGTGAAATAAAGTTACGAAGGTATGTAGTTGTTAGTGTGGAAAGTCTGTGGAATATCTTCCGTAGATACTTCCGTACGAACGAAGGTACTTTCGTACATACTATCTTCGTACGGAAGTACTTTCGTACGAAAGTATCTATGGTTTGTAGGACTCAGCTTAAAAACTCAATCAATCATACACCTTATCACATCACATCACATTAAAAGTTGCATTCAAATCGAAGAACGCTCTACCTCATTGCGTCTCCGCAGGCCAGAAACACCCTCTTTTGATACTTATATCCGTGTCGGTTCACCTGAAGACGACTTGAAGATGACGGTAACCAACTTTTTTTCTTGTTATTTTTATGCTCTGACGAATATTTCGGCTCAGTATTACGAGCTTTATCGCAGGTCCACACTCGGCATGACCCTGACCGACGCACTCGACGAGATGGTGACCAATTTTGAACTCACTCCATCGGTTGCCATGAAAGTTCTTGTACAATTCGACAAGGTACGTGTGGTTCCCTGTGCAGCCTTTACACAACTGCACGTGAGCTCACCTTGATTCTTCTACACCATACAGTGTATGAGCGAAGCTTTAAACCGTGTGAAAGCGAAAACTACATTCAAGGTGGCACGCGCTTTATTTTAAATGTAAAAAAATATCCACATTTATTGAACAGGGGAACCTTGGAACATATCGTTTCTGCGACAACGTGTGGACTTTCATTCTCAGTGACGTGACCTTCAGTACATCTGGTGCTGGTGGTGAAATTGCCACCGCAACCCTAGACAAGCTTAAAATAGTTGCTTGCGACGGAAGAACAACCTCAGATGTGTAAAAAACGTGATGTTAGAAGAGAGTGGTTAAGTAGAGAGTGTTTAAGTTGAACTTGATAGTTTAGTTATAAACATGTATAATATTATTGAAGGTGCTTAACTTTATCGCTTTCTTGCGCGTGGGCTCGTACAAAAGTACTTTCAGAAGTACTTTCGAAAGTACTGTCGTACGTTTTTGCGAATTTAAAACGAATACACTGCCAAATTTGGTACTCTGGCCGGAGGGACTGTAATGACTGAGGGTGACCTTAAAGCTGTGTAAGTGCCGTGCGGGGCATAATTTAAGAGTATCATAGTCTTATATGTACATTAGAGAGCAGTGAGCAGTGAGCAAATCTCAAGTGCATAAAAAAAGAAATGTAAATCCATTACCGATTCCTCAACCGCTTTCGAGCAGGGGTAAGTTGCTGCGCAGTGCGATACATCTTTCGTTGATGATTAAGAAAGGCTTCTTCAACAGCTTCAATGTACACCGGGTCTCGATTCTTGGAGAAGACCCTGACCTTCCGCTCAATGAAACTGCTCGGTAACAAAGCGCTTACCTTGCTCTTATCGATATGAAATGAATTTTCATCTGTGTAATCCTGGAAAAACTTTACTGAATCGACAGGATTCTTATCCTTCATTGCGTAGTCAATTTTCATGTTTTGAACAATTATATCGTTTGGTTTCAATCCTCCCGGTATGCGGTTATGTCCTTGGCAGGATGAGATACTTACCTCTGTGACAGGTTTGAAATTCAGGATGTCTTCTTCAGGAACCGCATATTCATTCACATAGTGATACAGATCACGTGAGCGGATCCGGCGGACTAGAGCCCGGGCATGCTTTAACTGAGGCTCCGCTGACCATTCAATCCGCTTGAGAAGGCTATCATCGAGCTTGATAAACTGTTCAGTGTTCCAGATGGCACTGGATATTTCATTGTCCCATATGACGTCAGCTTCAGTGAGAGCATCTACAACCTGAGGGATTGGTTCAACAAAGAAAGAGAAACTTAGTTGACGGAACGCGAAGTAGAACGACGGCCAATTTCACGAGGATAATCGAGCGATACAGATATGGACAACAAAAAAAAAGTGATTTTAAATGGGCCCCATCATACCCTACTGACAGGGTCCGAGCACACCAAATAAAAGCTCCTTAATTTGAAAGTAAAGCACTCTCCTCTACAATGAAAAGTATCGTGCCGTGGTTTCCTTACATGTACTCGATTGCCTTGGCTTTCCTATGCGTGTAAACTTTCTGATGCAAACTAGCGCGAGTATGGAAGAGTTCATAAACGTTGTGAACTTCACTAGCCTTGAAGCATATTTCATCATCAATCACCTTCATGAAGGACACGAGGCGTGAAATGTCAGCACTCCCCTTGACACCAGCATTATGAGAATCTCGCATCAGGTAGTCAAACTTATCGACATCAACAGAGTTACGCTTGTTTGCAACTATGTCCCACAGAAAACGTTTCCCTGTGATAGCATTGCTGTCTTCACTTGTTATGAGCCCACGAACGCGCTTCACCACGTCTTCGCCTATATCAATGTGGTTTTCGTCCACCATCCACTCAAACATATTTGCCGACATCACTTCGTGGTTCCACAGAGGGTTCTTTCGATCCCAATTCGAGTAACGCCGCGGAAGAAACTCATTGTCAAATACGTGACTGAACGGACCATGGCCCAGGTCATGACACAAACCTGCAAGCTGTATTGATATCTTGTCCACGTGATCAAGGCAAGCACTGCCGCACTTTCCACTGCTACGTTTAAGCGCCTCAAACATGTTAGTGGCCAGATGGCATGTTCCAAGCGAATGCTCAAATCGATTGTGCGATGCACCAGGAAAAACATAGTATGCAGTTCCGAGCTGTTTCAGCTCGCGCAGTCGCTGTACTTGGGGCGTGTCGATTGCGTCAACAACTAGACCTGGAAAATACATGTGGCCATGAACAGGATCGTTGATTATTTTCCCCGAGCGCGTGCCTCCACAGTTTCTGAAAGCTTCTTCTACTGGAAATGTTGGTTGTTGGTGCTGCAGTTGCGAGAGTGTGACAAATCTGTCTTCTTCACAGTCACCGAGGTCAACCTCTGCTGGTGGTTGCTGTGATAAAAATGCATGCAGACACGCTCCAGGTATGAGGGACTTATTAGTTGTTGTATCATCGCTGTGTATAGCCGGAATCGTCATTTTTTCACGGGCACGTGCAGAATGCTTGCTCTGCTCCAAGCAGAGCTGATGCTCTGCAGGGTGCCGCTTGAGGTGTGTCAGTAGATTAGCAGTACCACTACTTGGACCACCCCATTTTATTGTACAGCCGCATGGTCTATACGAACCATCAGTTTGTGCAAGCTCTACGAAGCACTCGATGTTGTGCCCCTTCGCATTGACAGGGGTGAAACGCTTCAGGAAACTCCACACGGGCGAAGGTTGCTGTCCGGAACGAACTGGAGGTGGAGAAAGATATTCCCGTTGGTTGTTGGGACAAGTCTCGTCTGGACTGCCTTTATCTGGCGCTTCTTGACTTCTCCCTGCACCAGAAAGTTTGACTGAGACGGCCTTTACCTCTGCACCCGTTGCTTTCATACTCTGAAACTACCTCACGTTCTTGATTCGAAAAAAAACACTTTGATGCCGTTCGATTGGCGTGCACGGAGATCCTCAACCCTAGGCACGGCTACGTGTATCCTCAACAGTTATATTTCAGGCCTGACCTCTAATATAAGCGCCTCCGGCGCTTCGGCCGTCGGTACACCTTCTCCCAAATACTGTACACTTTTCGTGAACGACCTACTCGTCGAGGCCGGAAGTAACGACGTTGTACACGTACATACGTAGCTTACGTACAATAATACACGTGTACACGTAAACTTTATTTAACCGTACACGTACACGTACAGTTCACGTTTTACAAGGTTGTCCATACTTGCTTACCTTCGAAGGTATCTATACAGTACTGTACGTTGTACATACAATAAAGTTGTTTATTATTCTATCTTCGTACGAAATTTATTGTACTTTCGTACGAAAGTACTTTCGTACTTTCGTACAGAACTGTACACAATGAATACGTGAGATACAGTAGTAGTTTATGATCTCGTATCATAGCCCTACGTGCTGCAATAATAATACTTCCGGAAATAGATACTGCTTTATCAACATACCTTCGTACGAAGTACGAAAGTACTTCCGTACTACAGTACGGCTACAGTACTGCCATCCGAATCAGTCGATATTCCGAGGAGACTAATCGGTACTTTCGAAGTACGAAAGTATTTCCAAGGAAGCGTTTTTCTCTTTTTAGACCCTGTTTCTCTTCACTTCTACTCAGACTGTAGAGTGTGGTGAGTTTAATATTGATTGAACAACAGCACGGCGCGAAGGGCGAAACACCCCCCTTCCGCCACAGCTCGTGTCCCGCATCGGTGATACACTCCCGATCGGGCACGGCTGCTTCTACTGTTCTCCACTCAGACCGTTCCGAAACGGTCTTGTCAGATTCGTCACTTCGTTGCTCCCAGCTCTGTGGCTTACTAGATCCGGCATTACCGTGCGCTTACTTGGATCCTATTCGCCCCAGGCCTATCCCAGACTCCACTATTACCTTTCGGCACATTCGCGTATTCTGTGATTGTTTATCTTGAACTTGACACGTTGACCCTTGTCACCTCGCGATCGCTCATCGCCTAGGTTCCTGATTTGGTAGTACTATGTAGGATGTATTTTCGTACTCCGTACGACTTCGACTGACTCAGATCGTGACATGAGTCGTACGTGCACAGTACACGTACGTGTACAGACAAGAAAACAGATCTACGTGTACACAGCTGCACACCGACAGACAAGTAAATAAATATATTCTATCTTCGAAGGTACAGTACAACTACAGTACGTGTACACGTACTTCGAAGTACGTTTAGTTGTACACGTGTACTGTACTTCCGTACTTCATTCCAAAAATAGTACCTTCGTACAACCGTTGAAGTTGTACGTGTACAACGTTGTACGAAGGTAGTACGTGTACACGTACGTGTACAAGTACAGTAAGTCGAAAAAGTTAAGTTGTTTATCTTCGTTCGTACTTTCGTACTATACGAAAGTACGAAAGTACGTACGGAACGAAGTACGGAAGTACGAAAGTACGAAAGTTCCGTACGAAAGTACTTCCGTAATAGTGTACGTGTAGTTGCAGGACTGTTGTAGGCAGGGCACTACTGGCAGGGTTTATATTAATAGACTAATAAATAAATAAAGTACTTTCGTACTTATCTAGCTAGAACTAGCTATCTTCGTACGAAGGTACGTACTACGTAGCGTATGTAGTAGTACCTTCGATGGTAGTTTAATACTGTTTAATACGTGTACACGTACGTACGTGCACGTTCGAAGTAAGATACAGTAAATCTATGTCCGTACGAAAGTACGAAAGTACTTCCGTAGGCAGGGCTACGAAGGCATACAGTACGTGTAGTACTTAACACGGTTTATTCATTCTATCTTCGAAGATACATACGGAAATAGATACGGAAGTACACGTACTTTCGAGAGTACTTCCGTACTTCCGTCAGGTACGAACGAATCGAAGGTACGAACGAAGGTACCTTCGTACCTTCGTACTTCCGTCTGGTATGCACGGAAGTGCTTTCTATGGAGCCGACGATCGCGGCTTCTGTTTGAAGGGTAGACGATGGCTACCTCGTCAATCAGCATTGCCCTTACACCAGCCTCCGCTTGCCCGCATGCACATCCACGTCGATACCCACATCGACGGCAGGGTTCATCCACGATATCCTTGCACCGCCGCTCCTTCTCCTTGCTAGCGTCAACAAACCGCTCCAACCCTGACGTACCGTACCAGGTCCTGCGTGTGACGGACACCTACGAGCTGCGTATTTACGCCGCGTACTACGTTGCATGCGCCCCTTATAGCAATCGTGAGCAAGGTATCGCATCATTAATGGGATATTTAGAGGGCGGGAACGAACGCGGTACAACCTTTCGGGCTACGCAGCCGCTTGTCATGCGCTACGTGCAAAATCCAGAAGACAAAAATAGCGTTGGGATATCCTCTAAGACGATGGAGTTGAGCCTCGGTAAAGGCGTCAACAACCCGCCTTTGTCAAACCAAGAAAATGTTACTGTCAGAATTGCGGGTGGTGAGCTCCTTGCGGTGGTGCCTTTCACAGGCATCGCTACCCCGGAGCTGACTGCGCGTTGGAGAGAATCTCTAACAAGTGCGTTGATCGCCGATGGTATAACGCTAGCAGAGCCAGGTGCCTTTCGGCTGGCAACGTATGGGCAGCTTTATTCGCTCAAACCGCGGTTGAACGAGTTGATCCTACATGTGAAACTGCCAAATTTGTGATGACAGATTGTTCTTTGGGATTTGGAACCCATACACGGAGGGTGTTGATGCCTTGTGACAGGATGAGTTAGAATGCACTGCACTGCACATGACAACAAACGTACCTTCGAAGGTACACGACGTGTGGGAACATCCATAATTCTGGAAGTACCAGGAAATTTTCCGCAGGTACAACGAAATATGAAGGTGCCGTGAACAATACAGTCCACTGTATACACCTACTGTATGGCTTACCTTTGAAAATACTTCCGGAAGTTCCTCCGTACACGTTTTCAGGAGGTCAATCGCCTCTGAGCAATTTTCTCCGTCATTTCCAGATCGTGTGCTAGCTCGTTTCTATTTCAATGAGATCGAATCGAGCGTACGACGTCATCGTAGTACGAACTGGATTCAAACGAAAGGTAAAACCTGACGTGGCGATTTGACCTTGGAGTGGCTAATGTACTCGTAGAAAGTCTCTTATCTTAGTCTACAAGTACGTGTACAGTATTTCCGGAAGTACTTCCATATGATATTGTTTTTAGCCCTATGAATACACGTGTACTCGTGTAGGGTTAGATAGCGTTTTATACTTCTGTATGTACTTCCGCAAACCATAGACTATGGTAACATATTAAGAATATCTAGTAGACGACGAACAAGCGAGTGCTGCAGAAGAATAAAGAGATTGTACTTGACGTGTTGGCGGGCAGGGAAGTGGACAAGGACGCAAATGCGGGCATGGATAGAACGCGTCAACTGATGGGCACTGCTCGACTTTCAATTTTCTGAATGAAGTTGAAGTGCTCATGAATCAGCCCGAGTAGTCCCAGTTGTAGTATGATACTTCCGTATTTTATTATTTATTTATTCATTTCTTGGCTGACTGACTACGAAGGAAGTACAACGTACGGAATTGCTTTCGTACACCCGTACTGTACACGTGTACACGCAGTGATAGTGACTACCTTCGAAGGTAGCTGACTACAAAAAGCCTCCCTTTCAGAAGGTCGGGGATCCTGGGATTAACTCAAGAAAACACAGTTTACAGTTCTCGACTCGCGTACTGAGTAGTGAGTACCTTCGAAGGTAGCTGACTACCTTTGAAGGTAATAAATTCGCCAAGTAGGCAGATATTCTAGGGCTACGTGTAGCTGTTTGGGAGAAGGTTTACCTTCTCCCATCTAGGGTTTTTTCCGGACCTACGTAAGTACAGTACGTAGCTACGTACTACGGAGGCACGAAAATTTCAGCCTAGCAAATGCGTTTGGAGCCCCGTATGCAAAAACGTGCCACGGGACCTGACGATGAACTCTTCCGATGAAAACCACTTTCAAACCAATACACGAACTTTTGTATTTTTCATACTAAGTACGTAAGTAGGCTGCCGCGCCCTGCCCCCTTCTCCCAACTACCGACGCGCATCGGAGGCGCTCATTTCCGGTACAAATCTACAAAACGTGTACGAAGGTACTTCCGGAAGTACGAAGGAAGTACGGAAGTTACAGGTAAATGATAATATTTCCGTACCTTCGAAGGTACTGTACGTGTACAACGCGTTACGTGTACTAACAAATAGTTGTACGTGTACGCGTACAGTAACCGACCCGACGCACGCGACTTGGGCTCGACGAGTCACTGCACACAAGAGAGTCCTCCTCTTGCTCGCTGATGTTCGCATGTTTTGCCCGGATGGGTAAGAGAGTGGTTAGAGCTCAGTTTTTTTGTAATAAAATCTACACGTACGTGTAACGCGGAGTCACGTACACGACTCGTACGCGTACTTCAAAACTACGTACGAAGGAATTCTATGTACTTTCCTCCGTCCAGTAAAGGTACGGGTCTCGGTTTATGGTTTATAGACCGTCATTTCGGACTCGATGCGCGAAAAATTTCGCGGTTTTTGATGCGGAAACGACTCGCAGGCAAGGATCGAATAAAATGCTTCAAAGCGCGGAGTTTAAATATTGATAGGCGGATACGGCGCAACCGAAACCCGTACTTATACTGGACGGAGGAAAGTACGAAAGTACTTTCGAAAGTACGTACGAGTACGTACTCGCTCGTAGTTGTACAACTACATACACGTACTACGAAGTAAGGTACGAAAGTACGAAAGTACTTCCGTACAGTAGTGTATGTCCTAAAGGTAACTTCTATGGTGGGTTCAGTTTACTGGCGGCGTGCCAAAGGGCTTCCGGCGTAGCCGCCGAGCGCACACGGGCACACTCGTATCGGGCGGAACCCTGCGGCATAATCACCCGCGCACTCTAAAAATAACTTGGTCCTTTGCTCATTCCCTTGTCGCGCCCTGTTCACCACGCGTGTTGGTAAACCCTGATCGGATCGGATCGTCCACCGATTTTCGCGAGCACGATGGGACTTCGGGACTTACTCGGAGTGCGCCGTGCGCCGGAAGTGAATAAAACACCGGCATCCGCATCCTCTTCATCTGGGTATACGACACTGAGCGATGACACGCCGAGTGCTACCGGGAACAATGGCGGTGTTTCAGACCTCGAGCCCTTACCTCCCGGGCGGTTCGGAACCCCCTCCGCGATGGCAGGCGACCTGAGTAAACTTGGTGAGGGATCGGCGCAGATGCCATACAATCCGTACACTGGTCTTGGAGGACCCTTCGACCCGAACATGTCTAAAGCGTTGTATGCTATAAGCGACTCCCCTGAGTTTCTGTTCGACGAAGAAAGGACGATGAAACGGAGGTCTTGGTCAGAAAACTTGACCTTCCTGACAGGCGCAGGGTACCTGGGTGGGTCCCTGTTTGGCGGCGCCTACGGCGCGTATCTCGGCTTCAACGGAACCCCAGCCACGGAGTTGCACGATACGACCAAATTGAAGCTGAATCGGGTACTTAACTCAGGTGGGGCAAAGGGAACAGCGTTAGGTAACGCGTGGGGGTGCCTTGGTTTATACTATGCTGCGATCGACTCCTTTGGTAGTAACTACGTCAGCAACGGCGTAGGGCACGATTTTTTTGTTGCACTAGTCGCGGGGGCGGGAGCGGGGTCATTGTACAAGAGCATGCACGGGTTACGTGCGATGGCAGTATACGGCGCGTTTGGCGCGGGGCTTTCAGGTATAAATCAGGTCGCTCAAGTGCTACTCGGAGGGGAAGGGCCAGGAGGCCGAGGAAGGGAGCGGTTTTGAGTAGGGCAGAATCTTGCAAGCGGGCTCGTCCTTTGATTTCGTAATATCACGTCGTCGGCGCTCGTACCTTTCACGTTTCTACATATCTCATCGTTTGCGATGGCAGAGACCCTCTGCTGTGTTTGCACACGAGCACTCAGTCGTTCACTTCCAACCTCACTCATATCGAAAAGATGCTCCGTGACGGAGACTGTGGGCGAAAGCTAGCATAGTTGCCACCACCGCTGCCCTGCTGCCCAAGATTCTCACGAAATCCTTTAAAAGGTCGAATAGTTCGACCGCCGCTCCTGAAGCCAGCAGGATTTCTGTTGTGGTCTTCTAGATGCGTACGGGATAGCGACGGCTTGGAAAAGCTTGACCAGCGTCGACAGTTTTGTGTTGTGCCTCCGCCGTGAGAACGATCGAGGGAATTACCGCCCTCCGTGGTCCTGAACGTCGAGTCAAGTCTTTCATTCCCATCTCGATCGCGTCTGTGTAAGCCGCTAGCAGCATAAGACTCTGAGATAGAACGTCTGAGCACGTTCTCAGCTGGTGGCGGCACTACAACCTCGGGGCCACGTATGCCATGAACGAGCAGATCATTCATCGCGGCTTCTATTCGGTTCTTCTCTCGACTCTTCACTTCGTACTTGTTCTGAAGTTCTTTTTTGTCCGCCTCCAGGTCCTGCGAGTGTTGCCACAGCTCGTTCTGCTTCGTCTTGGCTCTTTTATATGCGGAGTGGATTTCACACAGCTTGCGTTTGTACCCTTCTTCGTTTCTTATGGCGACGTCCGCGGCACGTCGGTGAGCTTCACGCGATACCTCCTCGCGCATCGCGCACCAATAATCGATCGCAGCACATGCCGCGCGCATTATATGATCGGGGCTCATCCCGATAAGCGCATCAGCGCCGTGGTCCTGAGGTGGGTTAGCGGGCACTGCCTGCGAGGAAGTGGGGGCGAGTCATGGGTCGGGCGAAAACTGTGAGAAGGAGCGGACAAGGCACGTCGCTCGCCTTCATGTCCTTCACAATGGCGCCGCAATGCGCACACATACCGCTGTTAACCACACTCGTCGCGTCTTCGTTGCCTGGAGCGGCCAAGGGGGCGAAGAAATCAGTCGGCGAGGAAAGTGAGGACGACAGAGTGGACAGGGAGGAACAGGGCGTCTGCGCGTGCTCACAGAATTGGTGACCACAACGCGTGATATACACGTTGCCTTCGTCCACGTCACGCCAACACGCGTTGCAGACGTGCATATAGCGTGCGTATCGGCGGCTCTCGACGTGAAAGTTGGAGGACTGGCGTACGGTGAAAAGATCACGGCGTTACAGTGCCGCAGAACTTGGGCTAAACTTCTCCACCTTTGAACCGAATAAAAGTACACGTAGTATCATAGTGTAGTATTCTATTGTACACGTACCACTACGAGTCCCATACATAAAAAACGTACGAAAGTACAATATTTTTATACGTAATACAGTACACGTACATACAATGCTACTTTCATGTACGAACGAAAGTAGTAATACGAAAGTACTTTCGTACGAAAGTACGAAAGTACTTTCGAAAGTAGTTGTACTTTGAAGGTACTTTCGTACGAATGTACATACAGTAGATAAACGTTGTACAGCTGTAGACCGGTTACGTGAGTGTTACCTTCGTACATATGTAGTAGTAGTTTGACTACAATACGTGTACACGTATGTACTGTACACTTACTGTACATAATAGACTACAACGTATGTAGCTATGTACTGTATCGGATCATTTATGGAAGTGTTTCGCGCGTTGTGCGTGTAAACGACTACACGTACAGTACGTGTACACGTGTACGTGTAGTCGTGTACATAGTGAACAACTCACACCGCGACGATGTACGTGTACAAAAGTACGGAAGTACGGAAGTACCACGAAGTTGACACGAACGAAGCAGTACAACACACGACTACAACGTTGTACAACTACACGTACACAGCAACCACACCGAACCGCAGCCCTACTGTACGTGTACAGCTGTACACGTACTTCCGGAAGTATTCTATACTTTCGTACCTTCGAAGGTACACGCACGTACGTGAAGGTACACGTACTGTACGTGTACAGTGTACACTATTATTTCCGTTGAATAAACGTGGTGTACAGCGAGCTGTAAACTGTACAGCTGTACATGTACAACGTTGTACTACTGCACTGCGCGTGTACGTGACTATAGAATACGTGTACAACTACATACAGTTGTACTTTCGTACTTTCGAAAATACTCAAAGTATCATACGAAGATATGTACTGTACCTTCGAAGGTACTTTCGTACGAACGAAGGTACGTACACGTTCAAGTACGTTGTACTCGACGCCCAACGACATACTTTCAGCAGTCTTTCAGCATCTATCTTTTGTTCGCCTTTTTTTTCAGACCGGTTCAACCCTGCAGCGGCCGTCAATTCGAGCCTATTTGCGGCGCCGAGGGCGTAGTGCAGTATCCATCCGTAAAAGTGGTTTGCACGTTCTTGTTAAGTGAACGAGCTTCAACTTTGCATCGAGGGTGACACTATGCGGATCATGATCAAAGGCGGTGTTTGGAAGAACACAGAGGACGAAATCCTGAAGGCGGCAGTCATGAAATACGGCAAGAATCAATGGGCACGCATATCTTCGCTCCTTGTACGGAAATCCGCGAAACAGTGCAAAGCGCGTTGGTATGAGTGGCTTGACCCGTCAATAAAAAAAACCGAGTGGACGCGTGAGGAAGATGAGAAATTGCTGCATCTCGCTAAGCTTATGCCAACACAATGGCGCACTATCGCCCCGATTGTTGGAAGAACACCAGCACAATGTCTTGAGGTAGGAAGAACAGTTCGTTTATTTGCCCACCCAAGAAGTATCCCTGCGGCTGCTCACTCCTTTTTACTCTTTTTACATTACCCTCGCTACTGCAGAGGTACGAGAAGCTTCTTGATGCTGCGTGCCACGGATATAATGATAGCGAACTTACCGATGACCCACGTCGGCTGCGGCCTGGAGAGATTGATCCGAACCCAGAGTCAAAACCTGCTCGTCCTGACCCTGTTGACATGGATGAAGATGAAAGAGAAATGCTCTCTGAAGCACGAGCTAGACTGGCAAATACCAAGGGAAAGAAAGCAAAACGTAAAGCTCGTGAGAAACAGTTGGAAGAAGCGCGCCGCCTTGCATCCCTACAGAAGCGACGGGAGCTGAAGGCTGCAGGGATCCAAACAGTGAAGCGGGCAAAGCGTGTAAGGGGAATGGACTACAACGCAGAGATACCTTTTGAAATCAAGCCTGTGCCCGGTCCGTACTCCACTGATATGGAGTTTCGAGAACACCTGCACCAAAGCAATGTTTCCTTTGCACCTTCATCACTGACAGAATATGAAAAGCCTCACAAGAAGGATCTCGAGGATCAGCTGATGAAAGAGGATGTGAGACAACAGCGTAGTCAAGACCGGAAAACCACTCCATCTGCAGTCCAGCAACTACGCGCCCTCGTTGTATCAAACACGGGAAAACATAAACGCAAACTTGAACTTCCTCCACCTAACGTGCATGTGAGTGGTCTCGAAAATCTTATCAATTTGGATAGGCCTGAGTCACGGTTCATGGGAGGCAAAAATTCACTAGTTGATGCACTCGTGTCGCTTCACCACGAAGTGCCAGCCCAGTGTACGAGTAACTCGATCTCAGCTTCTGTTTCGGTTGAAGGTCAGCTGGATTCTACTTCTTTGAAACATAGTGGAAGGCCTACTGTTCCAGATAAAATTCCAATTTATGATACTGCTCGGACAGAACTTGAATGTTTTCACTCAGAGAATGCTTTCTCTGAAACACCAATTCGCGATACCCTACAAATTAATAATGTTGATGTCTTGCAAGACGAGCCAGTCTTTAAAACAAGAGACAGGATGCTGTATGATCAACTCAGCGATAGACTAACTTCGTTGCCTGCTCCAAACAATGATTATCACGTTGTAGTTCCGGATATCCTGAAAGGAGGAAAGCATAGTAGCAAGTTGGCAGAAATAGGGACATCTACATCTGCTGACCTGGCGCCAAACACTACCAGAAAATCTCTTCATACTACTGAGACCACACATCGTTGTCTTCCGAAGATTTCAATTGGTTACATGGGGGACTTTATTTCTCGTGCCGATGTAAAGTCAACCAAGGCGAGCGCATTGATAGCAACTGAGCTGGCCGATATTGTTCGTCACGATACTGACCACGGGAATTATGACTTAGAATCAAAATTCACAAAATATGATGAAATTCCAGGATTTGGTGGAGCTGAAATAGCTGCGGCTTCAGAACTCATCTTTCGGGAGGCCACCTCCTTCGGAGCACTACTGAAGGGTGAAAAGGAGATGGAGTGCTCACATTTGCATGCGTCGTGTGCTCGCACAGCTGATTCTGATGATGTGAACAGAATCATTCACCTGGCTTCCGGGAAGTTCTTTGACGGTGTATCAGCCTTTATTGCGGAACATAACCGTATTCAGGGCTTCATGCTGTCTGATTCCAGGCTTGCCGCGAAGCTAGAAAGTAAAGTTGGACGTCTCATTGCTGGTCATGTGAAACGAACTGGCAAGCTTAACGAAAAGTTAAAAGCTACATGCTCACTGCTAGCCGTGGCGAAGGAAGAGTATTTATCGTACATGCAACTCGAAACTCATGAGGTCAAGATTTGTACTGACAGAGTCTATATGCTGAGCAAATTCAAGGCACTGGTGGAAATACGGGAGGGTGAACTTCAATTGCAGTTCAGGGCTTTGCTTCACAACGCTTAAGCTGTCCATCCTGGATTTTTATAAGCGAAACTCTGCAAATTAAGGATACTCATGCATTTTTTTCGAGAGAGGCTTCTATTTTGACTTTTAAAAAATATTGTAGAGCCGGGTCATCTTCACTTTGTCAATTTTCAACTTTATTGTACACTGTACCCATCACTGTACTCAAAAACTGCCCTGGTACTCATACAATTATTATCTCTCTATTTCGAAGAAAACCTCAAAAATAAAACGCGTTATGTGCCCTTCCTGCCAGTTGATCGGCGTGCCACACGATAAAGGTCTGAATGCTTAGAGTTTCGTGTCCTTTTACCCTTTGTCTGAATACCCCAAGGAGTACTGGATGGCCGGCCACCCGAGGTCCGACCTTCACCTCCTCCGTGCGGGTGGTCTACAGGATTCATGGATACTCCTCTAACAGTAGGACGCACGCCGAGCCAACGCCTGGCACCGGCCTTACCCAACTTTCGATTTTGATGGGAACGATTGGAGATTATGCCAACTGTGGCGTAACACCGGGCTAAAACCAGACGCTGTTCGCCTGAAGGCAACCTTACAACAGCATATCCATGATTGCCTTTCTTTATTAGAGTGGCGGCTGCACCAGCGGCGCGAACAAGCTTACCACCTTGACCCGGACGGAGCTCAATGTTGTGAATCACAGTCCCAAGAGGCATCCGTTCAAGTGGCATAGAATTGCCGGGCCGAATTTCTTGGTCATCATTATCAGCAATAATGGTGTCCCCGGATTTCATAGTATCAGTAGCAAGAACGTACACGGGACCTTTATGGCCCTCATGTCTCACGAGGGCTATTCGCGCAGTACGGTTTGGGTCATACTCAACGCGGCAGACAGTACCTAAACTTCCGCGCAGTCTGTGTTTGTTGAAGTCAACCACACGGTACCGACGTTTGTGGCCACCACCCCTGTGCCAAACTGTGATTCGGCCAAGGCGGCCGCGCCCACCTGTTTTCGCAATCCCGCGTGTGAGTGGTCTGTATGGTTTTCCCTTCCAGAGCTCAGTGCGCACAGTGATAATGCGACCTCGCTGACCAGGACTCGTAGGTTTACATACCTAAAAAGGGGAAGAAATAAAACAACTGGCTGAGGAAAGTGGAGTGCAAACTTTGAAACAGAGATAAGTCGCTTCCACCACAGTAGCAGGTGTGTGGGCATGTGAGGTGAGATATGACCCTTGTAAAAAAAATAGACGTGAATTTGTCTTGAAGTTTAGCGCGTTCACCTTCAGGGTATTTTCTACGGTCCTATCATATGCACGTGTAAGTCTTGGTCTTCGGTGATGGAACGCCCCTGTCCTTGCAGCGAACCTCTCGGCCGCGGTCGAGTTTCGGCTCGAAGGCGTCGAGAAGCTGGTTATGCATCGACTTTTCACGTGTTGAAAGAGGTACGCGGCGGTTACGTCGGCGGAGCGCGCGTGTCTTATCGAACAAGATGAGCTCAGAACAGCTCCCGATCTCAAAAAGACATCCGTCGTTCTGACGCAGCCTAGAAGTGCGGCGGAGTGGCCTTCGCGACGCAGGGGCAGGGACTTGTTACAGTGCAACTGTATAAGCGCACGAGCTCCGGGCAGACTCGACTTAACAGCAACGCTACCGATCCTTGAAAAGTACGTCGCAAATAACATTATCGCATGCTGTAACGGAAAGAGTCGTGTGCGTGCGTGTGTGTGTGTAAACGTGTGTGTGACTGTGGTTCTGTGAGTGCGTGTGTGTGGGGAGAATCACAAAAAGGGGATACTGTAGATAGTGTACACATAGCTGTACGAGTTGCTGTACGTGTACTGTATTGTAGGGCTAGCTAGCTAGCTAGACTAGCTAGCTTGTCTAGCTAGCTACCTTCGAAGGTAGCTAGCTAGCTAGCTAGCTGGATAGACTATCTACTAGCTAGCTAGCTTGCTTGTCTAGCTAGCTAGCTACGAAGGTAGCTAGCTAGCTAGGGTGTCAAAAACGATTGTACGTTTTCGTTCCATTTCAGCGCGCACGTTTGCCCACAAGTACTTGAGTAAAAATCACATCACCGTGTTCATCATCATCAGAGCTCATCGCGGTCGTGATTTCGCGCAAGTACTCCCGGGCGTTAGGGAGCTACGCGCGCTTGAAGTTGCGCCTTGGTCAAGTATCCTTTGAAAAAATCGCGATGAATTCTCTGGTTTGATAGATACATCGATCAACGCTGAAAGCAAAAAAGTTGAAATGGTACGAGCGCGATTTTCTGACGATTTCTCATACAAAAACGAGTACGAAAGTACTGTACGTCGTTTATGAAGTGTTTTTGACACACTGGGCTAGCTACACGTACACGTACGGAAGTACTTTTCGAAAGTACAATGTAGATATCTACGAAGATATAGAGCTAGCTACTGTATGTACACGTAGAGATAGCTAGCTACGATAACAACTTATTATTATCTACCTTCGCTGCGGTAACAACTTTATATTATCTACCTTCGTATTCTAATAATAAAATTGAAGGTAGCTAGCTAGCTAGCTCCCTTCGTACTTCCGGAAGTACGTAGCTAGCCAATAGAATACGAAGGTACGTTTTATTGGCCCTTCCTGCCTACAGTATGCTCATATGAGTCTCATACTGTATGGATGTCTGGAATATCTTCGTACGGAAGTAATTCCGGAAGTACATCGCTAGTCTAGCTACGTGTACATGTACTACAACTCTCGGAAGTACTTCCGGAAGTAGCTAGATATCTATCTACCTTACTTCGTACGGAACGAAGTACTTCCTTCGAAGTTTATAAGATACTTTCGTACTTCTGTACCGAAGGTACTTCAGTACGAAGGTACATATTGGACTAGTCTATTTATTTATGACAGTACAATCTATGAACAAGGTAGGAAGGTACCTTCGTAATAAACAACATTTACCTTCGTAAGTACGAAAGTATTTCCGTACTTCCGAACTTCCGTACTTCGCACTAATGCACTGGAAATATTATGATACGTTGTACCCAAGGTAAGTTGTTACGTGTACTTCCGTATGTAGCTATGATTATACCGATACGAGGTCCTACAGGGGTACCTGTACAATGATACGAAGGTGTAAAGCTGTAAACTGTCAGAACTCTGATCGTAGACGAAGGGGCAACTGAATTGTCAGACGGGTGGAAACCCGACCCTCGGCCAATGCTGATCGGTCAATCCGATCAACCGTAGTACGAAAGAATTGCTGGATCGAATGAAAAAAATTGCCATAATAATTATTTGCCTTGTGCGCTACGTGTACGTGTACAGTACATGTACAGTACACGAGTAGTACACGTACGTGTACGTGATGGGGTAAGTTACTGTAAAAAAACCCTAGGTATTTTGCGATAAATCGTGTACGTGTACTGTTGGCCGAAATTTCCCGGGGTACCGAACCCCGGGATTGCCCCCCCCTGCTAGATACCTTAGGTAGATATCTACATTGTACGAAAGTACTTCCGTACTAGCTTGTACGGAAGTACTTCGTTCAGTAGCTTGTACTGAAGTACTTTCGTACTTCGTTCCGTATTTATCATAATATCGGATAGCTACGTGTACGTGTAGACCATCAGCTGCTACAGTAGATCTAGCTACCTTCGAAGGTAATAGCGAGCTATTGGAAGTAGTGCCTTCGAAGGTACTGTACGTAGCTAGCTACCTTCTCGTAGCTAGCTATCTACGAAGGTACCTTCGAAGGTAGTAGCTAGCTATGATAGATAGCTCTAGCTAGTGGCTATCAACGAGAGGATAGGAGCTTAGAGAGGAAATTTTGCTCATACGCCATCCTTTGAATATCCTTTCTAAGCTCATATCCTTTCGCTGATGTAGCCACTAGCTAGGGCCCTAGCTATTCTATGTACGTAGCTACCGAAGGTAGTCTAGAGCTAGTCAAGCAAGCTACACTACGTGACTACTACGTGCGTGACTCGTCGTGTGGCTAGCACGGAAATAGATACGAAAGTACTTTCGAAAGTACAACGTTGTACTTTCGTACTTTCGTACGAATGTACGAAAGTACTTTCGTACGAAGGTACGTAGCTGGCTAGAAGCTACACTCTTCGGCAGCATGCTGTCGTCTAGCTAGTTGTACTTTCAAAGTACGAAAGTACGAAAGTACGAAAGTACTTGAGTACGAAGGTACTTTCGTACTTTCGTACTTCCGTACGTGTTAGTCCCCCAAGAATTATCGTGATATCAACACTATCCTGGGACCTGCGGAGTTTTTCTAACTCGCCACGTTTTGGACAGGCCTTCTGTTAGGAAAGGGTGCTTAAATTCATTACGGCGTAAATCGGTTTAAGCATCATGGCGCGACGTTTGCAAGGGAGGCAGACGCGGAAGGTTCGAAGGACCCGACAATTACTTTAGTTCTCGCAGATTCTTCTCCAACGAAAAAAATAAACTGAAACCACGTAGGGAAAGAAACCGCAGAAATCATCCTCTCAAGTAACAGGAAATGAAGGCGGACTCCCAGGTTTGTTTCATTTGACTTTTCAGCGCTCGACCGGAATTTTTTTTTGGTTTGATTTACAGGATTCCGGCTCTGAACACTTTTTTGTAGAAGAGAGACGGCGACGCCGATACAAACCTGGCACTCTTGCATTAAAGGAAATCAGAAAATTTCAGAAAAGCACCGAACTCCTAATCCGTAAAGCACCTTTTTGCCGTTTGGTATGGTTTTCTGGCTCTGCGTTCATTCTCATTATCAGTCCCACAACTGTGCTTGTTATAAACCCATTTAAAATGTTAAAATAAAATGACTACAACTCACCTACGCTTCTGTGATCACAGGTTAGAGAGATTTCGAATGAAGTCTCGCCAGAGCCTTTTCGATACACCGCGGAAAGCCTCCTGGCAATCCAGGAAGCAACTGAGGACTTTTTAGTTCACCTATTTGAAGACTGTAATCTCTGTGCAATCCATGCAAAGCGCGTGACAATTATGCCAAAAGACCTACAGCTTGCAAGACGGATTCGCGGCCCCGTTTATGGAGTCTCGGCATACTAGTTTTGAGTGTTTGTATCGAGACAATGTATGTTATTAGCTGTGCCCATTGATAGAGTGACTGCTGACTCTCCATTTCGCTCGACTCGCAACAGATAAAGTTCTTGTGTTTGAGTGCTCACACAATGAACCTTTAAATACAAAATCTGAAGATGGTTACGCTAGTCGACTCGCTTTCAGGCACTTTAATCAGGAAAAAAAAACTACAATGCCCGCAATAAATGAGGTCTAATAACATTCTGAATACAAGTTATCTTGCCTGAAAGCGACACTTTAAAGTCAAATATTTTTATGTTACAAAACACCAGTATTACTCTTCCATGTTTATGCTCACGAACCAAATCAGAATTAAGTATTCCGTCAAGCACCGCGGGCATCTCGTCTTGTTGCATCGTGCAGTATGTCCACATCAACTGCGTCTGGAGGCAGCTGCACGTAGCGTACGACAGAACCACGAATAAAACAACTGCGAACTGAGCTCATGTGCGGATATCGCGCTTCATCGACAACTACAGTTTCTTGCAACTTAATGTTTAAATACTGGTCAACCGATCGCAGTAGTCCAGTGATTGCAAGGTCGTTTTTCAGCTCAACCGTCACCTGTGAATGTATGAAAGAGATATCTAAAGAAAGACTTCAAAAAAAATAGAAATCGCGATCGCACTCAGGAGGAAGCAACAGCAAAAAAAGTGTAGCGCAGCACCTGCTTGCCCATTAGGGTTTTAAAGTATGAATAGAACAGCCTGTGTTGGAATGGAAGGGCAAGGAATTAACAGGCAGGCACGGTAGAAAAGTAAGAGGTAGTTTCGAACGATAAAACGACGGTGGAACGATAGAACTGATAAGACACAGACACGAGGACACAGACTTGGAAGGCGGAATAGTGCAGGTTTACGTCTAGAAAGTTAAAAGTCACGCACATATTCGCAGATTTACATATGCAGGAAATGCCGAAACTTATGCTAGGAAGCGTATTGTATCAGTCGTAGGACGTTCAACAAGTGTGGAGATGTGGTGAGTACGATAGTGAGGCAAGAAATGAAATATTCGAATTTCTATTTCCGTCCGTGAATACGTGTACACGTACACGTGCACGTGTACACGTGTAGGGCTATCAATGTGTACGTTGTAGGGCTAGGTGCTAGGTGGACTGCTGGTCACTATCACTTTATTTAGGGCTACAGTATAGACTATCGAAAAATCGATAACTTATGAGTTGAGATAAGTAAATTTTTTTCAGGTCGAGCGAAATAAAATTGTCGATTATTGAGTCCATATTGACTACGAACGAAGGTATCATATTTAGACTACACTAGCTTGTAGTCAACGTGTAGGAGTCGTGTACTGCACGTAGAAATAAAACTGCTAAAGTTGTTTATTGCCAATAAAAAATAAACACTGTACTGTACGTACGTACGTACGATGAGCTTCATACTACAGTACGTGTAGTTTATTTGTTTCTTCGACGGTGCGGAAGTATTCTATACGTACGCACTGGACATTATTTATAACCGAGCCGAGCACAGTGGCTGTACAGTAACACTTTCTTGTGAGATAAACACCAACGTCTAGCGTTGTAAAACGCAGTTCTCTGCAGAAACTCCGGATCAAACAAAAAAACTGTTTAAATTAAGTATATCCCACGTGTCTTCAATGGAAATATTACTCACTCCGCCAGTCAGTTCAATTCGACTGAGAAGTGGTTTTCGATCGCCACACGCAATTTCAAATCGAGTGGTCGCCTCTCCGCATTCTGCATGGTCTAAATGTAGGGCTGACCGTATTTGCAAGGTGGAATTGATTTCCCGCTTCTTCCACGTTCCTATAGGACAACTTCACCCGTTCACTCGAGAAATTCTGTACTCCTTTCACGGCGCATTACTTTCTCTCCATCTGCTGCCTCCATCAGGGTTTACCATCTGAAGAAGTTGAATGCGCACCCAGCTTTCTTCACATAAACGACCTTGACGAGGCGAGAATTGATGCACTGCTTACCCGCGCAGCCGAAGTCAAGTCAATGCTTGTCTCAGGTGATCGCTCATATCGTCCATTTGAGGGCAAAACTCTCTGCATGATTTTCACGAAGCCTTCTTTGCGCACTCGTGTGTCATTTGAGACAGGCTTCCATCTATTGGGTGGTCATGCAGTGTACCTTGGACCAAATGACATTGGTTTTGGAGGTCGTGAAGAAACCCGGGATATTGCACGTGTTCTCTCACGATTCAACGACATAATCATGGCGCGCACTTTTGCACACCAAGATGTCCTCGATCTTGCGACATATGGATCAGTCTCTGTAGTGAATGGACTTACAGACTTCAACCATCCATGTCAGATAATGGCAGACGCACTCACTATAAAGGAGGCATTTGGGGACTTGCGAGGGAAAAAAATCGTTTATGTCGGTGACGGCAATAATATTGTACATAGCTGGCTTGAACTGGCGGCCGTGTATCCCATCCATTTTGTATGTTGCTGTCCGAGGGGATTTGAACCCGATTATACTCTCACTGTCCAGTCTCAGGCTGCAGGTATATCCACAGTTGAAATATCTCACGATCCTTTTGAGGCGGTAAAAGGTGCTGATGTCATTTATGGCGACGTGTGGGCTTCGATGAATGCCGGGCAGAAGGAAGACGCTGAATCTCGATACAAGGCTTTTGAGGGTTTCCAAATTAACTCTGCCCTTTTTGCCATTGCCGGCCCTCAGTGTAAATTTATGCACTGCCTCCCAGCAGAGCGAGGGCTAGAATGTACAGATGAAGTTATGGAGGCCGAATTCTCACTAGTTTTCCAAGAAGCTGAGAATCGCATGCATGCTCAAAATGCGATCATGATCGAGCTCCTCGGCCTTTGATATGATTTGGTTTCTCAGCGACTCAAAGTGTAAGTAGGCACTCTGAACTCGAAAAGGAAGACAAATTAGTGTAGTCCATATATTGCTCTATTCACAATAGTGTATGCATATGAAGGTATGATAGCTACGTACATATGTACTTCCATACTTCCGTACTAAAAATTAGGGCTAAAAGGTAGCTAGCTAGCTAGCTCTAGTAGTGTACATATCACACTTTCACTAGACTATCTTCAAAGGTCAGTTTTATATGGGTATGTGAATGCCAGGGTGGGCTATAGTAAGGTATAAGTTCAAATTTAAAACAACGAGAACGTACGGAGGTACTGCATGTTTTATTATACCTTCGTACCTTTGACGGTACGTAGGTAGCTACGTACGTACCTTGAAGGTACGTATGTAGTTATTATTTATTACTACATATACATACGCTATATACCTCCGAAGGTAGTAGATGTATGTGTATGTACAGAAGTATATATATATATATATAATAGTACGTAAATACAATCAACTATCTACCGTACACGTACACGTACCGTACACGTACACTGTATTTGGGAAAACATTTAAAATTCCAGCCGCCATCCTGAAAATCGTCAATTTTGTAGTGTTTTATTACACCTTCGTGCGTTTCATAGACGAAATAGACACCATAGGCTTCAGGGGTGATTTGATACTCCTTCACCCTGATTGTATCCCATTCAAAGATATATTCTTTAGGTTTGCAATCAAAGATGTTGTCTTCAATGTCGTCAGCGTCCTCAACATATTTCTTCAAGAAATCAGGGATTGTAAATCTGACATACTTGCTTGGATTCGGTTCGTGAGACGTCAATAGATACAGAATACATAGGGCTAATATTTATTTATTACGAGTGTTGTCTTAAGTTGACATTATTTGCTACATACACTACAGTACGTGTACGTGTACCGTAGGTTTCCAATTTACATTTTTTTGGTTTTTTGAAAACCCTAATGTACAAAAATCACCTATCAACTTCGGTTTTGATAGAGAAGGCCTACGCCCTTTAAGCCGCGAATTAGCGTTGATATGAAAGAGTTAAGGGTAAAATGACCGCGAAGCGATCAACCCTTTAAGCGTAGTACTGTATGTACGTGTACCCCCGGAACACATACAGCAGCCTCTCACCACAACGATATATATATGTCCTACCGAAGGTACGAAATAAATAAAGTACGAAAGTACGAAAGTACGTACGAAGAAGTAAGGTACGAAAGTACCTTCGAAGGTACAATAATAATAATATGTAAGTTATTACTGTACGTGTACGTGCACAGCTGTATGTACACGTAGGATAGGAGCCCTCTTGTGACCCGTGTAGCGCTATTTCTTTATACGAAGGTATCTGAAAGTCGTACTTGCTCTCGACCGCGAATTATCCTGAAGCAAGACTGACACGTATTTAATCGTCAAAAGACCGACAGATTACTGAGTTTCAGACTCAGGGATGACAGGAGAGGTATGCCACGTGGTTGGTCGTATCATATAAATATGCAAACAATTACATAGAATGCCTAGCAAGAGTGAAGAGGCCTCGGCCTCTTTTTGACACACCCTAGTCATACCTGCACTGACTTTGTGTGCTTGTTCTTCGATTTGCAGGCTGACAAATTCGAGGATCAAGAGTTCGATACCGGTCCTCTTTCGGTACTCACCCAGAGCGTCAAGACAAATTCCCAGGTTTTGATCAACTGCAGAAACAATAGAAAGCTGCTCGGACAAATCAAAGCCTTTGATCGTCACTGCAACATGGTGCTCGAGAACGTAAAGGAGTACTGGTTGGAAGTATCCAAGACGGGTAAAGGTGTCAAAAGAACAACCCCCATTCACAAAGAGCGTTTCATCAGCAAGATGTTCTTGCGCGGGGATTCGGTGATTCTGGTGCTTCGAAACCCAAAGTAGAAATATATGGATATTCGTGTTTTAGTTGTTGCTCTAACAACTTATCTTTGATTCGGAGGAAAAAAGTGTGGGGTTGTCGCCTTTCGCTCGCACATGTACCACGTTTTCTGCTGCTCCCTAAAGTTCCTTCATTTTGTTTTGACTCAGTGTTATTAATATTCATCCTTTACTGAAATACGAAACATGATTTCTAAAGAAAGTCCCTGCTGGCTCTTGACTTAACTGCGAGTAGCCAATACCAATCTATCTCGCTGTATCAGAGCAGACCTACACACACACACATGCGCGCACATTATATATTAGTCTATGATCATACATACTATATGATACGAAGGTATGGCATCATATTATGACATATCTACATCACTGCTACGAAGGTACGTACATCGTACACGTGGTGTACATGTCCACTACACGTACACGTGCAACTCACGTGCATCTTGTATTGTACCTTCGTGTTTTATGAAGGTGATGAAATACCTTTGTATGAAAATAGACTACGTGTACGAAGGTACTACGTAATTCAGGGCTTAAAGGGCGTAGTACAGTACGTGTACTCTGTCGCATCAAGGCTAATTCAGGGCTTAAAGGGCGTAGTACTTCCCTATTTGATAAGTGATTTGTATATTTTTAGGGTTTTTATTACAAACCAAAAAAATGTAAATTGGACACCTAAGTGAAGTCGCCTCAACCCAAAAAGCATACTAAAAATATGCCCTCTATACCACACAAGGAAATAAAACCGACTTACATCAACAGCGTGAAACTCGCACGAGAAGCAGAAAATGCGTGGAGATTTGGGACTGGCTATGAATGCGAAGATGACGGCAGGAATGATGGAGTTTAAGGTAGTCCTCTACGTAATTCGAAAAAATCCACCTAAAAAACGTACTCGTGACTAAAAACACGTACAAACGTGTACGCGCGAACACCCGCGCGCGAAACCTATCTTCCCCGCGAAAATATTTATATATAAAAAGGGAGAAAAAGTCTACATTCTCTTCAGTCCTTCATTGGGATAGGAATGACGGAACTTCCACGGTGTATGATATGAATTGCGAAAGTACTACTGTAAGCCTTCATTCGTTAAAAAAAGATACGGAAGTATCTATACTTCCATACACTTATACACGTACACGTACTGTATGTACATATGCGTTGTAACCGTTGTACACGTACGTACAGTACCTTCGTACGTACGTGTACTGTACACCGATAAAAATGACGTAAAATTTCAAAATCAACAAAGTTGCCAAGGATGCCAAGGATTCTCTGAGCGTATCAAGAATATTCGCTTACTATCCTTGTTCTGGAGCACGACCACAATCATGTCCGACGCCCCAACTGTCGCTAACGCTGGGGATCTTATTAATCTTGATACCCTACAGAGCGAGCTTGACAGTGCTCGCGGGCAGGTAAACATCTGGGCTGCACAGCGCGAGTTGGCGTTGAAAGAAGCTGTAGCAACGCACAAGACAGCTATGGCGGCGGCCGAGAGCACGTACGTTGAACTTTTGGAGAAAGGGGAAGATCTGGCATATGTGGCCGAGGAACTCGCGCGCCGGAAGGAATGGGAGCAAGCTGAGCTTGACGCGTTACGGGAGGAAACGCTCCTGTCGTGCGAGCTAGGTGTGGGGTTGCCGCGGCAGCTCCAGACCTTGCGCGAACGTGTGCAGACCGAACGAAGTGAACTCGAGAAGAAAGTAAGAGCGCTACAAACTGAAGAATTGGACAGCACTCAGCAGCTTGATGCGCATCAGAACGCAGTCGAGCTTTACCGCTGCCGACTCGGTCTGCGTTTTGAGGTGGGCAGCGACGAGGAGCTCAAGTTTTTCTTCTCACACATTGACCCAGGCGATCGAAAGCGAGAGTTTTTTGTTGCTGTGCGGGCGCTTGACGGTGTTGGTTTCGAGATGATTGACTGTGATCCGGAAATATGTATCACTAATTTACTTGAGGAATGCAACACATCTGATAACCTTAGCATCTTTGTGAGAGGTGTGCGAAAGGCCTTCAGAGCGTTGGTGGCTCCTGTGTAGGGCTTTTGGGTGCAGTTGAGACTCTAAGAATGCGATAATATTTCGCTGTTAACGACTGGAAGATGTTAAAGGAAGAAGGACGCCACTTCAAAGGTGGCTTATTATTGTTTGCTCACTCGTCACTGTCTTCACACTGTACAAAGTACTTTCGTACTATTTTATTTAATGCTATCTTCGTACGAAGGTACGCTGATACCCTCGTACTTTTTTCGTACTTGTATATGTACGTACTATATATATATGAAGGTATATAATTATGGCTGGGTTTAGGGCATTATGATATATACTATGAAGGACATACACGTACGTGTACGTGTACTGTGCAAGATAGAACGAATATACGGAAGTACCTTCGAAGGATTTATCAGGGGTGCTTTTGTGTATCCTCCGAAGGTATTGCCCTACAACGTACTTCCGGAAGAATACAAATAAATAATGGTCAATTAATAATAATCGTTCGAAGGTAAGTTGTACAACTTACGTGTACAGTACGTAGCTACGTACTTCCGGAAGTACTTTCGCGAACGCAAAGTACGAGGTACTTTTATCTGCAAGTACAATTAACGTCAGTTGTACCTTCAGGCCCTAACAAAGAAAATAATAAATAAAAATACTGTATAACCGTTGGAACGAAAATGTCCACCGTATTTTGTCGTTTCATAGGATTAGCCAGTCACGGAAACATACTTTGGAAATGCCTGGATAACATCTTGAGACTAAATCCTTTAGTTCCATGAGAAATCGTTGGAATATATATATACACTGTATTTCTACTTCTTGTTGTCTACTTCCGTACCAGTTTTCCTCAGTTCTTCAAGTTGAATCGCCTGGTGAAATACACAACACAGGGAGCTGCAAAGTACTTCTGTACTTCCGGAAGTACTGCTTCGAAGGTACTTTCAATAGCAGCTTGCTCCACACGCTGAGGTGCTGTATGAGTGTTGTCTTTCTTGGCATTCAGCTTTTCAGAGTCTAGCCGCTCACTGCTTTCCTTGTGCCTTCAACATCTGTAGTACCATCTTCAGGGCCTCTTCATCAAGACTTGAGAGGCTTTCTACTGCATCTTCAACAGCAGCGTCTCGTCCTAGTGAAGATATGATGTTCCTGATATGGTCTGCTTCTGTTTGAAGCCAGCCTGTGACAGCAGCATCGGAGCTCCAATTTATGTTAGCTTCGACGGCGAGTTTCTCCAAGTGTTCTTCTACAACTGTCCGATCAGTGCCCGCTTCCATTGCTAAGTCATCCATGGCGAGTCTGCGCTGTAGTCGGGCATGAAAATAAGCACGGGCATCTTCCCACTTCACAACGTCTCGGATTACACCCTTTGCAAGCATTCGCCCACTTCGGTCGTGCAAGTCAGCGAACTCATGTGCCACCTGTGTGTACATAGGCAGAAGTTGTGCTTCCCGAGAAGAAATTTCCACCTGATTTTCCTCGGGGTCCTGGTCCAGCTCTAGCAACACTGGGTCAAGGCGGTGCATAACTGCTTTCTGGTCTTTGTCACGAAATTTGACTTCACAGATGCCAGGTGGCTCAAGTATGCCTCCACGACTCTCCTCATCTGCATACATCTCCATCTGAGCTTCGTTTATAGTGGGATCAACAACAACCCAAGCGCCACCACGAAGCTCACCATTTGGTGGGATGTACACAAAAACAGGGTGGCGGTAAACCCGTAACTCATCGACGATCATGGCACCAAACTTGAGTATTTCTCCGTACATGTCACGAGTGCCACCGGAAAAGCCTCGCCAGTTCGCAAAAATAATCAAAGGAAGATTCTCGGCATTGTTAAAGTCACGAATCGCAGTTGCAGTCTTGTGAGCTGAGTCTGGGAACCACACCTGGCCAGCCTGAGCAAGAACAGATTCACGAGAGTCTGGATTCGCTGGATCCGCAGGTATGCGCTGCTCCATGAGGCGTGTTTCAACTGCTATAACACCCATAGGTATACCACCTAGGCGGGCACGGCCACAGACTACAGATTTTCCCCAGTCTGCGAGGGTCTCAGTCCACGAACCTCGGTCAAAGAAACCGCCAATCCAAGACCCATCCGAGCTTTCCGTTCCAGAAATCATGTGGCGGGGATCATATGGTGTCTTCGTCGGCTTGAATGCAATTTTGCGAGAGGTGGGATCTGCTGAAGGAAGTGCTGGAGCTCGAGTAAAACAGTTTGAAGGAACATATGACAACCAGCGAAGGATGGCCTTCACACCCTCCTGGTCATCCTCAACTTGCATATGGCTCACCCCGTTCGGCATCATCACTTGTGGACCACCTAGTTGATCCTGCGAGGTGTACACCTCACGTCCAAGCAATTTGTTCAGTGCTAGATATCCTGTGAGAATGAGAGGACCATTTGTCATCTGAATGTTACGCTGACCGAGGCGGCACAAGTAGGCCCCGATGCCAACTGAACGACCAGTTATGTACGAAAGAGTGAACGCATCAGAATATGCTGCTGACTGCTCTCCGGCAATCATGCCAGAGCCCCGGAGGTTTTCAACACCAATGCCATGAATCTGTCCAATGATATCGTCTAGTTGCATTCTCTTCTCGCCATCATCAACAACCTCTGTTGCGTTTACGGTGCCTTCCGGGAAGGCAGCATAGTCATCGGGAGACAGGTAAAGATACCTGAATCCTAGTGAAGGATTTGACACGTCGTTCCATGCAACCTAGCGGGAAAATCAGAGGCAGAAACAGATAAATTGAGTATATATTTTTCAAGAGAAGATTCGAGACAAATCCAAAACACAGCAGAAACTTTTGCAACGCACCTTGAAGTATGGCTTGAGCTCCTCGACTAAGCCGATGCGAGCCCCAGAGTTCGATGCAATGTATACACGTGGGACACCTTTTCTGCGAGCATATTGTGACACCGCATAGTAAAAATCATCCTCCTTAACACCGAATGAGCCAGACATAAATGTACAGTCATTTCCTACGAGAACAATTTCGCGCCCTTCGGGGTACTCGGGTGTTTTCATGAAGCACTGCCACGCCACCATACCAATGTCGTTGGAACCGGCAATTCTGCTCGTCTCTGCTTTCGAAAGAGATCTATCATCTGCGTTCAGGATAAGCTCCTCCGCACGGAACATATCTACAGGAACAGTACCCTCGCCGTTATCTGCAATGAACTGGCGCCACTCAAGCACCATTGCCTTCTCTATCAAACCCAAGAAGTCATATATGTAGGTCGTTCCAATGGCCCGGGCAATAGAGCGCTTTTGCTGCAGGGTACCTGGCATCGGATAAGGTTCCATAAAACATGCCTCTTCGACACCATCTTTCCCTAGCATGCAAAATTGCGTTGCTTTCCCCGTTTGCGGATCAAGGTATTCACGGTACACGTCAACCTTGAGCCATTGTCCGGACATGGATGTTGCCATAATTCGGACAGGGACCTGCACGGAAGAACCTGGGCTCTCAGCGATACGAAATCGAATTTCTATTTCATCAACCTGCTGGGCGAGGAGCTCGGTAGATTTGCGGCTGATGAACTCCAATACTTTCGTCTTCAGGGAAGTAACGATGGTGTCAAATGGACTGTTGGTCTGGGCTGGTAAAAAGTTGATGTATATCCGACCAGAGCTGGCACCTTTCGTGCGCGGATCAAGTCGTGCGAGATCAAGGGCTTCGACAGCCTTACCGAGAACTCGTTCAATACCTCCTTCAGCCGCATCACGAGAGTGACTTATGCGCCGAAGTAGTATGTGCTTCTGAAGACCTCGCTTGCCGAAGCCTTGCTTGGACTCTCCAACGTAAACGTGCAGATCTCGGTTAACAGTTGGCAAGCGTGTCAGGTTGTAGTTCTCAAGTCGAGCTAGCTCAAGCAAGTGTGCAACAGTGGGCCGCTCACCACGATAAAGAGGATCTTCCTGGTAACCATTGGCAGCAGTGAAAGTATAATAGTGAGGGAGGTTGGGGGGGACGTAGCTAATAACGTTTACAAACTTGACGCCAAGTTCCGCCATGCGGCCGCGGTGTTCGCTCAAAACGGCTGCACATCGGTCTGCCAGAGTTGTTTCTTCAGTCTGGCAGCTCAAAGCAATGTGTAAAACATGAAACGGCGTATCTTTTGCGGCATCGTCGATATGATGGGCGAGACGATCAAGTATAGCTGGCATCTGGGCCTTAGCTTGTTCAAGTGTCGTGGTCACCACCATGACGCCGAAACGCAGCGGTGACTCCTCTGGATAAGTGTTGAACTGAAACTTGAAGTTCATTGAGTCAAGGTCATTTTCACGCACAATTTCCGATGAGATGACGTTGTGGGCACGATAAACACGCTTCGTGTAGACTTCAAGCGCTGCATCGGCAACGTCTGCATCAGAATCTACGAAAAGAGATGGTAAAAGATCCACAGCAAGGGTGGGGGATTCGATCAAGCTTTTCAGATCGCCCGCCTCTGAAGTCCCCCACGGACGCTTCAAGCCCATACCTCCCAAGAGGATGCTGCGGAGCTCATCGAGGCGTTTATCTATGGAGGGGAGACGTTTTTCAAGTAAAATGTTGGATGCAGTCAGCGCAAGTTCACCGTAGTCAGCACCTCTCAGGTTTGACAGTCGTTCAATGGAAGCACGGAAATCGTCAGATATGGGTGAATGGTCATCTGCCCATCCGATGGGTCCACCCATGACCCGCTGCGGAAGTGTCGGAGCTTGCTTGAGCAGACTGATTACCATTTGTGTACTCTGTTTGATGCGTGCATGAGCAACGACCATCCTTAAGAGTGCGTCCATGTCACCACTGTTCTTCTGCGTTTGTTCGCGCATCACGGAGTCTCCCTTCTTTCCAGCGAACAGACTCTCGACGGAGAGGTAACGATCGACAATACAATTGAGGATAGAACATGCCCGCTGCCATCGTCCACCATCAGCCTCTGGGAGTGCAGGATCACAAAGCGTTTCGAGAAGGTTATTCACTGTCTCTTCTACAGGAAGAACGTATCCATCGAGAAGTAGGTTAGTAGAGGAGATAGCTTCCTCAAGTGCCTCAGAAGCAGATGGGGGTGCTTCTTGGCCCTCTATAGATGAGCAGCGAAATTCCCCACCAAACGGAGAAATCTTCTTCACTTTGTTTGGGTCCTTGAGAGTGAGGCTACCGAGTAGATCACCAGCCTCGATGACGGCACCTCCAGATTTGGCATGTGATATCGTGCCGCTTTCAGTTGCGATGAGGGGCATTACCATCTTCATTGCTTCGACCTCTGCATAAGGCTTGCCCGCAATCACCTCGCCGCCATCATCCTGAAGGAAGCGAATGAGTTTACCTGTGACATCCGTCCGCAGCTCAGACGGGTCAAACTGGTTGGGAAGCAGCCAGGTTTGACCATCGAGCACCATTCGCAGACCGAGCGGTTCCTCGAGACCATCGATCTCGTGCGTCTGCCCCCCCCATATTCCAAGGAGTACTCCATCAGAACGCTCACGAATTCTTGCGTTGATGAGATCTTCTCCTTTAAGAGATAGAACAAGTGAGTCCGGACCACGACGGTGAATCGTGAAGGAATATTTCACGTCTTGATACGTTATATCCATTGGGAACTCTGTGAGACGTTCGATTCCTTGAGTGGCTGTCTGCCCCTTCTGCCAAAATTCCTTGAAGGCAGATTCTTCTGCTTGTACGATTCGGAAAGCACGATATAGGGCAGCAGACGCTACGATGGTGTGTGGATCCTCTTTCATTGCAATTGACTTTGCCTTGATAATACCATCGAGCCAACTTGTGTCGATATTATTATTTTTGAAGTCATCCGTCTCCAAGAGTTGAACAAGATACTCGACGGCAGTTCTAATCTCACCTCGCACCACCATTCCCTTAAGAGCCAACACGAGCGACTTGCGTGATTCCTCGCGAGTCGAGCCGGTGGCAAAGATGTGACCAAACTGGGAATCTGCGAACTCATGCACGCCACCGTTGGCGCCAACAGAAAAGTAACCCCAGACAGTAGGTGTTGACTGAAATGACACTCTTTCAATGCCTGCAGTGAGAAAACGAATAAGAGTACACTTAGTGACCGGTACACTTGGTGAGCAAAAGTAACAATAGAGCAAGGATGGTAAGACTCACTCACCGCCTGAGGTAGGCTTGAAACCCTCATCTGGGTTCTCTGCCGTTATTCGGGCCGCGATGACGTGGCGCTCGGGAAGGACATAGTCTTCTTCCATGAAGTCTATGTTCGTGTCCGTCTCCGGATCGCGGCCATAAAACCTCCTGATATCAGGTATGCGGCTAAGCGGAATACCCATGGCCACTTGCAGTTGCGTTGCCGGTAGATTTACTCCTGTGATTCCCTCTGTGACAGGATGCTCGACTTGGAGACGTGGGTTGAGTTCAAGGAAATAGTACTTCTTTGTCGTGGCATTGTACAGGTATTCAACTGTCCCAGCGCCGACATATCCAATATTTCGAGTTAGACGCTGAGCAGCCTTTTCCATTTCGCGAAATATTGTAGGGTCTGCGATCGTTGGCGGCGCTTCCTCAAATATTTTCTGGAAGCGGCGCTGTGTAGAGCAGTCTCTGCCACTTAAGGCAACCGCATTTCCGTATTCGTCGCCAACAATTTGAACTTCAAGATGCCTAGCTTGGGAGCAGAGCTGCATCATAAACATCGGCGACCCGGGAACCTCTGCCTTGACCATTTCAAAGTTGACCCTTAATTCCTCGTCATTAGCACTCATGCGGATGCCTTTACCGCCACCACCTTCAGAAGCCTTCAACATGACTGGATACCCAATGCGATTCGCTGCCACGAGAGATTCTTCGACCGTTGTAACCATTGCTTTGTTGAAAATATCATCAGGAATCGTGCCTTCCTCGGTGAGCTCCGCCTCTAGACCTTCTCCAGACCACGGGATGGATGGAACCTTTGCAGTCTGTGCAAGGATGTTTGCAGCGATTTTATCGCCAAGCACTGACATCACGGGTGCTGTCGGGCCAATAAACTGTATCCCACGCTCCTTAAGCGAAGTTGGAAGTTTTGGATTCTCTGATGCATGTCCCCATCCTGGCCATACTGCATCAACTCCTTCACGCTCAGCAATGTCCACAATTAGGTTGACGTTCGCATAGTTATTTTTGTTTGAACCTCCCGGGACCTCCACGAAGTCATCGGCAAACCGGATGAATTCGGCGTTGGCATTTAAGTCCTCGGGAGTTGCCATCGCGATGAATTCGATGGCGTTTTCGTCTCCAAGTTCAGTATACGCCCATCGACGCATGGATATGATCGACTTTGTCGCGGCCATTCCATTATTCGCTATGAGCACCTTCCGGATAACACGTTTGCCACCGTGGGCAGCAACATACCTGGCAAGAGCCTCTGTTGTGGTAGTGTCAGCACTTGTGTCCGCAGGTGCGGAAACAGATGCGCACGTACAGACGTCACCAGGAGATGTGTCATGCTGCAGTTCAATGCGGCATGGCTTGAATGTGATGGCTGGAGCTGGAACTCGAGCACTATTTCCTTGTGGCCTAAGGTTGAAATAATTTCCGTGTTTGTTCACTGCAAAGGATATGTTGCAGAGAAGGATGTTAACGTTAAGAGAAAGTGAAATAAAAACGAAGACTTAAAAATACAGCTGGTCGATAAATGGTAAAACTAAAGACAGATCTCTTATCTAAGAAGGGAAGATGGAGATAGAAGCTAACGTGAAAAGTTGGGGTTTTATCTATCAGAGTTTTCCCGAGACGTGTCCCGGTGACGAAGCTGAGAATCTCTGCGGAGTGATGTAACTTACATCGTAAAAGCTGCGCGATATGGCGACGGTTACTCGATGACGTCGAAGCGTGCGCTTTATGCACGGGCCACCAGTTGGCGGCAGCGCTCAGCGCGTGCATTTTGCCGGTTTACCGACCTCTCTTTTGCTGGGATTCCCGCGACAAGTATCGAATGAACAAAGTCAGCGCGACAGAACACGAGGCAAAGAGCTAACGTGTCCGAAATCGCGACCGGTACAGACAACTCATCATCGACCCGACTAGAGTCAACGTGGATGAATGAATCTCTACAGCGCAAGCCAAAACCCCGTCAGCAGGAAAAAACCCGGCGAGCAAAAGAATAACGCTTTCGGGCACCGCTCACCGGACGACTGTTTCTCGATTAATGTTGGTGAGTGCCCGCGGGATTTACCTTCAGTCCCTGATGCACCGGTCCCTAATGCCGCGTCACTTTTGCCCGAGGAATGGTTACGTCTGCTAGTGCGCTACGACACCTCAGCCCTATCCAAAAGTGCCGTCTGAAACTTTTGAAAGTTGCCAATACAGTACACGTACTGTCACGTACACGCCGCTGTACGCTGTTTATCTGTACTGTACACGTACTGTACGTGTACGTTTATTACTCGTTTATTAGGGATTATTCTATCCATTGAACAATATCAATGTTGAACAACTATTCCACCATATGTGTACTGTACAGTACAATACTACAGTACAGTATTTGCACGAGTCTTGCACGTGTAGCAGTCGTGTACATGTGCAATTGTGTAAACCGCGTTGTAGCCAAATGCTATCTACAATAGCTGACAGCTACGAAAGTACTTCCGTATCTATTTCTGGAAGTACCATCGAAGCAACGTATTACTTCCGTATCTATTTCTGGAAGTACCATCGAAGCAACGTATTACTTCCGTATCTATTTCTGGAAGTACCATCGAAGCAACGTATTACTTCCGTATCTATTTCTGGAAGTACCATCGAAGCAACGTATTACTTCCGTAATAACAAATGTACTGAAGTACTTTCGTACCTTACGAAAGTACGGAAGTACACGTGTACGGAAGTACCTTCCGTACGAAAGTACTTTCGTACTTTCGTACGGAAATACACGTGTACGGAAGTACTTACGAAAGTACTTTCGTACTTTCGTACGGAAATAGATAGAATACAGTACACGTACACGTATGATACGTTTACGAAAGTACGGAAATACTGTATTTTTGTTGTATCAATTGTATGATAGTGCACTCAACTTATTATCTATTTCTGGAAGTATTCCGGAAGTGCAACTGTATGATATTTACGAGTATTAGGTGTACGTTGTACAGGATGTACACGTACACGTACTGTGCAACGTTACTCGAGGTATAATACGTACATACTCGTATTTCAGTACGAGAGTAGTACTGTACGAGTACGTGTACATGTACACGTACTCGTATCATACGAAGGTACGAAAGTATTTATTTATCTCCATAGATAAACCACCTAAAAAACATACTCGTGACCAATTACACATACAAAAGTGTACGCGCCAACACCCGCGCGCGAAACCTATCTCCTCCGCGCGCGATGCGCGTCTGCGCGCGAAACTATGCACGATGCCAGTACTAAAGCATGCGCACAATCGTACGTCGGGTCTTTTTTTTTTTGAGTTTCGCGCGCAGACGCGAATAGTGCGAGATGTTGACCGAATTCGCGCGCGGCGACGAACACATTCACTTTTTTTATCCCGAGGAAAGGGAGCGGACGACTGAGTTTTTCAAGAATGTCACGTGGGTATGCCCAGTTTGTCTGAACCATGACATGCTTTCGAAAGACGAGATGGAAGTGGCGCGGGCGATAGTGGCAGATTTTTCAATATCATAATATTACAGCCCGTCCAGTCGTTGTGGCACGACGAAGCCATTTCTTAAAGAGCTGTTCCCTCGACGCGAAACACTACTCCTTCCTCAAATGAGATCGCGACGATTTTTATTTGCACCATCTCGTTCCAGGCATCAAGGTTGAACTTCCTATGGTGGGGGATTTCGCGTTCATGCTCTCTGCCGCGAGTGGGGTACGCGATCTTCGCGAATCGCGATTTCGGGCAAGATCTGCGCTTTCTTCGCGACGCGCGCGAAATTCGAAAAAAAACCACCATAGGGCTGTGCGCATGCCTTAGTACTGTCATCGTGCAAAGTTTTGCGGGCAGACGTGCATCGCGCGCGGAGGAGCAGTGTTTCGCGCGTACACTTTTGTACGTGTTTTTTTCGTCACGAGTAACGCTTTTTTTAGGCAACGCTTTTTTCGAATTTATGTACAGTAGTGTAGTTGTACACGTACAGTACGCGTACTGTTGAGGACTACGAAGGTACGAAAGTACCTTCGTACCTTCGAAGGTACTTTCGTACTTTCGTACCTTTTAAAACAGGCAATGCTATGATAGTACATGTACAAATAAAGGTAACTTAGCTAGCTACAGGTAGCTAGCTAGCTAGTCTATGAAGATAGATAGTCTCTGCCGCGAGTGGGGTAGTCTACATAAACGTTGTACGAAAGTACGAAGGTACAACTAGTAGTGTACACGTGTACTTCCGTACAAGTTAATAAGCTTTAGAGATAGGCAGATGATAAAGAATCGAAGGTTCGAAGGTAGTTGTTTTGGGTCTGTGCACATATGTAGCATCTTTCAAAAGTGTTTCTCCAAATCATGTGAATATACATATTTCGAGACGAATGACAGTTGCGAAGGAGAAGTAAAAGCAAAAAAAAACACATCTGCAGAAACAAGTTCAGAATACTAATTTGTACTTGACGTGTCGGCCTGATCACTTCGTGTCAAACCTACTGTTCTCCTCAACACAACCACTCGCTTCAATTCATTCAGAACCGATTATTTGGTTATCAGACCCTGGAAAGGTATATAATGCTTACAGATATGGAACAGCAAGCGCGTTGGATGCGGCGGTCGTGTGCCACGGGTCCGCAATGTGCCGGGCTAGTGCGTGAACAGGGCCCTCGAGGTTGTTCGCCTGTGCCTCTCCAATGATTCCCGCAAAAGCAAGCATAGCAACTCGCCCATTCGCAATTTCTTTCTTCTTCAGCGTTTCGAAGTCGTTACCTTTGGAGAAGCCAGCGGGATCAAAGCTGCCGCCAGGATATATACGCTTCAAAGGGTCCTTCTCTGCTGCACGCTTCGTCTCAACATAAGCCATAACGAAGACTTCAATAGCAGCGATGGCAGGCAGAGGAAATGGGACCTCACTGCCTAAGTATGTCTGAGAGGGGGCCACAGGGGCCTCTGTCCATGTCACGCCAGTAATGATTTCAGCACCTGCGGCGCCAGCTACGCCAAGCATCGCCCAACGGCAGTGCATCACTTCAGCCTCCCGGAAGCGTGCAAGGTTGGTTGGATCCTTGCCGAGGCCTAAGGGGTCGAATCCATAGTCACTGCATTTCAAAGGGATATATTACGGGTGAAATCTGAGTAAAATTGAGTTGCAAGCGATGTGGATTATGCAAACGGGATGTGCGAGACGGCAGGAGAGCTTCTCAACGCAACGCTGGTGTAGCGCACCAAGGGAGTGAGCCGTCAAGGTGCGACGGGGGGCTGGATCCAGGGCTCCAAGTGGCGCGCATTGAGGTGTACGCGGTGCCGTTCGTAGCAGCGCCCGACAACTTTCTGCCGCTAAAAGCAGATGCACGGGCCATAATCGGGGAAAATGAGGCGAGGGCAGCCATCGCGTTCGAGGAAATCACTCTCCGAGCCGGGAAACGTGTGTGCGGGAAATGACGTACTATCCATAGCAGAAGAATCGATGGATTTGATTGGTTCCGATGCCCAATTTTTAGATTCGGAGGTACTTTCGTAAGTTGTAAACTATCAACTACACGTACGTGTACTGTATGCCCTTATTAGTCCGAGCAACTTTTTCTACGTTGTAGTCTACATACTGTCTACAGTAGTACGAAAGTACCTTCGTACTACACGTGTACACGTACAGTATCATGTATGGTGGTACATACAAGTATTCATTGTTCATGTTTTATTAAAAATAAAGTTTTATGTGTAGTTGTACTGTACGTGTACAACGTTGTACGTGTACAACTGTACATATTCCATAGCTACATACAACTGTACATCTGGCTTTTGAAATCCCTATGATGTCGGCACACCGAGCCTACGGCTACTTTCTGCCGAAAAGCATAGACTTTTTGTAAAACTTTCATCACATGCAGTCATGTACCCGTACAACGAACGTACGAAGATATTATGTACCGGAATAAACGTTAGTTATTAGAATGCATCGCATGAAGGCGACGTGAGTTCTGTAACCTGTAGAGACAGGCCCAAATTGAAATATGATCTTTGTATGCACAGTTAGTCGTCGGTAAATGTACATAGGCCGTCTCTGACTAATTGCCCGTAGACCGATAAATCTGCAAATCGGGCGGCACGGGGGCTATTATTTCTGATATCCATAGGGCCTACGTGTACAACTTGTACAGTACGGAAGTACTTTCGTACTTTCGTACGAAAGTATCTAGACGGAATACAACGTAGTACGTTGTACCGAAAAAAAAGTATTTTCGTTCGTAAGTTGTACGAAAGTACAACGTACGAAAGTACTTTCGTACTTTCGAAAATACATTGTAGATACTTTCGATGTACGTTGTACTGTACAGTAGCCCTACCGTAGATACTTTCGAAAATAATACCTTCGAAGGTAACAACTTTATACAGTACGTACGTGTACAACGTACTTTCGTACGAAATTACTTTCGAAAGTACGAAAGTACTTTCGAAAGTACAATAACGGTGTACTTTTTTGTACTTTTGAAAGTACTTCCGTACTTCCGTACGTGTACAGTACGTGTAGTTGTACCTTCGATTTTTTCGGTGGTCACGGAGCCTCCACGTCATACATTGACTAGAGAGTTTCAAGCATTGCTATCTACAACTAGTACCTTCGAAGGTAGCTCGTTCCGCAACTTACAGTTGTGCGACGCAACTCCAACAGAAACGATTTTGGCACTTTTCGTGCACGCCGGCGAATTTTTTCGGCGCAACCTTTCCACAGGTCTCGACTTTCTCTGTGACGTCTAACAAGTCCTTCCCAGCGCTCCTTCTGAGGACAACTCGTCCACTCGATTAATGCAGGTCGACGACTTCGCGAAGGTCCCAGAAATGGATAGTCGGCTACTTGCTTCTTCACGTGTCGTGTCTGATTCACAACTCCTGACTGGCGGACACGGCACTAGACTCGAAGACGACAATCGTGACAAAGTATGCAACCGCTACAGACAGTCGTCTTCGACACAACGAGGTGCGCACAACTACTTCTCCACATTCTGTGACTTCTCCACATTCTGTGTCTTCACGAGAAGGCAAAATCTAGAATGATGCCGAAGGCCAACTTGCGCCTTCAAAATTTGACAAACCTGACCACGTTATATCACTGCGCGACAGTGGAGGCGGGCGATGTCCTATCTCTGGCGATGTCGCAGGCATCTGTTCGAAAGCTTGCGACCGAGCACCAAATGTCTTCAAACAGTGTTTTGGATAATGACAAGCCAACAGCTGCACAGGCTGCAGCTGGACGGCTGCAGCGGGCTAGCGCCCGTCAGGCTGCGAAAGCTGCCCAACAGCAGAAGCGACACGCCCATTCAACACCTCGAACATCTGTAAAAAGGAGCATTGAGTGCCGTAAGAAAGTTAAACATGAAAGCACTCTGCACGACGGTGAAACACAGGAAGGTTTGTGACTCCCCAGAACCAAACTTGTTCCTGATATGCCCTGAACAGTCATCCTCCAATATTTTGTTTTCATAAGTTCTTGTTGTTATCTACTGATAATCTTTTGGGTCCACCAGGCTTCGAGGAAGTTGCTGACTTGGCAGAAGATATACATTCGCCATACAAAGAAAAACAAGTGAAGGCCGAAAAAACGCCAAAAAAAATACAGGTTGAGGATGAAAAAGAGCGCAAACGACTAAAACGTCTCCTTAGGAACCGCGTTTCCGCCCAGCAAGCTAGAGAGCGTAAGAAAGCGTATATGTCTTCACTTGAAACTGAAAGGCGTGATTTGGACGGTAAATTTGCTGAACTGGAGTCAAAGATCAATACTCTCGAGAGAGAGAACTTCATGTTAAGGCAGGTTGTACAAAATGCCACACGAGGGCATAGCATCGATGCTGTAAAAGAAAAAAATGGGATACTTGGCAGTGCTGAAGAAGCTCGCACCGTGCCCAGCTGATCAAACAGGCTTGCATAAATAAAGAATCCAGGTTCCGACGAGCTTTGGCGCTCAGAGAACTCTTTCATAGATAGATATTCTTGAATCAATACACAGGTGTGAAAGATACTGTAAATTCAATACACTAAATATTTTACTTGGCTTTACAATCCTGGCTTCGGGAAAAGAAACGGAGGATTCACTGGGTATATCAGAACTGAATGTAGAGCTCACGGCTGTCATTCATTTCTTGAACCAACTCGACTGCCTCAGTCAAGGCTACCTCTCCAAACTTCGTGATATAGTTGTTATTTACACTGATGCTCTGAAGGGCACCGTTTGCGTTACTTTTTATCGCTTGGGCCAGTGCGAATGCACCGTTGTCTTTTATCTCATTGTAACCCAGATCCAGGGAAATAAGATTCTCATTCACGACCTGGAGACTTTGCGCAAGTGCGGTACAGCCTTCGTCACCCAGTTCATTACCCCGCAGGTCCAGCGTGCAGATATGCTCGTTATATTTGATGGCATCTGCGAGGTACCATGCCCCATCTTTTGTGATTTTGCACCAGCCCATTCGCAGGGTGGTGACTTTACTGTGAAACTTTACTGATTCGGCCATAGCCTGAGCTCCTCTAGCGCCGATAGGATTGTATCCAAGCTCCAGTGTCCTCAAGGTTTTGTTTACCTTCAATGCCTCAGCTAGTGCCATAGCTCCTGCGTCAAGGATATTGTTACCGCCGATGTCTAGCACTTCTATGGCGCAGTTATCCGATAGTGCATTTGCAATTTCTGTAGCTCCGAGATCACACAACTCGTTCATGTATAAATTTAAGTGTGTAAGATCGCTGTCTTGTTTGATGTAGTCAGCAAAGAACTTTCCAGCCTCGAAACCTATTCCATTATTGCCCACGTCGAGATCGGTTAACTTGGCGTCACGTTCGCTCAACGCCCGACACAGCGGCTGGATTCCTAGGTTACCGATATCATTCCCATTCAGAAACAAACCTTTGATCCCAGAGTTCATCTTTAGCCCGTTTGCTAGGGCACTAGCACCCATTCTGCCAACATAGTTGCCACTCAGGCTTAACGTTTCAAGAGTTGAGTTCTCTACAAGCGCCTCTGCCAGCGAGCACGTGCCCTCGTAATCTATAGAGTTGTTATTGAGCTCAAGTGCAGATAATGTAGTATTTACTTTGAGCATGTCAGCAAGTGCAGCGGCTCCTTTATCCCCGATGCCGCTGCTATTAAGGTTGAGGGTGGTGATAGTTTTGTCGATTTTGAGATATTCTGCTAGCTGTATGGTTGCGCTGTCACCAAGATTGTTGCTTGCTAATGACAGCATTTCAAGGGCGTGGTTACTTTTGAGTGCTTCACAAATAGCAACAACGCCAACGTCACCGATCCCGTTTGCACTAAAATCAACGCATGTAGCATTGTCATTAAAAGCAAGAGCTTCACTGACATACGCAGCTCCTTCGTTTCCCAGATTACGCCCATGAAGGTCGACAGTGGAATACCGCCTCAAATCTCCCATCATATCGCGAAGTACGCGTTTAAACTCACCAGAGATTTGTCTTGGCTTAGCAAGTGCAGGGAAACCATTAGTTGGCTCAGCAAACATCGGCATTTCAGCAGAAAAGAAATTATCACCTGTCGGTACGGCACGTCCTGTTGAGGCGACGTTTAAGTCATCAAATCCGGGCGTGGGGCTCCGTTCGAATGTGTCAGGTGTAGATGTCACTGAGCTCCTCTTCTTTCTCAAGAACACGCATGTGATGGCCGCCAGGGCAATGGCAAATATGCCTATAGAAGTGTAATAATTGCTGCTACTAGCTCTGAAAAGCAAGGACCCTACTTGCTGATGCTGCAGTGACTGCGAAGGCAAAACGAATGTCTTCGGCCTTGACAGCGGGGTAAGTGGGAAAGGCTCGGAGACGGGTTCTCTGGATGGGACCTCATCGTTCCCATTGATTTCATCCGCACGTTTGTCCACCCCATCCTCATCGAAAACGTATTGCTCTTTGTCATCAATATCGGCCAGCGGCTCGCCCGCAGCCGCGCCGGGTTCTGTTTTCGCTGACATTTCGGTTGATCTCTTCTCTTCCGAGAGAACTATCGCCTCGAACGAATCTCTCTCGTTAGGACCCGCAGCCAGGACGACCCGTCGCCATCCGTGGCTCACCTCAAAGACTGTTCCCGGACCGACAGTGGCTTTCCAAGGCTTTAGTCGGGGTTTTCTTTTGACCGACGCGTCCCCTGCGCCTGCTCGCAAGCGAACGGCACAAAACATTTTTCCGCTGTACCGAAATAATGAAGCATTTTTCATTAGGACAGAATGCGCGGTTAACGTCGGCAATCTGCGATCCTGCACGAAGTGCGTCTGTGGTGCGGCTTGCCTCGAACGACTCTGTGACAAGGTTCCTCCAGTACTCCTCCAGTACGAAGGTACGAAAGTACTTTCGTACCTTCCTACGGAAATACAATGGCCCTACGCACGTAGACTACAGTAGCTAGCTAGATAGAGCTACACGTGTATAATACCTTCATTCTACGCAGATACTGTACTTCTAGTATCATACCTTCATTCGTACATAGTGTAGAGCTGTAGACCTTGCTTACTTCGCACGGAAGTACGGAAGTACCTTCGTATCTATTTCCGGAGTACGAAAGTACTTTCGTACGAAAGTACTTTCCAAAGTACTTTCGTACGTGTATCGTACACGTGTACATACACGTACTGTATCTATTTCCGGAAATAGATATCTTTTAACTTCCATCCGTACAGTACACGTACACAGCTACAGTACACACGCACACAAGGATCGGAAGTACATACAGGTATGTACACGTACTGTACTTCCGGTGCTTCCGTACACGTACGAGTACGGAAAGAATACAACATGCTTTTTTAAATAAACACGCACATAAGTATGATACTTTCGAAAGTACTTTCGTACGAAGGATTGTTGTTTATTGTATTTATATCATACCGTAGTTGAGTCGACACTGGACACGTACGTGATGGGCCTACAGTACAGCCCTGCACACGTGTAGAAGTCGTGCAGCCCTGCCTACGAAGAACTGTACAACATAAGCCTACAGTACGTGTATAAGATAGTAGAATGATAGGGCTACGTGTACTCATAAATATGAATGTTTTCAATTGGCGAACAGTTCCGAAACCTTCTGTTCTACCTTCGTAGCAAGCAACACAAGCTCCTATTTAAATAACCCGATGCAGGGATTTTGAATTGCGAGCTCAAACATTGCCTCCTTGACAAACGCTACTTTACTGGTAAAGCAAAAAAATGACCATTGGACACGCAGAGTCAGAGGGCGTCGACCAGTTCACGGCATCCAGAGATCAGAAATTCCCCGACCGTGGAAGTGCCTCTTTCTTTTCGAGCGAACCACATGGGTTAGCTGCAACACGCTCTATTAATGCGTCACGCGCCGAGAGCTCGACGACTTTTCAACGTAATATAGATTTAGGCTCTCCGGAGCACCCTGAGCTTTTGAAAAAAACACTTGAATTGACGGAAAAATCTTCTGACGCTGTGGAGTGCAAGTCAGTGAGAGATGCTCTCATGGGTACAGGTAATGGCCGGTATCTCGTCTTGCAGCTCCCACATGATTTGGACCACTCCGTTGAGTTCCTTACGATGAGAAGCCCAGGTGAAGCTGTTATTTCCCAGGGTAAGGCTGACGCGAACTTGGTCACTGATAGCTCTATTCAGGACCAGTTGTTTGAACCGACGAGCCATAAGCTTTCATCTGAAGCTGATAGACAGGTTGGAGAGCTAACTTTACAAAATGACGGCACTGTTGAGGTCAGATTTACAGACGCAGAATTCGACGTACTACATGGTTCCTCATATGCTCACAGTGAGCAGTTTACATGTATAGATAGTTTGGAGTCAACTTGCACTTTTCTTGGTCAGGTTCGAGGTCGACTAGTGTGTGTACCATGCCTGCCAGGGCCGATCCATGAAGTTAAGGAATGAACGTTAGTCACATGTTACTTGATTATGAAGCTGTGGGCCATATTTTATCCTCGCAGTCTATGCGTACATCACTTCTGATGTACTCTTTAAACTGATAACGATATTACTCTTCGACGAGGCAGTGTCGAGGCCCTTTGTAACTAATTCGCATAAGTTGAACCCCTCGCAGCATCACAAAAAACCGCCACACTTTGTTCAGGCGTGCCCTGTATGACACCATGTCCTACATTCAGGATGTGGTTACCTTTACCGGCATCAGCAACATTGTTAGACACTTCTTCACGAATCCGTTCCTCACTTGCAAAAAGGTACATCGGATCGATATTGCCTTGGATGACGCGGTGTGACCCAAGAATTCTTCGCGCATCTTTCATACTTGTATTCCAGTCCAAACCTAAGACATCAGCTGAACTTCCTTTCATAAGTTCAAGTTTACCGGCTCCACCGTTTGCGTGATAAATAAGAGGGGTGTCGGGATATTTTGCCTTCACTTTTGCGATGACACGCTCCGAATATGGCATAGAAAATTCTGCGAACTGTAGTGGAGAAAGATGGTGAGCCCAGCTATCGAATAACTGCACAACCTGTGCACCACAATCTATTTGATGACATGCGTACACAGCTAAAGCATCTGCGAGATGAGCAAGGTACATGTGCAGTAGGCTTGGGTCTTGGGTCATCATCTGCTTAGTATTTATAAGATGACGGTCAGAGCGACCCTCGACAGAGTAAGCTGCAAGTGTCCAAGGAGTGCCAATAAAGCCGAGGAGGGTGGTTTCACCTGCGATCTCTGATCGAAGGCTTGATAAAATTTCGCGTATGAATGGAAGGGAACCATCGGGGTCATCCAGAGTGCGAAGAGACTTTACATCATGTAACGAACGAACTGGACTAGAGATAAGTGGACCTTTGCCCTTGTCGTAGAATATTCTCAAAAGTTGAGATATGAGAAAAGAAGAATGAAAAAAAAAGTATTGAAGGAAGAAAAATAAGGAAAGGTCTCCGTTTTACCTTGACAACATCAAACTCGACACCTAGAGCAGGAAGTGGGGTGAGAATATCACTGAACATTATGACTCCATCTGGTTTAAAAGCTCGCCAAGGCTGGAGTGAAAGCTCTATGGCAATATCCGCAGTCTCCGACCGGTGTCGAAAACCATATTTGTCGGAATATTCGCGGAACTCTGCCATGTAACGGCCGGCCTGTCGCATAAGCCACACTGGCGGGCGTTCGCACTGTTCCCCTCGTGCAACCCGGAGAAGAAGAGGATCTGCCGAAGCTGAGGATCTCACCTTCAACGTCTTCCAGGATGTGTTCCGATCATTACGAACGATCGTGTTTCCCTTTCGAAAACGGCGACCAGAGATACCGACTCCACCCAGGGAGGTCGTCTGCGTCAAAAGCGCGGGCATGCTCGAAGCCGTGGTCGATGTGTCCACTTGTGTTAAAGGACAAGTTTCTTTTCTTCGACCAAAGTAGGGCCCCAAACTGTGCGGAGCGCGTTTACGCGTTCTTATCCGAAGTATCTACGTAGACTACTCGTAGCTACCTTCGTACAAGCTTGTACACGTTAGTACACGTAGTAGTACACGTAGTACACTTACTTAGTACACGTATCAGAGAGTACAACGTTACGTGAAGTACACGTAGTACACTTAGTACACGTATCATAGTACTTTGTACGTAAGGTACAACGTTACGTGTAGTACACGTAGTACACGTACTTTCGTACGAAAGTACGAAAGTACTTTCGTATTAATTATCTATCTTGTAGAATATTTCCGGAAATATGATACAGGGTGATAGTTGTACTCCGTACATGTACTGTACACGTAGTTGTACATCAATATTCATACTTCTGTGCACGTAAAGATTCATGCTGTACGTGTACACGTACGTGTACGTGTACCCCTTCCAACCGTCGAAGGTACTTCCGGAAGTACTTCCGTACGTGAGGAGGACCAGCGTGCCCAACGTTGTAAGTTGTAGCCCTGTCGCGAGACATACGAGAGCGCCAATGGGACGGAAGTCAGGCGAGTTGCGGGGGGCGATATCATGCGCGAGATGAGATAAAAGCGAGCGGCGATCGCGACGCGGACCTGCACGCTCGCGTTGCATGCGTGGCACGCGAACAAGATCGCGTTCCGAGGCTGCACGCGCCACGCGAATCGCATGAATAGACCGCTGTACACGACGAGCGCGCCAGTCATGGGCGCGGACACGAGCTCGGGTGACTTCGTCGTGTCATTTAAACCCGCGAGGACAAAACCCCAGTTTGCGACCGGGCCCCAGAAGTGCGTCGTCTTCGGGCCCGTTGGGGAGGCGACCCATCGCGCGAACGCGGAGTTGTGCATCGCGGGTGTTCACACACGCTAGGCCGCGCGAGTGAACTTTCTTGCACGCCTCACGGTCGGTCGACGCGGTCGGTGCGATCCGTCTGTGTTTAGTAGGTTGGTGAGCTTCGATCGACACCGGTTGCAGTCACGTGCTATCAGGTGCTCGCCGCGCGGTCTTTCCTGCGCGCTCGTTTTGTGCACGGTGGATCACTGGCTTCTGACGTCACGAACCGGACGGAAGTACACGTACAGTACACGTACAGTACACTACGTGTACAGTACAACGCGCATAGTACATGTACAGTACACTACACTACACGTACGTGTACAGTACGTGAAGGTACGTTGCGTTCGTGTGTGTAGCTTTGATTTATGTGTACTGTACGTGTACTGTACGTGTACGTGTACGTACGTGCACGTGTAGTCGTGTACGTGTACAAGAATGTAAAAGATACAAAATGTACACAAAAACTCACAGCTCTATCCCATCCGGGCAAAACATGTGAACATCAGCGAGCAACCTAGCGTGAAAGAGCGACCGGGGGTCGCTGAAAAAACTCGCGAGGCATCCCTCGGAGTCCTCCGACGGCACCATCCAAGGGGTAGTTCATCCATACGACGAGGCGGCAAGGTCGCGAGCGTAAATGAGGCTGGAATCCGTACACGTACACGTACTTCCGTCCTTCCACACTGTGCGTGACTGCAGAAAAAAATCATACGTAGGGCTATCATAGATAATACCTTCATAAAATACATTAACGTACGTGTACGTGTAGTACGAAGGTATTCGTGTAGTATGTACTTTCGTACGAAGCTACGAACACTACCTCGAAAGATAGATAGGGCTACAGTAGGCCCTAGCTGGAAGGCCTAGCTAGGCCCCAGGCCAGGTACGTTGTAAAACATGAATAAATATTATGCCTTCTAGGCGATAGCGATAGAGCTGTAGCGCTGTAGCGAAGTAGCGCTCTAGCTAGCGCACTAGCTAGCTAGCGCTTGAGTGGAGCCCGGAGGCTGCGCCCAGCTAGCACTGTAGCGCCGTACTAGCGCCTTCTAGCGCCTTCTAGCGCCATGTAGCGCTCTAGCGCTCTAGCGCACTAGCGCTCTTGCGCACTAGCGATTGGTAGGAGCCCGGAGGCTGCGCCCAGCTAGCACTGTAGCGCCGTACTAGCGCCTTCTAGCGCCTTCTAGCGCCATGTTGCGCTCTAGCGCTGTAGCGCCGTAGCGCTCTAGCTAGCGCCTGGTCAGCCTCCTAGCCAGAAGTTGCGCCCTAGCGCCGTAGCGCCCTAGCTAGCGCCCTGACGCAGCCCGGCCAGCACGCCTGTAGACGCCCAACAGGCCGATAGCGCTAGCGCCACTATTGCCAATAGCGATATCGCCACTGTAGCGCCCGCTGCATAGCGCTATGTAGCGCATTGCTATCGGCGCTATCTGTATTCGGGTATTTATGTATTCACGATCGAAATAGTAGTCGTACACGTAGTATGTACCTTCGAAGGTACCTCCGCACATAGGATAGGGCTAATAACTGGCTAATATCATACGAAGGTAAATATTATTGTTCTACCCGAAGGTACGTGTACAATATTATTAGTGGTATGTTGCACGTATTCTATGTAATACGCGTACAGTATAATTTCGTACAAGTACTTTCGTACGAAGGTACGAAAGTACTTTCGTACTTTCGTATTTATTAGGGCTATCCAAGGAAGTACGCGAATGTCGTACGAGGGCTGTAGCGTATTGGTATTTGCAGTGAACAAGCGAGAATCGGTGGATCGCTTGAAAAGAATAGCGGGATCGACATTTCCTCTATCGTACCTTGGTATGTAAACTAGCTCTATGTAAAGTCAGTCATGGGAAAATGCTCTTAGGCCATCATATGAAATGCCCCTAAACAGGGATATACGTGTAGTGCTATTATGTTGTCTACGAAGATAATACCTTCGAAGGTAGTGCGGAGGTATGTACTTCCGAACGTATGTACGAAAGTAGTTTTAAATGGGTGGCATGGTACGAAGGTACACGACAACACGTAGGGCTAAGGCACTTGGACCATGAGCTGGGTGTCTCTTTCTGAGTAGGAATTGTATTTCGATTTTTCGAGTGTTTGTGATTTGCTGAATTATACCTACGTACCTTGACCTCTTTCTGGGTGACATACATTGTCATGGAATCACGGTATTACGTGGTTTCCTTAGTACTTTCGTACTTCCGTAAGTATGAAGCTACGCACTAAATCGTGTTATTTTTTTGAAGGCGTAACAAGCAGAAGGCTAGACAGTGTTCTAGTCTACAAACGCGATGTTGCTGTCCTCGTCCAAAACCCATACGTCAAGATGTACATATTCCTCTACACACGCTTCGAGCACCTGCGAAAAGAGTAATGTGAATCAATGCTCTCTGTTTACCCCAAAGCTCAACAAATGTACAAATCTCACCTCCCCTGAGTAACCTTTACCAAGAAGAATGGCAACTGCCTGTTCACGTGGAACAACTTTAGTATGATGCCCATCCGCCCAGTCGCGAATGGCCTGCAAACGTAACACGCGACTGTCAGTAACATCAAAGAATGAAAAGCGTGTGAAGTACCAAGTAAACTGAAGTAACAGGATCAAGTGTTGAGTTAGTATCTTGAAGTGAGTCCTCTAAGTTTATCTGTAGACAGTTGACACCTCCATAAGATTACAGGATGGTAAGATAGATTCCAGTATCATCAGAACCCACCTTCGACATCTTAATAAGTCGGAGCGCCTCGTTAACATCATCTTCTATCACCTACAAAGTAGTTGTTTGGCAAATTAATGGGCAGAGATTAATAATGTTCAAGAATGTACATGATTATCCCATCTCAAACGGGCATGTGCTTCGGATAAGCGGAGTATAGATAAAAGGGTTCGAGCCGTCGTGTAACCCTGCGCGCAAAAATATCTTCCATGAGCAGACCAACAAAGAAGTAAACAAGTCAAACCAAGGCTTTTTCTCCGGCAATCGTCTCAGCCTGGCGCATTTCTGCATACGCTGTAGTTATGTAGCTTGACAACTCAACTGGTATACTTGGGTGAAACGTCCGCGCATGCGCTACGTATGCACGTAGGTCGCCAGGTGAAATCGGAGAAAATGACAATTCCATTGATTAAAGTCGAATGGAGAAAAAAAAATTATACAGGCGTCCCGCGTGTGGGAGAGACATATTCTTCCTACCGGAGGTTTCCCTTCCCTGTGAACATGTAGCACGTGTTGTGCGAGTGCAGTGTCCGCTTCTGAACTCGCAACATCCAAAATTAACCACATCAAGTCGAACCGGCTCAGGAGAGCTGCTGGAAGATTGATATTATCTTGTGGTGTTGCGGCAATATTGTATCTCCCGAATGCTGGATTAGCTGCAGCAAGAACAGCGGTTCGAGCATTCAAAGTTGTTGTAATACCAGCCTTCTCACACGGACAACAGCCAATATGTTCAGGTCAGTTCGAAATAGAAATATCGAGGCAGACTAGTCAATTATTTACTGTACAGATGATCACATGAACATACTGCAGGTGAATTCAACCTCAAATTATGTGTATTTCTGTGAGACAAATGAAAAAAAGTTGTGTGAAGTTTTCTTGCCTTCGCGATGCTAACAGTTTGCTGCTCCATGACTTCGTGAATTGCTGTACGATCACTCTCGTCCATCTTGTCGAATTCGTCTATGCAGCAGATCCCATTATCAGCGAGGACTAGAGCCCCACCTTCAAGTATCATTTCTCCAGTGACTGTGTCACGCTGCACAGATGCAGTCAGTCCAACACCACTGCTTCCTCGACCAGTAGTATAAACAGCCCTGGAAAAATATTTTCAGATACACAAACATGACAACATACTGTTTCAACTTACCTTGGAGCAACAGTTACGATGTGCTTCAGGAGCTGAGATTTTGCCACACCGGGGTCACCCATTAGGCACAAATGTATGTCCCCACGAATTTTTATGCCATCTAATAGTTTCCGAGTTACACCACCACAGAGCATTAAGAGAAGAGCTTTTTTTATGTCTTCATGTCCATATATTTCTGGGGCGATCGACTGAGCAAGTCTATTGTAAATATCCTTGGACTTCCCGCGGTGATGTCGTAAAGTGGCCATGTCGACAGCAGAAACGGAAAAGTCTGTATATCTGGTTTTACAGCGACTGACATCCATTGCTTCAACATATGTATCTGCTACTAGCCCCGCTTGCATAGCCTGGCGAAAATTATATCATTACACAACATTTGATATGACCTGGAATGAGCAGTCGATATAAATCAAATTTACCTTGCAACCGATGAAGGGCTTCGGCAGAAAAATACCAGAAATATTAACCACATCACCCGGACATCATACAGAGTCAAAAACACCACAGAGTACGCCTGCCTCAGAATTTACCAAAGAAAGTGGAGATATCAAATCCGGAGGTATAGCGACCCCCACCCGAGTGACCTTGTTAGTTCTCCTTTGACTTGAACGGTTAAAGAACGTGGAATGTGACCAACAGGAACATCCTCTGATAGCTCTTGAAGCCTGACCTCCTGATACACAGGAGACAGGAGTTATCTTTACAACTAAGATTTTTTCAAGATTTTTTCATGCCTGCCTGACAAGTGAAAATATATTTGAAAATAATGGGTCGAGTGACGTGCCTGGCATTTCACAAACTTTGAAGCTCGAGTTTCAAGAAAGAGCTTTCCTGGAAGTGGAAAGCTTGAGAGCAGAACAGTATCAGAAAACCAAAAGATGACTGAAAAAGACACAATTTGTACCACTCTGGCAGAGCATAGATGGACACTTGACAATCGGATTGAAAGTGTCTCCAGAAATTTCCTTTGACAACACTCAATTTCAGTCCGAGAAAACTAATTAAAGGAATAAGGTGTCGTTTTCGATATACCTGATAAAGCTCAGAACCGCAACTGTCGCAAGTGAAACAGGCAACCTCCAAAAGTGGTTTTACATCACCGACTCTCGTGCATATACCCTGCTTAGAACACTGCACATGTGAGCAATAATGATTCGATATATATATATATGTGTGTGTGTGTGTGTGTGTGTGTGTGTGTGTGTGTGTGTGTGTGTGTGTAAAAAAACAAAACAAAATACCTCGAAAGATACTATGCGTCCAATGTCTGCTGCACGTATGTCCCGGATGGCCCTATTCTTATTTTTTGCATCTGGTTTGAAATAAACACGAAATCTCCGTCGCAGTGTGTCAGGTATCCGTTCAGGGAGATTCCCATGATCTACTTTGGAGGCAACGGTTTGTTCCCTCTGAGAACATGAAAATGACATTATATAAGGCATGCCATTAATATATTCGACATCTCACCTGCTGCAGAAGGATCTGAAAGGAGTCTGCTTCAGAAAAGCTGCTGCTGCTCGAGCTTTCAGGTAACAATTTGTCCGCAGCCTCTGCAAATAAAGCCAAGTATCGTCTCGCATTAGACTGAACACGAGTGTAAAAGTCTTGGAACCCTTCTTCCTTCGCACAAAACTAGGAACGAAAAGTTCAGGAACGGTGCTAGAAACGAGCTCTACTGCTCTTTACCTCTTCAACATCAGTTAGGCATATGTCGAGACTCTCCCGTTGTCCGTTCGAAATATTTTGCTACATTGTCGCAAGGATTAGACGCTGCAGAGACGAAAAACAGGCCTCGAGAACAAAATATCACCAGCAATGTCATGTATTTGAAACGAACAGGTTCGCTCGAGCTTTGGTATTTTTTCAAAAACTTCGCACATCTCTCTGGAAATCTTGAAATAAAGAAGTGTTTAACGTTTCCCCTGGTAACAAAATCACCTCTTTCCGCAACATAGCCAACCTCGCTCATCTTTTACGGACAATTTCAGTCCTTAAGCTCAAGGAAATAATCTTTCAATCTTTCTCTGAGAACGAAGTCTTTGTGGACAACGTCAATGTCGTGTTTCCCCGACATCGTGAGTACAAAAATTTACTGAGAACGGACCGACCGACCGCATCCTGATCGCGATCATTTATCGCCACCTCCCAGACTCCTCCCAGTACCGTTAGTTGTACACGTACACGTACTGTACTGTAGTTGTACACGTACACGTAAAGCGTTTTACCTTGAGATACACGTAAAGCGTTTTACCTTCGAAGGTATTTATCAAGAGCTAGATTTATCTATCTATCTAGCTACCGAAGGTAGCTACCTTCGAAGGTAGCTAGCTAGCTAGCTAGCTAGCTACCTTCGTATTTATTACGTGTACATGTACGTTGTACACGTGTAACAACTACCTTCGTAAAACCTTTATTTTTAAGATAGTCCTCTACGTAATTCGAAAAAATCCACCTAAAAAACGTCTCGTGACCAAAAACACGTAGGCCCTACAAAAGTGTACGCGCGAGCACCCGCGCGCGAGTACGAAAGTAGTATCTATCATAATAGGGCTACGTGTACGTGTACACGTACACGTGTAGTTGTGTGTAGATCTGATTACAAAAAGACTGAGCTCTAACCCATCCGGGTAAAACATGTGATCTAGAAGCGAGCAGACCGCACTACGAACAATCCTCTCACGTAGTAAGCAACCCCACGACGGGATTCATGAAACCCATGTGAGCCTCACGAGCGCACGGAGCCGGGGCGATGTGGAAATCGCCAGCAGTGTCGGGCTCCATAAAGAGGATTTGCGCTGCCGCGCCCGCGTGGAAGTTTTCAGAGTCACGTGAGGTTCTGAGCGCGTACGAGATGGGCGCGCCAGCGATGCGGTCCCCGATGGCGGATACGAGCGCGACGGAGATGTGGCCCATGATGCGTCGTTTCCAATAGCTTTTGCTCCTCGCGATGGCGGAGAGCGTGGCCTCGGCCGCGGCCTCGGAGGCGGCGTCGCCGGCGGGGACAGTGCCTCTCGCACCGTGATCGGCGAGCTGGTTAAGGAACTTGCGGAAGCGCGGCGCCTTGAAACCGTACGTGTCGATGGCCATGGGCACGAGGCTGAAGCCGCGGCCCTCGGGGATGTTGCCGTACCAGTCGAGCTTCTTCTTCTCCGCCTCGAGCGTGTACTCGCCCGGCTGGATGTTCGCTGGTGAGCGGGTCGCAGTGGGGCGCCGACCGTTGAATTTCGCGCGCCCGTCACCACTGAACGGGTGGGGGACGACGACGTCCCCGAGGGTCCTGGCCACCCGGCTGTCGAGTCCCGTGATGCTGATGTCGACGGTTTTCATGCACTCGTGGCGTCCACCTCGCACGGCGTCGGGGGGGAGGAGGCCGCGGATGCCTTTCGTCTCGGCGACGAGTCCGACGTCTTTGCATAGCTGTGCGACGGCTCGCACCACGCGGTCGTGGGTTTGGACCCTGTTGCCGCCGGCGTTGCCTTCCTTGTGGTTGAGGATGTGGTGGACGGCGTTGTGTGTGAACGTGTAGTTGTACACGTACAGACTACGTACAGTATGTACCTTCGTAGTTGATTATTAATATTTCGGAAATATTATTAAACCGAAGATATCATAATACACGTACACGTACAGTACGTGTACAGTAACGGTTGTACGAAGGTACAAATTGAACGAGTACGTACAAATGTAGCATTTTGCATATTTTTTTATTAATACTTTATTTATGTACGTACGTGTAGTTGTATGGAGATACATTCGAAGGTACTTTCGTACTTTCATATGAACTGTACGATACGTAGCAATAAATGATGCACACTCCTGCGCGTGGGACGCCGTCACTACCCAGCTCGCGCTTCACTCATGTTCGGAACTGCGCGTGCCTCTCCGCTCGTCGTTTCCGCAGCGGTGGCGGGGACGACGTCTCCACGCTTCCCTGCGTCCGTCCGTCGTAATCGATTTGCATCCACGTCGTCGCTCGCGTCGTCGCGCGCGAGGACGCGTCGAAGCGTGCGCGTGAACGCTGCAAAAGGCGGCCCGAATCCGCGCGGGGGCAAAAAGGTAAGCAAGAAGAGGGTGATCGCGACGAAGCAGGTGCGTGACGCGAGACTAGCCGCTCCTGCGCTCGCATGCTGTACTCGACTCGCGTTCGTTATGTCCTGTCGTGCCCCGACCCCGACGCCACTCTGATCGTTATCCCCACCCGTTGAGCAGGAACTCATCGACCAAGACAACAAAAAGGATACGATGATTGCAGTGGCGATGCGCGAGGCTGCGCGGGCGGCAGCGAGAAGCGCACTGGTGGAAGACGAGAGCGCCTCAAACTCAGACTCCTTCGAAGACAAGCTTGTTGCAGTGAAGGAAGCGGGGAGAGCGAAACGTTTGGAGCGCGAGGCGTTCGCGCCGACGTTCATGGACGAGATGGCTTCCATTCCCGCGGAATTTAAAAAGAATAAGAGCATATACACCGCGGCCGCGGAGGGTTCGATGTCGTCCTCCGGCGGCGACGACAACAGCGGAGTCGACAGCATCATCAGAGTCCTTGCAGGCTTGATCACGATCGGGTTGATATTGGTGTTCATTCCTTCCGACCTCACCGTGACCGCGCCGGTGCCGCAGAGAGAATTATCGAGTGATATCCTCGAGCAGGTACGCGTGTCCATCGTCCCCGTCATGATATCTTCTCGACCGCCGAAATAAATTCCGCATGCCATCATGTGGTCACCTCCAACTCCCCTGCGCCTTCTTTAATTCTCACACAGGTCGCGAAACAAGTGGAAGAGTACGAGAAAGCCCTCCGATCCTCGCCCGAGGACGTCGACAAACTCAGGGTAGCGGCGGAGTCGTACATCGTTCTAGAGGATTACGCCGCTGCGGCACCGCTCCTCGCGCGCTTGCTCGAGATAGAACCAAGTGTGGACAACGTAGACAACCTCGCAGACGTGTACAAAGCCGCAGGTATGAAGGCCAAGGCCGCAGAGGTGTACAAAAACGCGGTGAATGCGGCGTGGAGTGGGGAAGTGCCGAGCTCGTTGTTACTAAAAGGACTGATTGACGCGTTAAACGCAGACGGACGGTACGGCTTGTCGTTGTCGTACGTGAAATCGTTCGCGGAGAAGAACATGGCGGACGACGTGGATGTACTCTTGCTTGAGGCGAGGGTATACTCCAGCTGGATAGGTCACGGAAAGGACGCGGAGGCGACGTATCAGAAAGTCATTGACGCGCACGGGGAAGACTTCCGCGGATACCTTGCCAAAGGGGTTTTTTGCCGCGAGATCGGGAAGCCCGCGGAAGCGGACGCGCTGTTTCGGCAAGCAAAATCGATCGCGCCAGAGGATATGCGAGATGTCGTCAGCGCGGTGATCTCTCAGGCGATGAGTGGAAACTAAGGTGGTTCGTTGCGTGTAGTGCAAGTCGGATAGAAACTTTTTATACAGACTAAATGCGTTACCTAAATGCGCACACGTACTGTACACTGTCACTTACCATCGTGGGGTTGCTTACTGCGTGAGAGGATTACCCGTAGAGTAGTTTGCTCGCACTAGGCCACATGTTTAGCCCGGATGGGTTAGAGCCGAGTCTTTTTGTACACGTACTGTAATAGACGAGTTGCGCTAAGTCACCAAATTAACGCCAAATTAATTTGCGAGGACACCTATTCGAGTTCTTACAAGAGTCGAGGCATTAGTATAGGCCCGAAAGGAATAAACTAAAATCGCGAAACTTTGAGAGGCATCAGAGACATGCTAGCTAGATAGACAACATCGTGACAAAGTTTCAATCTGATCTGCGCTCAGCGACGGCGCGTTGGCGCACGAACGTACGTTTTTTTGCGATTTACAGTAGACTGAATACGCATACAAATTTCGCACTTTTTTTCTAAAATCGCGAATTACCCCACCATGCACCATGACTAAATTTGGCCGATACTCGGCTGACTGGGTACGATTTTCACTACATGTAAGCGCAACTCGTCTATCAGAACTACACGTGTACGTGTAGCCCTACACACGTACGGAAGTACTTTCGTACTTTCGTACAGTATTGTACAGTACACTTGTACCGAGACAAGTCTCGACGGGCACTCTTACTCTCGTACAGCTAACGTTAGGGCCTAGCTAGCTAGTCTAGTTGTCGTGTGGGCAGGCTATGCAGAGTTGTCACCTGCAGTTTCACAGCCAGTTTCCGGAAACGGCGGAGAATGAAACTTAGCGCCGGCAGCCCATCCGCCGAAAACCACGCTCATCCGCGAGCGTCCCTTGTGCCCTCAACCGGAATCTACGAGGAACCTGTCTGGGGCGGTTTCCCCGACACGAACTTCTCCTTCGAGGTGCTGAAGGGCGGAACGGTTATACAGGTCATAGAATGCAAGGACAGGACCCATCTGCGACTTGGCCGAGCCCTTGACAACGATGTCGTCCTCGAACACCCATCGTCGTCGCGCTTGCACGCAGTGTTGCAGTTTCGCGAGGGCACGTCAGAGTGTTTCGTATTCGACGCTGGGTCGACGCACGGCACCTTCGTGAACAAGCGCAGGCTGAAACCTTGCATGCACGCGCCAGTGTTCGCCGGTGACCAGATCACATTCGGCAAGTCCAGTCGCGTATTTGTAGTTTCTGGCACAACTGGCCTCATGCCAGAGGAGGATCCGTCGCAGATAGAGCGGATACGACTGAAAACTCGAGAACAGCTGTCAAAGTCTAAGTCTGAACACGAATTGCAGTCGACTACCTTCAAGTCAGAGAGTAGCGCCAAAGGTTCCGAGTTGGGCATCACGAAGGACGATTTTGAGCGAGACTTGGATGCATTCGACTGGAGAGAATACGGAGGCTCGTTTACGGAAAAACAGAAAACGGAACGAGAAAGGATCAGGAAAAGCGAACTCAAGGTAAAAAATTTGCGTTCCGAGTTAGACTGCATACGTGCAAAGGAGAGAGGGGACAACCCCCTGACGGTAGGGCAACGAACGCAAATATTCCGAAATGAGGAGGCACTGCATTTGCTTGAGGAGAATATTGACGAACGAGATGAGGTGCTTAATGAATCTATCCGAGAGTCGATAAGAGCGCAACACGCATGTGCGCAAAAAAAAAGATCGAGAAGGGTGGAAAAAGATAAAGGACTCAAAGGGGATTATCTTTCGGACAACGACGACGAATTCTACGATAGAACCACGATGGCAACAGCGCAGAGATTGAAGAAGCAACGCCGAGAGTCCGATCAAAGGGATGGCATAAATATAGACAATATCTCATCTGTGGGTATTGGGACAGCGGAGTCTGTATCAACTTTACGGGAGAAGCTCCAAGGATTGGAAACCACGATGCAAGAGCTTGATGCAAAGGTGGAATCTGTGCAGGAACATTTATTCTCTGTTGAAACGGCTGACATTTTCACGAGAGATCTAAATAATGCAGCTACGGACGATCTTGAGAAGTTCATGGAACAAAGTCCTGCAAAAAACGAGAACAGAACTCTGCTTGGGCTTGTGAGGCAAGTGGCAAGTGTAAATACAGAGTTTGAGCGCTTGACTCGATTGCTACAACTAGCAGATCCTCATGGAGAATATAATCCGGGTTCCGTGCGTGCACGCACTATTGAAAAGCTTTCATGCACAAATAAAATATGGTCGGCAGCGAAGATCGATGCACCCCAACGCCCAACTCATGCAAGAATCGCGAATACTACAGCTGCAGCGAACACGGAGAAGGACCGGAAGCAGTTGAGTCTGTGGGAAGAACAGGGCAATCTCCAGGCAAAGAGACGTTTCTTGGGCAAGTCTACTGTCGAGGATACGTGAAGGACTCTCTCTGTTCGATAATAGTAAATTCGTAACGAAGAAGTCAAAAGGCATCAACGTCTGCCTTGAGCTTCAAAGACCCGGAGGAAAACATGAAGGGACAACTGTGACAGTTTTTAGACCAACAGGACTCCCTGGAATGACACCGAAGCAAATGTATCGGGTGAGCTGTTTTATTTGACGGCTAGGAACATTTTCACTGGGTCGAATGTGTTTGATTATCGCAAAAACGGGGATGGGTGAACGAACAATTCAAGTAAGCAATTGTCGTGTTGGTCGGGACGGCCGTGCAAGAGCCAAAACTTACTAAAGATACTAATTTATTTATTAGAGCTGTCTAGATTATATAATAGCTACACTAGGCGATGGAAACTAACGCTGAGTAGATTCCACCCACGCTTTGCTCATATTATATTCAGAGGACGCAAACTATCTTCACAAGAGCAGTTGTTCTGAACGCTGTTCCAAGTACGAAATTTGCAGACCGAAATGAAAATTCTTCAAGCTCCTACTGTATAACATTTCCTTCCATCTCCCATGCCACCTTTGTATAGGCTGCTGAATATTCAGGCATGTCTTTCAGGTTGTAAGAAGTTGGACCAAGCATGCGACGTGTCTCTACCGCTATTTCAAATGGAGGGTTGTCCTCAGGTTCGCGCCACTTTGCAAAGGTTGACGGGAATGTCTCTCTAAGAGCCAACGTAACTAGCGCAAATATGCCACGCAAGACAAGTATGGCGAGATAAACGAAAAGGAGGAGGGTGTACCATCCCACATTTTTCTGTAAGCCTCGACGGGCAACCTCCGAGGTGTCTGAGATCAGGCCGAAGAGGTTGCCAAGAGGCGCAGGGAGGCTGCCCCAGACTGAGCATAACGTTTCGAGCGGGACACCAATAATCCCACTGATGAAAGCAGAAGGCTCCATGCGATAAAACGAATTAGCCCACACGGCAAATCCGAGGTGACCAATCATGGCGAACGCGACTACGTCGACCGTGGCACGACCCAGCGCTCTGCCGTACCGCGGCGGTAATCTAGAGACGCGCAAAAAGTCGAACTTTTCTACATAGTACATCACTGCGAATGATACAGCACCGAGAGGAATAAGGATCGGAAGACCCGCGCAAAAAGTCATACTGATGAACAGGATGTTAAGTGCCTCGCCATATTTTACCGCAAGGTTGAAGTCCGCGCCCTCATATGCTTGATTAAGTTCACGCTGTGTCACTGCCTTCTCCCGCGCTGACTTTCGCCCAAGATGAAAATTAAGCCAGCGCACGAACGTCGCAAAACGTTGCTGGAACGGGGCCACCATCATTGCAAGCACTAGGTCATAACCGACATCAGTGTACCACCTTGGCGCGAGGTCTTCGATGTTTCCCTCAAACATAATACCCTCCACGCCCGATCCTTTGATGAAGTCCTTTAACCACGGAACCGCTGCAGAAATCACTACAAGGTTCATCGCAGTGTTCAAAAACTGCGATACGAATAACATGCGCATTATTGACACAGCCTCGTCGCTCTTGCTGTGATGTTTTTCAAGCCTGACCACCTTATCTATGTAAACAGTGAGAAATCCATTGACGAGGCCGATGACGAACTGTGCTAGTCCACCAGCAACGAGGGACATCGTATAACCTTCCACGTAAGGAGCGCAGTAAGATTTGTCCCTGAGCACCGCCATGTATGTCACAAGCTCGAGACAATAACATGAGTAGCAGAAAGAGTCCAATGGACCACAGTGTTCCGCCGTGGAAGCGACATCACCGTTCGCCTCCAGATTAAAACACGTCGAATACTGCTCTCGTATTGTCGGATCGATAAGTTGTAACCTGGGCTCAGTCTCATATTTGCAGCTTCTTCTGCACTCTGCCTCATCATAACTTGTCCCCGTGTTGCTTTTCAACTGTTCAACGCCACAGATGGCCATGAATGTAAGAACTAGAATGCCGAAAGTGAAAAATTTGACGTTTATCTGTCGAAACAGCCGCTGGCTCCACGAGTACTCCAGATTTTCCCAGTGAATATCATCGGGAGGCGGCGCTTGCTTCACCTTCAACCGGTGCTTCCCCCTGAAACGTAGGTGGCTCGGGCGAAAGAACCAAGCCAGCACTCCCTGCCTATACATCTCGAGACACCCGAGAAAATCCTCCTCGTTCTGAAAAGTCACAAATGCACAAAGTGTGCGAAATCCCTCTCCGCCTCTGTCTTCTTGAAGTGCTCGAATACCAGCATCGCATGCGTGCAGACGCATCTTCAACGCTGTTGCCGCCTCTTCCCATGCTCTCAATTTGCTTTCCTTGACGCTAGGGTCTTCTCTTGCCTTCTTCACATTCGCGAGCGCCCGATTCAGCCTATCCGCAACCTTGTCCCGCGCGGCCGCGAAAGAGAGGAGTTCGCCATGATTTTGTGCAATCTGCAGCTTCATCACGGGCCCAACAGTTTTACCAAAAAATGTCCACAACTCATCGTCGTCAAAGACATCCTCTGGTATTCCGCTAACTTGCACAGTATAGTCCTCTACGGTGGTTACATTCCTGTCAACCTCCTCCGCGATGCCATCGCTCGCCGGACCAATGCCCAGCGCAAAACTTGCAAATACCGAAAGAAAAACCAAGTTGAAAAACATCAGCCCAACGTTGAGGTCATCTTTCTCCTGTGTGGTGATGTATCTCACTTTCCGCGCTTTCCCGTGCTCCCAGGGCGAGTCCGACCGCGGCGGCCATGCCGTGGCATTCTGTTCTGAAGGCACCTGACCTAACCAGGTAGCGTTTCCTGGCCCCGTCGTCCACTCCCATACTGGACCGTAGTTACCCAAACTTGACGTTTCCACCGCTGCTGCAAGTGGGTTATCCCCTTGGCCCAACGCGTTCCCTGTCAAGTTCGCCAATATTGTGGGAACGTACAACACCGACAGAACGAAGAATGTTCCCGCGAGTGTGCGGATGAAATTGAAGTAGAGCACCATTCCCATGCCGTACTCACGTAGATCCCTTGGTCTTGCTCCTACCACACTCTTCGTTTGTAAGTGTTGTGGATTTGTCTTCTCCGCGTGCTTCTCGGCGCGTTCGACGCTGGGAGGCTCATACCAATCTCCAGGCTCGCCGTCATAGTACGATTTATCGTCATCCCAGGAGTCATCGTCGAGGAACGTTGAATGATCTTCCCCATAGTGGTCGTTCGTGTATCCTCCGCGCGTGTTCCCGTCGTCGAGGGACAAGTGAGAGCGGCCGTGGCGGTCCAACTTAAGAACACCTCCTCTACCGTCGCTGTAGGGATAAAAAACATCATATGTTTGCGATGCACCCGACTCGTGCATCACTCGATCATCGCCACCGTGTGCGTGATCGCGTGGTGACTGGTACGAGGATGCGCTCGATAAACCAACACGGCTCGGTGCGACGCGTCCTCGCGTCATGAGTCAAAAGAGGAGTAAAGTGACGCGCACTTGTTGAACCGTTCAACAAAGACAGTCGGTCCTGTAAAATATTCTACTCCTCACGAGCGGTTGAACTTCGCAGAAATGTCGGGTAATCGCGAGTGATATGCCGCTTTGTCGAAGTTACGGTTCGCTTCTGGAAAGCTTAGTCTACAACTACACGTACAGGTAATTGATTGCGCATCAACAATAAAAGCTCTCGAGCGGTCTTTCAACGTGCGGATTTACGTGTACGTGTACAGCTGTACCTTCGTACAACGGTACAGCTGTACAGTACACGTACACGTGTACAGTACAACGTTTATGTCTAATATGTACGAAAGTACGAAAGTACGAAAGTACAACGTTTATGATCACGTACGTGTACGTGTGTACTGTGTACTGAAGTACTTTCGTACGACAGTACTTTTACAGTAGCTCTACTTCCGTACATTCGTAGTTTCGTACGGAAGTACGAAAGTACTTCCGGAAGTACGAAAGTAATTTTATTTTCGAAATAGATAAAACATAGTGTAAGTTGATGCAACTTAGGGCTACGGAAGTATTTCCGTACTTCCGTACGAAGGTACTTTCGTACTTTCGTACTTTCGAGAGTACTTTCGTACAGTACAGTACGAAGGTAGTCAAGGTACTACTTCCGTATCATATTATTGTATGTACAGTCTGTAAACAGTACGTGTAGGCTTGCTTTATACGAAGGTACTAAAATAGTCTCTATCATATGATAGCCCTGCCTACTACCTTCGTATGAAGCACTTGTACTTCCGGAAGTACTTCCGTAGGTACACGTGTACTTCCGTACACAGCTACAGCGTTGTACTTTCGTACGAAAGTACAAGCAACTACATACAGTACGTGTACAACGTTGTACACGTAGTCCATCATTTTAGGGCCTTTATTTTTATTTAATAATATCAAGTTTCAACAATGAAACAACACACGAAGGTACACGTACTGTACGTGTACAGTACGTGTACGTGTAGTCGTGTACACGACTTGTACAGTACACGTACACGTAGCACTCACGTAGCCATAAAGTTTTACTTTTGCAGCACTGTACAATATTATGTTGCACAGTACACGTACACGTACTGTAGGGCTATTGTTGTCCTCCACGTAATTCGAAAAAATACGTACTCGTGACAAAAAGCACGTACAAAAGTGTACTTTCGAAAGTACGCGCGAGCACCCGCGCGCGCAACACTACCTTCGTATCTAATAGACCTTCGAAGGTACATGCTGTACGTGTAGAACTGGTGTAGCCCTACACGACTTGTACACGTAGTCTACAACTACACGTCGAACGAAGGTATTTCCGGAAGTACTTTCGAAAGTACATTGTACGAAAGTACTCAGTACGAAGGCACGAAAGTACTTTCGAAAGTACTTTCGTACGAACGAAAATAGATACCTTCGTACTTCCGTAGATCCGTAAGTGTACGGAAGTACTCGTACTTCCGGAAGTACGGAAATACCTTCGTAGTCATTTATTCTCATCATAAAACAACTAAGTTATAGTAACAACTTACTGTAGTTGTACATAACAACTTTATAAAACTATTGTACACGTACTGTAGCCCTACTGGACACGTACTGTAGGGCTAAACTTTTACCTTCGTACGAAAGTACGAAAGTACATTGTTATTCTATCCTTGTACGAAAGTACCTTCGTACCTTCGAAGGTACGAAAGTACTTTGAGTACGAAAGTACTTTCGTACGAAAGTACTTTCGAAAGTACTCAAAGTACTTCCATAAAGTTGACTTTTACTGTACACGTGTACACTGTACACGTGTACACGTACACGTACTTGCTGTTCGCATGTCGCCCTTACGGGCACGTTGAAGAAGGCGCGCGTGGGCCGATTTGCCTTTCAAAATTTTCGCCCCTTGATCGTGAATCTCCGGTCAGCCTCGTTGAAAAATAATCACCGATGAAAATGCGATGAAAATTTCCCCACCGGAAGGACGCGGTTTCAACGTTTTTTTACCCGACTAATTTGAAACTGACGTAGCCTACCGATTTGGTAGGCCCCGTCAGTTTCGCGATTCGAGCCAGAAGGGCGACCGCGAACAGCATAGTAGGCCCTACGAAAGTACGAAAGTACAACGTTGTACGAAAGTACTTTCGTACATAACAACTTACGAAGGTACCTTCGTTCGTAGGAAATTAAATATTTGAGAACAGTCCGCGTTGGCTACTCAGATGGCGTTAGCTCCTCGTCTGCGACGTATCCTCGCGAGCGCGAGGTGGGAGATCAAGGACTCTTTGAGCAATCGACATTCACGTCGCACACACGCGCACGGGCAACATGCGCTTCCATCCAACGCCGATGTTGTGGCAGCCATGGATAAACCGGTTGCTGACTTCGGACCCGTCACACTCGACTTCGCCAAGCTCGTAAAGCGTGGAAACGGACCATTCGAGGAGTACGACCGGTTGTCAAAGAACGGCACGTTGCGCCCCGACGACTCTCAGCGCCGTGCCGTCGCCGTTCTCGACGTTCTGCACCGCGAATTGGCCGCGAGGCTTTGCGCGCTCGAAACGACGCCGTCGTCGTCGCTGTTTCCAACGGTGGGAAACAAGAAATCGGAAAATAGTTGGTTTAGTTCCCTCCTAAGTGCACGAACGCGGACGTCCAAGCCCAATGGACGCTCCAAATTAGAGGCAACCCACGGTGGTATCTATCTTCACGGTGGCCCCGGCTGCGGGAAATCGTTATGCATGGCAGGTGCTATAAATTGCTTGATCTCTTGGTAACTGTCTCAAGGCAAGTTTCCTCACTACTTCTTTTGCCCGGGCGTGCTGTGACCCTTAACCGAGGACCTCGCGTACGCGTGCCTACCTGGCAGATCGGGTACTCATAAAAGACGCGTGCATTTTCACTCATTCATGTTAGAAACTCATCGGGCGCTACACAAGCTCGGGAAGTCGTCTAGTGGTGTTGACACTGTCGCAACGTACGCGATGCAGATTGCAGATAATTGTGCAGTATGGCTTCAATAAAAAGCCTTTCATCTACCGATAGACTTTGTTCACCATCTCGATGACTCCGTGACCACATCTGATGTCATCATCTGCTTGACCCTAAGAACAGGTCCTTTGCCTGGATGAGTTTCATGTCACTGACGTTGCAGACGCGATGATCATTCGCAGACTACTGGATAGTTTATGGGCAAATGGGGTGACGCTAGTGATCACGAGTAACAGGGCACCTGGGGAACTATATAAGAACGGGCTGAACCGCGTGCAGTTTATGCCATGCATCGACGCTATTGAGGCGCGATGTGTAGTGCATCCGATGGAGAGCACACGGGATTATCGTTTGTTCGGTGTTGCCGCACTGGACGATGATGAGAAGGGGACGGAAGCAACCGACGATATGGTAGACGAAAGCAAAACTTTGTATGACATTCAAAACCATAGCGGTCATGGGAATACAAAGATGACGAGTGGCAGCAAGAGCGGGACGTGGCGGGTTGCTTCCCCCAGGCCAGATTCAGGATCACAATACAGAGCAGAAGGAGAAGCAGAGTCTTGGCTTCGCTTGAAACTACGACGGCTTGCCAAACTTGCCGTGGAGGAAAACATGGTGCGGGTTGAAGTTGCTGTTGATGGTCGACGAGTCCTCATTAATCGTGCGAGTGGCGGTGTCGCTCATTTGCACTTCAATGAGGTTTGCGACAGCGCCCTCGGTGCAGCAGACTACACCGCCATTGCGGCTGTATTTCACACCGTTGGGCTCTCAAGCGTCCCTTTGATGACAAGGGACCGCCTAGATACAATGCGGCGTTTTATTACCTTTATCGACGTTTTGTATGAGCACAAGGTAAAGTTGCTGGTAGTTGCTGCTGCGCTGCCGCTTGAGCTCTTCAACACCGGGGGCAAACGGTTTCTAAGTTTGACAGAGGAAGAGTTTGCCTGGGGGCGTGCGGCGTCGCGTCTGATGGAGATGTCAACTTCAGAGTATCTCGAAGCGCCGTGGCGGCCAAAGTCTGGTGCCTGGTTGCTGGAGCAGGCTCGTGTAACAGAGGTCATCCCAGCAAGTGTCCTCAGGGCGTTGTGGCAGAGATATGATGCTGATCACAATGGGGTGCTTGACGAGTCAGAACTTGAGGAGTTACTCGCAGATTTGAATGAGACCCGGCGGGGACACAGAAACGTCCCTGAGGAGCAGCTCCGGAGCGCGTGGGAAATGCTGACAAACCGTGGAAAACGAGGATTAGTGAAATGTATGGGAATGGGAGTGGTTAATTCGACGTGTGCAGAGGATGGCAAGGAGATGGAGGCGGTGCTGCCGTCAAGGCGAGGTGATGCGTTCATCGTATTTGACGATTTCATTCAGTACGGTAATGATGCATTCGCAGCGTGTATGCAGGTGTGAGTTTTATCTTTAGAATGATGTGGTTTGTCGCTAGACTCATGACTGCCTCTAGCACTCCTCCAAAGATACCTTCGTACTTCCGATATACATCCGGAAGTGACAGTAGTGCTGTGCACGTATGGTACGAACGAAAGAAGTTACGGAAATATGAGGACGCAGAAACGAGATCGACGATTCCTATGAGCAAATTGTCTCAAATTGTACGCGCCCCTATAGATGATGTACTGTACGGAAGTACTTGAACGGAGAAAAATGAAAGAAGAAAATTTCGTTGACTCGTAACTTGCTTTCAACTTTTCAAAGAGAGTTGACCCTAGCGCGCGCTTGTGCGCCGCTTTTCGCGCGATTTGCGGGCTGGAACACTCGTGCGAAGAGTAGCATCACACCATACGCCTCGAGAGCTTTCCATCGATGCGTCTTTTGTGAGTGTTCATCCTCGCAAACATAGTCAACGTTCATGACTCAGAAAATATACTCCGTTTCTGACGTCCTGGAAATATGAGCTAGCTAGTAGCTACCGTCGAAGGTGCCTCCAGGATAGCAGATACCTTCGTAATAATTTTACATTCGTATTCAATATTTAAATATTATACTTCCGTACACGTAGTGTACAGTATAGGATACGCACTGGATACGTCATGAATATACAAAATAATTAAAAATCAAAGTGTTCAACGCGATACGTGTCACCATGAACTGATTATAGTTAACATCACCCGAACTGTGGTTAATTCGAAGATTTGCAATACAATTACAGGGCGAGGGCTCGTACACAATGAGACGAAATATGGCACCCGATCGCCCAACCACGATGAACATATATTACACCGAAGTAAGTTCAGCCAACTTTGCCAGCCTTGCGTTTTTTTTATCCCTCAATTCGAGCTCCTGCGACTTGGCCATTAAACGTGACCGCTGCTCTGCTTCTGCCTGGACTGACCGCACCTTCGCCAAAAAATCTGGTGTAAAGTAAGATACACGAAACTTAAAACCGTGCGGTCGAAACGCGGCCGCACACATATTGCGCCACTTATCCTTTAGATCTACCGAGCTGCGTGCTGAGTTCTTGAAGTGTTGTTTCAGTATAATAACCCAGTTGCCGATTCCATACGAGGATACACCTGTGACGAGAGCCTCTGCCTCCTCCCTTGTGAATCGCTCATTGTTGCCTTGGGCACGAACACGCTTGCGTTTTACATTTTTGAAGCTATTCGTTATCTTGTGCAAGGGGAGAATAGCTGGCATATCAACTCGCCTCGAAATGTGCGTGCTTGTGCTCACCTCTGGGAGGATGGTCAACGTTAGTAGAGCAGAGTCAACTCCAACTCCAAGGTCAGATATGAGGGTACCAGGCGGGTGTAAGCCAACTTCGACGCCATTATACGAGAGATGCATACGGTTGGGAAGTAGGCGACCACAGGTTTTCAGTGAGATTATATCCTTGATCCGTGTGTTTGTGCACGTTGTCTGCTGTATGAAAGTTGGGTTTAGGCAAAGAAGTTAACTAAAGATCATTTATTAGACTGGGCCGCACCGGGACTCTGAGGGGCATGTCGTTGCCATCCCAACGAATCGTTATAGTACAATTAACAGTCGGGTCTTCGTCGTTTTCGAAACTGTAGTCGTAGTTCGCGTTGTTCACTTCTGCAGGCGTGGACATTTGCTTGTCACACACACTTTGCTTGTGTTTAATAAGAAAAATAAGCAGCTTGCAAGATATCTGGCAAGATGCTTGCGACACGGATCGTTCGGTCTTCTCGAATATGGTGGTGGGTTGTGTTATTGACGACTCTCTGTACGTGTACGTGTACGTGTACACGTACACGACGGGCTATCTGTGAGCTCTACCTTCATCTTTTATGGTCAACTTATCATATTTGGAGTATCATACTTCAGAAACGAAAGCTCATTTCTGAACCATGATCGTTGACTATGTTTGCGGGGGGGAACACTCACAAAAGACTCATCGATGGAAAGCTCTCGAGGCGTAAGATGCGATGCTACTCTTCGCGCGAGTGTTCCGGCCCGCAAACTGCGCGAAAAGCGGCGCGCAAGCGCGCGAGCAGCTCTCTTTGGAAATTTGAAAGCAAGTTACGAGTCAACGAATTTTTCTTCTTTCAATTTTCTCCTTTCAAGTACACGTACATCATGGGTCGATTCATTTTTAATATGTTTGCTCATAGAAATCGTCGATCTCGTGTCCTAGCTAGCTAGCTAGTTGCATTTATCATATCTGGGACTATCAATTTCCACTCCGTACGTGTACACGTACAGTACACGTACGTTGTACACTTTTATGTGCTCTTTTTATTCTCTTTTATCATTGTAGTCGTGTACGAAGATAGAATAATACCTTCGGTACTGTCCATGCATGTACATAAAATTGTGTGTAGATCTGATTACAAAAAGACTGTACATGTACATACAGTACGTCGCTCGGGTACTATGGCCACATAGCCTATCTCGCCACTCTTCTACTCGTAGCGGTATGCGCACACACGTAGCCTAGCTAGCTAGGTTAACTGTTCTTCATCAGGCGTACGCGTATACACAGAACAGAATGTCCAGGGCTGCACGTCACGGAGACTTGAAATAACACACACACGAATGTCCGAGATTGGCGCCCAAGTTCGGGATACAAGCGCGCGTTTTGTCGCTATAGGAGATCTCGCACAACTTAAGCGCGCATTTGACGACTGTTTGTTATCGGTATAAAAACCAACCTAATGTTCGTTTCTATTTCGCACACGGCTTCAACTTTACTCGAACTCCTACTCGCTTCTAAGTTGTCCTTCTCTCCCTCGAATTCAAGTTTCTGATCGATTCTGGCTACGTGTACGATCATGCTCACGATAACAGAAAAATATTTTTGGGAACATTTTCTTGTACTGTCGCACTGCTATTGCACTTTTTTCCAGAACTTCTACACTGCAGCAAATCCTTAACGTTTCCAATTCTGTTTGCTTACTTGACACTGAGTATTACGCTGCAACTGTACAGTGTCTACGCACAAATGGGTGCTAGGATGATTAAATATGACTTAACTGCGGGTCATTCTTACACGAGTGACAAGAGTGCTTGGTTGTCATTCCAATGTAAGTCACAGAAAAATAAAGAGGACGTTACTGTTGCTCTAACACAGCATGGTCATCGGGCTGCAAGCATACAGAGGGAATTACATTTGTGCAATTATCTGTATGAGGACGGAATTTTTGCAGACAAAAAGCTCGGTGGAGAGGTTCGGCATCTCCTACAGGAGTTGAGGTTGAGGTAATAAGTTCGTTTGCATTCAAACTTGGAGGCGACGAGTTGCGGCGTGAGCTCAAAGGAAGAAGCTTTAAAATAAAAGTCTCTACTTGAAAAGCTGTACACGCAGTCACCGCTATGCACTGGACATTCTCAGGAAAAATGTTTCCTGTGCAAGATGTGCGATAAAAAGCCAGAGAAGCAACTCTGAAACTGCCGTCAATCATTCAACTCACACAGAAGTTAAACAATTCTCTTAGAAAATGTATACTGTGCTGTAGAGCTGCTAATTAAATCTGATGTAGTGTTCGGAGATCTTTGGATTCCCTTAACGTGACGATTCTATTCAGCACAGGTTTCTTCAAAGTGGATTCTCTGTCAATAGTGAAATACCCCAAACGCTGTAACTGAAAGCGAAAACCAAGTGGTTTATCTGCCATGCAGGCGATCGAAGGTTCGAGGAGAGCATTTTCATGAACTACCAGGGAAGAAGGATTCAATTGGGAAAGCCAGTCCACATCTGTACAGTGCACCGCGTCTGATCCTTCTGTTTGGTAGTGTGTCTGTTCTCCTTGCTTGAAGTCATCCTTTTTCCCAGGAACCTCGGCCTGAAACAGCTTGTCATATACTCGCACTTCGCCCTGAACAAAATCAGCTGATGCCCAGTGGAGAGTGCCTTTGGGTGGCTTTGTGTTAAGTGAGTCTGGAACATATATCGCTTTCAGCAAACAAGCGTTTCCTGATGCGTCCTTATGAAAGCCAGTGCAAGTTATATTGTAACCGAACAGCAACCTTACAGATTTGCCTGGTGCAAGTCCATAGAAATTTATATCATCAAATTCACGAAAATCACTGCGTTCTATGAACACGGTGCTTGTGAGGTTCAATGTTCGGATGCCGCGTTCTGGAAACTTCGGGTGTAAGGGGCAGTTGACTGGTAAAGGAGTGCCAGGGTGGTTGGAAATGATAACAGGCAAAGGATCCAAGACTGCGAATCGGCGATATACAACATCGTCCAACTCTTCGCGGATACATCGCTCGAGTTTGCTGAAATGTTGGGTGTTGTCGTTGCGGGTCGTGCCCAGTTCAAAACAGAATCGATTGATTGACGTCGGAGTGTAGCCTCGACGACGAAGGCCCTCTATAGTCAGCAAACGAGGATCATCCCAGCCTGTAACGTGACCCTCTGTAATCAACCTGTTGAGTTTGCGCTTAGATAGTACATTGTGTGTGATGTTACAGCGTGCGAACTCCCATGTAATTGGCTTGTACAACCCAAGACTATCAAGTAGCCAATAGTAGGGCCCATTTGGTGCCTGTCGTGTTTCGAACTCTAAGGTGCACAGAGAATGGGTGACGTTCTCAAGACTATCCACTAAGCAATGCGTGTAGTCATATGTGGGGTAGATGCAGTATCTATCGCTTGAATGAGGATGTTTCTCAAACTTAATGCGATACGCAGCAAGATCCCACATTGAGGTGACGTCTGAACGCAGGTCACCTTTCATCCGCAAGCTGCAGGTGCCCTCCTCCCACAGACCTCTTTTCATTTCATCAAAAAGTATCAAGTTGTCTTTCACACTTCTGCATCGGTAGGGTGATGCTGCACCGAAAGGCAGTGGCGTGCCGTATCGTGGCAGACATTTCCGAGAACAGTAAAGCTGAAATTCCTGCAGAAGTTGACGAGATGCCGCCGTCTCACTTTTGGTTTGATGACAAACATAAGCCTTGCCCTGCCTGATCAGTTTTAAGGCAAACTCATAAAGTTCATCAAAATAATCCGAAGAGTACGTCACCTTAAAAGGCTTATGACCGAGCCAATCAACAGAGTCTCTGATTGAATCAATGTACTCCTGTTTCTCAGCAGCAGGGTTGGTATCGTCGAAACGCAGATAAGTGCACCCAGAATGCTTCGCAGCTAACCCAAAGTTAAATTGCATCGCCTTGGCGTGTCCGATATGAAGATATCCGTTGGGTTCGGGGGGGAATCGTGTCTGCCATTTTCCTCCCGTAATAGACACATGTGCAGCTAAGCATTCGGGGGAGTTTACTGCAAAATTCCTTGCACCAACAGGCAGTTGGGACTTTTTTTTTGCGATCACATGATCCTCTGAACCGGGCCTAGGGAGGTCGACCTCCATCTCGAGAGTTTCATGAAGATCGCTGAAGGAGGATGTCATACCACGCTGCGATACAACAACTCCTGAAGTTTTCTTTTTCTCTTTATTCGCTCGTGTGTCTGATGCCTGACAGAGGGCTTGGGCCCTTTCATATAAATCCTTAGCCGTGGTGAAATCTTTAGCTATGAATGCAGCGTGAGCTTTCAAGCCTAGTGCACGCCCCGCCGGATCTGGCTTCTTTTTATAAAATTTTTCATATTTTGATTTCGCTTTCTTCACAGCGCTCATACTTACAACTTCCTGTCACAAAATGGCATTTTCGAAACGTCAGTCGTGAAGGGTAGTCCACACTCTCGTGAACAGAGTTCGCGGACAGCGGAGGGGAGCCAGGTAACTAACACGATCCTACCATTTTATAGAAGATTAGATCACTGATGCGAAGGTAGATAAATCGTTTTGCAAGGAAGAGTAGCAGGCACAGCCCGATAAACCTCAGATCATTGTCGCGCAGCGGAGCAACGTACTGCACACGTACGTGTAGTATCGGAACAACGCAACGTTCTCGTATTTTATTTCATCTGTACACGTACACGTACAGTACACTACTGTAACGCGGAGTACGTGCGTGTGCTGTACAAAGTACTTTCGAAAGTATTCTATCTTCGAAGGTACCTTCGTACGAAGGTATGTAGTTGTACACGTAGTGCACAATAAAGGGCTAAGCCCTACCTACACGTACCGCGTTGTACACGCACGTACGCAGACTTTTATCATATGATATGGGAGAAGCTGCATGTGTACCATGTACATTGTACCTTCGTACCTTCAGGTACGAAGGTAATAAATATCATAATAAATATGATATTTCGTACAATAGTTATGAGTTGCCATATTTCATTTATTTCTTGTATGTACAGTATCATAACAACTTTATAGTATCTACAGTTCTACACGTGTATACTTTCGTACCTTCGAAGGTACACGTGTACATATGTAAAACGTTGTACGCACGGAAATAGATACCTTCGATAGATACTTTCAAAGTGCGGAAGTACCTTCGAGTAATAAACTTACTTTCGAAAGTACGAAAGTACAATTTAACGCACGTGTACCTTCTCACGGAAAATACTTCCGTACGTGTACAGCTGTACACGTACACGTACACGTACAATAAAGTTGTTAATAAGTTCTGGATAAAAATGTTGATATTTGCAACTTACCTCGAAGGTACAGTACACGTACGGTACCTACTGTACGTAGCTTCGTACTTCCGGAAATAGATACTGTATGTAGAGTGTAGACTTCTAGACTACCTTCGTACATACGAAAGTACTTTCGTACTTTCGTACTTTGAAAGTACTTTCGAAAGTACTTTAAAGTACGAAAGTACGAAAGTAACGTACAATGTATACGTACTGTACGTGTACAACTGTACACAGCTACACACGCACATGATAAATTATGTACGTGTAAAACAACTATTTATGATATTAAATATTTATGGAGATAACAACTTACTTCCGGAGCGGAAGTACAGTACTTGTACTTCCGTACGTACGTTTAAACTTCGAAGTATCATAAAAAATAGGTACTTTCGTACGTAGCTACGTAGTACGTACAGTATCAGCGCCGATAGCATAGCGCTACGTAGCGCTACGTAGCGCTATGCACCAGGCGCTACAGTGGCGATAGCGCTATTGGCACTATAGTGGCGCTATCGGCCTGTTGGGCGTCTACAGGCGTGCTGGCCGGGCTGCGTCAGGGCGTCCTATAGTGCGCTAGAGCGCTACAGCGCTAGAGCGCTACTGGCGCTACATGGCGCTAGAAGGCGCTAGAAGGCGCTAAAAGGCGCTAGTACGGCACTACAGTATTCGCTGGGCGTATCACCAGGCTCCTACTCAATCGCTAGTGCGCTAGAGCGCTAGAGCGCTAGCTAGAGCGCTACATGGCGCTAGAAGGCGCTAGAAGGCGCTAAAAGGCGCTAGTACGGCGCTACAGTGATAGATAGCTTCTTCGCCCACTACCCCACTTGTCACTTGACACTATTTCTGACCAGGTTTCAAAAGTTCTATCTTTGAAAGTACTTTCGTACTTTCGTACATTTAGCCTCTGAGGTTCGAATTTTCATCGTATAAACAAATGATTTGATAGCAATATTGAACTCATCGCACGCCTTCGGTGGCTCTTCGCCCCATGAGCTCATGTTGCATCATCACATCTGATCGAAAGCCACGCGGGCTTCGCCCGCGTGATATTCGCGCGGTCGCCGTACCCTTAAACCCTAAACCCCAAACCTACCCCCCTACCACTACCTCGGGTGGAACTACGTTTTTCAATATCCTAAAACTCGCGGCCACCGTTTCGCCACCCTCGCGACTAGGGTCTCGCGACGCCGAGCTCGCTCCGACGCGAACGCGTAACCCTAAACCTAACTAGGGTTCGAGGACCCTAGCCGCGAGGGGGCGGAACGGGGCCGCTCGGGGGGTGGGGCGTCTTGTCCGAGCTCTCGGCGCGTACGTATGGCGGCGACTAGCGACAGTGTGCTAGCTAGCAGTTTCTAGCGCTAGCTGGATGACAGCAGCAACTGCCAGCTTAAGAGCTAGCATCAGATAGCAGCGGTTAGCAGAAAATAGCGGCTGGCAGCAGTTAAGAGCGGTGACTCGCGCGAGCACTAGCGCTAGTAGCACTCTAGCACTAGCGGCAGCCATCCATGACCGGGACAGCAGAACTTCCAGCCATCAGATAGCAGCGGTTAGCAGAAAATAGCGGCTAGCAGCACTTAATAGCGGCGACTCGCGCGAGCACTAGCGCTAGTAGCACTCTAGCACTAGCGGCAGCCATGGGCGGGTCCAGAGTACCTAGAAGCGATTCGCAGCGGCGGAGGATCATAGCGCGTTTCTAGCTCTTCGCGAATCGCTACGAAGTGCTAGCGGCTGAGGTGGCAGCGAACAGCTAGCACATGTAGCGAACGAGCGCGCCGATCAGATGCAAATCTAGGCAGATCGCGCTAAGTTGCGCTACATCACAGCTTCACATCAAATAACACACTTCGCTAGCGGAGTGCTACGCGTCGCTGACTAGCGCTACGCGCTACGTCAGTACCTTGTGTAGGTATGCATGACGACGGTTTATAACTACAACGTATGATATGGTTTATGTGTACAAGTAGCCAAAAACAGTACACGAAACCCTAAATCCTAAACCCTAAACCCTGCCCTGAAAACTTCCACGGGGCGGCAGCGCAAATCCTGTTTATGGAGCTGGGATTTCCACATCGCCCAGGCTCCGTGCGCTCGTGAGGCTCACATGGGTTTCATGAATCCCGTCGTGGGGTTGCTTACTACGTGAGAGGATTGTTCATAGTGTGGTCTGCTTGCATTCAGATCACAAGTTTTGCCCGGATGGGTTAGAGCTCAATCTCTTTGTAATCAGATATAGTACACACAGTACACGATAGACGACACGTTCTACCTTCGTACGAAGGTACGAAAGTACTTTCGAAAGTACTTTCGTACTTTCGTACGAAGGTAACTTACGAAATTTGTGTTGAGAGTGTTTATGCAAATTTTGTGTTCCAGTCCGTGTCACCGGTATCAGAATCATGGAGACCGCTTCTTGCGCGAAATACTCGTGCATCAACATCTTGCGGTGAGCCAACGCAGTCCGTTATCCTTTCTATCTCACCTTTCCCAGGACACGAATAGACTTTCGACATGACTCACGTTCTCGTCGTAACCCACCACGTCTCGGCATCTCCATTCCTAGGCAGCAGGCAACATATCGCCGGATCCAGACCTCTTCTCCCTCAGCCTTAGGGAAAGAAAGCGGCCGAGGTGGTGAGACATGGAAAGATGGGCTTTCCGACACTTTCAACTCGGAGTCAAAGGAACAAATCTTAGTTGGCAAGAACCTGCGGAAAACTCACGATGGAGAAAAATACCAGTTCTTGAACGTCGACCTGGCGCTCTCCGCAGGACAGCGCATCGCGGTCGTTGGCCCAAACGGTAGTGGTAAGTCTACACTTTTACAGGTTATAGCAGGAAAATATGCTGGGGAAGATGGTGATCTTTGGATCCGGAAAGGCTTACGTGTCGCTTTTCTTGAACAAGAGCCGGCGTTTGACGAGTCCCTCGAGGTTCTACAGGCAGTGTATGCAAGGGATACCCCTACGATGCGGACTTTACGGAGGTATGATGCGGCTGTAAATGGCATCGAGACTGCGGTTGGGGAACAAGAAACGTTAAGTGCCACATCAGAGTTGACTGCTGCGCTCGAGGCAATGGACCTGATGTCAGCTTGGGATCTGGAGAGCAAAGCAAAGAGCACGCTTGATCGGCTAGGTTGCGACGAGTTCTTGATGCGGAAAATGGGAGAACTGAGTGGAGGTCAGAAAAAACGCGTCGCTCTCGCTGCCGCACTTATAGAAGAACCGGAGCTGTTGATTTTGGATGAGCCCACCAACCACTTGAGTATTGAGGTTCGTTATATTTTTTTTCCTTTTCACGAGTGAACAGAAGTTGTCCACCTTCATTTTTAGTTTCGTGAAGCATGATTGAACGTGATCCACTTGATTCTTGAAACTTTGGATGTGTTGTATCCTTACGTTGTGGGTGTGGAGTGGCTTGAGCAGACGTTGAGTAGCATGGGGAGCACCGCAGTTGTGCTTGTCAGCCACGACAGGAGGTTCATCGATGCGGTGTGTCCAGATATCATAGAGCTCGACGGATTCGGCGGCGCGCACATGCACCGGGGTGGATACGCGGCATACGTAGAAGCCAGAGAGGCTAGGTGGGCGGCGGAGGCGCAGAATAGGGCGGCTGCAAAGAACACGCTGAGAAAGGAAAAGGAGTGGATGCGTCGGCAACCTAAAGCACGTGCAACAAAGGAGAAAGCGCGGATAGAGAGGTTCTACTCTTTAAGCTATCGCGTGGCGAAATCTGGAACCAAGGGAACGCGTGTTGATCTCGTTGAAGCCAAGGTGTCGAGGATGGGAGATTTCGTAGCAGAATTCGACAAAGCATCACTTGCATTTGGTAGGTGATACACTTTATATGCTCGAGGCCAGTTTATCCTAAATCACCCTGCCTAGTTGATATATGCAAGGAATTTATGACCTTATGGTTCGGCGAGAAGATAATTCTTGATGAGTTTTCTTACGCCTTCTCTAAACGGGAGAAGATCGGCCTAGTTGGTCCTAACGGCGCAGGCAAAACCACGTTCTTGAAAGCGTTGATGTGTGAGATTCCGTTGGACAGCGGTTGGGTAAGCGTAGGAGAAACAATACAATTTGGATACTACAGTCAGGTTGCGACATTTGATGACAAGGCTGACCTCAAGGTGGCTGATTATGTGAAAGCCATAGAAGGTGAAGCGCGAAGTGTGGTTGGAGGCTTCGGAGGTTTGCTCAAGGGGGTGTCTGCATACAAATTGTTGGAGCGTTTTAATTTCAGTGGTCCAAGGCAGATGACATCAATATCGCAGCTCAGTGGTGGGGAGAAAAGGCGTTTACAATTATTATCTGTAATGGCATTGGCCCCTAACTTTTTAATTCTGGATGAACCAACGAACGACTTGGACCTCGATACAATCGAGGCGTTGGAGGACATGTTATTCGACTTTGACGGATGTGTTCTGGTCGTGAGTCACGACCGAGCGTTTGTCAACAACCTTGTGGATCACATCTTCGTGTTTGACGGTCAAGGAAACGTGAACGATTGGTACGGTGACTACGATTCCTTGAGACGACATTTGAAGAAAAATACGTACATTCCAAGTGTTAGTGACGTTGACATAAAAACTGCGAAGGAACGGGAAGCGTTAATAGCGAAGGAAGAGGTAGAAAGAGCAATTCTGAAAGAAGCATACAACGCTCCGAGCGTCGTACAGAAGATTGAACGCGCGCTTGCGGTGTTAGATGAAGCAGTCGCAGCGATAGACGTGAAGCTGATTCATTGTGGTTCAGACGCTAACGCAGCACATGAAGTCCAGAAGGAACGAGACTTGAAGGTCGCGAAGCAGGACACATATTATGCTGAGTGGGAACGATTAGAACGGATCATGGCGGAGGCTGAGGAGATCAAGGCAGCGCGGGAAGCGATTTGAATATGAAGCACTTTTTTGGTTTTCTGAGCTATATCTCCTGGTACCCGTATTCAACCATTCTTCTCCATAGAACCCACTATCTTTGAAACGTGAATCGGGCCAAACACAACTTTACTCTGGTATTGTCTGGCCGCCTCAAAGTCCTTTAGCCGCTTCTTCTCCATCAGCACAACTGAGTTGATCTCGCGTGGCATGTGCACGAAACGGATCACGCGCGCGCGGACATGCAACTTATCCAACTCGTCTTTCCGTCCCTCAGGTGTTACCCTCACCGCGCGTTCAAGCGTGCAGTTCATTCCTTCGTCGCACCCAGTCAGATAGCCTTTGATCGAGAGGTCGTCTCTCGTCTCTAGGATAACAACATGATCGACAAGGGACTGAATCAAGCATAACAGAGAGCGATCCTGAGAAGCGGGGTGTCGTTTACCCATCGTCCCATGCACTTCCAACTCTTTCGAGTGTCCGGCATAAGAGGATAGGCTACACGCTAGATATCGAAACACGTCGAGCCTCCGGGTGGGAGTTGGCGCCGTGTGCGACCGCCTCCTCGAGCAACACCTTCTCCCGTTCAGCACCACTCACTACTGTAGCTAGCTACCTTCGTACCTTCGTACGAAAGTACTTTCGTACTTTCGTACGAAAGTACGAAAGTACGAAGGTACGAAAGTACCTTCGAAGGTACTTTCGTACCTTATTAGGTATCTAGCTAGCTAGCTAGCTAGCTAGCTAGAGCTAGCTAGCTACGAAGGTACTTTCGTATTAGATATCTACCTTCGTAGCTAGCTACGAAGGTAGCTAGCTACCTTAGCTAGCTACTTTCGTACTTTCGTACTTTCGTACTACTACACGCACGTGTACAATGTACACGTACAGTACTTTCGTACTTCCGGAAGCACCTTCGAAGGTTACTATCTATTCTATGAAGGTAGCTAGCTACCTTCGTAGCTAGCTATCTACGGACAATCTTCGTAGCTACGGAAGTATTCTATGGAAGTACAGTGGAAGTACGTAGGCCCTACGTACCTTCGAAGGTAGCTAGCTCGCAGGTACGAAAGTACTTTCGAAAGTACCTTCTCGTAGTGTGTAGCTGTGTATGATACGAAAGTACGAAAGTACGAAAGTACTTCTGTAGTACGAAAGTACGAAAGTACTTCCGGAAGTACCTTCGTTCGCACGGAATTACACATATTCTATCTATCCCTACACGTAGTTGTACTTCCGCTCAACGCATATATAGTTGTACTTCCGGAAGTACACGTACAAACATACAACTAATGGATTATCTATTCTAGCTACACGTACTGTACAGTAGATAGAATATTAATACGAAGGTACCTTCGAAGGTAGATAGACTAAGTAAGGCCATAGTAAGATAAGCTACGAACGAAGGTACATATCTAGCTAGACTACTACGTGTACCTTTGAAGGTACTTCCGGAAGTACCTTCGAAGGTACAAAAGTACTTCCGTACAACGTTGTACTTCCGTAGGTACCTTCGAATGTAGCTAGCTAGCTAGCCAGTCTAATAAATTTTACTTTCGTATGTACTTTAGAAAGTACTACTTCCCCGGAAGTACAACGGTTGTAAAACGTTGTACGTGTACGTGTACAGCTGTACACGATTACTGTACTGCACGTGTACGTCTCGTACGCCCGGGCGGATGGAGTGCTTGCAAAAATTAGCCCTACATCCCAAAACTCTCTACTGTATCTATCTAGTTGTACTGTAGCTAGCTACTGTTCGCGGGTCGCCTTTACGGCAAGTGACGGAGTACTTTCGTACGAATAAGTACGAAAGTACAGTACTTTCGAAAGTACGAAAGTATCTACGAAGGTATCTTCGAAGGTACGTGTAGCTTCTACTTCTAGGATTATTAGCTCACACACACCTACTGTACCATAACAATAGTTAAAATAATAACACACACACGACGTTAAAGTGTGTCGTGTCGACAAGCTAGAAATGTTATCGGCACGTAAAACGAATGGAACGCCCCCACTGAACATATGTGTCACCCGGCTAGACAGCTCCTGCAATGTCTTCGCTGTTCTTGCTTCAAACTCCATACAGCAACAGAGAACGCGCTCACATATTTGTGCCGCCGATTTAGTTTTATCTCGCAGAAGTGAAGCACGTTTTACACGCCAAGATCCCTATTCAGTCAATCACAGGACATCGGAAAAAGTAGATCGTCATTCCTTCTCCTCTAATCATATCCTTGACACGCTTCCTGACGTCACCGGATACATGGTCTCCTACCCGTTGAAATCTGGACGTACCGTTTTCGGGATGCTGCACGGTACCTTTCCACGAGATAAGGCGGGGCGGCTTTACTCTCGTGCCATTGGTTGTGAACTGTCAAACTCAGACAACACGAGACTGAATTGGTCTGCATTTAGGAACCAAGTGCCCGTGAGCTTTCGCAAGGTGAATTCCTGGAGTTGTGAAGACGATGCGCAACTAATACAGAGTGTGTCTGACTACATGCAAATATCAAGACTATTCAACAAACAGCTGGGAAAACCGCTATTTAATGAGACAAGCAGTGTGTTGTTTCTTTGCGCGTGCTTTTTGAGGAGCATGACGATCGCATTCGATACTGCAGTTGATAGCGTAGGACTCGACTGGGAAGAACTGGCAAGGAAACCTACATGTATTATATTTTTTGTATGTGCACTTTTCTCATTTATCTTTTACGCCAAGGTAAGTGTAGAGGTTTAGCGCTGACCATCAATGAAGGCTCGACTACACCTTCCCGGGCGTGAGGGAATCGACTGCATGCTTCGCTGGGCAAATTGTCGTCATCCAAGACTACATCAAGGTCATTTCACAGCTGAAGTGGATGCTGTCTTGCAGGAGATAGTCAAAGCCCAAGGATACTACGACTGGAAGTATATAGCCTCAATTCTCTCAGCTGAGAGGATTGGTGAAACTCTTAGTAAAGTTGATTCGCGTTTGAAAGAGTACCGTATCAAATACCACCACACTTTCGAAAAAATGTTTCATTCTATCATGGATCGTCGCTCAGCAACACAGTGCGCCGGGCGATTTCAGGCTCACCTGAACCAAAATCTAATACAAAGATCTTGGACTTCAAAAGAGGATGGCATCCTGTACCGATTTGTGCAACATAAAGGAGTTGGACGATGGTCGGAAGCGGTTCTGCAGTTATCAGGACACACGCATGCGCAAGCGTTACATCGCTGGGATAAAGTTCTGAAGCCGAGTAGGCGTAAGGGTTCATGGCTACCTGAAGAGGATGACTCTTTACGTTTGATCGTTGCGACGCATGCACTTCTAAAAGGAAGTCACAAAGTTAACGTAGACTTTACTGAAACGTCTAAAGGGCAAGTGGACGAGAACGAAGCACACAGTATAGTTACGACAGCATCCCACAAGACAACACAAGTTACACGCGACCTCACTGACTTGCCATGGTCGAAGGTCGCTGTTTCCGTTGCAACACGAAGTGATGTACAGTGTCGTGAGCGTTGGACCAATATTCTTTCCCGTGATATTCGGCGAGCAGAAATCTTGAAGTGGAACCAGGCTGATGATGAAGCACTTTGTGCCATGATAAATGCCTGCACATACTCTTCTACTGACGTCATCACATCTAATTCACACCGTGACTCTATCATAGCTTGGTCACATGTTGCCCTTCGGCTGGGTCGTCATTTTACAGACAAAATTTGCCGCAACCGCTACAGAAAATTAAGACGAGTAGGTGAACGTGGTTCTAACTTTTCTGTTAAACTTTTGGGATGAACTTTTATTATGCAGACCGAGGTATTTACTTGGTTGTATCTTTTGCCCTGAGTTTGCAGCTCTGTACCTTTCTGCAACTTAAAAAACTAGAAGAGAATAAATGAATATAGTTTGCCTTTCTAAAAGATCATCGCTTCATTTTATCCTATGTAAGACTTCATTCCTTTGATTTCACGCGCTAGAGGAGGACACGGTTTCTTTCTAGAGAATCAGTCTGAGCACTGGCAAGCTGATCCTCAGATCAAGTTTGAGTGCACAAAGCTGTATGGTCTGTCTGCTCCAATGCTGCTTCTGTCTCCTCAATCGGGATACAGCTAGGCAAAACGTCTCTCCAGTGTTGATGCCCAGTATGTTTTATCCATCCCCCGCCATGATCAGTCATCTGTTCCAGGCAACCTAGACCATGGCAAAGTGACATCTTATCCACATCTGCAGGCCAGCAAAAAGAGGCTCCACCCGTCAATAGTGAACAGGAGCCCATCCAAAGCCGCGCAAGCACACTGAAGCATGATCGTAGACACATGCGATGGAGTGGAGGGGAATCGACATTCCTCGAACTGAATCTGGGTGTAGCCTTTGATGCACCTGACTGAGAAATAAGTTGAACGTGAGAAAGAAAGTTAATAGATTCAAGTCCTTTCCAATGACCATCTCTCGTAATCACACGCTGCAAAGGGTCCCAGTGGCACCAGTGCCAGCACTCGATCGGATTTTCACGTGGATTGCAAGCCTGGTACCATGCCTTGCAACCCTGTGCTCGATAGGGAAGATTATTTTCCATAGCCCAGGTCTGACTCAATACATGCCACACCGCAGGTTGGTCGCGTTGAAAACCATAAGCTACAGGTATATGATTGCCTGCGTCAGAAAAAATACTTCCGGGGGTTTGCTTGCTTAAAGGCACCTCGATATCATGTGATGAGAACTCCGAAAAAACAGCGTTGACTACCCTCTGAGTAAAGTTCACTGTCCACCTTGTAGGACGTGCGCACAGAAGCCCAGTGTTCAGCCAAATTTGCCCCGTGTCGCCAAAAAGTATGTCCTTGTCAAGTTCCCACATATCACCGTAAACACTGAATGGCTGCCAGCTAGCGTGCCAAGCATCTAGGTCCGTGTTTTAAAGTCCAAATATTTTAGGTTGTCTTCAGTGTTTGGGAAAAAATCTGAAACAGAGAAACTAAAAAGAGAGCAACAAAAGTTTTATGCCTGCCATGTGACAAATTGTATTCCATGCCAGACCCATGGTCACTCTCCCAGGTATATAAGTCTGGGCTGCATGCACTCCCAGAGCAAGATGTTTGGCAAACTTTCCTGAACGTCCAGCTAGCGTTTCTGCTTTAACTAAGGCCAAAACAAGTCCATAGTGATGGTGTTCTGCATACGCTTGGTGGTTCAAAAGTGTGCGGTGGTATTCCGATAACATTTCCAACGTAGTCGCTGAATTCAGCATTAAAACTCTACCTGAGGTACTATCCGGTATCACATCAGGAACCTGCGGCAGAATGTTGTTATCCGAGGTTGCACTCACCTTGTTAGCAACTTGAATCCCTTGTGTTAGAAGATTTTGGTGGGAAGATTTAGTCATAGCACGAAAGTGAACACAGAGAAGGTCGTCGATTGAGATGTGATCAGTGACTCCACGGGGACTTTTCACTATTTCTAATGCATGAATAATCACTCGGCCGTCGTCATAGAACGTGATCTTCGCCTCATCGTGGTGTACCCTGAAAAAACAAGACCTTCCTACTCCCAGTGGTGGTGGTGGTTCGAGGGCCACCACTGCCTCTTGCGTCACGTTCAGCTCTTCTGACCATTTCGGGCGTTCCACAATATCTCCTTGGACCATGTATGCCCGCTTTTTCTGTCTGATTGCTGAATCTTCTGCATCAATTTTTATTTCCCCTGCGAAGTGAAACGCTTGCCATGTTCCAAAGGATATACCACTCCTACTGAACATCAGCTTAATCGGGCTCTCGCTGAAAGCACGAAGGGTCTCGTCTCCGGGATACCAAGTGGCGAGGAGGTGTAGAACCCGAATACTGATGCAAATATACAAAAAGTAAATACAAAGGCGTATCTTGCGGACGCCACCTCTGCGTCGCCGCCTGGCCTTACTTGTGCTTCTCAACGTATCAGCGAAGCTGCGGCAGTTTACTGTCGGTATCGTTGCGCGAATAACCCGAGCGCCGGGCTCGACGTCCACCCAGTTCACTTCGCCTGTCATCCGACCCGTGATCTTAGATGGCAGCCCTCGACCGCGTCGCATTGCATGCGGCCAGTGGAGCAGCGCAGGGCGCACCTCTGCGACTTCTCGTCACAGCTTATTTTTATATACGGAAGTAACAACTTATCTATACTTTCGAAAGTACTTTCGAAAGTACTTTCGTATTTTCGTGCTTTCACTTTCGTACGAAGGTATGAATTTTTCTTCAGGGAGTCGGTAACGGCGTACCGGGGCCTGTACAACTGTACATGTACGTTTTGTATGAGAAATCGTCTGAAAATTGCCATCACAACTTTTTTGCTTTCAGCGTTGATCGATGTATCGATCAAACCAGAGAATTCATCGCGATTTTTCAAAGGTTGCTTGACCGAGGCGCAACTTCAAGCGCGCGTAGTTTCCTAATGCCCGCGAGTCCCAGCGCGAAATCACGACCGCGATGAGTCCTGATGATGGCGATTACGGTGATGTGCTTTTTGTGCTGGGACTCGCGGGCAAACATGCCGAACTGAAATGGTACCAAAACGTACGTTCGTTACTTACTCCCTAGTAGCTAGGCACGGAAGTATCTATAAACTATCTATCTTCGATGATAATTTTCATACTGTAGGATACAGTTATGTACTTTCATAATACTGTACGTATGTAAAAGTTGTTTATTTATTTCGTACGAAGATAATACTTTCGTACTTTCGAAAGTACTTTCGTATGAAAGTACTTCCGTGCGTACTTCCGGAAGTACGAAAGTACAACGTAGTACTGTACTTCCGGACTGAAGTACGAAAGTACTTTCGTACTTTCGTACATTACTTTCGAAAGTACTTTCGTACTTTCGTACGAAAGTACTGTATCTATTTCCGAAAGTAATTACGCATACTGTACACGTAGGGGTACGGAAGTACTTTCGTACTTTCGTACGAAAGTACGTTGAAAGTACGAAGGTACTTCCGTACATACACACGCACGCACAACAATACTATTGTTACTTCCGTACTCACCGCCACGCGAGCTCTACGCAACCGGTAAAGAAATGAGCGACTGTTGATTGAATGGCAGCCGAATCTAATGCGCGAAAGAACACTAACAAGAGCTCGTTGCGTTTCGAGGTCCTCGCTGAAGATGGCCGAGCACGGGCGACACGAGTATCACTTCGAAACCTCGACTGTTTGACCCCCTTATTTATGCCAGTTGGAACGCAAGGTAAGTTTCGTGAATTGTACATGACGTTCTGTCTGCGAGCCACATATTTTTTACGAAATACAGGGACAGTAAAGGGTATTTCATCACGTCAACTGGAGGCAGGGGTTGAAAAAAAGTTTTGATTTTCCTTAAAGGTAAACTCGTGTCCTTGCATTCTTAGTTCAACACGCTTGTTGAAAACTGTGTCCCTATACTTTGGACCTCGACTGTAAAGTTGTACTTGGCAACACTTACCACCTTGAGAACCGACCAGGATCAGAGATCTTGGATATGTTCAATGGGCTTCCTGCCTTCATAAATTGGAAGCGGGGCACACTGACAGATAGTGGAGGTTTTCAGATGGTCAGTCTACTTGATCTTGCTGATATAGTGGCAAGGCTTCATACCTTAAAAGCTTCTCACCTCTTTCGGGCTTTCTGAGTAGTGAAGAGCAAACGTGTTTGGTGTTTAGACAACAACGTTTCTAGGAGAGACTTTATGTGACAGGAGGAAGGAGTTGCTTTTCAATCACCTGTGGATGGCAGACAACTGTTTCTGACTCCTGAACGATCCATGAACATACAGAATAGTATCGGCGCCGATATTTTGATGGCACTTGACGACGTTGTAAGCTCCGCTAGTACGAATGATACGCGCTTCGAGCAGGCAACGCGCCGTACCATCGAATGGCTAGATCGTTGCATCTCAGCTCATCGTCGGCCATATCAACAGGCCATGTTCGGCATTATCCAAGGAGGCACTGATAAGTATCTGAGAACCACTAGCATTGAAGGTTGGTTGCCTGGCTCGCACTGTAATATTTCAGCTCCTTGTATAGATGGCCACATGAACGCCTGGAAACAATTTATTTTGTTTTACTCGAAAAATTATGCAGGATTGCTGGGCAGAAATCATCACCTTCCCGGTTACGCGATCGGAGGACTGGCTGGCGGTGAACATAAGAAAACATTTTGTGAAATTGTTTCGCAGTGCTGCTCAAGACTGCCTCGGGACAAACCCAGATATGTCATGGGCGTTGGGTATCCACTAGATATCGTGGTATGTTAACAGTATCTATCTTGTTCATCGAAGTGTAGAGTTGACACTGCCTTTTTTTTTCTGACCCTGAACTCCGGTATGCTCTGCACTTGGAGCTGACCTGTATGACTGCGTCTATCCTTCGCGCACAGCTCGCTTTGGAACAGCCCTTATTCCAGAGGTACTTCACGTCACAATTTTGCTAGGCTCGCATCACTAAAAAACATCGTATTTTTGTTAAAGGGGGTGCTTCGCCTAAAGACAACATCTATGGCTACCGATTATCGACCACTCGACAGTGACTGTGACTGCCTAGTATGTAAGAATTATTGTCGTGCTCACCTTCACGCCAAAATTAAAAAGGTTATTCCACACGTGTTGATGTTGATAACACCTTATTCATACCCTCTGGTGTTAGGATCCAAGTGCTGCTAGTTTGTTGACATACCACAACATCAGGTTTCAGATGCGTCTGTGCACAGATATGCACATAGTACGTTGCCTTCTTACCATATCTTAAATGTTACGCGCTGACTATTCTCCGGAATTCGCATCGATCGATTAACTCTCATGCATTGGTTAATGACTCTTTCTATGGGCAATAGCCGAGCAGCAGTTTACGCCATTTGTTCAGGCCTTTGTTCGCCGTATGTTCCCACAACGCCCTTTACCTCAATGGTTGCGAGAAGCCTTCGAACTTGCAACTATTGAAGTTTAACTTCCTAGAAAACACTCGATTAATGTTGCGATATCATGGGACTGTACGTATCACCTGTGCCTTCAGGTATTCTTATGAGTAACCTGTACTTCGCATATCTAGGGGCTACGGTAGGGCCAGAATACGCGCTTATTTTCCTAGCAATGCCCGAACTGCGAGGATAATATTTTTCTTTTTCGACGCACTTATCCAGAGATAACCATTATTACCCAGCACGCCTTCGAATGGAATTGCATCTCCCAATCGTGACATAGCAGAAACACCTCCGCCCGACATCAGTTCTTGCAGCACGTGGAATCTGCACCAAAATAAATATCCATGACGAATTATCCCGAGGTCGTGTGCAAGCCCGTTTATGTTCTTACAGCTCAATATCGGTTCACCTGCCAAACTCAAATTGACGACCCTTGCACAGATAACTGAGCCAACCAGAAAATTCGGAGAAAGCTGTTCACGGGCACCTTCGAAAGTAAAAAGCGAAAGAGCGGCTGTGGAAGTAGTACCGATATCAACTACGTACGCGTTCGAACGAAATGCCTTCACTATACCGACGACAGTGTCGTTAATAGCGGGAAGGTATTTTTGTACGTTCGTCTCCAGCTTTCCCGCTATCTCACATTCGAACATCAATTTGCAAGCGATAGTTGAAAGGATAATCTTCAAAAGTAACTTCTCTTTCCGCTCGAAATATGCAGGAGTTCAATGAACTACGCGAATAAAAACACAGGGCGGTACTTGAGTGTTGTCGCGAAAGAAGATGATTATTTTTTAAATTAATAACGTATGTTTCGCGCGCGGGTGCTCGCGCGTCCACTTTTGTACCTTCGAAGGTACTTTCGTACCTTCGTATGTGTTTTTCCTCACGAGTCGTTTTTTTGATGGGTTTTTTCGAATTACGGACTAGCTAGGCCTACTGTACGTGTACTGTACGTGTACAACTACACAGTACAGTACCTTTATCTAGCCCTACACTATGCATGGCGAGTGAAACGAACCTTGACCGACGCAGTCGATCAAACTTTTTAATACACTTGTACTGTGACTAGCCACTAGCTCTGTACACGTAGCTACTAGCTAGTACTTTCGTATCACACTACAGTACAGTGCAGCGTTGTACTATTTCAGTGTATTTTACTCGAAAAAAGCAAGCTCAGGTAAAAGTCGTACAGTATGTACAACGTAGCTAGCTAGTGTAGTGCTACGTTGCTTTATTTCGTACGAAAGTACGAAAGTACGAAAGTACTGTCGTACGAAAGTACTTTCGTACATAATAATCGAAGTAAATCTTGTACTCGTAATAATATCCGGAAGTACATACAGTACGTATCTACGTATATGCATGAGTCATGCATGCATATTGTACGGAAATACGAAAGTAGATAATATGGAAGTATCTATTCTTCCTTATCTATCTATTTCCGGAAGTAATTACAGTAGTAGTTGTCTATTTCAGGAAGTACACGCACGTACATAGCTAGCTACATACTGTACAGTACAACTACACTTGTACATCTACAAATATTACGAAAGTACGAAAGTACGCTATCTATGACAAACAAAACATACAGTAGGGCTATGTAGCCCTAGATTTCGATATTTAAATATTTTTCAGCTCGCGGAGAAAACAGCGTCGCAGGGCTGAACGCCGGCATTGGCGCCGCGCCGCGGCACCGCGCCACGGTCATGGCGCGCACGAGGCGACAAAATGGAAGGGAGAGAGGTCATCCGTGCGTTCCACTGGATGCTATGAAAATTCAAGCGACGCGGTTTCCGTGAGCGCGAATCTGCTGACGCGATTGCGCGTTTCCGCGCTCCATTTCGTCGCGAGCGCGTGAAAAAATATTCTAATCGCAGAAATATATATTGCGCACGATGCGTATGGGAAGCAGTCACGAATGTAATTAAAATATTTAAATATCGAAATCTACTTATGTTTTGTTCGTCATATTATACCTTCGAAGGTACTTTATTTATTTCGTACGAAAGTTGTTACGATTTGAGTCAGACGACGTAGTACGAGTACACGTACTACGTACCAAATCAGGAACCTAGACACTAGGTCTGCCTCGCAATGAGCGATCGCGAGGTGACAAGGGTCAAGTGTCAAGTTCAAGATACACAATCACAGAATACGCGAATGTGCCGATAGGTACAAGTGGAGTCTGGGGTAGGTCTGAGGAGTCCTGAATCCGAGTTAGCGTGCGGGAATGACAAGTCCCGTGCGCTACGGAGCAGGAGGAAACGAAGAGACGAAACTGACAAGACAGTCTCGGAACGCTTTGAGTTGAGAGTAACAGCAACCTGTATCCAATCAGGAGGATGAGCGAATCAACCCTACACTGTTAGAGGACACAAGCTGTGGCGGAGGATGAGCGAATCAACCCTACACGCCAGTGCTGTGGTTAATCAATATTACACACACATCACAAGAACTCTGAGCAGAAGTGAAGAGAAACAAGGTCTTAAAGGGGAAAACGCTCCATAGGCGTTATCGACTTGATTAGGAGGTAAGTAGCTGCAGTACGTCGTATGCTGATAAGGTAGTACATGGAGTACGTATGATGCGAGATCATAACAAAAGTACTTTCGTACTTTATTTATTATTTCGTACGAAAGTATGTAAAACTTACTTTCGTATGTACGTACGAAAGTACTTTCGTTCGTACGAAAGTACTTAAGTACCTTCGAAGGTACGTACGTACTTTCGTACTACATACAATAGTTAATAAATAAATAAACTACTTACAGTAAAGTATGTACGTTGTACACGTGTACAACTACGTGTACACGTACTTCCGGAAGCATGAAATAATAATAATAATAACGCGTTGACTAACAACTTAGCTAGTACAGTACTAGCTAGTACTGTACGTGTACGTGTACGTGTACATTCTAATACAATGTACGGAAGGTACCTTCGTAGTTTCGTAAAAGGTGCATGCACCTTCCCGAAGGTATCAGTGGAAGGAGGTAGTGGTCTAGTGGAAGGTGCGATAGCAAACAAGAGGAACACGACACCAAGCCAGCGACTTTAGCGCGCAGCAGTTTTCTTCGTGACAAAGAATAGGGGTTCTCGACCTTGATCGATGCGTCCAGAATCTGATTCGTTGTCAAATGGAAGGGAAGTCCGCGGCGCGACGTTTATGTGGACAACTGAAGCTGTCGAACGCGCACTCGAGCGACGCGCGATACCCCAGGTCGGCAACACTTTATTTCCATGGTGTCTGCTCCTTCTACTGACTTCTCTCTCGTTCTCGAATTGCAGTCTCAACCTGAGGATTCGATATCATGCGACCTCTGGCCGAGTAATGAACGAAACTTGCGGTCGTGAAATATATTTAAAGCTCTTTTCTTGCGAGTGGCTGATCTTTTTTTTCAGGCATCGCAGTAAGTACACCAATGAAAATAGAAGTAACACTCAGGCAACCGCGCTCTCGCGTTGCAACTCACGCACGGATTCTGGTCGTACTAAAGGATCGATTTCCAAGCAGCAGCATTTCTGTCTTCACTTTGCACGGGGACGCTGTGTGAAAGGTTACGAGTGTTTGTATCTCCATCATCTTCCCACTGGTTTTCACGAAGCAGCAAAGCCTGCATTGTATGATATTTTTGGTCGCGAAAAGCACCGATTAGAGCGAGAGGATAATGGTGGAACTGGGAGCCACATGCGTCAATGCCGAACTCTATTCGTATATTTTGGTGGTGCAGGTGAATGGGGTGGCCAACGGCTTCGCCAATTAATATCAAAATCCTTTGGTGAGTGGGGTCCTGTAGAAGACATCCACGTGGTGCCCTCAAAATGCATAAGCTTTGTACGCTATAAGTTCATAGTATCGGCCGAGTTTGCAAAAGAAGCAATGATGGGGCAGAACCTCTTTGGGGGTAAGGAGTCTCTCACCGTACGCTGGGCTAATGATGACCCTAACCCCACTGCCATTCACCGGGTGAAAAGAGAGAGAGAGGATGTGATTGTTGACGCGAGCGAGCGCGCGAATACGAGGACACCTTCATGGCATGATAACGAAAGACGACAGTATGCATACTTGCAAACCACTCGAGGACAGAATTTTCCTTATCAAAATAGTCTTCACACTCAGGATTATCCTGACACGGAAGCTCAATATGAAGCTCATTTGAATAATGTAAGCACCCAATCAAGCACTAAACACGCATTACAGGATGTGAAAATGATGCACGATGAGAATCCTGACTCTGTTGAGGAAGACTACGAAATCCGTGGGGCTAGGCCATTTTCGAAAAGCAGGACAATAATGCCGCAGGTGTTTGAACTCGAGGAAAATAGTCAGAAAGTGTCAAACCAAGCTGAAATAAATGAAATCTCCCGCAGAACTCAGCTTGATTCTGAGATACTTCGCGCACAACACGTAGCATATCGGGCATACCTTGATGCTGGTGGAAAGCCAGATGATTGGAACCCAGATTCGTTGTCCACTTTTGTTGCAGCACCAGGCAGCTTTTGCTGAGTGGACGATCACCTCAAGCTCACAGTCACTAGTGTTTTATAATTTTGTTCTCTGAGATTTTACAAGGGAAACCTAGTTTACAAGGAAGGAGGCTGGATGACTAGAACTGCATTTCCGTGATACTCTGCACTTTCGCCCTCGAGACTAGGTTTGCTTTATTGTATTTGAACTCCTTTCAGACCAAGTTTTTCTTTGGCAAAGTACTCTACAGTAAGTTGTTACTGTAACTTATCTAGGGCTACATGTAGTACCTGTAGCCCTAGCTAATAAAAAGAAGACAAGCAAGCTTCGTTTTGTGTACGTGTATGTACAGCTGACTACACGTACGGAAGTACTTTCGAAAGTACTTTCGAAAATACTTTCGAAAGTACAAATAAAGTACGAAAGTACGAAATAAAGTAGAAAAAAGTACTTTATTTCGTACCTTCGAAGGTGCTACATACGATACTAAACATACGTATACATACGTACAGTGAGTAGATGCATACGAACGGATCGAAGGTACACGCACTTCCGGAAGTACATATACCTTCGTATATTATAGGAAGTACATACGTACATACGTATCTATCTTGCTAGCTTCGTATGTCCTGCTTTTACTTCAGACTATTTAACACATGAAAAGTAATTTTGACTCTCTGATCTGCAGAACGAAACTCAATAACAAAAAATTACAATAAGCACGCACGTTCATGATAGTGCCGATGCAATTATCAAGACCATCACGAATCAAATGTATTCAGACACGAAATTCGGGTTGACAGATATAAATCGGTCCAACACGGTTCGTATTTGTGTGTTGACTGCTTGTGGCTGTTCAGTGGAATCACTTACTGCAGTAGCGTTGCCACCAGCTCCCTCGTTTAATTGATCATCCGACGGGTCAATGTCGGTGTTCTGAATAACTACCAGAGTCCGTGACTTCCGAATAAGGTGCCCAATGATGGTGCGAACCAGCGCGTGTTCCTTCATTAAGTCATCGGGATCATAAATGCCTTCTGAAGTCGCGAATTCTTTGATGTACCATTTCACTAGATCTGACTGTCTCACACCGGTCCCCTCCTCTACCAAAATGTCATTTTCACGTCGTCTGATATACTTCACAAGCATGTTACGAACCTGTTGAAATTTCTCGAAAGATACAGTAGCGATTCCGGTGAAGTCAGAATGAGGTTTGCTGTGACCATTTGCAACTTCGGCATTTCTTTTTGCTAATACAACTGGGTAACATGTGCCCTTGTTGGTCATCGTATCAATGTTATCACTTCTTTCGCTTCCAGTTTCAAGACACCAGCTCTTTGGTAAGATAGGTCTCACGCTATCGGACATTTCACCGAATCCATCTTCGTCAAGGACTATATCTCTTGCCTCCACAGCGACAATTGAATCTGAGAGAAGCCGGCGTGCTTCCTTCACGTGAGTTGCAAGAATATCCTGATGGCAGTGAAGACGTGCTAACGCTTCAGATAATCGAATAATCGCCTCAAGCTGACGAACCGTAATACGATAGGCAGTCTGCGAGCTCGACTGGCTGTCTCCACGTCGAAGGTTGATATATGCTTCCACAACTGCTTTTTGTGCCTCTCCACTTAGCCTCGGTCGAATCGTTCTTGCATATCGTATGTAGCGTTGCAACTGATGTAAACTGTATTCAGCTCCGGTGACCTGGTCCCGTTGCTGATGCAGCGCAACAATGTGCCGAGCAAGACTGTAGTCAGCATATTCGTCAGGTTCGTCGATCATAACATGCACAAGATCAAAGCGGGACAAAATGGCGGGGGGGAGGCTGATATTATGTCGAAGTTTCTTGCTCCTATCATAACGTCCGCCATTTGGGTTGGCAGCAGCCAGAATAGAAGTGCGAGCATTTAAAGTAGCCTGGATGCCGGCTTTTGCCAAAGATATGGTCTGCTGCTCCATCGCCTCGTGAATAGCCACCTGGTCTTTCAGATCCATCTTATCAAACTCGTCGATGCAGCAGATGCCATTATCTGCTAGCATTAATGCACCCGCCTCGATGCAATACTCTCCGCTCTCAACATCTTTCGCAACCGTTGCCGTTAGTCCAGCAGCAGAAGAGGATTTGCCTGAGGTGTACACAGCTCTTGGTAAAAAAGTAGAGACATATTTCAAGAACTGAGACTTTGCACAAGATGGGTCCCCGACAATGAGAACATTAATGTCGCCACGAAGATTGATTCCGTCATCTGTTTCTTTGATTACCCCACCGAAAAGCATAAGAGCGACCGCTCGCTTGATATCAGTATGCCCATGGACTGTAGGCGCAATAGATCTAACAAATTTGTCATAGATAGCTGGGTCACGAGCCATAGACTCTATGTCATGGCGTTCTACTGTCGTAAAACTTTTATGGACTTCGACATCATCAGGACCATTAGATACTCTTACATGCCCTTGCTCGTTCGAAGGTAGAGCACGATGCCCGGATAAACTCACCGCTGCACCTGCGGAAGGGTCGGTGATGTTCACGACAGAGTGTGCGATGAACACCATTCGATAGTAAAGTTCTCTGACACCCATATTACGCAGTCCACTCACACCCTCACTTTGCACACGTTTTCCTTGACCATTACCAAGCTCTGTGCGGTCACCTGCCATATTCATCGGTGCACCTTCGGGTATCACCATCAAAGAGCCAGTGAAGACTGCCTTGTCACCTGCTCGTCCTTGTTCAACAGCCTCATGGCGAAGAATAACCTCCATCGTTCGTGGAAGGGATCCTGCTGGTACTTCATCTGAATTTTCCTGAACCCGAACCCGCTGCCAGTCAATAAATTTGCAGCCTTCGCGCGAAAGCGTCCATTTTAAACGATTGGTGCAAGTTGAGTTGACACAAATGGAAGGAGTGGTATAGTGACACTGCTGCTCGACATCAGAACACTCAGTGCCACAATCAGTACACTTGAAGCTGCCAATAAGTAATTCAGGTCGCACATCGGATGTTCTCGTGATAGTACCGCTGAATGAGGTAAGTTGTCCGATGTTCTCCGCCTTAAGATCACGTAGACGGCTGATACGAGGCAGGTGGAAGAAAGCAACCCAGAACTCTTTGTCCAGCCCCTCTTCCCACCGCAACATATCAGGGCGGTGCTCACTGACAAAGTGCTGCACTGAGCTGCGAAAGAGATCTTGATATTCGCTGAAGTTGGTTTCTATGACATCATGTGCAAGAGTATTATCAAACCTGGAAGAAAAAAATTGTCAAGGAATAGGGCAACTGGAGATCACGGTTCATACAGTTCAAAATGTTTTGTGTGCACAGAAAGATACGCTCGCACTCACTCGACCACGTGCTGAAAATCTATATATAAAGTTGTTCCATTCCGAGCGAACATCATTTCCAGTTGTTCCACGTAGTCTAGAGAATGCATTTTTCCAAGATTCAACGAATTACCCTCGCTCTTAGAGCTATACGAGTTGAGGAATAAGAGGAATGCGCGAGTAATTTCTTCAGCTTTCTTGACATAGTTGACCATGGTGGTCGGCTGCTTATCTTGAAGACGGATGGTCAAAGACCAGTCGTGAGACGAATCTTGTGATCAAGTAGGCAAGTAATGGGGATCGATATTTCTTAATATTGCTCACGACAGACGGAGTCCGGATCTTAAGCTACTTGTTTCAAAAAATAATCGAAGAAAACTGCTAGGCCTAGTGTACATGTACGTGTAAAACGCGGAGCGTACTTTCGTACGAACGAAGGTACCTTATCATACTTGGTACGAAATAAAGTATCATACTGTAGATACTGTATCTACAACTACTGTATTACCTTCGGTACAACTGACGTTAGTTGTATATGTAGTTATCTATGATACTGTATGATAGGTAGTAGACATTTATCGTGAAATGACGGACTTCCGTAGGGCGCGTACGTGTACATACGTGTACACGTACAGTAGCCATGCACGACTACACATAAAAACGCGTCGCACCACTTCATCTCACGCACTGATGAGACATCTAAGTTGTCGCTATTTCGGAGGAGCGCGGTAGATCTCACGTGAATGTCGTTTTGGCGAAAGTTCAGCTAAAGTTCATACTAGTAGACGGACTACAACGTACATGTAGGGCATTGTGTACTGTACAAACCTTTCACTGCGCACTATTCCAAGTGCCACGTCATTGAAGTACAACGTAGATAAAATTCGTACGCGAGAATTCGTAATAAGTTAACAAACGTTCATACGCGCGTTGCACTGTACGTGTAGCCCTACGTGTACACGTACGTGTACGTGTAACGTTGTACTTTCGAAAGTACCTTCGAAGGTACTTTCGTACTTTCGTACCTTCGTACTTTCGTACGAAAGTATAGAATACTTTCGAATATTTTCGTACGAAAGTACTTTCGAAAGTACTTTCGTACGAAAGTACTTTCGAGTACTTTCGTACAACTACGTGTACGTGTACTGTACAGTACAGTAACGTTGTTTCATACAGTGTGCCGAAGGAAACTCCATGGTTTTCCGGTGGGACTCTGCGTATAATACCTTCTTCCGTGCGCCTGACCACTCCTTGTTCTCTGAAGACGGAGATGATACACTGGGTTTATAATTCACTCTTGATTCCGCCTCGATCCAGCTGCCATGTTAGCAGCTCGGCCACTTGGTCCCAGCGCCTGGCGTGCTCTACAAGAGTTTCTATGCACAACATTTGTCGTGGAGGGGTCAACTGCGAACATTCAAGCGAATTTTGCTGTGACGAAACCGAAAACGACAAGGGTAATTCGTCGACGACAAATTTTAGCATGCGCCGCGATTTCACTGCATTGGCTGCGGCTGCTGCTGTTGCCATGTCGTCGTTCGGAAACCCCTTTCACCCTCCCAAGGCTACAGCTATCACGTCCAACAACCTCCTATTTCTTGAAGCTTGGCGAGCAGTGGACAAGGCCTACGTAGATAAAACCTTTAACGGCATCACGTGGTTCAAATACCGCGAAGACACTATCAAAAAAGTCCCCATGGATAGCAAAGACGAGACGTACGCGGCGATTCGCAACATGCTCTTGAAACTTGAAGACCCTTTCACTCGTTTTTTGGAACCGGAGAAATATGCTACACTGCTCGAAACAACTTTGTCAGCTAATATTACTGGGATCGGCGTGGAGTTGGCATATGGTGGCAGTGACGGCAAGCAGATAGTTGTTGTTGCACCCGCCCCTGAAAGTCCTGCAGACAAGGCCGAGATCAAACCTGCGGACATCATCAGTGCAATTGACGGAGAGTCCACTCAGGGACTGACTGTGTATGAGGTAGCGAACCGCTTACAGGGCCCTGTAAATTCTGAAGTGGAGCTAGCACTTGCAAGGGAAGGTGAGCTGGGCTCCGGACATACTGTTGAGAGAAAAGTGGTCTTGCTGCGTCAGACTTACCCGCTCGTGCCTGTACAGTCGATGCTTTGCATGCCGACAGAAGCGACCGGGAAGGCAGTGAGTTACATAAAATTGACTACTTTCAACCAACTTGCAGGTACTAAGTTGAAAGAGGCCGTATTGCAAGGGGTCCAAGGTGGTGCTGATGCCTTTGTATTAGACCTCCGTTCTAACTCTGGCGGACTATTCCCTGCTGCGCTCGATATTGCAAAACTGTTCATGAACGATGGAGTGATTGTTTACATTGCTGATAGTGGTGGAGTACGAGATGTATTTGAGGCTGATAACACTGCAATCGCCCCGAACGTACCCCTCACCTTGCTAGTTGACAGGGGCACGGCCTCCGCATCGGAAGTTCTTGCGGGGTCTCTCAGGGATAACAATCGTGCACGGATCCTAGGAGAGACAACTTTTGGTAAGGGACTAATTCAGACTGTTGTCCCTCTCAGTGATGGATCAGCAATATCTGTGACAGTGGCACGGTACCAGACCCCTGCTGGAAAGGACATTAACAAAGTAGGTATCACACCAGACGCACCCTTGCCAACCGTGTTTGTTTCTGATGATCACAGTGAGATAAGAGGTCAGCTTCCAGCAACAGCAGAGAGATTTTGTTCGATTTTAGCCACAGATGTTGGCATTGCAGCTCAGTTATTCCCAGAATAGACTCTTCGAGAAAATTCAATAGCTCCTAAGTCTTTCAACTTTCACCGAAGGTAAAAGTATTTCGACACTCGTGCCTGCATATTTCCTTTTAACAACGGGACTGTGTCGGTGGAGTCACAGTTACTGGCTGCTGCTTGTAAGCAGCTCGGCCAGATTCAAATGATTCCCACTTTACCAAGTCTGTCTCACTGATCGATGCCTTCACCTCTGCAAGGGCAGTCATGAAGTGTCTTTGCCCCACCTTCAGGGACTTCATGTCTTCTCTCAAAGCTGAAAGAGTTGCCTCTCGCACCAGTCCCTGCAGTTCAGCCCCTGTGAAACGTGCAGCACGCGCAGCAATGACATTAAAATCAACGTCTGAAGCAAGAGGCACTCCATTCGCGTGAACCATGAGCGTGTGTTGTCGTCCATGGACATCGAGTGGAGGCGTGTACAAAACTAAATCGAACCGGCCAGGTCGCAGCAACGCAGTATCAAGGACACTAGGTCGATTCGTGGTTGCTACGATAACCACATTTTTTCCAGCTGCTTCTAGACCATCCATCTCCGTCAGCAGCACCGCGAGAACCCGTGCAGCAAGAGTATCAGCACCATCAGTACTACGAGAACCTATCATACCGTCGACTTCATCCAAAATGAGAATAGCAGGAGCGGTACGGCGTGCACGATCAAATGCATCACGAATCACTTTTTCACCTATGCCAACGTACTTATCAAAAATGTCAGCAGCGGTGAGTGCCACCACTGTGGCACCAGATGTTGTTGCAATGGCACGTGCCAAAGTTGTCTTCGCACAGCCAGAGGGTCCATGTAGCAAGATGCCACGATGAGGAGAAAGACCAAGGCGCACAAACGCATGTGAGTATTTGAGAGGCCAGACCACAGCTCTATTTAAGCGTTCTTTGATAATGTCCAATCCACCAATAGCGTTCCATGAGGTCCGGGGTAGCTCGGTCACTGTGTTGCGCATAACTGAGGCTTGAATCCTATCGAGCGCAGCAGTAAAATCATGACCCTCAACAGGGGTGACAACTGAATGCTTAGGTCTGATTTCAGCTGAGCGTCTGAAAGCGGACATGGTTGCCTCTCTACAGAGGCACGCAAGGTCTGCGCCTGAGTATCCCTTCGCCAAAACTGCCACTTTATTGAGGTCTGCACCAGAACCTAGAAACATGAGCTGCGAGTGTAGCTGCAGAATCTTCAAGCGTTCTTGTTCAGTTGGTAGTGCGAGCTCGACTTCAATATCAAAGCGACCAGGGCGTCGCAATGCGGCGTCAAGAGTATTTGGACGATTTGTTGTCGCGACAACAACAGGGCGCAGAGTTCGCTGCATCTGCCGATTAAATACACATTTCGAGAGCTTAAGTTCAGACCCACCTTCTGAGGGCTGCACGTCGGTTTCTCCCTTGTCTAAAGCACCATCTAGGAGGGTAAGGAGTTGCGCAACAACACGTGAGCTATGTAACCCTCCGTCTATAGGATTACTACGTGAAGGACATATCGCATCGATTTCATCCAGCATTAGCAATGTAAAGTTGCCTTCAGCCGTGCCTCTCTTAACAGCCATAAATGCTGATCGTAAACGGGCCTCTGAGTCACCAGCATAAGGCCCGAATATGTCACTAGCACTGAGCGCATACACAGCGACTCCCGCTTTGGCTGCCACAGCCTGGACAGTAGATGACTTACCGACACCAGGTGGTCCGTGCAGCAAAATTCCTCGAGGAAACTTGACTCCGAGGCTGGTAGCGTCCTTTGCGTGAAGAACTGGCCATACAATCGATTCATGTAGTGTAACTTTTATATCCTCAACAAGAGAAAGAGCTAAATTGCGATCGTCAGGAACGTTTCTAGAAACCGCTGGCCCGGAGCTTGGGACTTCGACTAGCTTGATTTGTGTATTTGGAGCAATAAGCCAATACAGTGTGGCAGTCAGCGACGACTCGTGAATGCGGACTCTTGGTCTGGCAGATAACACCTTAAATTCGCCTCTGGAGATAGACCCTGCAATGTGTATAGTCGCGTCAGCAGTGATCACGAGGCCTTGCAGAATTCGACGTAAGGGCAACGATCCTCCTCTCTGTTTTGAGAAAGATGGAGCACATAATATCAGGTGCTCGCACGTAACCAAGGTGTGAGGGAGGGAGCGAAGACTTCCAGTGAGAGTAGACTTGAGCCTGACATGTTTTTCAAACAGTGTCAAGTCTCCTGCACAAGTTAACAGTACTTTGGCGTCGAGCAACATGATATCTGTCGCTGAATGATCTGACACATCGTGCAGCATATCTGGCTGAGCCGGGGTAGGGGCTACAGTCGCCTAGTCTCGAAGGTGTTACATGGGGAACAAAAGGGGGGTGAACTCTGGTGGAAAGAAAATCCTCTGCCAAGAATTTTGATTCACACGATTCACGGTAGTCGTATAAAGCAATATGAATTTGAATTTCATGAGAAGACAATGCAGAATGCGCACCAAAAATGTCCATTTGCAAGCGCAGTCCTTGCTACAGACGCCGTCGCTAATGCCCTCTCTAACGTCCACGGCTACAGTGTCTCCCAGCTGCACGTCAAAAACCTGAAGTGCGCGCGGGGTCAGGACGATACGCCCGCAGCCGGCGTTGGCACTGTTCGTGACTACCAGGCGAAATTCGGCTATGAACATATCATCTCGGCGCTGGAATATCAGAGAGAAGCTTTATCGAAGCCACAGGTCTCGTTTCCAGCACTTGAAGATATTCATTGTTCATAGACTTCTATGATATCCGCAGGGCATGGCCTACGAAGATAGGGCTACAGTACGTGTACATGTACAGTACACGTACACGTGTAACAGTTCGGATATTTAGGTGTAGCTACTCGTAGCTAGTGGCTATCAGCGAAAGGATATGAGCTTTTAGAGAGGATGACGAAAGGACGACGTATGAGCAAATAGTCATAGCGTAGTACGTTTTAAAAGGATGAACTACTGATGAAATCATCCTCTTAACTGCCGCGCCGCGCGAGGACAGTCAGAGAGGCGCGCGCCGCGGTTGAGGCCGGAGCGTTAAAGCGAACATCGACTAGACAGCGCAATCTATCATTCCAGCGAGTTTTATACACCTGGGGCGCTCAATCAGGCTGTCACGTCGCACAGATCCGTCGTTTGCAAAACAGACTCGGCGTTACGAAACATTTGCCGTCTCCTGAGCTCGCGTACGCGACGTCGAAACTTCATGGAAACAGTTCTGAACGTAAAAAATCTTCGTGATTATATCGCGTGAACACATACGCACTTATTCAAATATCGCGCAGCGCAAAAAAAAACACGATCGCTTGCGTCGGCAGTTGAACTCCGCGGGTCGAGGCTGTAGCTGCGAAGAAAAATGCTCTTTTACAAATCGACACGATCGCGCCAGTCTATGCTTTGCTCGTGCGATTCAGACACGAACGCGGTCGATCCGCGCGCCTCGAGGGTGATGTCATCTAACATGCCGTGCAGTTACAGAGCCAAAAACGGCGTCTGCGCGATGTTATAGCACACCGCGCGCTCATCCTTTCGCCATCCTTTCTTTTCGCTGATAGCCACTAGCTACAGGTACCGTATTACCTTCGTACTTTCCTTTCGTACGAAGTACTTTCGTACTTTCGTACGAAGATAGATAGATAGCTACGAAAGTACGAAAGTACTGTACTGTACGTGTAGCTAGCTACCTTCGAAGGTATCTGTAATACTTTCGAAAGTACGTACTTTCGTACCTTCAAAGGTACCTTCGTAAGTTGTTCGTTAGCTACCTTCGAAAGTACTGTACGTGTACGTGTACAACTACCGAAAGTAGCTAGCAGACCCTGTTACTCAAAGGTATTTGAGTAGTGAATACTTGAATAGATACTGAGTAGATACTCGAAAATCGTGTATCTATTTATTCATCCGCCGGAGGCGAATTTTTTTTCGAAATATCTATTTATTTACGCAAATTTTTATTATTTTGCTGAATGTATTTATTTATCTACTCGCCGTAGGCGACGAAAAATACAAATAATGTATCCATCTATCTACTCAACGTATTTGTAGGTTTTGAACGAATGTTTTTCCCCGTGAGAAAGCAAAAGAAAAAGTCACAGTCTAATAAGTGCAAAATACTCAAGTGAAAGTACTTCCGTACTTCCAGAAGTACTCAAGAGTATTTATCTACTCAAACATGCCAAGTGCAAAATACTCAAGAGTATTTATCTACTCAAACATGCGAAGTGCAAAATACTCAAGAGTATTTATCTACTCAAACATGCGAAGTGCAAAATACTCAAGAGTATTTATCTACTCAAAAATGCCAAGTGCAAAATACTCAAGAGTATTTATCTACTCAAACTTCGAAATATCCGAATACTCACCAGTATCTATCTACTCAAAAATACTTGTGACTAAATACTCAGTATCTACTCACTTGGAATATTTCTTTGAGTAACAGGGTCTGGTAGCTAGCTAGCTAGATAGAATACTGATGATGAGCGGTAATTTTTGTATTCCACACTGCACAGTTTCTCAACGGTCACCACACGCCAGAACAACGAACGAGTTTCTCACTGTAGAACATTTCTTTCTCGATTCAATCAATTCTGCTGTCGTTCCCAAGGCCTGCGGCAGAAGCGCGCTTCTATTTTCCTTTCAAGGTTTCTTGCGGACAGGCGAAACATATTTTTCTTTAACGACGAATGGCCACTGCGCTGCAGAGTGTCCTGCAAAACTTGACAAACACCGTGGGCAGGACAAAAAATGAGAATGATAATCACGCTGTATTCATAAGGTCTTTCTCTTGTTTTTTTTCTCGCATTTCAAGCAACAGCTGGTTCCCATCTTGTTTTTCTACAAATTCGATATACACTGCTGTACAACGTTTCCGTTGACATCACCTTAAATTACGTTCAATATTATTTCTGGCTTTATTAGGAAATGGCTTCAAAGACGCAGGCTTGAAATATGCACAGCGCTTGCAATATCTTCCAGGTACGATGCCGAAATGACTGCTTCCTTCTGTTACAAATGAACCAATCATGTTTTCACGAACACCTCCTCCCATCCAGGTACTTTGCCAGAGAGGCTAACGAAACACTGGAACTTGGTAAAGAAAATGTGGTTATGGAACAGTTGAGGTCCGGGAAACCCGCTTCTTATAAGGATTGCATCCCTGCTGGAGCTCTTCTACATGTAACCGAAAACAAGCCAGAAGTTTTCCCTTCCTCGGCTAAGGCATGCAACGCCACAAAGAAGCTGGAATCATTTCAATCATTTGGTGCTGCATCAATCAAGTCACCGGATGGAAACTGTAAAGGAAAGTGTTCTCGTTTTCCCTGTCATCAAACGTCTACAAATCAGCTCAGGAGGGCAGCATCGCCACTACAGGGTGACTGTGTGTTTGCTGAGCCAAGTATCGCAGTGCCTGGCCTTCAATTCTGTAAACTTGCAGTTTTAGAGTCTCCAGCAGAAGGGAACGCAATATTTGAAAGTGACTTTTCTGGTGCTGTGCGGGTGACATTTCCTCGTGATAACGACAAGGTGGCAGTGCATGCTCCAGCATTAATCTACAGTGGGAGTGCGAACACGTGCCAGCACTTTGTACAAAATGTGGGAAAGTCCACTGAACAACTCCATAGGTCAGATGAGGCTTCAGGGGCACCAGGCGTGATTCCTGGAGCTGTTCAAGCTAACGAGGTCACTGACTTCACCGGGGCTGTTCACTCACCATCGAGGCTAGCTTTTCGTTCGCATAATATCGATATCTCATCCGCGGCTCATCCACCCAAATTCACTGATACGACACCACGGCAAAATACAATTTATCCTTCCATGGACTCTGAAATCGATATTCTTAAGCCGCAAAGTCACCTGAAAGATGGTTCTATATCACTTCCCACTGGTGGCGAACTAGCATGTTGTTTTGCGGTGAAGGCTGTCGAGTCGTTACAGGCGAAAGAAACTCGACCGGATAAAGATCTGATACCACTAGAAGGTTCGCTTTCTCCGACTGTCAAACACGAGGTAACGATATTAAGTTCAAGGTTGCGTGATCATGAAAGCTCGCTTTCACGCAGCGAAAGATGCATATTGCCTTCAGAGCGCTTAGGCATTCGTCCTCCGAAAGGTCACAAATGTACTGGTGGTGTCATGGTTAGGCTTCAGCGTGCCATGGAGTCTCGGTCACGCCCTGATTTGGAGAATTTCCGAAATGCGATGAAACAAAAAGGCAATGAAAGGTGCCAGCGCGAACAAGACGTCGCTAGGCAGAAGGTAACGGCGCAGGCAGAAGAAAGCGAGGAAATTGAACGACGTCTTGAAAAGTTGCAGTTTGCACGCAAGGAGCAAGAAACTGCGCAGAGAGATGAACAGCTGCGGATGCAGCATGCCCTAGGTGAGGAAGAGCGAAAGAATCAATTTGCAGTTGAGTTGTGCGGAGGCAAGCGCAAAAGCCACTCCACTCTTGTGCACGACAGTTTCTCAGCAGATGATAAAAAACGTAGGCTGCATGATTTCATTGCTAGCAACAAAATAAATGCTGCTGCGATTACCGGCACTGCCCCTAAAAAGACTAACGAAATAAAGAAGCAGAGCACTCCTATTATGGTTGTAAGAAGACACGTTTCTGACACCAAGGAGGCAACTGCACAGTCTGGGTTTTCATACGACATTTCCCCTTGTAAAAACTCTGATAGCGAAGACGAAATCGATGAAACTCGCTCGAGCAAGCGTATTCCAGAGTGGGCACGTACCGAGGCACTGGTCCCAGTGTTGACTGATCAGGCTGGTGTTGACCCAGATCAAATATTTCCTAATCCGACAAAAACTTGCAGTTTGGATGATGTATTTACTGGTGGAAAGAGTGCAGACCGACGTGGCAGTTCTGGCAACTGGTTTCACGATAGGCTAACCTGGAAGGAAGAGTTATCGTATAAGAGGGATATGGGCTTTGTTCACAGGTAGATTACGGTGTATAAATAATGATAGAAGTCTATCTGTACTTTTGAAGGTCATATATAGTTGAGTGCTGGGTCGTGTCGTGTGCCTTGCAAAATGAGATAATCAATATTATGGAGGGTTCTCAAGCAAGAAGCCCGTCGATAAGAAATCTATTGGACTAGGAATATCTTCCACTTGCAAATTCCTGCCCCTAAATACCCCTCACATCGACACGGGCATGCCAAGCTCGTCGAGTGGAGCGACTCGAGGAAATAACGTCATTTTCTTCACTGTGGAGCCTGGTTGTAGAAGACCCCATTTCACCCTCTCGTCAAGGGTACCGTGACCTAAGTCCAAGTTTTCACTGACTTCCCTCATTTTATTGGGTAAAAAAGGCTCAAGCAAGACACACGCGATACGCAACACCTCGAGGCACTGGTATAGGACAGCTCCGAGTTCTTCTGCCTTAGTCTCATCCTTGGCCAATCGGAAAGGCTCCAGCTCGTTGATGAAATGGTCCACCTTAGCCACAAGTGCAACAGCGGCAGTGGCTGCTTTTGGAAACTCCAAGGCTTCAACAGCATGCATGACTTGATTTGCAGCTTCAGCTGTCACAACAGGCCAATCATAGCGCTTACCAAATGTAATACGAATCCCCTGGATTTGTTGTTCTGTGGGAATTATGCCGTTGTAATATTTGTTTACCATCGCAGTCGTGCGGCTCAGCGAATTGCCCAGAGTATTCACCAGATCAGTGTTATACACCTCTTGCACACGCGAAGATGCAAAGTTAGCATCTTGAGCCGCAATTGGACCATCCACCAGTAAAAAGTAACGGAAACTGTCTAATCCATAGTGATCTGTATACCTTGTAATAGTTTTGAGGTCCACAAAGTTCCCTAAAGACTTGCTCATCTTTTTCCCATCCCGTATCCAAAATCCGTGTGCGTGCACACGCTCTGGGAGAGGCATTTCAAGTGCCATAAGCAGAGCTGGCCATATGACTGCGTGAAACCAGCTGATCTCTTTGGCCATGATATGTAAAGATGCCGGCCAGTAATCCTTCAACTCTCCTTTCAAACGACGAGTTGCCACTCCAGCACTTGCTGCTGGTTGGGAGGGCTCCTCAGCAAGTCCCAATGCAGTGATGTAGTTGAGCAAAGCGTCAATCCACACATAGATAATGTGATTATCATCATTCGGCATCGCTATTCCCCACTTGAAGTTTGTACGGCTAATTGGAACATCGTTTAGGCCTTGCGAAAGGCGGCTAAGGATTTCATTTCGCCTCGCTGGAGGTGACAAAAAGTCAGGACATTCTTCATGAAGCTTCTCGAGCTGACGCTGATAAGCCGAAAGTTTAAAATAATAATTTTCTTCACTCGATCGCGCCATATCTTTGCCACTTACTGGAGACTTGTAATCGAGCTCTTTCGCCTTTGTTTCTGTGTAGTACTCTTCTTGGCCCTCATCATACCAACCCTCAAATTTGCCAAGATACACGTCACCCTTTTCTCGCAATTTGTCAACAAAGTGCTGCACTTGTGACTTATGGTATGGTTCAGTGGTACGAATGAATCCATCAAAGGTTATTCCCATATCATCCAGCACCTGGCGAAAAGTGGCTGAATTTTCGTCTGCAAGCTCCTGAGGAGAGATTCCGCGTTTTTGTGCTGACTGCTCTACTTTCAAGCCGTGTTCGTCCGTTCCTGTTAAGAAGAAGACATCCCGCCCGCGACTGCGCTGGAAACGCGCGTATGCGTCGGCAATTGTCGAAGTGTATACATGGCCAATATGCGGCTGGTCGTTGACGTAGTAAATCGGGGTGGTAACGAAGCACTTTTCTACGGGAGGACTTGTGCTCGAGGTGGTTACCGATGACCTGTTGCTCCGAAGCTTTTTGCTGTTCCGGGAGACCGCAAGAAATGCGCGGCGAGCATTAGATAGCTTCGACTTAAGCGAGTGTTTCGGAGCGTTGAGGTGTCGAGATACGAAAGCTCCAGCGGGCTGTAGCTTGGAAAGCATAATAATTAGTGACGACCCACCGGTACAGAATGCCGAAAAATACTCGAAAGTCGGTCGAAAGTACGAAAATATTTAATTAAAGCGCGCAGTAATGTACACGTACACGTACGTGTACAATGTTGTACACGTACACGTACGTACCTCCGTTTTTTTCGTGTAAAATTAGGTGAAATAGTGTGATACTATTAAGCTTGACCGACTGCGTCGGTCAAGGTTCGTTTCACTCACCCTTAATAATATACACAATTTGAACCTAATTTTACACGAAAACAGCGGAGGTACGGGAACAATAAAATCTCAGGAGAAGGTGAGAAGGTCTCGTCAAAAGGGTTTCTCAAAGGTCTCATGTTTCCGTCGCGCAATACTCTTTAAGATTTTTGGGGCGCGAAAAATTTCCCCGCCCACGACGATGTGCTGTACAGCGCTAGCTACCTTCGATGGTACTAAAGTAGTTTATAGCTACATACATCGCCTCGTGCTGCGGGCCGTCAGTCAGTGGGAGAAGGGCACGGCGCTGCGGGGCTTTTTCTCTGAAATAATTCCGTACGTTGTACACGAGGAGAGTGAAATATTTACACGACGCCCACCATATCCTCCGCACTGTCGACAGACCCGTGCAGCCCAACACCGGTTGTAAACATACGACCCACGATAGCGATGTGAGTAACTAAATAAGTGCTTCCGGAAGTAGCCCTAAGTTGTACGAAGGTATGTTTTTCACGCGTAAAAAATGTTTTTTTGCTCTCAAGCTAGACCAAAGGAAATTTAGTGAGTATTTCATCGAGGCCTCGGACTAAACCATGGTAGGGCTACTCTATTCATGTGTCTAAAAAGTGAACTAACTATCTTCGTACGTGACGTTGTAGGGCAAGCTAGCTACGAAGGTAGCTAGCTAGTAGCGAGCTAGTAGCTAGCTACGAAGGTATTAGCTACCTTCGAAGGTAGCTAGCTAGATAGATAGGTAGGTAGCTAGGTACGTAGGTAGGTAGGTAGGTAGCTAGCTAGATACCTTCGAAGGTATGTAGCAGGGGTTATAACTTTTAATAGTAATAAATAAATAATGAGTACTGTAGTGTACACAAAGTAAAAGTTTACTTAGTTTTTCGAAAGGCGAAGACTTTTGCGGGTCGGGCGAAATTAGACCGTCGATTGTGAGTTAAAATTGCAGTACTTTGAAATACTTATTTATTTACCTTTTTTTCCGGCAGTCATGTATTTAGTTTAATAGTAGTTGTACACGTACACGTAGTGTCGAAATTTTAGTAATAAGTATCCCCTGGTATAGTTAGCTATGACTTAGCTTGTATGTACTTTCGTACATAATATGTAATATGTAGTATGTACCTTCGTACTATGTAGCCTAGCTAGCTAGCTAGCTACCTTCGTATGTACGAAAGTATGTAGTATGTACACGTAGCCCTAGTATGTACGAAAGTATTCTATTTTCGAAAGTACGAAAGTAATAATATGTACAGGTATGTAGCTACGAAGGTAAGTTGTTACTTTCGAAAGTACTAAAGTACGAAAGTACGTTCGAAAGGAAAGTACTTCCGTGTGTAGCTGTACACGTGTACAGTATGTGTACTTCATTCCGAACGAAGGTTTTTCCGGAAGTACAGTAACCGGTGTACAGCTGTACACGCACGGTACTGTACGTGTACACGTATGTCTATTTCTGTACGGCTACAAGTACACGTACTGTACATATCTACAATGGCCCTATCTAATCTTCGAAGGAGTTTCGAAGATAGAGTACACGTACTGTACAACGTTGTACATACAGTAGAATACTTTCGTACGAAAGTACGAAAGTACTTTCGTACTTTCGTACGAAAATAAAACAGTACGAAAGTACAACGTTGTACTTTCGAAAGTAATACTTTCGTACTTTCGTACGAAAGTATCTATTTCCGTACAACGTTACGTGTACGTGTAGCCCTACGTGTACTATCTACATACGTACTATTACTGTACAACTATCATAGTCGAACTAAAATACTTTCGTACTGCACTATCATTTTATGTGTACAGTTTAGTCGTGTACCGATAGTTGTAGGCCCTACGGATTTGTACAGGCCGTACAGTTTCGAAGTTGCGAGTTGCGGCTGACCGACACAAACTAGAATCGAGGATAATTTCTTTCGCCTGCATCATCGTTAGTTGATATCCCGGTTACGGATAGTATCTGGACCCGATGTTTCGAAACCAATATGATCAGGTGTGTGAGCAAAGATACTTCTTCTGTTCTAAAATTTGAAGCTAACTTTTTTACAGGATATTCTCACTTGGAGTCCGCATGGACGCTTGCATCAAGTTGAATGTAAATTTAAAATATATTTTTCGTTAAGCTTCTCAATCTGTCATCATTTCGTAGATGCGATGGAGGCAGTGAAGCAAGGTGGAGCTTCGGTCGGCTGTAAGGTGACATGTCTTTTCTTTTTTCTGACCACTTTCTCAAACTTCTTGTCACTCTTAACAGAACAAAGATCACGCCGTCTTGGTCACTTTGAATCGTTCTGCCTCTGAACTCTCCTCATCTCAACGGAAACTTTTTAAAGTCGATGATTTCGTTGGCATTGCTGTCTCTGGTTTGACAGCTGACGGCACTGCGTTAGTCAAGATGCTGAGGAGTGAAAACATCTCTCACAAGTTCACCTTTGGATCTCATGTCGATATCAGTAGACTAGCTCTAAAAGTTGCTGACAACTCGCAGGTAAGAATCATATTCGATTTCAACCGCTCTTTCATAGTTTACTATCTGCTCTCTATTCTACTGCTGCAGGTCAGCACACAGAGAGCAGGGGCAAGACCATCTGGAGTTGGGACTCTCATTGCAGGATGTGACGAGAGTGGCTGCCACATCTTTCAAACGTGTCCTTCTGGCAGCATTTACGAACATGAAGCTATTGCAATCGGTTTGGTTAGACTTACGCTTTCGAAGCTTGAAGCTTTTTAATATTTTGGAACTGAATATAGTGTCTTCACTTGATGTTGACAATTGCTCCAGGAGCAAGATCTCAAGCCTCAAAGACTTTCCTGGAAAACAATCAAATCGTCCAAGCAAGTTCTTTAAATGAGGTTAAGACACTTTCAGTTCTCTGTAGTCTGTTCAATTAAATATAATTGCTTCCAGCTAATCGTGTTTGCTTTGAGAGCACTAAGTGAAGCAAGTGTTGAGCCGATTTCAGAACTTACATGCAGTGTCGCTCTTGTAGGAATCAATACACCCTTTAAGTTGCTGGATACGCACTCGTTATCAAGACTTATAGCACAAATTTATCAGGAAGTTTAGTTGCTTTTTGAATATCTGTTTATATTCTGGTAGATCAAGAACAAGGTAACGAATACTGAGTAAACCTTGCAAATCAGAGTCATCACTAGTGGTTCATATATGAACTGATTCAATTTTTGTGAGACCGGTTGTACAAAGTTTATCGATGTCTCACAAATAACTACTATCTCTTTAATTTTTTCCTCAACCTCAGCTGATCTTCAAAACCACCTAATTGGCTCATCTTCATTTTACCTTCCCGCCTTGCAGAAAAAATTGCACTCATGTTCTTCAGCACTTCACCCTCGACTACTCCTGAAACCTCGCCCAGGTCAATGCCAGTAAGCTGCTCAATTTTGTGCAACAACACGATTTCAAATTGGGAAACAAGCGTTATCGCTCTTCCCCTTCGGCCAGAGCGACCTGCACGCCCAATTCGGTGTACGTACTCTCGAGGGACAAATGGAACATCATAATTAATAACAACATCAACAGTTGGTATATCCAGTCCCCGAGAGGCAATATCGGTAGCAATTAGAATTTGTGCCTCGCCAGACTTAAAGCGACCAAGATTAGAAGCACGAATTCTTTGCTTTTTCATAGAATGCAATAAAACTGTATCCAAACCAAGAATGCCCAGCATTTCGTGCAAAAGCTCACAAGAATAGATCGTCCGCGTGAAGACGATAATTGATGAGACCCCGTTTGAGAGCAGGACTTTTAAGAGGTGTAGGAGATACACTTCTTTCACCTTAGCTGGCACAAAGCAATATTCCTGCACGCAGTCTTTGAACCCAGGATTGCTTTGGGCCTCATAGTGAAATGCTGTCTTTTGAGTCACTTCCTGTATTGCACAAATGGAGGGTGTCAAGGTTGCCGAGAAGAGATGGGTATTCCGTCTGCGAGATGGCAAGTTGTGCATAATGATACGAAGCTCTGCATCGAAACCTGGCTCAAGAAGTCGGTCTGCTTCATCAAGCACAAGACTGTGTAGATTCGAGAAAGCCCCGACTATCTCATCATTGTAAAGAAAATGCTCCACGAGCCGGCCAGGCGTGGCAACGACGACATGTGGACGCGACGAAAGTGCACTAGCTTGTGCTCGGAGGCTTTCACCACCAATCACAATGCAGCTTCGTAACAATATTCCCGAGGAGAACGCATCGAACTGATCCGCGATTTGAGAAGCCAGTTCGCGTGTCGGAGTTAAACAAAGACAAAATATTCCATAAGGGTCTACACCAAGCAGTTCAAGAATCGGCAAGGCAAATGCTGCTGTTTTACCTGAGCCTGTTTGTGAAGTGCCGACAACGTCGAAGCCTCTGAGGATGGCAGGAATACATTCCCGCTGAACGGCGGTGGGCTTCTGAAGTCCCACTTTTACAACATTAGCGCACAACCTAGTATTCAAACCGAGCGATGCAAAGGTATCTCGTGCGTTAGTGGAGATAGGTAGATGGGTCCGTTCCAAAGCCAACCGTGTCCCAGACTCTCGATATAGAGAAGGGGTGAGGGAAGTCATCACTCAGTATACTGTATACCTCGAAATATATATGGTGAACTTAGCATGAAAGCCTTTATAGTTTTGAACTCGCTTATCATCGCGGACTTCCGTACGAAAGTAGGCCCTACGGAAGTATGGAAGGGAGGTTGTACAACGTACGTGTACATACCTTAACTGATAAAAAATACTTCCGGAAATAGATAATACGTACAACGTTGTACTACATGTACTGTATTCCATCTATGTACAGTACCTTCGTACGTTGTAGACTCGTTGTAGTATTTCCGGAAGTACGTGTACAACGTACATGTACAACGTACACGTACGTGTACAGCAGTTGTACATACAGCTGTACAGAAGTGTACACTGTACTTTCAAAGTACTTTCGTACAATATTGTTAAAAACGGACCTGTAGGGCTACAACTTACGGAAGTACGAAAGTACTTTCGAGAGTAGCAGTTGTACACGTACACGTAGGGCAGTCGTACGGCCCTATCTACCTTCGATAAAACAACTTAAATATTGATATTTTAGCTCTATCTGCCTATTTCACGGAAGTACGTTGGAAGCACGAACGAAAGTACTTTCGTACTGATGAAGAAAATCAGAGAGAAAAGTCAGCGTGTAAAAGTCAGCGTGTACGTGTACAGCTGTACACTGTGTACGTGTACACGTGTACGTGTACAATACTTTCGGACAAAAAACGCGTACACATTATAAAATTTTCACCAAAATTCGCCGCTCCGACGCGGTTCACCGACGAGGAACCGACTGACCGATGGGGACCGATGGGCCGTGTGCTAGGGTCGCACACTGTCTCGTGACCACGAGGGGTCGCGGATCGCTTCAGGGCCCTCGCGGAGGAAGACGTCTGGGCGACGATGGCGGACCACTGCTGGGACATGATGGCATGATGGTTGCGCGGCGAGAGCGGCGGGGTGCGTTGGTGCGTGGCGCGATGGCGCGCGCGAAGAAGAAGAAACGCGTGAGTGACTCTGGAGACTCTGGACCCACCCCGCCCCCCCCCGCGCAAGTTCTGCGCTTCTGGCGTCGCTGAGTGCCCGTAAACGCCGTCGCCACAGTGGGATGAAATACTCTGAACACCATGATTCTTTGATTCGTGTAAAAAAATGATACCACTTTATGTCAAGAACACGTCGTAAACGACGCCGCGACGAGGACGTCGCAGCGGAATCATCGATTTGCGAAAAAAAGGCCGGCCGGCAACCGAAGATGCGAGGGACATTCCGCGCGCGCGAGTTCAGCACCTCGTCGTCGCAGCATAACTGCACTTATCGCCCGTTTTTTTCGCATCGATCGACGCAGTGCGGTGTTTAGCGCAATTCATCTCACTCTGGCGACGGCGTCCGCGCTCTCTCGGCGACGCCAGAAGCGTGTAACGGAAGTTTAATATCTTCGAAATAGATAGGGCTACACGTGTACACGTACGTGTACACGTGTAGTTGTACTTTCGTACGAAAGTACCTTCGAAGGTACACGTACTTCCGGAAATACTTCCGTACTTCGTTCCGTACTTCCGTATTTCCGTACAGTACGTGCGTGTATGTAGTGTGTAAAGCTGTACATGTACACCGTTACAGTACGTTGTACTTCCGGAAGTACTTTCGTACGAAAGTACTTCGTACATATTATGATAGTAAGTCTTGAAGTTCAAATTCGAACTCGCGTGCACTTCGTAATCTCCTTCAGCTCTGAAGATCACGCACGTCTTCTTCCGTTTTCTCAGGTTAGCTAATTATGGTTGGATGTTTGGGGCTGAATTTACTGTATGTTTCCACGTGAATAACACGTCGCTGCAACGCATTAAACACTTTCTGCCCGTCTGTCAAATCATGAAAAGTGTGCCAACTCTGAAATACCCGCACCTTTGCAGAACGTCCTCCGGTCGTATTGCGTCTTTGTCCCGTCATTAACAAAGCCATGCATTAGGAAGCACGCCGGCTGATAGACTTGATCAATGCAATACTGTTTCAGCGCATCATTCTCAAGTTTAGTTCAACAAAGGGATTGGAAGGTCTGGCAGTGTTTGAAAATAAAAAAATAAGTCGAATTTTCTGGTGCAAATTGTCTTTTGGTTTTTTAGGCTTGTTTTGGATTGTCTGGCCAGAATACGAGGGCACGACTTTCATATTAAACCACTGCACCCCTCCTAGTCGAGGACCAAGACTTTGCCTCGCCCTCGATAATGGTGGCCGCGCTGCGTTCAATATTCCTGTGCACAAACAAGTACCACAATTGTGGTCCAGAACTAAGACTCGTTGTTTGGGGTTTTTGTTTTGTCCAGTCCAGCGATACCGTGCAGCACCTCTCGCTCATCGAAACTTGACCGATACCTCCTTAAGCTCGAGTTCCTCGAAGGAAAGATGGTGCTCAATTAGTTTTGTCGGTTTTATAGTTGTTGCGTGCAAGTTTATCGGTTTGGCACGAGAGATAGTCACTGCTGCTCGTTTTGGAGTGGGACTGGTATCTTTCATTTTCAGTTTCCCAGAAACTCGGATTTTAACAGTTCTTTCAAGGTGGTGGATTCTTACAGCCACGCTGCACTGGTTCCATCTTTCTTTTGTAACGTGATCGGTAAGGAAGACGATGATTGCCTTCTTCGGTTCTTCACACGCCTTCGTAAGTTGTTGGTAAACCAATATTTTTACCCTGTGTCACCCCCTTCTTTTTGGCGGGCTTAATGGTCCGGTCCACTGCGCCCTTGCTACTGCTCTCAGGTTGGCTCATTACGTTAATACATGGAGAAGTCGAGCTAGTGCTATAACTGAACCTTTTTTCTAGCACTCAGAGCGATCGGGCAACTTCCCGAAGGATAGTTGACTGTCTAGTCACATTTATAACCATAACTGCCTTTGTGCTCAGGTAAGTGCACGTACTCGTTATTGGGTGCAAGAATGCTGTACTTGCTAAGCACTCGTCTTTTTGTATGCAGCCTGTCAATTTTTTTCTCTTCTGGATTCATCATTCGATGTTTTTCTCCGGGTCTTCACTTGCTGTCTTCATTGACAGCAACCACTCACCTTCGTATGATGGCGCCATGTATCTTTCTCGCGGTAAGGTCAACTTACATTTTTTTCTGCAGTCGAGCAAAAGTGCAGAAATTCATTTAATTCCTCGGCTTTCATCGATATCGACATTTGCTGCCGGCGTTTAACGTTATAAGCATGGCTCGACTGACATCAATATCCCAGCTTGGACTATCAGTGTTTACACCAGCAATTTCCAGCCTCACGGTCAGTTTTTAATCCTTATGAACGAGGACTACTCCTGGATTTTTTTTCGTATCAAGTTTTAATCTCTATCATCACAATCATATCTGACATATAGAGTTGCAGATTGTTGCTGTCATATCACAGCAGTTCATTACAGATATTTTTAGATTTTGTAAAGTACCGTCTTACTTATACAAGGCGGAAAACTTGCTTGCTCTTGGTATGTGTTCCTGTTCGAAGAAGCTGGAAATATGATTCTATTAGAGCAACATGACAGGCACATTACTTGGCTCATTTTTTCAATACGTTTTACTTCGTGTATTTTCAAGATCGCATTATAAAAGTGGCAGCTTTCTTTTAAGTAGCTTGGCTTCCTGTGGTTCGCAGGGTGAGGCAGCACCGGCATATGTTTTTAAATATAGAAGCCAGCCCTTCGATAGTATCATTTCTTACTCTTATTACTTTGTAAGTATTTTGCTTTAGGTTTGCGGGCTTCTTTGAGTATGTTGTTACAAGCGTGCATGACTTCTGGTTGGGATAACATCCTCACCTTCATTGTTCATTGAATTATATATACAATCATATAGGGATGCTTCAGATTGCTTCGAGTACGGATACCTTTTTTGCCTCCTTTCTACCTCATGCAGCCGCTGGTACGTTGAAAAACCGCTGGTCTTATTTAGCACTGCATAGCCAAGATACTTGCTCCAGGTATCGGGTATTCGAGTTTGCTCGCTAGTACTCCTCTCGGGATACTTTCCACGAGTTTGCTGGTATTTATTTTGAGGAATTTATTACACCAGAGTAAAAACAGTGTTCAAGACATATCTCATAAGTTGTCTACAGGTCTCACTCGTTCCGCAGTTCGCCTTGCACAGTGATCCAGTGCATTGGCACCTGCTTCGATCCTTACTTGGGAAGGTCGTGCTCTTAATTTTTGGTTTTCTCTTTTTATTTACCTTTTTTCATGTGTTTATAGGTGCTAGTTGGGACATTCGTGTTTACGTCACTAGTCGTGGCCATAGTTATACCTTTGGCAAATCCAATTGTCACCATAGTTTTTGAGCGCCAGGTTTCGTTTGGACTTCATGATCTAAATTACTGTTTACGACATTTATTCATTGACTTCGCAGGCCTTTGATACACAAGCTTGTGAACTCGTTTCGACACTATTTTCACTTTACATGGCCGGTGGTGTGTTCTCTATTGTCAGAGACCTCATCCTTCGGGTATTTTATGTGATAGGTATTTTTTTTTCATTTGCACTATTTGTACCTGAATCTCTTCATGAATTCATAGGAGACGGTGATCGGCCACTTCGCATATCATTTCTTGCAGTCTCTGTCAATCTTTTCCTTGACTGGTTTTTTACATTTTTTTTATCATGTGGTGCTCAAGGTATGACGATTTTTTTTTTCTTTCTGCTCTCACCAGTTTTAGTTTTACTTCATCTTACGGATCCCTTCCTAGGCATTGTTATATCCACCGTAATTACAACCTGCCTTACGTCATTGATTCTAGCTCGCGAACTAATAAAAAAGGTAAGCGAAACACGATGACAGGATGTAGGACATATCACTAAACAATTGAACTACATGTACAGATAGGAGTGATAAAAATTGATGGACTTTTCATCAGTACTGTCAAAGTACTTTTTGCTTCTGTGCTTTGCTCGGGTACAACGGGATATGTTCACTTCATACTAGACCAGCAATTTGCACCGGGATTAATTTCTTCAAATACACATCTTGGAAATGCAGTGTTGCTGTGCATCTCGGCGATATGTGGAACACTGTTGTACTTTTTTGCTCTGGTTCTTTCTGGTTTTGATCCCTTACCAGGTTTTCGACAATGATTCGTGCAGTGAAATATTCGATCTAGTCTATCCATTTTTATTTTTACATTCAACAAGTTTTTGAAGTCATCTCACACGCATGCCTTCGTATGTGAAGGTGCACCCCATTTAAGTGAGTGTTCTCGTGGTCTACTTTGATATCTCGCTTGCGAACAGATACGAACGGGAAGTTATTTAGGAAACCGTACGCATTACAGGGGGCTGGGCACGGCTAGCTAGATACTTCCAATAATTATATGTGAACCTTTTTGTGATTATCAAGCATCCACGCCTGTGCCTATGTCATTTTTTTCATTAACATAGTTGAATACGTACAAACCATTTCGAAGTCGTGCTACTTGTTGCGTTCCAACAGGATATATCCATCAAGGTTTCTGAAAAGATTCAATAATAGTCGTGATGAAACGAAAGTTCAAATGTTTAAATAACTAACAAATGTTGGAGAAAATATTATCATGCCTGGATTGGAAGAAAGAGCTTGAACTCAGGAGGAAGCTCTTCTTCAGAATACAAACGATCAGAGAAATATATGCGGCGAACACGGCAGTTTGCATGGATTTGAACTCTGAGTGTTTCTATATAATTAGTACCTAGAAAAGTTGCGTTGTGGTTAGTATGTCAAAAGGAAGACAGCTACATTAGAAGCAAAAGTGCAAACAGTACCATAAGCACGACGGGTGAAGTCAGAGAGATTGAATTGGATTTGATTCCATCCTTCATCGAGCCGCATGGGCATTGTACAAATGAAAGGTTTGACACGCGTCGTTGACTGCAGAAAGCACGCACAGAGGTGTCAACAACGAAAGTTATTTTGTAGGTGAAAGCAAGCAAAAAAACCTGGTAGTTTGACGCGCGAAAACGGCGTCGCACGCTCTTATCATCCAACACCTGGGGAAAGATAAATAATATGATGCGCATCAGTCGAAAATATAGAGCGGGATGACTTTAACTCGAAATATATTAGCAAAAGAATGCTATATTATACCTGAACTTCAAAAGAGAAATACTTTTTCAAGTTCTTGATAATCATTACGAGGAATGGTAGCTTCACTCCCAAAGTTTGTTTTTGCGCATTTGGACATGAAATGTAAATGGTGGATACCTGTCAATTAAGATCAAAAACAGTAAACAAAAACTTTTTAGCGTTCTTCATGTACGTTTGTTCCCATAATTTCAAGCACAGAAGATTGGATGTCGCTGTCTGTGATGCGCTTAATGTGGCCGTTTCGGCATTTTTTGTCCCATATTTGAAGGGGCTGACTACCGATGCTGTATAAGATGGAGAGAAAGCCGCTCTGCAAACAGTGATATGTAACAAATGTATAAAGACTTTTCACGAGGTCACTTGACAGAAAATAACGAGCTTGCCTGGAAAGTATTTTCTGTTGGAGCAAACAAGAAAAACGAAGGTCAGCGAGTAATTTCCAATGATTGTCCTAGGCAACAGAGGATTCCATCGAAATAGAAGTATGTCATGCGGAATGCATCAGCTGTAGTCATTTACTCACTGAACATAGCAGATGTTTACACACGGTAAGAGGGCAAACGGTCACCAGTGTAACACTCGAGTGCTGCCTTGCAAGAAGGAAAGATCGTCTTTGATTTACTTTTCAGAACTTATCCGCGTTAATATAGTGCGAGAGTCTTCCACACAGTTCCTTGAACGAGAAAAGATAAAGAGACACGCGGTGAGAAGAGCGGGTAAAATCGTGCCCGATTAGGATTTTCCGTCTAGACTATTCCAAAAACGTACCTTCGAAGGTATTCCTCTGTACACGTGTACACGTAGTGTCGAAAGTACTTTCGTACTTTCGCGAAAGTACTTTCGTACGAAGCTACATACGGATGTACTACTTTCGTACTTTCGAAAGTAAATTCTATTTCCGGAAGTATTATCTTCGTACGAAGATACAGTATGACAGAAAGATACGAAGGTACGGAAGTATTCTATTTCCATATTCCATATCAGTGATATTCTATCTTCTGTGTGGTACACTTGTGGTACAATACATGTGTATATTTAAACGTACACGTGTACACCAGGGGATAACTTACTATTGTATTTAGTAAAAATACGTACATGACTGCCGGATAAAAAGGTACGAAGGTAAATAAGTAAGTATTTCAAAGTAGTGCAGTTTTAACTCACAATCGACGGTCTAATTTCGCTCCACCCGCAAAAGTCTTCGCCTTTCGAAAAACTAAGTAAACTTTTACTTACACGTACTGTACGTGTACTGTACAAGAAATCTGGGATAGTAAATCGGACTTCCTTGGCTTCGGTTCGCGAGATGTAAATAGATACAGAATACATTTTGGTAGTTTTTTAAGTATACTTTTTGGTTTGAGGCGACCTCACTTCGGTTTCCAATTTTCATTTTTTGGTTTTTACCTACTGTACGTGTACGTGTACAGAACTACACGTACGTGTACAGATCATAGTAGCTCTAATGTACACGTAGTGCGGAAGGACTTCTGTACATAGTGGTACCAGTACAACTACAACGTAGTACGAAAGTACGAAAGTACTTTCGTACCTTCGTAGTATTTTCACCATCAAATATGTTTATAGGGAAGGCCTACGCCCTTTAAGCCCTGAATTAGCGTTGATGCGACAGAGTTAAGGGTGAAAAGAACCCGAAGGGTTCAACCCTTTAAGCTCCGTCAATTCACGCTAATTCAGGGCTTAAAGGGCGTACTACTGTACTGTACTCATTATTTATTTACTATTATGGCTGTACATGTACGAAGGTACGCCGTAAAACGCTGTACTTCGTACGAAGATAGATCTACTACACCTTCGAACGAGTTTCGGAAATGCACGTCTTCACCCGTAGTCTGGACTCCCAAGAGTTGTCCCCATCGTACGGGGAACAATTTCGCAGACTGTGATGCGTTACTTCACCCGCTCCGAGGTTCGTTCTCTACGTAACTACAACATCATTTTTCATCGTTAGTCGATCTTTCGGTGCCTGCAGCTTGCCTTCTCTGTGCCCTTTTTTGGTATCGTATATCGTTTTGGTTGTCTTTCGCGAAATCCCGGATAAATCATTAGGTTTTGATGCATTAAAATACTCTCATGTTCTCACAGGTAGCAACCCATAGTTTTCCTGATGATTGTTGGGTTTCCATTCATGGGAACGTTTTCAACGTTACGAACGTCGTCCTTGATAGTCTTGGTTCATGGAGCCACCTCTTGAGAAAGGAGGCTGGGACTGACATTTCTAGATGGTTTGTCAATTGCAGTGCCGGCAATCTTGACCACATGACCGCCAACTTGGACCTTTCCGTCAAAGTGAATGTTGACCCAGTGATGAATATTCACCATCCCTACTTTATTGATAGCAGCGTGCTGATCGATGCACCTTCGACAAACGTAGACACTGATGCTATTGTGCCAATTCCCTGGTGGGAGGATGAATCACTCATTATTGGCAGATTGACATCTCTGGCTCGCAAAGTTCGTCTGAGGAATGTGTTGACGGGTCAAGAACATATCCTAGAAGTTCCAAAAGAGGAAAAAGTGTCTGGAATTCGCGAACGGTACCTTGAGTACAACTGGCACGCAAGAAGCTATACGTGGAAAGTTTTGCGGAAGACTTGTGTGGTCGGGAAGGTTCATGTCGATTTCATTGAGCTCGACATGAACAAGACGCTGGATGAAAATGACGTGCTCGATGACTCTGAGATCTTTGACGAGCTATCAGTTCCTTCTGACTTTTTCACTCCTGTCATTCACTTATATTATAATGATGACTTATCTTTGAGGTGATAAATTTTCAACTTTTTAGAACAAATGTAGATTCAATCATAGACTCTTCCTATATACTCTTCAATCGATTCTAAAGAAAACCGTACACGACACCGAATAGCTTATTTCTTGGAGATGATTGATAAACTCAGGAGGAGTTCAGAAAGTCCGTCAAACTGAACGCTGTGTGAAGTCACACAAATGTGAACATACTGAGGTGATATTTGCACAAACGGTCAGAGACAGGCGAGCGAGAGGCGAAACTCACGTAAAAGAAAGTTAAGAATGGTATACAAGTTATACCCAGTGGACTATGAAGTTATTTGTCATCCAAAGATATGGCGAAGCTCGTGCTCTCAACCCGACTCTGAACTATAATTGTGCAAAAAGTAGAGTTGGTGCGTTGCTGAAAAAGTTTACAAAGTAACTGCGCAGCAGCCAATTGTGATAAAACCGTCATTCGCGTAGCTTGACTGCGACACCGCATCGCGGCTCGAGTTGACCTGACGTCTCCAGCAACTGCCGGTGTGTCAATCGAGGTAGGGAGATGTCACAAAAATTGTCTCTGGTCAAAAGTGCGCTGACAAACTCGTCTACGTGCATGAGTTCAAAATTTCCTTGAGAGGTCTGATGTCTGATCTTACGATAGTCAAGAAGTAAAGGCTCCAACAATTGATATACCTCGAACGATTTTCCAACCAGCCGAAGATAGAATGCACCAAGAATGCGAACATATTTACAGTCCTCATTTTTTATAAACTCGAGTATAACCTCCTTGTCAGGTTGAATTTGAAGCATTTTCAGTGTCAAGCAGAGGAAATCCGTTGCCTTGCTGCTGCTGCCGTAAACACCCCCGAACGCTCGGAGATTCATCGCAAGATCGACAAGAGTAGCGGCACTCACTCCAAAGCAACGTTCTTTCCAGAAGGGCGATTCATATATTTTCGTTCGAGTAATTTTTTCAATGATTGCCTTCAAAGTCACGATCAGTATGTGCTAGTCAATCAAAATTCTTTGCCCTGAAAAGGTGCAACTTACCTGGGGATTCAAACCATTTATGCTGCGAGCGAGCGGGTCGGTTGAACTAGCCATTTCGTGACTATATATATATTTACACACTGACAACTATTGCAACCGATGTGTCAATGTGCAGATCGTGGACTCGTGTACTGTGACGTTACGCGCAGAAAACCACCGGCGGGCATTCTACGAAGCTGAAGGCGCACAAGGCACCGTAAGTTTATACAATTTAGTATGCGCTCGCTGTGGCCTTGCTGTAAAGTTGATACCTTCGTACCTTCGTACGAAAGTATATTATAGCAAGCAGCTTTGTGGAAGCAACTTATCGAAAAAAAGAATAGTCTTAAAATAGGGCCTACTGTACACGTACAGTGTACACGTACGTGTACGTGTACAGTATGTACACTACAATGTTATGGAAGTATTTTCATGTGTACGACTACGAAGAGACGGCTCCGACTAACGTGTACACTGTACAGTGCGACTACAAGCAAACGAGGTTTTTGCGAATGCTCGCAGCGATTTCATCGGGCTCGAGGGTTTATGAACCCAGTATCCGCGGTAAAACTTCGACTTTGTTGAAAAACTTTATTTCGACGTCACTTCGGCCGGTTGAGACCACGCTTCGTGCTGCACATCCTGATCGATCGTCGTGCTCGTCTTTTCGTCGCGAGAAGTCGGCACTTCAACCGCCTGTTCCCGACCGTACTTGCTCTGGCAGGCTCAACTCGGGATAACCGGACCGGACGTTAAAGGGATGGGCGCATCGCTGTGTGCTTGTATACTTCTTTTCCACTTTTCCCTGACGAAAGGATTGGATCCAGATAGTGATATTGCAGATGATTACACAGGGAAGTTTCATGCTTTTTATGGGAAGCGAACGTGTTCAAGTGTTCACATTCACTTTACTAAGTCAAAGAGTCCTGTAACTGAATTAGCGGTGTCTGCTAGTTTGATGGAGGTATACAAAATCCGTTCTATTCCCCCACGACGGCATATGACTCAAGACGTGACGCACTATAGTGGCGACAACGAACTTGCGCCACTGTCAATCTCTTCTTCTCGCTTGAACCATAGCTCGATTATTCCACAGGCTGACTCGTTGTTTTTGTACCAGCGGACTGCGAACTTGGATCCTCTCACTTCTGGTCATGTAATCGCTCTCTTCAATTTATCTCCAGTGTCTGGTCCGCGGGAGGGTGGAACCGACATTACTATCCGTGGCTCGGGTTTTTTTCACACTGGTCGCGAGTTGTGCCGTTTCAGTTGCTTGTACGCTGGCGTTGACTGCGGTTCAGTTATGGTTCCCGCTCAGGTTGTTACTAATACGAAGGCTTACTGCACTTCTCCTTTTAACCGCTTCGCTGGTACAACGTACATTTCTTTATCTATGGATGGCACGACGTATAGTGCCGATTTCTTTTCTGCGTTGCACCCGAGCGGAACGTTACTGTTTACATACCGGAGCACTCGACCCTCCGGACAATTTACCATGGACAACAACACTGGTCCCTTTTCTGGTGGCACTGTGATCACTATCACTATAGACCAACCGCATGAGAACAATGACGACGGAATAGATGTGTCTGGCTACAGCAGGTTTGAGCCGTCGAGTCTGAATAGTTGTCTTTTCAAATTTTCATTCACCACATCAGTCAGAAATAGTATAAGTTTATATACTGAGGCAAAGTGGCTAACATACCGAAGAATACAGTGCGCATCCCCCCCTTGCGTTTCACATTCTTACGAGACGGTGCTCGCCACACTTTTTGTTAGTAATGATGGGCTACAATACAGTAAGGAGATTGGAAATTTCACATATAGAAACACTGTTCCAAAACTTTTCAAAATATCAACTATGCAAGAAGCCGGTGCATATGTTGCACGGGGACCCTGGAGCGGGAACACCGAAGTATACGTGATAGGCAATGACTTTCTCCCATCAGAAAAATTGAAGGCTCGGTTTGTGGCAGTTGTGAAAGACCTGAGCGAAAACTTCACTGGTGTACTTGAGAAGAAAGAAGGCGAATGTTTATTTGATACAGCGGAGCGGGTTCGCTGCATATCTCCTCCTTGGTATCCTTCTGATTCTCTGATGACTCAGTCAGGTGACCTGCAGCCATGTTTCCTTACCAGTGTGCACTTGTCTAATGACGACGGTAAGCATTGGTCAGCTGACATATCTGACAAATTTCTTTATTGCCCTGTTTATGTCAGCACATACGGAAGCAACAGCCTGGGAGAGGGAACGCCCAGATTGCCATTTAGGGATTTAAATCGCGCCGTTCAAGCGATACTGGCAAATCCTTGGAAACGGCGAAAGAAATTTCGTTCGAGTGTGCAAAATACCTCTTGCTTGGGAAGCCAACGCTTCGGGGGTCAGCCCCACTGCCAAAACACTTTTCATTACATAAATAGCGATCAAATCTTGCTTACAGACGGTATTTATCAGGATACAGCAGATATGTCTGGTGCAGGGTGGAATCTGAATCTTGCTGCCCATGGGCGAGTTATCGAGGTGAGTTGAACCTTTCTTGTGATATCTGCCTTCCACTATTGCTGACCATTTCTCTTTTTGGGCTGCACAGGTGCTTGCTCAAAATGCAGGGCGTGTCTTCCTTGACTGCACAAACAAAAACATAGAAGTGTTGCACGCGACATACGAAATCAATGGTCATGAACCTGATGTCGAGCAGCGAGGCTCTATATCGTTCAAAGATGTTGGTATTGTGAGGTGTACTGGGTTCATCAGATGGGAGTTGTTTGACTACCACTGGCGTGTGACCCAGTCACTAAATATCATGCCATTTTTGTCTTCAGAGTTGCTTAGCAGAGTTTCTGTTTGCAAGTTCGAACCGTTTTTGTATGGCTTACCAGTAATTTGGGGTCATACTGACGAAACTGGACCTATTTATATTCCAGAGAGAAATCACTTGAGAAAAGTGCCAGATGAAACTTCTCCTTTTTCAGGGTTGATATACTTGTGTAGAACGTTGGGAAGTTCAGCACTGCTCAATCCTGGAACACCGCCTGCCCAAGGAAATTCGATTGAAGCATCACTGCAAACCTCGATTAAAGCGCATTATCCGTTTGACAGACGCCAATTGCTCTCTGAAGAGCCATTTGTATTGTATGCTGCCAAAAAATGTAGAAACTTGCTACTTGGGAGTGGTTCCGGATGCGTGCATGAACACCTGGAATATGTTCTTTACAAAAAAACGGTGCAAAGAAACGTACAGATTCGACCAAGCTATTTACAACTAAAACCTATAGGCTCTGATCAAACATCGAAGAAGTCTTTTGTAACTCGAGAACTTGAGGAGCATTCTTTTGTAATTGGAAAAAGCTTGCTTTTGTTCAGAGCTTCCAGAAACCACAAAGAATATCAGTTGCAGAACATTGTTTTGCCAAAAAAACACCGTATCAGAGCAAAACGTCAGTTATTCCAGGGTTCTCGAGGCGGATCATTTCCGGTTGATTGATTGTCTGACAATGGACACAAAGAGGCTACAGGCATGTGCGCGCGCTTATGTTCTTTTAGAGTTGAATAAGCATGTTGAAGTTCACTTCAGAAAATAAATCAAATAAATCAAAGTGTAATTACTTCGCGAATTCAGCGAACCACGCAGCAGTATCAACCCAAGTTACATGATTAGGCTGTCGATCTCCTCTGAATATAGAGAAACAAATACTACTACCTCAAAGCAAATCCAAAAAGATTCTCATTCGAGCTTTCAAATCTGTCGCTACCTTATCTGCAGCATTATCTGGCACCCCTTTTTCATTCTCTGACCTCTTTTCTGAGGCTTGCGGCCCACTTTCAGCAACACGGGCGTACAAGTATGCGAGCTTAGAAAGTTTCATTGCTTCAACACCATTAATGGCAAATATTTCTGGTGAGTGAACACGCCACGCCCAATTTCCGCGAGCTACACCTGGGGTATTCATCCTAGCAGTATTATCGAGACCGAGGACATCTTGCATCGTAAAAACACAGGACTTGCTCGCGCTTGACATGCTTAGCCGGATAAAACCCCAGGCAGCCCCCTCTGTTTCAGTAATGCCAGCATAAGAGGACAGGAAGAGTTTTGTGGTGTCATCTAGTTGTTCATACCAACCTTGGGTTGTCTCGTTGTCATGTGTACCGGGATAGCAGAATGAGTTTTCATAGTGGTTGTGCGGCAAATGCGGGGAATGCCCATCTCCACCCCAAGCAAACTGCAATACAACCATGCCAGGCGCACCAATAGCTTCCCGGAGTTCGACGACGTCCTTGGTAATAACACCAAGATCTTCTGCAACGATGGGGGCATCACCGAGTGCATCTTTGATGCCTTTGAAGAACTTTTCCCCTGGACCTACAATCCATTCGCCACTCTTTGCCGTCTTGGCATCTGCTGGAACTGACCAGTAAGCAGCAAAAGCTCTAAAATGATCAATGCGCACTTCATCATGAAGTTCTAGAGCCCTTCCGAGGCGACCAGCCCACCATTTATAACCATGCGCATCGTGCATCGGCCAGTCGTAAAGGGGACTTCCCCAAAGCTGACCATCCTCGCTAAACGCATCTGGGGGTACTCCAGCAACGGCTAAAGGCTTGCAATCTGGTCCTAGCGAAAAAAGTGCTTGGTTTGCCCAAACATCAGCAGAATGGCCACCAACATAGATAGGCATATCTCCAACGATAGAAATACCTTTCAGATTTGCATAGTTTTTAAGCGCTAACCATTGTCTGTCGAAAATAAACTGTGTAGCGCAAAATTCGTCAATGTATGCAGCAGAAGCTGCGCGTTTTGCCTCAAGGGCTGCAGGTTCTCGCCGACGAAAAGCGTCAGGCCAGTCCCACCAATCCTTTCCAATATTGTCAGGTTCGTGACAAATTGCATCAAAAAGAGCAGCCTCATTCAACCACGAGCTGATCTCAAGGCGGACGCGCCACTCATTGAAAGCCAGTTTCATTGGGTCAGTGTTTGGTTTATTTAGGAGACGTCTGGCAGCAATCGAGATCAGAGGTTCGTTAACTTCCGCTACTTTTTGAAAGTCTACGTTGCTCAGTAAGCTGGATTCCTCGGGGAGCTCTCCACTCGCGAGCAGCCCTTCCTTGACTAGCTCGTCCAGGGAGATGATTAGTGTGTTGCCACAGTGTGCATCACGCCCAGAGTACGGAGACCAATAGTCCTCTCTGATACCAGGAATTGGACGTCCAGGTGGAACGAGTGGAAGCACTTGCCAAATCTGCATCTTAGCGCTAGCAAGCCAGTCGACGAAGGCATATGCTTCACGTCCCATGTCACCGATGCCGTACCGTCCAGGAAGGGAGGTTGGGTGCATAATTATTCCTGCACGTCGTGCAGCTCGATCTGGGGGCAGTGAATCGATGTACCCTCGTTCGACAGGTTCTCCTAAAACAAAAGTAAAAATTTTAAGCGGAAAACCGCGTCTTTGTCAGCATGAATCTTAACGTCTGGTTGCAGATTTCACAGCAAGAAAGGAAAACCGTGAAATTCAAGAGTCCTCTCGCTTGGCAATCTGTTTCTCGTTCAACCGAAAAAAACAGAGACTCACCTATCTTTGCCGCAGTGTGCGCGACTCTCCGGCGTGTTCTATTCGCGGAGAGCGTGCGAGGAACGTTCGGAAGGAAGTTTATTTGATGCGAGTGCGCAAATGACATAGTTTCGGTTCTTGTTTGTGCGTGTTCCTGGCCGTCCGAATTTGGCCAACTCTTTCTTTGCTGGGGTCTCCAGGCTGACGGTCGCGACTGTAAAGTTATACGAAGGTAAGGCCTCGGACTAAACCATCCGGAAAATTAGGTAACTCAAAAATCGACGGTTTAAATTTCGCTCGACTGGAAGAAACAAAGTTCCGGACGGAAAAAAAAAAGTTCCGTCCGGAAAATTGCCGCATTCTTCCGTGCGGAACTTTGTGGCCCGGAAGTCCCGGAAAACGCCGATTTTTTTTACTCGTCGTTCTGCATTTAGTTTGCCCGTATACTTTGGTTCTCGAGATGTATTTTTTGCACCGTTCTCAAAGGCGCGTGTTTGCGCGGTCATGGCGTCCCCGGAAGACCACGGATCGCAACGTCATAGAGAGAAGAGTTGCTCTACATATCGTCGAACGTCGTAAGCTGTAAGACTATGATGTCATTTACTGCGAAGAAATCAGCGGAAATGGCGCTTGAAAGGGCGTGGTTTCACTTTTAGCGAAAAAAATGCAGTTTTGCCGCGCTTTTTTTTCTTCGGGGCCTCGCGCTTGATGATCGATCGTCGCAGCGGTCGGTTGCTCTCAGATTCCACCCTAAAATCTCCCGGACGGTTTAGTCCGAGGGTCGATCGGGAGTGCTTGAAACCGGCAGATTTCCGCAAACTTCCGGATGGTTTAGTCCGAGGCCTAAGTTGTTACTCTACACGCGCATAATTTAAAATAAAGTACACGTACTGTACAGTACGTGTAAACTTCTTCACGATAAAATAAAAGTTAGTCGGTACGTGACTACGTGTACAGTACGTGTACACGTACGTGTACAGTAGGACTTGAATAATTCTATCCATAACCTTAAATATTTGGTTTTGTGCTGATTAATGTGGGCAAAATCCGCATATCATCAGCCAATCAGAAGACAGCATTTAAATTAATATCGAGTTATGGGGCGTATCGAACAACTTATTTCCGGAAGTACACGTACAGCGTTAGTTGTACTGTACAATGTACAGTACGGAAGTAACAACTTACAGTATTGACTACACGTACACGTACAAATGTTTTATGTTGTACGAAAGTACGAAAGTACTTTCGAAAGTACGAAGGTACGAAAGTACTTTCGTACGAAGAAGAGGGCTAGCCCTACGTGTATGTATACGCTTGTGTACAACGTACACGACTACACGTGAGCGATAAAGAGGGCGATTCGGGAACGCGCGCGGCGCCGCCGCCGAGCGGCGGCGACGGCGACGCGGAACACGCACACGTACTGTACGTAAAATAAAATAAAAAGATCAATTCCAATAGAGTACTGTACACGTGTAAAACTACGTGTACAGCTGTACACGTACACGTACGTTGTAGTGTGTGTGTTATTTCAAGTCTCCGTGACGTGCAGCCCTAGAAATCTGCTCGCTAAGGCAAAAAGCAACTACCTGTACACGGTCACGCCGCCCAAATCGGGCTCCTCCCCAAGACCTTCAGTCTCGTCGTTCTCACGTACACCCCGGTCATTGCCCCCTTCCTTCGCGAATAAGAAATCAACCCCTCCGCCCAGCAGCCGGCATCTTGTTGTTGGTAGTTGTTGTTCATGAAAAAAATAGGTAGGGCTACAACGTTGTACTGTACACGTACAGTAGTATGTACACGTACAACGTTGTACACGTGTACGGAGAGGGCCCTGCGTACACTTAACGCGCGGTTGTACAACGCGCGTACAAGCTTCTCCTAAAGTTGGGGGTACGTGTATAAACGAATATCGCGAGAGGTACTTAAATGTGCTGACAAAATAGTCACACGCGTATGGGCAATTCCGCGTGATCGTATGAGCATTCAGTAAGAAATTTCAACGCGTGTTGTGAAGGATCGATCCTGCAACGTTGTAGGGCTACCTGTACACGTGTACGAAAGTACTTCCGTACACGTACAGTACGTGTACTGTTCAATACACGCTTTTTTTTTTCTGGTTTCGACTCAAGACAATTTGGTCGGTCGCCCCTTTCAAAGTTGTTTCCTTTCAAAGATAGATATGCTAGCCCAACGAGTATGCGTGTAAGACTCGTTTGTGTACACGTAATTAACGCGTTGTACAGTATGTGTACTTCCGGAAATAGATCATTTATACAGCTGTACACGTGCGTGTGTCGTTACCTTTGTACACGTGTGCCAGTGGAGATTTACAAGAGTGAGTATCTAGAGGGCGCAGCACGATATTTGTGTACACAAACAGGCGAGCTTCAGTGGTAGCCACACGACGTCCGTCGACTTTCGAGCTCAAACTTCGCGAGGAGCACTCCTTTCACACGTGTATGACTCTCACATATCCAACCCTCGCGCCCCTCACGTCGTCCCGGACCCCATTCCTACGCATCGCTGACTACTAATATCGCCGCCGCCGCCGCCAGAAACGCAAATTAGTCTTGATGCGACAGTAAGGGCGATATGAATTCGAAGGGATCGACAATTCAACTAGCCATCCAGCGAGCACGCTTGAGACACCAGTTTAAAAAAAAATGAAAGTGTAGGACAGGAAGCAGTCCCCGGCACTCTGACCGTGGACGCCGCTGCTATTCCTACGCGTCTTGCGCGCGTGTGCACGGCAGCCAGGCAGTTGCTCTCGACTCTCGAGAACCCTCTTTGACAATACTCTCTCGCCTTCTCGACGTTGGAGTTTTCCCAAGAGACGTTATTGACGTCGACGTCGTGCGCAGCAAACGGCACGGCAACAGCGAGGTTAAACGTTACGTTCAGGCCAAGTCGTACCAAAACCGTTTCGAACGCTGAAAAAGCACGCACGTAGGACGCGAGTAAGTCGTCGCGCGCGCCGGCGTAGTGTAGTCCCCGATCTGAGACTTGACGCTGGTGGGCGCGAGTTGATGACGTACGGGTCGGGCAGGAACCCGCCATCGGACGCGAGCACGAGCGCCGCGTTGTCGTCCTCGGTGAGACTATCTCACGTACAGTCCTGTTCGCGTTTTGTGCGTTGATCCTCGAATCTTCTCGCCCTCACGCGCAAGCGCTGGGTTCCCGAAGTGGCCGCGTTCTCCGCGTTCGTACGCGTCCACCGCCGCGCGTTGAAGCGACGCAATCGTTCGCGCGAGGTCGGGAGTGGACGCGGACGTGACCGCTGTCGCCGCCGACGACGAAGACGACAAAAGACGCATTCGGCGCGGCGACCAACAGAATCGAACCTGCCGTGGATATCGACAGGGCGACCAACGCCTCTTTCCGCGACGCGTCTTCCGCGGGCGCGTCGTCATCCCGTCTCCGCGACGTCAAAACACGCTCACCGCGTGCACGGAGGAGAAGTCGCCCCAGCCGCTCTCCACTCGAATTTTCAAAAACAGCGCTCGCTTCACGCTGACCTTGTGCGACTCAACCTGCGCGGCGTCCGCGGGCTTGTCCGCGAGCTCGACCTCAAACACGGGCTTGAACTCCCCGCCCGCGTCGAGCCGCTCGTCCGCGCAGACGTGAAGGGAAAACTTTCGCACGCCTCTCGTGGACGTTCGAAGCTTCGACACCTTCGACGGACGCGCGAGCTTGATGACGAGCTCCGCGGGGTAGCATCCATCCGTGACCCAGTACTTCTGCTCGGAGGGATCGAGCGCGTCCTCCGGCAGATGCCGCTCGTCCGCACAAGAGGCCATGACGATTGACGCTCCAGCGGAGATGTCCGTCATCCCGCGCGCTGTAGGGCGACGTGTGTTTCGAATATTATGGTTTCACAAAAAATCGCACGCGCGGGAGTTCGTGGTTCGACAGCTTTTATCAGCGCGTCCGCTGCTACGTGTACAGCTGTAAACGTGTACACGTACAGTAGGGCTACTGTAATGTACTTTCGTACGAAAGTACGAAAGTACCTTCGTATGCTGTTCGCGGGTCGCCCTTATGGGCGCGCGCGTACAACGTTGTACAGATGTACGTGTACACGTGTCATAGTGATACCTTACTTCGTTCGTTCGTACCTTCGTATACGTGTAGCCCTACACTACAGTACCTTCACTTAAAATTATTAAAATAGGTTGTGAAGAGACAAATCGAAAATATTGCAGACGTCTGCATATGCCGAAAGTCTCTCCTGCATAACGCGAAACGGGAGAGGCGATTCAGAATACGGAGAGCAATCTAATAAATTGTAGGATTTCGAACAACATTTTAAATGATTATTCGTCTATTTTACTAAATTCGACGACGGGGTAACATGTGGTCAGTCATTGCGCTTGGGGTAATATTGGTCAAGGAAGGTAGTGCGTGCGAAGGCACTTTAGCCAGTTCGCCAAGATCAAGACTTTGTTCTGAGACTGATGGAATGCCCCGTGAAACCGTGTATGTCCCTCCCTGTATAGATTTAAAGAAGTTACCATACAACCTAGCTGCGACCGAGCTTTCTTTTGGAATTATGTCGCTGTTTGATACAGTAAGAGAACTCCCGTGAATCAATTCGTTTCCTGTATTTATGTCAAAGGAGGAATATGGGCAAATGACCTTCCTCTTATTTGTGATAACAACCATGCCATTTTTCGCATCCTTGGAATAAAGTAACGCTTCTGGAGTACCACTTAGTGTTGCCCAACCTTGACCAGGTGCTGCATCCCTGCCTATAAATTGTGCCAATAGACATCCAGAGGATATAATAGAGGATGATCCAGAGGTTTGGAAACTCTTTGTCGGTGTCATTTCCAATGAATGTTGAGGACAAAGCGAACTATGGAGCATGGTCGATGGAATGACTGCGACGCAACACGAAGATGAAAGCGTGTGAGCGGCAACATGTGTACATGGCAGCGCAACCACACGGTAGACAGAGAAGTTAAGCAGGCTCCATATCACAACTCCTGTACTTGATGCACCTACGATCAGTGGTTGATTTGTAATAAAAGTCAACCCCGTTATTTCAAACTGGTTCTGTGAATTGTTGAGCACAGTTTGAACACAGTTTGCGAATTCACGAGATTTTCTTGCTTTTAAGGTGGGAAGCAAGACACTTTGCAGTTCGTTGCCAGTGTCAGGATCCCATAACACGATATGCATACCTGAAGTCGCCAATAAAGATTCGTCTTGTGAGAAATTGACTGTAAGAAGAGCAGGAGAAGGAAACCCTTGATGCGCGACAGTTGATCGACATATCCAGGACTTGCTTCCGAGGCTTCTGGCTCCGTATGCCTGGCATGAAGGAATCCAGATCTTTACTACTCCATCGAGAGAAACTGAACACGCCATCAACGATCCCTTGTTCAACACCCCGCGGATTTGAAGGGAAGTTACTGACTTAGCATGAGGTGATTCGAACGTAGAAACACATACAAACTCCCCTTCAAGAGCGCGAACTATTTTGTCCACCTTATCACTTTCGACTTCTGACCTGTGCCACTCCCAAATTCGAAGAGTCTCAAGAGACAGAGCTTCCTCCCCGTTATGTTGATCTCCATGTCGTCCAGAGTTTGCGTTGGTCGACTTCATATCATATCTTCTATCTATTGTGGCGAGAACTGAGCCGTCAGTATTGAATTCCGCAACGCTTATGTATTGTTCTGGTGGATCATCCGATCCTCCAGCTCCATTGACGACGTTTTGTGGCGCCACATGGAGGGTTGCAGACTCATGCTCATCAGTATATTTGTAAAGCTGAATTTGTGTGCCCATCGTGGCAAAACAAATCGTTCTTGAATCAGGGTGAAACGATATCGAAGGAAATGGTCTCCTTTCAAATACGGATACAGCTTTCGAGGCAACAACTAATTCAGCGAACTGAGGTCCAGAGGATAAAACTTTTACCGAATTCGAGTTGACAGTAGAGACCGTGCTGATGATAGGATACGAAGTTACATGCTGTGTGCACAACGCGGCTGGTCGAATGCCGACAATTTTAACTTCAGTGGTCAAAGTTGCCAGGGAAATAATACGTACGGAGTTGTCAGCACAGCCGACGGCAACACGAGTAAAATCCCCTGGAAACTGCAAGATAAAGTTCAGAGGCGCGCCAATTTGAGGGATATATGACCGGCGATCTTCGTTGAGCTGCCAAATGACAAGCACTGATTCAAAACCACCGGAAAGCAAGTGGGCTCCATCAGAAGCAAAAGATAGACAGGTTACAGAAGCTGCATGCCAGTGCAAAGCGCTACAAGAAAGTGAACTTTCAAAAAGTTTTCCTTTACCTACAGAGCCCACTCTGTCACCAGCTATATTTTTATCACTGAGCTTCCGATCAGCAAAGTGAGAAGGAAAATTTGACCTGCAAGGCCAATTGATGTGGGCGCTTGATGGCTTTGAGAAGCCACGCCAAAGCGTGATACGGCCTGTTGTATCTCCAGCAGCAAGTGTATCTTCGGATTCGCTGAACGCTATTACAGTTATCGGCTTTGAGTGATGCAAACGAACGATATGTCTAGTTCTGGAACCAAGTCCCTCTTTATATTCAAGTGACCACACGTTGATGCTATGCCGCTCAAATGCACCAACTAAATTGCCAAGAGGGCTTCCAACCAGCTTTGGAGGAATTCCTGTTTTAGCAAGATGATCTGATATGTTGAACTTGCTCATGCTGAAGGCGAGTATGCGACCTCCCTCTGTTCGATGTATATTGCTCTTTCGCTGCCAGCACGAAAAGTAAATCGTGTCCAGACCCTGCAGGCTTTTCCCTGCTGGTGCTATCATACTTAAAATCGACCCAGGGGCCGTGAATACTTTCAACTGCGTACCATTGAGCGCATCCCAGGATCGGAGGGTGCAATCTTGAGACGATGTAAGCAAAGTCAGTCTACGTGAATGCGTGGGATCGAAAGCAATAGCTGTAATTTCTGCTTCATGGCCTATAAACTTAACATTCAGTGTGCTGCCAGTATTTGGGCAGAAGGTCCGAACTTCATCATCGGAACAGAGGTACATTCGCGTCCCGTCAGGTGACTGCGGAATAAGGTCGAGTATGCAAACACATTTTAATGACGCGCAAAACAACAGAGCACGAGAGCACGGGGTGAGGAAGTTTAAACCCTGCCACAGCGCCGAGTCGTTCAGTGAGCTGACCGCCTGCAACTCTGCAGGAATTATACATGTTCGCTGAAAGGATACTAGACGAGATGCTAGAAATATTTCCACTTCAGGCAATAGTAGACGCGCCGTCGAAAGGTACCGCGACGCACCATCGAAGGACACGAATACAGGGAGAAGCTAAACACGTCCTTCAGCAAAAAGTACAACTTGAAGTAGGGTCAAAATTGTACAGTACTGTACAGTACGTGTAGCCCTACGTGTTAGTGCACAGACTTTTATCGAAGTACGAAAGTACTTTCGAAAATAGAATACTGAATAAACAATTTTATTTTAGTTGTATCGTGTACAGTACGTGTGCGTACATACTGTAGGATAGTGGCTATCAGCGAGAGGATAGGAGCTTAGAGAGGATATTAAGAGGATGAGCGCGCGGTGTGCTATAACATCGCGCAGACGCCGTTTTTGGCTCTGTGACTGCACGGCATGTTAGAAGACATCACCCTCGAGGCGCGCGGATCGACCGCGTTCGTGTCTGAATCGCACGAGCAAAGCATAGACTGGCACGATCGCGTCGATTTGTAAAAGAGCATTTTTCTTCGCAGCTACAGCCTCGACCCGCGGAGTTCGACTGCCGACGCAAGCGATCGTTTTTTTTTGCGCGGCGCGAATTTTAAATATGCTCTAATGTGTCCACGCGATATAATCACGAAGTTTTTTTACGTTCGGAACTGTTTCCATGAAGTTTCGACGTCGCGTACGCGAGCTCAGGAGACGGCAAATGTTTCGTAACGCCGAGTCTGTTTTGCAAACGACGGATCTGTGCGACGTGACAGCCTGATTCAGCGCCCCAGGTGTATATAACTCGCTGGGATGATCGCTTACGCTGTCTAGTCGATGTTCGCTTTGACGCTCCGGCCTCAACCGCGGCGCGCGCCTCTCTGACTGTCCTCGCGCGGCGCGGCAGTTAAGAGGATGAGCTCATCAGTAGTTCATCCTCTTAATTAAAACGTACTACGCTCTCATTATTTGCTCATACGCCATCCTCTTAATATCCTCTATAAAGCTCCTATCCTCTCGCTGATATCCACTAGCTAGAAGGAGTCTAGCTAGAAGGTAGATAAATAATGTATTGTGAAGGTACTGTACAGTAGTTATTGTACAGTACTGTACGTGTACATAAAGTTTGGAATAAAATATGATATCTTCTCTCAATAAAGTTGTTTTTGCTTGTTACCGTATCATACACATGAACAACTTATCTAGAAATAGTACAGTATGGCGATCGTAACATGAAAGCCTGAGTTCTTATCTCGCATTCAACATCTTCCAGAACATAAACGGAAGTACGAAAGTACAACTATACGTTGTACGAAAGTACTTCCGTACAACGTACTTTCGTACGAAAGTACTTCCGTACGAAGGTACTTCCGGAAGTATGATACTTCCGTAGAACATACCTTCGAAGGTAACATATTGAGAGAGGGAAATTTCGTTGACTGCGCACTTGCTTTCACCTTTTCAAAGAGAGGTGACCCTAGCGCGCGCTTGCGCGCCCGCGCACTTTTCCGGGCGGAACCTGGGTCCAAAAAGTGCTTTCGTTTCTGACGTCCTGATAGCTAGCTAGTAGGATACACGTGCATCGTACAGTACTAGCCCTAGCTAGTACACGTACGAGTATCTATTCAAGCTACATCCGAGGGTAGTAGCTAGCTAGTCTAGCTAGCTACCGGTACCTTCGAAGGTAGCTAGCTAGCTAGCTAGCTAGTCTATTCTATCTCCGTAGCTACTTCCGGGACGGAAGTACAGAAGTACTTCCGGAAGTACTTCCGTACCTTCGAAGGTACCTTCGTACACGACTACAACGCGATACTGTACAACGCTTTTTATGCCTGGCTAGATAGTGTAGCCCTACTGTACATAACTACATATCTATCGGATACTACAGTTCTACACGTACTTTCGTACAACACAAAAGAGATTCTACTGTACGCGTACTGTATAACGTGTTCGTGTGTACGTGTGCAGCTGTGCACGTGTACACGTACATACTGTACGAAGATCATAAAAAATGAATAAATAGCCCCACCACTGCGAACTGCCCCACCATTGTGTTGTACGAAAGTATCTATCCCTACTTCCGGAAGTACACGTACTTCCGGAAGTATGATACTTTCGTATGATACGAAGATAAAATACTTCCGTACGTGAGTCGTACATAAACCGTTGTGCGTGTATTGTAACGCGTTGTACAACTGTACACGTTCACGTACGTGTACAACGGGTTGTCATAATTTATCTCTTGCCGATATTCGTGGCGGAGTGGACTTTTATTGCAACGTAGGACAGGGCTGGACACAGTTCCCTCCCCGTTGTACTTTCTGCTTATCTCTCCCTCCGCAATATGCGTCTGCTAACTCACAATCTGCTTGCTTCGAACGTGAAGGTCTGCCCTGGAATGCAGCTCGTCTTAATTTTCATATCAGCGTTGAGAGTTCCACACAGGGCACGACTGCTGGCTTTCCTCTGAAGCTAGAGGTACTTGTCAAAGAGGAGCGCAGTACGGAGTTCGACGCAGGCACGCGACTAATGCAATTATTCCGTCTCCCTGCAAGTCATCTTGCTCTTTATCAGCTTTTCTTCTTCATACTTTGCCTAAACTAAATTGGTCTGCGTTCCGAGCGGCTGCGGTGCGACACTTTCGAAATTTACCTTTCGAGCTAATTTTATAACGGAATTTAGCCACCTCCTCAGGAGAGTCTTGGAGTTGACAAACTGCCATCTACTTATCCGGAACGTGATGAACTTACGAACGAGTTCCTCCGAGTGTTTCATCATGCTTTACTCGAAATAGAGGTGCAAGAAGGGTACCTTATTTGTCCTGAAACAGGAAGACGCTTCCCTGTAAGGTACGTTCAGTGAGCTCCTGGACGCTCGTGAGGGTTTCAGTTCCAGTGAAACAACGTACACATTTCCCCCCTGACCCTCTCCTCTTACTCCAGAAAGGGTATTCCGAACATGATGCTGAATGAAGATGAAGTCGATTGAAGATTAAATTCCTCATCTTGAACTTGAAATCGATGCGAATTGTTCACACTTTTCTTCGCGGAGTTTCTACACGAATTATCTTGAAAATGTGAGACCACTTGACTCGTCAATTTTTACAATCAAGTGTCATTTCGTGCTAGTGCGCGCCTGGCGCACTTGTTTTTCACGCGGGGTTGGTTAATTGGTAGAGCGAGGAGTGCGCATTTCCTGCGGCTGTGGTAGGTAGGTGAAATCCCCCGCTTGGTAGAGCATAGGCTCTCTGCTGCCTGAAGTAACAATGTAGTGGGTCCGCTCTATTTCAGATATGGAAGTGGACGTATCTATCATATAGGATTTTTCGAGTGCATTTTTCCATTCTGGAGCCACCTAACCTGCTGGCTTCTAGATGTTTTTTTTGGAAATAAAAAAAACTCTGTGCAGAATTTTTCTGATTCCCACAACATCTCCTTCACGCTATTTAAACTAGTGAAGGATTTGCAGTGCTCTAAAGTTACATTGCATTCACTAGTGGAATTCAGTGAAGCTTTGATTTTTGGTAGATAATAAAAGCCCTGCATATGCTCTTATCAAAACGTTGGTGAGTCAAAGTCAAGACACAGGCTGCGAAACCCAGGTGTTGCACCACAGAATTCAAAAACAAATACAGAAGTGAAAAGCGGACAAGTTATTGCAGATGTCCACAGACCATGCCCTGTCCAGATCCTACACCAAAGAAATCGATTTTCCACGTCTGCTCCAGGTGAGCAATGACGTCCTTGACAAGTAAAACCTTCGAATTCCTGAGAAGAGCCAACTTGCACGAAAAGCTCGTCACGCTGTCCACAAAGTCATCAGCTAAATCTAGTATGAACTCTACGACAGCAGGATCAAACACATCTCCTGGCGTGACATGCGTCAGAATATCCTGTGTCATCAAGATTACCGTGAGACGAATGGCAGAAAACCCTCGAAAACTTGTATCTCTGACCTTTAAACATTGCTGATTTAGGACGCGGACGTTTTTGCATTCTGTTGGAGATGCAGAACGTTCAGAGAAGCGAAAGATGCGCTCAATGAGCAATGTTATGGAGGGAGTGTAACGGCTGGCTTACCATGATCTTTTTTTGAGTTGCCAGCAGTAGATTCCATGCCTCTATCTGGCTAGCACCGGAGGAATCTATTATAAGATATTGCTCGGAAGTACTTTCGAAAGTACCTTCGAAGGTAAAACAACAACTTTGGCAGTTTATGTTCACATTTACCTTTTTCACGAAGATAAGTAAGGGCTACGTGTACACGTACAACTACAGTATTAGTTCCTACGGCTACATAAGTGTACGTGTACGCGTTTAAAAGTATTTTCGTACGGAAGTAGTTGAAGTCTTGTCTGTCGAGCCCAATGAGTTCATCGAAAGCAGTGAGAGCAACTTTATGTGTACGAAGGTACGGAAGTACGAGTAACCCTGAACCTTACTAGGGTTCGAGGACCCTGCTGAAGGGTGGCGAAACGGTGACCGCGAGTTTTAGGAAAACCGAAAACGTAGTTCCACCCGAGGGGTAATGGTTTTAGGGTCAGGCAGTGGATTTATTTTAGGGTTTAGGGTTCCGTACTTCCGTACGAAAGTACTCCGGAAAGTACTCCGGAAGTACAACGTACGAAAGTACTTTCGTAGAACGTACGGTGTACGAATGTACCTTCGACAATACTTACTTCCAGAAATAGATAATCTTATAAGTTGCAACTTACCTGTACTTCCACAAGCACGAAGGCAGCTTCACAGGTACGGAAGTACCTTCGAAGGTAGTACGGAGATACTGTTCATAACAGAACTCCAGGTTCAAGGCAGCATGCTCATTATAAACACCTCAGGGGAGGACAACATAGTTGCAGATGTAAACTCGAGTTCGAAGAAAAGATCAGCTTCTCCATGAGCATATTATCTCTAGCTAGTACCAGCAACTTCTCTGAATTAGCGTTGATGCGACAGAGCCCATTACCCCACTATGTCACTATGTCTGACCAGGTTTCAAAAGTTCTATATTTGAAAGTACATTTAGCCTCTGAGGTTCGAATTTTCATCGTATAAACAAGTGATTTGATAGCAAGATTGAACTCATCGCACGCCTTCGGCGGCTCTTCGCCCCATGAGCATGAGCTCATGTTGCATCATCACATCTGATCGAAAGCCACGCGGGCTTCGCCCGCGTGATATTCGCGCGGTCGCCGTACCCTTAAACCCTAAACGTTAAAACCAACCCTACTACTACTACCTCGGGTGGAACTACGTTTTTCAATATCCTAAAACTCGCGGCCACCGTTTTGCCACCCTCGCGACTAGGAGGACACTACCTGAGAGGAAGAAAATCAGATAGCGGGTAGCGAGCCCCTTCGCTACATCGCTACTCGAAAATGTCGTATGGGTAATTAGTTTTCAATTTTTTTTTATTTTTTGGGGTAGACTTCCCATCCCCCTGTGACACTCCTGTGACGCTATGGTTGTAGAATAGTATGTTTTATTTCCTTTATTTGGAAGTACAACTACAGTACAACGTACACGTACTGTACACGTATGCCCTACTGTACCAGTACTGTACGTGTACCCTCGTGTACCCGTGCAGTACAACGTTGTAGTGTATTAATTTACGCAAATTTTTATTTTAGGGTTTTTATTTTGCTGAATATTTACTGTACACGTACGTGTACGTGTACGTGTACCTTCGTTTTATTTATCTACCTTCGTACAACGTTGTACACGTACGAAGGTAGCTAGGATAAAGTTGCACTACGCGTACAGTACGTGTACAGCTGTACACGTACATGTACGTGTACGGAAATATTTCCGGAAGTGGATCTACGCGTGTACAGTACGTGAGTACAACGTACTATTTCCGTGTAGCCATAATTCACACATAATTCCATAAAACAAATAACACTTCGTGTACGTGTACACGTACACGTAGCCCATACCCCTTCTATCATACCTTCGTAGCTAGCTAGCTACGAGATAGCTATCTATTCTCAATACATCTAGAAATATATGGTGATCGTAACATGAAAGCCTGAGTTTTGAACTCGCATATCAACATCTATGAAGGTACCTTCGGTACTTCCGTAGCTAGCTAGCTAGCTAGTTTAGTCTAGCTAGCTAGCTAGCTAGCTCTACATACGGTACATAGTGTACGTGTAGATAGATGATACTGTAGATATGTTGATATTATTTATCTTCGTAGTACACGTGTAATGTGTACGTGTACAGAGCAATGTATGTACACGTACTACGAAGGTACGAAGGTAGCTGGTAGGACGTTCACTCGTCGAAACCTATCTATAAAAAGTATAGCTTGAGCTTAGAGGGCACTGACCTGCAGCCGGAAACTTGTAAAGGGTCGGTCTCAGGCGAAGTGGCAGGGATATCCGAGGCTTTGTATCGCCAATACAATTCGGAACCAGCATGTCATCTGTTGGCGCGGTTTCGAGCCACGCGGTGGTGGCACTTGCGGGGATCAAGTCCTCCCGGGAGAAATATGGTTCCGGCGCTCGCATCGCGAGACGCACGGTCGCGTTCACCCCCGCTAGCTTCACGAAGCGCGCTCGCAAGGTACGCCGGAGAATCCGTTAACTGCGATTCGATTCAAGTGGCCGGCCTAACATTTGAAACCTATGTGTGGTCGCATCTCACTTTGATTTTTCGCTCGGCGCGTTGTCCGTGTTAGCCGCGACGTGGTAGTCGTGGAGCGTATTTTTTCACTGCGTGATAATTGAAAGATAAATTCGACCCTCTCCGTTGAGACTTCACCAGGCCAAATTCTCGCTACGCGCATCGGATGTCGACGATGAGTTAGCGGCTGTCGCCGCTGCTGTGGAGGTATGATTTTGCATGAAAGCGTCTTTCGCCTTGCAAGCGCCGGCGTGCGACCGGTGCAGCGGACACGCGATTTCTTGTTTTCTTATCCTGCTCACACACCGTAGCTGACCACTTTCAAGAACAAGTGGGTCTTCGTAGCGTTACATACACACCAGACGCGGCGGATCTTACACTCCTGATTCCATGCGTCTCACAGGCTCTCCGTTTGGAGAATGAACGTCTGAAGGCGGACCTTGACCCAAATTCAGTCACGGTGAGCTCATACACACTCATACTCTCACACACTCATACTTTCCGTACCTCATCCCATCCCAAACTGAAGTCCTCCAAAATTGCGGGATGCGTTCGGGCACTGAGAAATTCGAGGCACTGACGACTTTCCATCTATGCTGCATTATTTTATGACAGAGCAAGGGCGCTTCCCCTCCGCCACCACCTCCCCCCGCCCCTCCTTTGCCGCCAACCCCTATGCAGCAGGCTGAGTCTGACACTATCCCCTCGGAACCACCAACACCGGTGCCTCCGCCTTCCCCGCCCTCAAATCCTGAATCTTCGGAGCCACATGTGCCTCCAGTTGAAGATGTGAAACCCGAGCCGTCCTTCGCAGCAGCAGCCGGTGGATCTTCGCACGCCCCCCCTGGCGTATCTGCCAGCAGCAGTGGTTCTGGAAGTGCAGGCCCGTCAGCGAAGGACTTCGTTCCTGTCACCCCGACTCGCGAAAATACAAAACCTATTTATGGTGCCAATGTTCTTCCCATGAACGAACCTCCTGCTTCAGAGAGATTCGCGAACTTTGAGTATCCCCCTATCACCACTGATGGCATGGGCGTCTGCATGTTGGATGGCACTCTCAACCAATTCAGGGACCATCTTGGGTACCGTTGGTCAAAGTATTGCGCACTTCGTGATGCCATTGATCAAAACGAGGGCGGTATTGAACTGTTCAGTCGAGGTTACGAGAAAATGGGCTTCAATCGCTCTCCAGAAGGAATCACCTATCGAGAATGGGCCCCTAATGCGACAGCCGCGTGCCTCTTCGGTGACTTCAACCAGTGGTCCACGGGCGCTGATGGTGTGTGGATGACGAAGAACGACTTCGGCGTCTTCGAGGTATTCATGCCCAACAATGCCGATGGTTCACCAGCAATATCACACGGAACACGCGTTAAAATACATCTCGAAATAGAGGGACAGGAACCTGTGGACAAGATTCCCGCTTGGATAAAGTTTGCAGTCCAGGCTCCTGATGAAATTCCGTTCAACGGTATTTACTACGACCCGCCAGACTCTGAGGTGTACAAGTTTCAGTACGCACGTCCACAAAGTCCGCCAGAGCTGCGCATCTACGAGGCACACGTCGGCATGTCTTCAACTGAGCCAAAAATTAATAGTTATGTTGAGTTTGCTGACGATGTCATTCCGCGCATCGCCCAGCTTGGGTACAACGCGGTGCAGCTGATGGCTGTGCAGGAACATGCATATTATGCATCTTTCGGCTACCATGTCACAAATTTTTTTGCCGTTTCTTCACGCTGTGGCACCCCCGATGAACTCAAGTATCTTATCGACACAGCGCACAGCTACGGTATAGTAGTACTGATGGATATTGTACACTCGCACGCCTCCTCCAACTCTCTTGACGGTATAAACATGTTTGATGGATCTAACGGACAGTACTTCCACGACGGTCCTCAGGGTTATCACTGGATGTGGGATAGCCGCTGCTTCAACTACGGAAACTGGGAAGTTATACGTTTCCTTCTTTCAAACCTTCGATACTGGATGGAGGAATTCAAGTTCGACGGGTTCCGTTTCGATGGTGTTACCTCGATGATGTACTCCCACCACGGACTTCAGATGGCGTTTACAGGTGACTATAACGAATACTTTGGAATGGCGACTGATGTTGATGCCATGGTCTACCTCATGCTTGCCAACGACATGCTGCACACACTTTACGACGGCCATGTGTTGACGGCTGCTGAAGATGTGAGTGGTATGCCAACACTGGCGCGGCCTGTATCTGAAGGTGGTGTTGGCTTTGACTACCGCTTGCAGATGGCGATTGCGGACAAATGGGTTGAGGTACTCTCGGAATGGGGCATGGATGAAAATTGGGACATGGGTAACCTTGTACACACGCTAGAGAATCGGCGCTGGGGCGAGAAGGCGATAGCATATGCCGAATCACACGACCAGGCCCTGGTTGGCGATAAGACAACTGCCTTTTGGTTGATGGACAAAGAGATGTACGATCACATGTCTACGCTGACGCCTGACCACCCCGTTGTAACAAGAGGAATCGCAATTCACAAAATGATCCGCCAGCTCACCATGTGTCTAGGAGGGGAGGGTTACTTGAACTTTATGGGAAATGAGTTCGGTCACCCAGAATGGATTGATTTCCCTCGTGGTGATCGCGTTGAGGCATCTACGGGCGAGTTTGTGCCCGGTAATGGCAACTCCTACCATCTATGCCGCAGAAGGTTTGACCTTGCGGACATGGATCACCTACGATACAAGTATTTGAATGCATTCGATGCCGCTATGAACAACATCGCTGGTCGGTTCAAGTATCTTTGTTCAGATCATCAATATACCTCTCTCAAGGACGACGGTGACAAGATGATCGTGGTGGAGCGCGGAGATCTTGTCTTTATTTTCAACTTTCATCCGAACCAGTCGTATAGCGACTACCGCATAGGGACAAAACAGGGAGGCATGTACAAACTGGTTTTATCTTCAGACAACCCCGAGTTTGGCGGCTACTCTAATCTCTGGACTTACAGTGCTCCAGATATCAAGGCAGATGAGTGGGAGTTTAACGGGCGCCCCGCATCTATGTTAATATATGCCCCAAGTCGCAGTGTCTCTGTCTATGCACCGGCTGACCTTGCGATCGAGAAGATGGAGTATGCCTAAGTCATACGATGAAACGGTAGTCTACTCGAGGGATGCTTGAAAATTAAGATCAGTGCTATTGAAGAAGGCGGTACTACTTGATCAAGTTGGAGAAGGGTGGGAATGACAAGAGAGAAATTATTCACAGGTACAAGCTTCCAAGTCAGAAAGCTAGCTCTTTCTAGATGCGTAGTTACTGAGCGAGGGTGTCACTTCAACAACTGTCTGTACGAAACGACACAAATTCTATTTATTTCAATCCAGAGACGTCCCCTTCCCTGTTTATGATCGCCGAGCTACTTTCGTGCCTTTTATGGCTGTTCACGCGGCGTTACTCTCTTTCTTTTTGCCTCGCTCTTATCCCAGTGCTGTTTTGATACCTTTTTTACTATCCCCATGAAATATCGAGCCCTGCTTGTTCGGGGAGCCTTGCTCGTCTGCTTCTGTATGGCTTTCAGAGCGGCCACTCCCACTTTCCTGGGAAGAAGTGAAAGAAACGATCTCAACTTTTCGTCCAGGTCATGCTCTCGCAGTGTTCCCTCTGAAGCAAAGCATGCCTCCTTCACCATTGCATCAACACTATCGGAATCTACGAGCCGTTTCAATTGTCTCTTTACGTCGCCTTCAACATCATCCTCTCCCTTGGTGCTCTTCGGATAAGAGTAATTTTTACGTGAGCACGGCTCGATGGATACCTTGCGTCCGCGGAAAAGGGTGTTGTGGAACTTGCGGCACTTCTTCGCTGCCTTACGAGACTTGAAGTCAACAAAAGCGAATCCTCTGAATTTCCTGTTGGATGTTCCTCCCCCAGCGAGGCGCACAGCATGCACGTCGCCGGCACAACCTTCACGCTTGAGGATAGTCTTCAGCCACGGCACAATGTGTTCGACCTTGGTGTCGTAAGGCATTTGACCGATGAAAAGAGTTGTGAGATCGGTGAGCAATCTCTCGCCTTTCGTACTATCTCCGCCCGCATCCATGACATTCTTTTCTCGCATATCTACGGGGATAATTTCGGTCGCGGTGCTGATTCCTATGAGCTTCGAAAGAATCGGAAGCAATAACAGTACGTTGGTAGTCGGTAACGGCGTAGTACGTTTTGTATGAGAAATCGACAGAAAATCGCGCTCGTACCATTTCAGGAGCTCGCGAGAGGCGAAAATTTCGGTCGGTGAAAAGTACTTCCGGAAGTACACGTAGGGCCTACACGTACACTATGAATCTGCGTATTTTGTATGAATCGCAAAAACGTACTTTCGTGCGCTCCTACGCGCCGTCGCTTTGTCGACTGATATGAAACTTCGTCAGTATGGTGTCTATCACGTCATGGATGCCCTCACAAAGTTTCGCGATTTTAGAAGGTCGGGACAAGGTTTTACGACCCCTCAGCGACCTTTTTACAACCGCCGGTCAAGCATTCCCCTCATCGTTCAACATCCTTGCTTTGATAGGGAGCGAGGGTCGCGAGCCCTCCGCGTCCTCCAGGCGACGCGTTAGTGTCTAACGAGTCGAAACGCGCCGGGCGCGTTCGTAAACCGGCGTGGACGCTGTCGCGCGCGCGGGCGCACGCAGCCGCGCGCGTGATGGCGCTCGCGCGCGCGCGCGCGCCGAACTAATTACCCATAGAGGTCGGATTTTTAGGAGTAATTTTTGCTGTAGTACGCGTTTTTTTCGGTTTTTTTCCAATGGCGCCGCATTCTGACTGTTGGCGCGCGTAGCTCCCTAACGCACGGGCGTCCACACGCGAAATCGCGACCGCGATGAGCCCTGATGATGGCGATCGCGGTGATGTGCGTATTTTTGTGTGGACTCGCGGGCAAACGTGCACGCTGAAATGGTACCAAAACGTACGTTCGTTTCCGACCCCCTCCAGTACGTTCGTTTCCGACTCCCTCCAGTACGTGTACTGTGCACGTAGCCACGTACAGTACGTGTACGGAAGTACTTTCGTACTTTCGAAGGTACGTGTACTTCCGGAAGTATCGTATCATACTTTAAAGTACTTCCGGAAGTACGAAGATACTTTCGAAAGTACACGAACTTCCGTAAGTAAGTTGTTATCTATTTCCGTAAATATTTGAAGGTTTCGATAAACGTAGGGCTACTAATATGATACGTGTACATGTGACCTTCAATTACAGTACGTGTACAACGCGGTAGGTACAATAAACGTTTATTATCGGATACCTTCATATGGCATGGAAATATGGTATGGAAATAGAATACTTTATTTCCGTAGGGCCTATGTTGTATTACAGTTGTTTTACTATTCTTACATGTACCCAAAGTAATAATGTAGATGTGCGGAAGTAGAATAATGTGGTGTACGGAAGTACGGAAGTACAAATCATCTAAAGTACGCACGAAAGTACTTCCGTACTTCGTACTTTCGTACGAAAGTACGAACTTCTGTATCTATGATATCTATCTTCGTACGGAATTACTTTCAAAGTACTTCGTACACTCTTCGTACCTGCTACAGTAAGTTGTTACTTCTAAAAATATTTCCGTAGTACGAAAGTACTTTCGAAAGTACTTTCGTACGAAAGTACATACACTGCAGTACTATTAGCTAGCTAGCTACGAAGGTACTTTCGTAGCTAGCTAGCTAGCTAGCTAGCTCTAGGGCTATTTACTATTTATTGCCCTAGCTAGAGCTTGTCTATTCTTCCGCACTGTACTCGTACGGGCACGATAAACCAATAGGGTCTATTGTAGACTAGAACTCGTGTACAGTACAACGTACTGTACGTTGTACTTCCGGAAGTACGAAAGTACGAGAGTACTTCCATACGAAGGTACTGTACACGTATCTATACTGTAGGCCTTTATGAGTACTTGCTTCCGAAAGTACACGTACTATCCAAGAGAAGTTGTAATAATAGAGAGGGCTAGAGACTAACTCGACGTCAATTCGCAACCATATCGAACTACGTGGTAGCCCTAGAGCTTCATTTCATTCTGCGTGCATGGGATACTCATCCCGATCAAAGCACACAAGAGAATTGCGGTTGGAGAGAGCTACTCGTGTTTTAAAGACACTAGAACACGCGCGTAAGCAAGCCACAATCCAGTCAGCGCTTCAAAGCGCGGCATCTGCACCAAAAGTCACGGCCCGGGGACAGAACCCAAGGAACACCGCAGGAAACTTAAATTTAAATAATACCGAGGTGCATACAGTTGACTGTTCCGCGAATCGGGGCAGAGATCAGATTAAGGGTGAACAGGTTTTGAGTGGTGCGAAGGAAATACAAAAAGTAAAATAGTGCATGTTTATTTAAAAGGAGTGCAGTGCCGTTGCCTCCCAGCAGAGTCCCAGATGGCCGTCACCGCTGCCAGCAGAGTCTTACCTTGTACTTCCACTCCACCGCCGCAAGATCAGTATACTAGCCTCACATACGATGTTCCTGATAACTGTGAAATGTCGTGTACTACTTTTAAAGTGACAAAGGCGGGTGTGACACAGATCGAGCGAATTGGAACCCTCCGGCCGAACTGATACAAGGCTGCAGAAAAATAGTTACCGCAAGCAAGATGAGGCTGGCGCAGTGAACGGTTCCGAGTGTCTTGGGTTAGGGCACAGTAGTTAAATATATAAATAACTTCGTCTTCCGGAAGGGCTTCCGAACCTTCTAAAGGTACGTGTCTATCTATCTATCTATCTATCTATTATGTCTACAATATACAGGTTGTATTAATACTTCCAGAAGTATCATATACGAGGGCTAGAATACCTTCGAAGGGAAGTATGAATTAGGAGTAATGAATGTATAGGGCCTAAAAGCAAGTCCAGGTATATATCAAGGCAACTTTCTAAGATATTTTATGAACTTAGCGCACGATCTTAGAAATATATTTTTCTACCTGAGAAGAGATCAGTGCTTCAGTACGTTGTACGTGTTCGTCGGACTTTTTCACGAGGTGGGCGTACACGCGTACAGTACCACATACAGTAACTCGATTAGACGTGGAATTACAGGTTTCATAATTGGATTTGGATGTCAATCTAAATCGCAGACAATACAGCAACTATCGCATCAGTTTGCTCAGGGCGCCCAACAGAGATGCGAATGCAACCAGAGATGCTTTCAGGACTTGAATAATGTCTCACCATGATCCCATTCTTAGCCAATTTCTCCTTCAACTGAAGAGCATCTCTCCCAATAACTCTATTTAAAATTAATCAAAAATAAATAATAAAACGAGTGAAGTGAACTTGCCTACACAAGACAAAGTTTGCCTCTGAAGGATATGGCTTCAGATAAGAGATTCTTGAAAGCAAAGAGTGAAGTCGAGTCCTCTCCTGAACAAGTTTCCCTTTCACTTCCTGCGAATAAAATATATTTAAGATGACACGCCTGTAAATGGAGATAATTTCAACCACTAGCGTACTTGCAAGTACTCTGGGTTACTTAAGGCTGCACAGGCTGCCACCTCCGCTGCAGCTGAAACATTGTAAGGTTGTTTGGCACGCCAGATGTAATCAATCAGGCCCTTGGGAAATGCGCCATACCCAACTCGCATACCTGAATGGGCAGAATGAGTGACTTTGGACGTAGTGCCAACATTAAATAATAAAAAAACCTGCAAGGGCTGCACACTTGCTAAATGTGCGCAGAACTATAAGATTGTCATATTTGACTACGTCAGCAATATGGCTTTTACAAGATGCGAACTCGATATATGCCTCGTCGAGAACTACGAGAACAGGAAGCTCGAGCATTAAAAGAAGCTCTCGGTCTGATAGAACACAACCATCAGGGTTGTTTGGGGAGGTGAGAAACAGTAGTTTAGGTTTATGCTTGTAAACAGCTCGTTGTATTGCTTCCACATCGATTTTGAAGCCATCAGCATTACACCGAGGAACATCGACAACAGTGCCACCTTCACAAGAGCCATAAAGAAATAGAATGATTAATCTCGCTTCAATGCATTTAAATACAACCTGCAGAAATTGGTCACACCATTTACTGCGCAGTCGAATGCATACATTCCAAATGTTGGAGGGGTATTGATGACGACGTCGTTTGGATCAATTACGACGCGCATCAAAAGATCGATCAGCTAACATTGGCACACAGACATATCAGTTTCTATAATGGACCTAAAACGGCAAGTCTTCATACCTCGTCAGCACCACACCCTATTATCAGATTTTCGAAAGGAACACCAGTTTCTTTTGCCTGAGGCCAGCAAATATCTTACTCACATCGTAAAGGAATACTTAAGAACGTGCTCCTACCAGGGTTTGTCGCAGCTGACGAGATTCGGGATCAGGATAGACGTGCGGAAATTTAAGCGAAGACAACGCTTCAGCCACCTCTGGAGCAGATGAGTTGAGGTTTGTGAAGTTGGAAGAAAATACAGAAGTCTAAATATACCTGGGGGGGGGCCATATGGGTTCTCATTGGCATCTAGCTTCACAATATCCTCAGGTAAGAACCCAAATTTCTCTGTTCTTTCGCAAGTCGGTCAGCAATAGGAGACATCGCCACAGCACAGTGAACAGAAAAGAAAAAATAACTTCGTCAACTCACCAGAAAGAACTTCGAAAGGCAATATTGGCGTGTACGGAGCTAGCTCCAAGATATGCTTACGGACATACCGCGAGTTACTTGAGGCTGTCGCCGTGCGGCATATTTTTTGTCCTCGCAACGTGCCCGTAGTCATAAAGGAAGCTCCTGCAGCCCGTGACGTAAACGAAGAAATTACGTTCATGTTCTGTTGAAAGTCAATCGAAGAAAGCCACCGTTGGCGCTTTTATGTTGGATATTCTGGCAATTATTGGAACTGGGAACTGTAGAAATGACTTTCTATGTGTCTGCTGTCCAGCACTTTCGCTAGAGCTTGTGTGCGCTAGTAATGTGGATTCGTCGAGTACGTTGCGAGCAGCTTGGGCAGCGGTGTGGTGCTGGGAAAAATATTTCTTTTCTTTCTTAATTTCTTTCGTGTCAGCATTTATTAATAGTTGTACTTACGTGTACGTGTAACGTTGTACTGTAGTCATACTCGTACAACTCTCGTACATTCGAATTTACGGTAACGTTGTACGTGTACACGTACGTGTACAGTACGTGTACAGCTGTACACTACAGTATTTATCCACGGCGAAGGCGAAATTTTTTTATTACGAGTCCATCAAGTACTCACAAGTCATACTGTACAGTACACGTAGGACTAGCTACACGGAGCGCCGCGAGGGCTTAATAATAAACTATCCCTATTTATTTTTTTAAGGCTTCAATATTCATCATATTCTTCGAATCATGCTGTGCATAGCTGTATATTGTAGACTGTGATCGATATCGGCACGAGTACGACAGGGTATTACGAAGTACTTTCGAAAGTACGAAAGTACATAGCAGTGCACGTAGCCCTACACTACAAACAGTACACTACAAACAGTACAGTACGTTCTTTGAACACCAAATGCTAGTCAAACGTACTTTCAGCCAAGTGTCCAAATTTGGCTGTAGCCCTACAGTACATCTGGAAAAAATCAATTGAACAAATTCAGCAGTACAACGTTGTACAAAGGTACGTTGTAGTGCTGTACTTCCGGAAGTACACGTACACGTTCGACGTTACAGTTAATACTTCCGAAAGTAATAGTTGTGAACATACAGTGTACTTGTACATACATACAGTTAGCAATATGTAGATATGTACGTGTACAATGCCCACAATAGTGTATTGATTTGCGGCGCTGTTTCTGAATGTTGGCAGGAATCCGTACACGTACACCTGCTCACTTTGTAGGTTCATGGAATAGTTTCGGACGAAGGTGGAACGCTGTATTTTCGGTAAGGAGAAGTCGCTGGCGGCGTTTTGCATGTCACTGTTTGTTGGCTCAAATCCGCTCTGCTAAATACAGTATTATATTGGGTTTCTGAGGGAGTGCACGCTGGAGAGATGCAAAGTGACGAGGTTATATGGCAGGTAGTTTCCTGTTGTGAATTTGCGAGCTGGTGACCGAGTGACAAAGTCCTCCCTACAGATAGTGAACCAAGGGCAGTGCAGCTATAAAGTAGTTACCGGCAACGAAACTTTCTGTCGGAACAAGTATAACGTGACGAGCCTCTGCAATCGCAGTTCCTGTCCTCTTGCAAATAGCCGGTATGCAACCGTCGTTGAAGAGGGAGGTACGCGATAAGACGAGAAAAAAAGTATCCGACGCCGGCATAAGTGAGCCTTCGATGTTTACAGGTGCAGCCTTCTTGTGCATGAAAACTGTTGAGAGAGCTCACACGCCTGCGACGCTCTGGCATAGAGTGCGGCTTGATAAAAACTATTCCACGGCGCTCAAACAAATTGATGTGCAACTTACCCACTGGTGCGGTACATAGAATGGTCACTTAGCGCTTGCCTCCTTCACCCTACCTTTTGTTTTTTCCAGGTCAAAATTCCTCGTACACAAAAGCAAACAACGCCTCACTAAGATTTCACAGTTTCTCATGAGGACGCGAAAGTTGATGCAACGGAGGAGGTGCATTTTTTTCATTTTTCTTCAGTAAAATGCTGAAGTTTGCTAATAACAACCTCTGTCCAGACCCAAACAAAGAACACTGCCGGCCCGCCAGCTGAAAAGAGAGGCGAAGAGAGAATCTAAGGCGCGCTTTCTTTTTTTCCATTTGGAATTCTTTCTATACAACTTCCTGTCCTCATCAGGCACAACTTGCTGCTCAATTAGAGAAGACGATTGAGATGGAATTACTGGTATGTGAACTTAGTGGCGATCTATTAGCACTTATCCAACATGCGTGTGCAGGACCGTCTGAGATCAGGAACTTATGACGTACTCGAACCACAAGAAGTGAAGAATGTTACAGAGAACGTCAGACCGAATATGGTGGGCTCATCATACGTTTCCCCTTATACTCTAGGCCGGTGTTACCGATGCTGACCATTTTTTACATAAATGGCCAGAACGATCTTACAGGAGAGAAACAAAGAAAACATCTTGAACTGGAATACGAGGGCGTCAATGAAGTCAACGAGTAGCAAAAAGTTGTTGCCTTTCCACATTTCAAAAATATGACTACGGAAGTACATTTTAAGTAGTAGAAGTATGTTACGAATTCGCGAGATGCTTCTGTGGACTGTTGTTAAGCCTTTTTCGCGTGAGATGACTAGGAAAAAGTCGCGTATTTCATTCGCCAGGTAGCAATAACTTCTTAGTACCAGAACTTCAAACTGCTGGGGTATCGTCGTGTCTACTGAATAGACAGTCCACGAGCCTGCCGCTCTTAGTGTGCAGGTCAAATAGAATGCCTTCGATAGCTAGACCCACGTAGATGTGATGTTCCCTTCACGGATTGATAGGCAACTAGGCACTCAGAGTAATCTACAAACAGTACTGGGTAAGTCTGCCGCTTCCTGTGATGTGAAGCGATTTCCGTATTCTCCGACAAGCTGTGTGAATGAAGATCAAGAAAATGCAGGCAATAACTGCAAGAAATTCAATACCTACCAAGTGAAAATCCACAACGCTGATTGCTTTCAGGTTTACAACGTGTATGAACTCCATTGGGGTTAAAACCAAGTGCTTTGAAAATCGAAAAGTTCAGAAAGAAGAAGAAACAAACAGAGAAACTGTTCGACACCTTAACAGCACAGAAAAAACTGGATACAGTCGTTTTCGTCTGCGACACGGCAGCGGATTTCCTGAGAGCATCGTAACACTATCGCAGCAACAGCTATGAGACGGCAACAGAGACGCACGCGCAGTAGAAAAAATACCTTAAGCTCTGTAGACAAGGGTTCGCGTGGTTGCGGACTGTAAGAAATAAGTCCCGGCCCTCGCGAACGCTGGCGTAGTAGTTCTAGGAGCTCAAAGTTGAAAACGAGTTCTTCGTTTGAACATAATATGTGCATGAATTTGATATCTAGGGCCTTCAAGCCTGAACGCAATCACCAATTGATGTCACGCGAGCCACTGGTTTCTAGTCGCGCTAGCTAGTGTATGTTAGTTGCTAGCTGCTAGCCGGCTCTAGCTACCTTCGAAGGCAGTTGTTAGCTAGCGCCCAACGCAGCTGCGAGCCACTGGGACTGGTTCTAGCTAGTCTAGCTAGCTACGTTGTAGCTGGTCAGGAAGTACAGCGATGTGTAGAGTGTGTGTGTTATTTCAAGTCTCCGTGAAGTGCAGCCCAGAAATCTGCTCGCTAAGGCAAAAACAACTACACGTACACGTACGTGTACAGGGTGTAGCCTTACCTGTACACGTGTACGTATGAATAGTTGTTTTTGTAGTTGTTTTTGTAGTTGTGTAGCCCTACGTGTACAAGGTGGCCTGTGGGTGCGCTTCGCTGCACCGTAAAATTATCCGCGCTTCGCCTGTTACTCCACCGTGTGCCAGCGTGCTCCGCCTGTGCTGACGCGCGCTCCACCCGTCGCGCCTTCGGCGCTCCAGTGGCGCGCTCCGCGCGCACCCCGGCGACTCCACCATCTGCCAGAGAGCATGCTCCGCCTGCGCTGACGCGCGCTCCGCCCGTCCGCGCTCCAGTGGCGCGCTCCGCGCGCACCCCGGCGACTCCACCATCTGCCAGCGAGCATGATCCGCCTGCGCTGGCGTGCTCTCCGCCTGTCGCGCCTTCGGCGCTCCAGTGGCGCGCTCCGCGCGCACCACCGCGACTCCATAATGCGTTAATGAAATCCGCCACATCCGCCGCGGGGCGCGGGGTCGCCGGTGGAGTTCCGAACGGGTCTACCGGCGACTGAGCCGCCGTCAGAGTCTCGAAGGGGTCCATGCGAGTGAGTTCCGAGGCCGCCACTCACCTGAGGAAGCGGCGAGGGGTGCGCGCGGTGCGCGTGGCGAACGCGCATCGCACTTTTGACGGTTCATAACTCGTCGAGTAGATTTGTTTGCCCGTAGCATCGCGCTTGCGCGGCTTCGTCATGCTTACCGCGGCCATGTTAGGGGCGCGTCGCATCGAATCATCACTTGGGAGGTGAGCTTCGAGCGTCGCATCCGATCGGGTTAAACCTGGACACGCTCACGCGGTGGGGTTCTCCCCCGTGCGGGTCGGAATGCGCCCCGCCGCGTTTTTTTCTCGTCTCTGATTGGCCAGAAACTCTGAGAAGCTCTGAGACGCGTCGGCGGTCGGTCGGTCGATGCCCGTTTTTGATACCCGTTAAGTTTGGATTTTAGTAAATGTAAAGAAATTGGTATGACTAATTGTTTACTCATACGCGGTCTTTTATTTATTGATATTATAACTGTTTACGTACTGCAACGCGCGGTTGGGTTGTGACGGCTGCGCTCCGTTAGGGTTGATTTATATATATTTCGAGTTCTAAGCCAGAGCTTCTTTGTATACGATGTTTCTCGTGCGACGTGGACCGGGGCTCCGCCTCGGCTCGACACCGCGAGGCGGAGTGACCGGGCGACCTTGCATCGCCGCCCTCGCGTTCGCCTCGTCCTGTCTCAGCATCTCATCCGCCATCATCTCCTCGTAGCGGGGCCCCATCGTCTCCCGTTGCTCAGCCTCCCGCATCATCTCCTCCGCGTCGGGGTCCTCCTCGTAATCAGCGCGGTAGTCTGGCTCCTGCCGCAGCAAATCCCGGAGCTCCTCGTCGAAATCGTCGTCGGCTCCTCCAACCTCCCACGGGTCGAACCTCTGCCGACTGACATCGTCGCCACTCGACGGCTCCACCGTGGGCGAGGTGCTCGCGACCTCTGCCATCTGCGGGGGGTCGTGTGCGATGCAGAACCGGATGTTTCGCGGGTCCGTCACCCGCGAAGCAGCGACGTAGAGCTGTCCATGCCCGAAGACTGGCTCGGGCAGGAACGTTGAAGATGGCCTCCGTGTTCGCGATGGCCTTGCGCGTCCCGCGCAGTTCATTCTCTTGCGCGGTCGCCTCGTCGTCCTCGCGTCGCTGAGCAATCTCTCGCGCGGCCGCCGCGCGATCCCCGCGTGTCATAGTCCTCGCGAATACCTGCGATGCGGTTTCCGCCCTCGCCCGCGCCAAGGCATCGCGGCGCATTTGGCTCGCATCCATCGCGCGAGCGTCCGCATCCTCTGCCTCCCGGTCACGCGCCTCGGCGCGTTCTCGCCGTTCAGTCGCGGTCCGGTTCCTCGAGGCGCGTAGTTCTCGCGCGCGATGCTCGCGATTGCGATGCTCGCGATAGCGCTGGCCCTCCAGCAGCCGATCCAATCGCTCTTGCACTGTGCGAGCCTCCAGGGCGAGATTCTCGTCAAGCGCGTCGAACTCCAGCTCCTGTCGCTCGCGAATCTGACGGGCTTCCAGCTCTCGTTGCGCGGCCTCCCCCTGTTTAAGGAGGCGGGCCTCCGACTCATGTCACTCGCGAAGCTGCCGCGCGCGCAGCTCCTGCCGAGCCCGCGCGGCGTTCTCTCGGTTGTCTCGGAGAATCCGTTCCTCCTCTGCGGCACGCGCGACACGTGCCGCCTCCTCTTCCTTCTCCCGCCTCCTACGTTCCCGCGTACGCTTGGCCCTCTCCTTCTCCTCCTTGTTCTTCGCCGCGGCACGCCGCTCGCGCAGCTCCGCGTCGAGATCCTCCTGAGAGAACCGTACGCGCGTGCGTTCTACGACACGACGGGAACGACGACCTTCGTCATTTCCCCCGCGGTCATCATCTCGCGCGCGGCGTCCGCGCCCTTCGGGCGGCGCGGTTCCCTCGAACTCGTCGTCGAGAGGTCGCCTGGGAGGTCCCGAGGTGCGATCCGAACGTCGCATCCGGTCAAGTTCAACCTTGGCGCGCGCTTTGCACGCGTAAAGGCCGCGAATGCGCCCACCGCAATTCTGAGAAGCTCTGAGAGCGCAGGACCGATACCCGTTGGGATTTTGGCTTATTTCAAATGTTGATATTAGGCCCTAGTGTTGTACCCTCGAAGGTAGACAACTACAACGTTGTAGGGTACACGTGTACAGTAGAAGTTAGGATTTTAGTATTGTAGACTGTAGATTTAGAAAAGGAACGGTAAATTTCGCGGTGAACGTTTTCCTTTCAAAATTTTCGATCGGTCGATCTGGGCTCAAATTCAGATTTCATCGCACTAACGAATAACACACCCATTCACCCCCCCTCCCAGTCTTCAAAATTTGACATTTCTGGGGGTAGGCTACAACTTACCGATCCCCATAGTGCTTTGGCAAATCGCGGGTCGCCCTTACGCGTACTGTACACGTAGAGAAGATAATAGATACTTCCGGAAATACAGTAACAACTAGCCCTGCGCATATGCCCTATCATATTCTATGAATTTATTATGAATTTCTTATTTAGGGCCTAATATCATATCATACAATAAATTTGTTTATGCATATCATACTGTACATGTACACGTACAACTAGTGTACTTCCGGAGATAAATTCTACTTTCAAAGTACGAAGGTGCAGAATCTTATCGATCAAGGATCATACCATTTGTACCTTCGTACCATCATATTCTATACACGTACTGTACAGTACGAAAGTACAGTGGTAGTCACTATCTATCGTTACGCAGGTATTCTATGATAGTAGTCTACGTTGTACGAAAGTAGTAGCCTACCTGTACACGAAAGTACGAAAGTACTTCCGTCGCCGGGCCCACCTTGGCGGTGCACTTACACGAGTACGCACACAATCCAATTTGATATAAACGCTGGCAACGCGTATATCAACGTGATATCGTGTGCGTTGATCTACGCGTGGACGTATCCAGTTTAATAGACACCGTCTTTATTTCGTCGACGTCGAAAACGTGTTCTCGTGCCCACATAGTCTTGTTGATCTGTCTCTCATCTTTAGCTGAATAAAGGCCTCGATCGTATTCTTTACAATTGAATATCACGAATGGAGAAATTGTCGTCGAGAACACGATTTGAAGTTAAAAAGGTAAATATATCGTTTCCGACCTCGTGTATCTTTTTAACGGTGCTCTCCTACAACAGTGGAATGCTGTAGCAGTTTGGTCATGGTCTATATGCACGGACACGTGTGCCATTTGCCGCAATAGTTTGCATGAGCCAAGCATCGAGTATCAAGCAAACCCCTCTTCGGCATCAGAAGAGGGTCTTAGTATTGCTTGGGGGAATTGTGGCCATGTGTTTCACCTTGATTGCATTTCCAAGTGGCTCAGGACTCGCAGTAACTGTCCCCTATGTGTATGTGAAACTTTTTGCACGTTCTCTACTTTGCGAGCGAAGTTTTATCCCTAACTTTAATCGCAGAACAAAGAATGGGAATTTGCCAAGATAGAGAAGGCAAGATTTCTGTTCCCGTTTATTCTCCCTCTTGAAAAGTAGTATCCTTGTCCACGCGTGTCTGTATTCTGACTTTCGAGTATGTCCGTCGTTTCTTGACCTTTCAAATAGATACAGCTTCCTGTGATGGGTCTTGAATAGTGTGAGAATCTGCGTGCTACTTACATGGCTGATAGGCGTCTAGGCACCTTCCTTTTTCTTCATGCCATCACTATTCTGGCCTTGGTGCTTATATCCTCATTCGGTCACATACTGTAGTTTAAATTAGCTAGCTAGAGTAAGCTCTAGCTAGACTACCTGTAGCTGAGTAGCTAGCTCTAGCACTGCTCTAGCTAGCTAGACTAGCTAGTACGGAAGTAGCTATTAGCTACCTTCGAAGGTAGATAGACTAGCTACTAGCTAGCTACCTTCGAAGGTAGTGTACGTTGTAGCTACTACGAAGGTAGCTACCTTCGTACGAAGATAGTTGTTTATCTTCGTAGGATACAAAAATGGAAATAGAAAACTTCCGTACTATTGTACACGTACGTGTACACTTACGTGTAGGGCTACACGTACTACGGAAATAAATATCTATCAGATACTTTTACGGAAATACTGAGGGCGAGACCTACACGTACACGAGTCTTACTCACTTCCGGCAATACTAGTGTACCTTCGAAGATATCAAGGTACATATCTCATTTCCGGAAGTAAGTACATAGACGGCGAAGACTTTTGCGGGTCGAGCGAAATTAGACCGTCGATTGTGAGTTAAAACTGCACTACACGTACTTTGAAATACTTATTTATTTACCTTTTTTTCCGGCAGTCATGTATTATTAAACTTAGTGTCGAAATTTTAGTTAGTTATCCCCTGGTGTATACGTAGCTAGCTAGCTAGGGCTACAACACTGCTACCTTCGTACAAAGTACTTTCGTACTTCGTACAACGTTGTACGGAAGTAAAAAACGAAGTATCTATTTCCGTACGTGTACGTGTACACGTGTACTTCCGGAAGTACTTCCTGGGAAGTACTTTCGTACGAAAGTGCTTTCGAAAGTATCAATCTTTCGAAAGTACAACGTACAACTACTTTCGTATCTATTTCCGAAAGTACAGTACACTATGCACTACACGTACGTGTACCTCCGTACTTCCGTACTTCCGTACACTTTTTGCACAAATGTGTTCCCTTCTCTCTAGTACGAGGAGTGAAGGCCGAATGCCAACTCAATAGTTCTCGGGAGCAGCATTCCATACGGCGAATGGGCGTTCCGACGAAGAAGGAACTCAAATCCACTTTGATCTCGGTCGGCACAGCCGAACATACGTTGCGTGAGAATGTGTCTCGACTCAGTGAGGACTCCTTGGACCCTCACCTCATCGCCGCCGCGTTGACGGCGATACGCAGGGAGTTGCGCACTTCACCTGTGGGACCTGGCTGGATTGTGAAGGTGAGGTTCAATCTTGATCGACCATTAACATTTTGTTTTTAAATAGTCTACCTATTATTATAATCTTGCCTCGAAAGTTAAAAATGAATGAAGCACGTCGTCACAAAACTGACATCGTTATTACCTCACAGACCTATCTCCAGGTCTCCCCCGGCTTCGAAGATATCCTAGCTTTATGGGACGCGTACCATAATACTAATACTCAAAGAGTATGTGTACCGCTCATGTTGCTCGTTGCAGATTTACTAAGACACACGCCGGAAGACAGAACTGCCGAGCGAGGATTCATACATTTGCAGCTAGATGGACTTGCACGAAGCATCCTGCAGCGACGCATGCGTGCTGTGTATTCTCATCTCAATAGCAGCATCCGGATCAGACAAAAGTGTGCGATGACACTATGCATATCAATAACGGCGCGCAGCCGACAGCTAGCCTGGGATGTCTTCCGCAACCTTGATTTTACTTTAGCAGCTTTTGCAAAACTCTCTAAACCGCCGCGCTACCAAATCAATTGTACTTGGGACTCAACCACGGAAACAAGAAGCTCACACGATGCATCAGCCCTACCTACGCGCCACATTTTCGTGGAGTTTGTCATGGTGCTTTTAAGCTCCGGTGATGTGTCTCTCCTACGGTGTGTCCTTACCCAAAAGGTGCTTCTCGGGAACGTGCTAAGGCACCTGGCCAGTGATCCAGTCCCTCTAGCTTCACGCGTACTGCGTGTGATGTGTGACAATGTGATAGTGGATGGTAGTGGTGTATCAGTGCGTTTGCAGGCAGCACTGTTTAGCGACAGAGTTTTGGGACAGATCGTTGCTATCAGCGGCAGGCAAGCAGAAGCTGTTTCTGGGACAAAGGGTATCAGTAAAGCTGCATGTGCTGCTGAGCTTGCCCACAGCTTGCTGCTGCGATTATGCACTGATCCCGTTCATGGATTTCGCCGAGAGAATGCTTCCGGCCGATTTGTTGGCGCAAAAGAGGAAATTAGTCTGGGATCTATGTCTGAGGGACACTTGCAAGCTCGGGGGGCTGTAAAATCAGGAAAAGCTTCATCGATAACGAAAATAGAATATTCATCCCCCGTTATAAACGCAATCACGACTGGATACGCTAGGGAAGTTGATGAGCGCAACGAAACAGTTTTGAGACTTTTGAGGAAATTAAAGCCTACAGAGAGTCGCCGTCATGCTGAGATGCTCCTGGAAGTTTGCAGCAAACAACCAAACATAGCTGCCTCTTACATTCCACATGCCACATATTCGCTTGAACCACGACTTTCTTGGTCCTGGATCACTGCCTCTTTGCTTGTTGGGAATTTGGCTGTGGCTGCGAGCGCATCAAATGTGTACCCAGTGCTAAAAAATTCGACACATGACACGCGCGCGGGAGAGTTGGAGGGAGTTTCAATTGTTCGTTCAGTGCTACCATCTTCCTTGACAAAAGTTGGGTTGTCCAGGGGTCTGCAACATAGCTCAGGACTTGTGCGGCATGCTACGCTATCCTTGATCATGCACATACTGCGTGCATTCCATGCTAGAATCTCGCACTTAGCCACCAATTATGCAGGCGTAGATCTTTGGGGTCACGCCATCTGTGATAAGAGGATATACTTCAAAACACTGATTCAGCATGCCCGTCGGACTTTGGTATCAATTCTGCCAGAGCCGAAGAATATCCTGACTGTTCGCGCCGCATGTGAATGTCACGATGCTGACCATTTTCATAAAATGCACTTGAGCCTACTCCACTTACCTGCTCTAAATGCACTAGCAGGAATGTTCGACTTGACAGGATTGGAAGGGCTGGGAGAGGCTCAGGTTGATTCTGTCCGCTTGCTTCCAGTGGTTCCGCTCAAGCTTTCTACCCCAGAGCTTGCTGCGAATCTAGACGTAATCGCTGCAATGCTCAACGTGCGACGATGTGATAGTCACGTACATAGCGCTGCAGCTCAAGTTGCTGTAGAGACCAGGAAGGAGACTCAGGAGACAACTATGATGTTTACCACGGATACTACACTACCCGCTAGGGTGGCAAGTAGAAGATTAGGAGAAGGCATGTTGCCGAGTGAACTCGTGTCGGTCCTAATATTGTCGGCAGGGGGAGCTACAGCCAGGATCAGATCAAATGCTGCATCCATTGCCATTGTTCACTTTGCATCCTGTGGTGCGCTTCATACAGCTTCAGAGGTCAGAAAGGAAGCGAAATTGTGGCTCAGGCATCTACCAGTGTTTCGAAACGGCAATATGCAAACTGCATGTTCATTTCTCGCTGAAGCAATTTATTTATCATCGAGAGAACGATCTTTGGGAGTGAGAGGTGCACCAACAGGTTCTGAATTTAGCATTCTCACGTCGAAAGCAGTTGCTGCTAGTCTGAAGGTCATGAGAAGTGTCAAACGTTCACGAACGCAACGTCTTGTTATTTCAGCGTATGTCTCGGCAGTTGTCTTCGGCATTTTGCAGCAGCAGGATGATCCAATACCTCTCGCGAATCTCGTGTCGAGGACGTTTGTTTCTAATCTCGATGAACCACTTGATGTCACCCAATATCCTGGAATTAAGTCGCTTACGGAATTTGTCAACATCATATTATCAAGAGATTCAAAGTCTCAGAAGGGTGATGTTAAGAAATCAAACAGTAAAAATGTAACATTTGAGGATTCCTGCGAATCGCAGTTGTCGCAGCTCGCATCGCAGTTGTCGCAGCCGGGGCAGATCGTCAGAGCAAGTCAAGGTTCAGGACCCTCAAACGATCATGTCTTGACAGCAGCACGCTCACTCCTCAAGTCTATGAGATATTCAGCTGATATTGAAAACTCATCTGAGGCGGTTGAGGAAATTCTGGGTGCTTCACATGAGGTGCTTTCAATAGCTATCAAGATGAGCTTGGGCGAAGGACTTACGCCGACATCCAGACTAGCTGTTCACGCACATGGTCTGTTGCTCTCGATGCCACTGCTCCTGAATTACATAGCTAAGGATGTCATGTTGAATGGCATCTTTCTTGGGGTGGCACATTCCTTCACTGCTTTAATTGGAAATTTGTTCTTATCATCATGGATCAAATTTGGGAATCGTGACTGCTTAGAAGCTGTTGACAAGTACTTCATTGATTCTGCTTCCCTCAGGGAAATCTGCTACCGCATGATTGAACAAATCTTGCCTGCTCACCTGCCTTCCACTGCACGCGAACTTATGTTTTGGTATACCTTTGCATTGGATAGTTTCAAACGAACTAGTCGGGAATCGAATAGACCGAACTGGCGACATAAACATCGCATATTGTTATTCGTGATAACCTTGTGTGGTGCGATGCTATTTCGGGCACGCGTAATTGAAAAATGGGATCCCAAAGGGGCTGCAGAGGTAAAGCACGCTATAATTGCGTCGTGCGTTCTAATTACCAGCTTCAACCGTTGCGGAAGTGTTTTAGCTGCAGCAGTTACTGACCTCGTCATCCTTCATGTCGACTCCTTTAGGAATAGAGGAGGGCTCGATGGAATTTTTCTTTCAGCACCTTACAGAAACTTGGCAGTTTCAGTGGTTGAGCTTTCTTGGGAAAGTGTAGGCACAGTACAGATAGATATGAAAATGGCTGTTGTACCTCTTGTTCGTCACACAACGGTGAGAACTCAGCAGCGGCTCGTGGAAACGTCCATCAGTTGTTGCAGTTCGAGAAACACACTCGTAGCAACTACTATGCCATCGCAACGAGCTCTTTTGATTGAGTTGGCAGCTGCAATTCTATTTCAGCTGACTTCATTACCATCCTATGCAGACGTGGATGTGGTCAGCTCTATCTTTGATACATTGCGACACGCATTTCACACCGCAATTATTCTAGCAGGAGTTGCTGAAGCAGACATCAGTGGACGAGCAAGTAATGTTGCAGAAGAAGCTCTCGTTGCGATGCTTTCACCCGCAGTTGTTGTTGCCAGGACTACAGGGATGGTGCCAGATTTCGCCTATGTCACAGAGGTGGAAACTGTAATTCATCGGGCAGTTACTTCGGTAACTCCCAACATGGCGGGTCTCTGTACAGCACTTGTCTCGGCCAGCCATGTCCATGCTACAAACTTCACTGTGCTCATAGCCACAAAGTTGCGTCAAACATCTTTCCTAAGTTTCACGACAAAGTTACTTGACCTTCTTCCAGCTATCCGAGTCAGCCTTGAATGTCAAGTTTCAAATAAATCAGCACGGGAGACTATTTCTGTCAGCCACAACCTTTGTACCAGTTTATGTTCGGCTCTGTGTAATTGCTCTGTGATTGAAGACTTGAACTTGGTTGCCCGCACCGTTTACCATGCCCTAGCAAATTATTTATTTCTTGACACATCAAACTGTTCTACTCGCCCGATGCCGATACCTTCAGTGGACAACTTGAGAGATCATGCGGCAGCCACTTTAACGGCAGCGTATTCCATCACTTTGCAAGGATGTTGTCCGGAGTATTCTATTTTACCGCCTGCTGGTTGGTTCCCCTCCCTTGCTGCCAAATCTCCAATTTTATCAGAAGCGGTCTGGGGAGGTACTTATGCCATCCAATATCCTCTTTTGATTGCACAGCAAGCAGCCACCGCGCAGCTGGTGTATGGAGAAGAGAAAACACATCGAATACGTTGCGCGTACCTGGCAAGTTTACTGTCTACTCTGAGGGTGATCACGTTGATCACACCTGTGCGGTCCATTTCAAAGGTTCCATTCTGGTCTTCTGTGCTGTCACCGTCAGCAGTAGCATCATGTTTGGAGAAACCTATCTCAAGAGATCTTTCCACACTTTTTTCAAGACAATATGCTCTTGCCAAGCCAACTGCGCCGCTGATTGCTGCCGCGCGAGCTTTCATACGCGCCACTCTCCGCTGTCGATTCACCTCCTCTGTTTCGCTCACGTTCATCAATAATTTACTCACTGCTCTGTCCCCCTGTCAAATTAATCGTGGGTCAGGTGGCAATGGACTTGGGGAAATAAAGTCATCCATTTTACTTGATATTGGCGCGAAGATAGTGTTTACGACAATTGCTCAGGAAACTTTTGACCGTGTGGTTTCACACCACGCGTTCTCACGTGTACTTCTTTACCCTTCTGCCGCGTCTTCGTCACCCCCCAACATTGCTGATATTTCTGTCCCCCTCGCATCATTGCTGCCACTTATGAATTATGAACAGAATGATGAGGTATTAAAAGAGGCAGTCAGAGATTTCAACAGAGAAGATAATGAGAGAGAGCAGAAAACGATTCAAAAAGCTGATGAAACCAAGTTTGAGCTTCTTATACTTCTTCACGAGCTTTGGAATCTTCACATTACATGCACCTCAATAGTGCAATCTCGTAAGATGTCCGAGGTGTTGATTTTAAGCGGCAATTCATGTCCAGAGGTATGGAGATCAAGGCAAGCGAGTTTGATCCCCTTGTTAGCGGCGGCGAACGGGGCTACTTTATCACCAAGTGATCAGCTTGGTGCCCTACTTTTGAAACAGTTAGATGCTGCATCAGGTGGATGCGGGTTAGCCAAACTCGGGTATCTATGGGGTGATGCCGCTGCTCACTTTGAGTACACGCGCGCCAGTTCTGAGCAATCTGGTGAATCGAGAGTACCTGAAACAAGTTTAATATACTCAGAGTTATCTCCTGAGTCTTTGGCCTCATCGCTGCGTGCGGGGACGGTCCCTGACGCACGAAGATGTGCAGCTACTGTAGTTCGGTTTCCATATGCTCGACATTTATCACTGAACACCAAGGTATATTGCACTGCGAGAGACCATCGTGATCAAGAGAGCATCACATCAAATTCTCCTAAGTGGAAAATACGCACACGTAATGACTGTGAGAACACAATATTTTACGGATATGATCCAGCCTGGATGCTGCCTTTCGCTCTTCATGCCATGAGAATCAGTGCAATTGGTCCTCTCGAATGTGTTACATGGGGGTTACTGTCGCTAGCTCTTGCCGCCACTTCATCTGCTGATGAGGGTATGCGAACTATTGCATATGCCGTAATATCGAGTATTGCGAAAGCTTGCCACGATGGGGCCTCTTTTCGTGAGCAGACACAGGTAGTCGCATTGCTTACAGTGGTGCGCAATACAGTTGATGCACCCATTATGCAATTTCCTATAACCACTGCGACATTCGCAGCTGAAGCTGCAACTGTCATCCTACATCCTACATTTGAGACATACGTGCCAGTACAACGTAGTCTTCTTCGTCGTGCTGTACTTGAGAAATGCGCACTGCCCATTAACTTCCTCAGCATGTTCTACGGCGGGATAAAACCATTTGTTGCGATGGCAACAAGAAGTGAAACGCGCGTCATCCGGGTCTGGATCCTCCGCTTGATGCTTGCAAGTCTTCGAGGGAGTCCCGAGGACGCTCGTTTCTTCCGCAAGGCTTTCATCCTAGAGGTACTGATGTCACACAAGTCAGCATCGCTGATGTTAGATTCATATGCACGACGACTATTACTCGATCTTTTGGTTAGGACAGCACGTACACCTATGATGGTAGGGACGCTAGTTGATGGTAGTGGCCTGGTACAGTGGTTATCATCGGTGACAGTGACTGCACTGAAGACAGAGTGTTCACGCGGCCGACTTGATATGAAAGTGGGGATGACAGCGCTTTTGACTGCGACAGCACTTAACAATATTGTTGATCAGCGGGGTGTAGTACACGGTGGACCCACGGGAACGGCATCTGACTTCCTTTCTGCATTACGCGACTTGCGTGGAACCCTTTTTTCTTTAATCCCTTCCGCGGCTGGAGTGACTGCCAAACGCTCTTCCACAGACTACACAGACTGTGTTTACAGTGATAACTGTGATAACTCCATAAACGAAAACAAGCCTGTGATTACTCGTGCCCTGTTCGTAACCTTGCTCCGCCTGCATGCGGCCGTCGCAAATCATCTGTCGCGCCGTTGTGGTGAAGTAATTGACATCGTAGAGATAGCTGGCATGTGTGTTGCTGTGGACGCTGCAGCAGCAGTGGCGAGTATGAAAAGCAGAGTTCTTCGTGCTAATATGCTGAATGTGATTGTCACATCAGCAAGGGCTGACAAAAATGGCACGATCGCGGTCGGGATGGCTACGAGCGCAGACACAGATTACATAGCAGCAAGGGCACTCACTGCTATCATGACGTGGATATCGTCAGCAATAACAGAACCTGAAGACAAAACATACATTGAAAATGTTTCCGCAGGGCTGCTACACTGGTCATTATCTTTTATTTTATCGGGTGGGGTACCGTTCGCTGTAGCGATGACATGCCCAAAGGGTGGCGGGGGTGCCGTGCATGTTGCAAATCTTTTAGATATACTCAACGTTGCAGCTGATATTCGTCATCAAGCAGTACTTGCACCTATGCTAGTACGAGTGAAGGCCACTCTACTTCATGCACTCCTCAAGAATAACACCGGAAGTATATTACACGTAGCAGACCGCGATAGAGCGACACTAGCCTATCTCCGTGATCCTTCATACTTGTCTCTGTTCAGTGATGGTGCTCTTGACAACCTTGACAAGTTCATTTCAGTATGTGTGTCTGCCTTCACGCCACGTACTTCAGTCGCTGAGTGGAAGGGTGACGACTTTTTCATTCCGGGGAAGAATGCAGACCGTGCAGCTGTGAGAGATGGAGATCGTACTCGTCTCAGTATAAACAATGGCTGTTGCATATTGGCAGCACATTTTGCAGCATCAGTTCTTCGCACTGCCTATGGTTTATCTTCTACCTCAGTGTTCAACGGTTGTGGTAATGTAGCGCTTTCCCTTCGTGAATTGAAAATAAATGTGACTGATACCATCATCGATGAAGGGAATAATGTCAATCTAGTGGAGATAAAGGATGACGTCTGCTTGGATGTGGGACAGACCGAGACCAGGGAATACCTCGGTCTGCACTATGGTCAGCGTGTATTGCCTGGCAAGCTCACAAAGAAAAGGACGCGATTATCGCTGTAGGGCGCGTGGAACCGTTCGATATATGCTGCAGACGGGAGAGTGCACGCGTGGGTGGGGAACAAAATTTGGACGGGATCGCGCGACTACGGCAGCGGTAGTTGGTTGCTTTTAACTCAACGGAGCTGACTCAGCTAACTGTACTCAAGTCATATTCCTCACTCTTACTCCACTTTCGATGTTCTCTCCGTCAATCAGTTGCTAGACAGACGAGGCACACTTTTGGGAATCGTAGCTACATGATGCGAAACCAATTAAAGCGCAGCAAATCATGACATCATACTTCGACCACCTTCTTGATGATTTGGTCAGAGAGCTCCTTGGACATTGTTTCGACCTGAGCGGCTGACTCAGATTTTGCGGAGTCAAGTTTTGTGAGAGCAGAAGCAATCTGTTTGTCCACATCAGCTTTGGCCTTCGTTGAGGCAGCCGCGATGTCGGCATCTATCTTTGATTTTGTAGCGGCCACTTCACGGGCCACCTCTGCGCGAGCAGCAGAGATGAGGTTCTCCTTTTCTGCCTGAAAAAAAAAATGCGAGTTAGAACTCACTGGAATATTATTTTTGTTGTCTCGCTCGAGAGCCGGAAGCAAGATACGCGAGGAAGGCGCCGAGCTCGATTAGATGAGAATCACACATAACTTACGATGAGGTCGGCGACGGCGGAGGAGTTGTCACCCACGGCAGCGAGCTGAGTTCGAATAAGTTCGTCACGGTCGTCGAGCGCCTTTCCAACGGGGCCGAATACAGTTTTGTCGAGGATCACCATCAAGAGGAGGAACTCGGAGGCGATAATGGGGAGGGTCAAGTTGAAGTCAAAAATTTTCCCTGGTTCGCCCGCGAAAGAGGGTAGCACGACAAGGGCGTTGGCGACCGCACTTCCGACGGCCGGGCGAAACACCTTCGAGAACTCCTGAGCCCTGTGGATAAGAAGGTAGGGCTTAGTACTCGCTAAGAGGGGCTCAGTGGAATCCAGGCGCATAGAAAGCGACGTGCGCTATAATGACGCGACACCGTGTGAATATTTGCTTAGTAAGCAGAGCTTCAGTTCGGTGAAGCTGCAGCGGTGCGACGGGTGGGAAACCGCCTAATTATTCGGCAAAAGTTTATCCGCAACTTACCCATCTTGCGACTTCGTTGCTCTGGCTTCGACATTTAGTCTAGGGGCTGTCGCACGAACTCGGCCAGATTTACGGATTGCAGGAAGGTGAACACCCGATGTGAACGGGCACCGGAGAGGAGATATCGCAGCTAACGCAGCCATCATAGCGGTACCCGTGAAGTGTCCTGTAGAACGATACGGGCCACAAATATGAAAATGAATGTGAAAATGTGATCGTTTTAGATCCCTACATTGTACGTGTACAGTACTACATACGTGTACTATTTGTACAATACACGCACGACTACATGTACAACTACTCGTACAAATACATCTACGAAGGTACAATAATACCTTCGTTCGTACGAAAGTATCTATCTTCGTACCTTCGTACGACTCATGTACGTGTACAATCGTGTACAACTACAGTAGGGCTAATACACGTACGTGTACAGCTGTACACGTATCCGATACATATCTAGTTATCTATGATACCTTATGATACCTGTAGTAGATATTTTTTATCTACGAAGGTAGTGGCTATCAACGAGAGGATATGAGCTTAGAGAGGATTAAGAGGATGACGTATGAGCAAATAGTCAGAGCGTAGTACGTTTTAAAAGGATGAACTACTGATGAGCTCATCCTCTCAACTGCCGCGCCGCGCGAGGACAGTCAGAGAGGCGCGCGCCGCCGTTGAGGCCGGAGCGTCAAAGCGAACATCGACTAGACATCGTAATCGATCTTTCCAGCGAGTTTTATACACCTGGGGCGCTGAATCAGGCTGTCACGGCGCACAGATCCGTCGTTTGCAAAACAGACTCGGCGTTACGAAACTTTTGCCGTCTCCTGAGCTCGCGTACGCGACGTCGAAACTTCATGGAAACAGTTCCGAACGTAAAAAAACTTCGTGATTATATCGCGTGAACACATTAGCGCATATATAAAATTCGCGCAGCGCAAAAAAAACGATCGCTTGCGTCGGCAGTCGAACTCCGCGGGTCGAGGCTGTAGCTGCGAAGAAAAATGCTCTTTTACAAATCGACGCGATCGCGCCAGTCTATGCTTTGCTCATGCGATTCAGACACGAACGCGGTCGATCCGCGCGCCTCGAGGGTGATGTCATCTAACATGCCGTGCAGTTACAGAGCCAAAAACGGCGTCTGCGCGATGTTATAGCACACCGCGCGCTCATCCTTTTAATATCCTTTCTAAGCTCATATCCTTTCGCTGATAGCCACTAGCTGCTACCTGTACAGTAGGTGTACTGTACACATCTCAAGGTAATATTCTATGTAAAAAGATCCTGTAAAGCTGTACATAGAGTGTACTGTGCGTGTACAGCTACACGTGTAGTGGTAGTTTGATTACACAAAGACTCAGCTCTAACCAGTCTCTAACCCATCCGGGCAAGACTTGTGACCTAGCTAGTGCGAGCAAACTACTCCACGGGTAATCCTCTCACGCAGTAAGCACCCCCACGATGGGATTTCTGAGACTCGTGTGAGCCTCACGAGCACACGGAGCCGGGGCGACGTGGAAGTCGCATGCTGTGTCAGGCTCCATGAAGAGGATTTGCGCTGCCGCTCCCGCGTGGAAGTTTTCAGACTCGCGTGCGGTTTTGCGTACGAGATGGGCGCGCCAGCGATGCAGTTCCCGAGCGATGTCGGATAGCTATCTGTACACGTGTACAATATCATGATACACAAACGGTACGTGTACAGCTGTACACGTACACGTACATTGATATGATAATGATACAATATTTGTGATGTCCTGCATTCAACATTATTGCAAATACATGTACACGTTACAGTACGAGTACTGTACAGTAACGTTGTACGGAAGAACGTATTGTACAACGTTGTACAGGAAACTGCGCCGCCTCGGAACTTTCTTTGTGCCCTCGGAGCGGGCTTGTGTCGGCTTCAGTGTTAGTCCACAGCGAACAGCGCTTGGGCAGTTGCGGAGTGCCGAACTGACATGATAACTGTTATTAATTGTCATTAAACCTTTGAGAAGTGACATTAAACCTTGGTGAACGTTTTGATCACGTCGATCGGCTTTGCAAGGCCTGAGAACGCGAATTATTCGCGAGAGTTAGTTTTTCCCGCATTGTGTTTCTCACGAAAGTGTCTTTCCACGACATGGGAACTAGAAACGCGACGCCGCAAGCTGGCGATATTCTATCGTCATGTGCAACGCCTTTTCCCGGATCGCGAATATGTACACTCGTCACTCTTGGAAAAAATGGATTGCTGTACGCGCCTTCTGACGCGGACGTGGCGCACCTCGAGGCCAGCTTTATCGGACCGGATTTACGGGATTTGGACAATAGCCTCTTGCGCACTGGCGGAAACGAGGAAGAGGAGAGAAAAGCTCTACTCGAGCGCATGAGGGCTCACGACCTGATTCTCAATCGAATCGAAAATCAGCAGTCGATCGATACTCCAGGAGGCGAGTTTCACACCGCCACGAACATAGGCGAAGACAAGATCTGCGGTGACAGTGACAATCAGGTACAACCGAACTTGCTTCTCATTTTCCTAAATGCACTTAGCTCGGCAAAATTTATATTGAAAGACTCACCGAGTAACCACACATTTTCCGATCCGCAATCAGGTAACATCGTTCGGCTTTGAGAGCTCGGCGCGGAAAGAGGCCAACCAGACGCAAGAAGGTGAGGTTGACTCTTGACAACAAATATTGTTGTGGCCATTTGATTTTGATTTTAGAGAAAGACGTGTGTTTGAAATTTCTTCCTGATATTTCCCTCGTGCCACGTGCAGGTTATTTCGATCCTGGTGGAGACCGCGATTTCGTCGCCGAAGACGATGAAGACGACGCGGATCTATTATGTGATTTTGCCCCTGGAGCCTTGCAAGCAGATGGTTCAGTGGGCCTTATGGATTCTGAAGGCACCCACGTTCTGCTTCCGCCGACACCTGCACCTCGCGCCCAGTCATCATACAAAATGACAAGACGACCTACAGCGTTACAGCGTAGAGCTATGATACTGGGACGGGCGCAATTCGCCAGGCAAAGACAAGAGGCACACGTTTTGTCCCGACAGTTTGACCTGAACGGCAGCGGTTGGGACGACCGAGAGCAGTGCCTATCAGACAACTGGCACCCCACAGACAGCTCGGACAGTTCCATCACTTCTCTCAGACAGCAGTATCACCAGGTGTTCGGCAAGGAGACCTCGTCAAACAACAGACAATGGCTGCTCAAACGGCTCGCGAGTTCGCACTTCGGCAATAACAGTGGTGGTGAAATTGACTTGTCTGCAGGTGACAACTCAGGAAACGGGACGGGTAGTAACCTAGAGGAGTACACTGGCTCCGATGAAATTGCTGCTACACATCATTACAATTCCATAGGCAATGGATGGGAAAATATGTTTGCAAAACATTCAGGGACAGGGTGTACTGGACGGAAACAGGCTGTAAATAAAACTCATGGCACCGAGAAGTTGGTGACGAATCTCAGCGAGCTTTCTCCTGTGGCTGTCACACTTCAGGTCCCTGGGTATGATCTCCAGGCCAAGACGAGAGGCAATCATCAGAGTTCGAAACGCGGACGAAATACTAATTCGCACAGTGCTGAGGGAGGAACGGCCAAGACTGGTGGTTCATCAGCTGGGAAAAAGAGCAAGAAGTGTAAGCTTCCAGAGTTGGGTGATCATTCCGCAAGTGAGCAGCCTGTGAAGAGCTGCAAAAACAGCCACCAAGTGCCGCAACGTAAGCTTTTTACATCGCGGAAAATATCAGGCGGTGATCGCCGTGGAAATGTTGGTGCGAGTGGAAGAAGAAGCAAGCATCACAACCCTTGGGCGTTGGAGGAGGCGGTGGCACTAGTCGATGGTGTCGCAAAGTGTGGTGGAGGTAAGTGGGCGGACATAAAGAAACTTGGATACCAAGCCATTGAGCATCGAACCGCAGTCGACCTCAAGGATAAGTGGCGCAATCTTCTTCGCATCGCCATGCTGCCACACCAACCCTTAAAAACTGCCGGTGATAAGAAGCGTGAGATTCCCGCGGATTTGCTGACGCGAGTACGCGACCTTGCTTCAAAGCAAGGAAAAAAGGCAGCACAGGACGGGCGGGTCCGATCAGGCAGCCACTAAAAATAAAAAAAGATTGAAGGGTTCACCTCACTCAGTAAATATGGGCTGGCACAACAAATCGGTGATGAACATGTATGATCATTTTTGTTTTATCCTCTTGGATGGTTCCTGCCTGTGAGCTTCAATAGACTGTTACAGGTCGCCTCGGAGAGCCAGAAGTTGGTCCTTTTCCTTTTTTTCGGGTTATACAAGAGGGCGACTGGACGAGGTTGGACTAATTGTACCGGCCATTATTGGCGGCAAAAGATCCGACCCACGGTCCTCTCATCCGTAATATTGTATTTTAATATCATATTATCGTATCAATTGAGATTATTAAGTTCATTCGTCTTTTTCTGGCCACTCCCTTCTCCTCATCAAGTTCATCATGTGAAACTTGAAGAGGAAAGCTAAAAGTCGATTCACGCTTACTTGGTGAACGCCTTCTTGAGCCTCTCTGTCGCCTCGAGGATGCTATCCCGATGACCGAACGCGCTGGCCCGGATAAATCCATCTCCTGCAGGACCGAAACCACTGCCTGGGGTGACAACTATGTCACACTTTTCAAGAATCTCGGTGAAAACCTCCCAGCTGTCCTGCCCATCGAAGCTTACCCACACGTAGGGCGCATTAGTTCCGCCGTAGGTTGTGTATCCCATATCCTCAAATGTTCTTTTCAAAATTGAGGCATTCTCCTTGTAAAAGCCGACTAGCTCGGTCATAGCATTCCAGCCCTCGTCAGAGAGGCACGCAAGTCCGCCAGCTTGCGCCACATTCGACGCGCCGTTGAAGGTTGTGTTCATCAGACGATTCCAGTCAGCCTTGACGGAAAATCCATCTGCAAACTTTAGATTTTCGGGAACTACTGTCCAGCCTAAGCGAAGTCCAGTGAATCCGGCATATTTGGAGAATGAACACGTCTCGATGGCACACTCGTCCGCGCCAGGAATCTCGAAGATGCTCTTTGGGCAGTCTGGATTTTCAATGTAGCTTGCATAAGCTGCGTCGTAAATGATTATGCTGCCATTCTCTTTGGCATGCGCGACTAGATCAGTAAGTTGCTCGCGCGTTGCGGCAGCGCCGGTTGGGTTGTTTGGAGAGCAGAAAAAAATGATTTCAGAGTCGTTTGCATGGGCCAGATTCGGGAAGAAGTTGTTGTTTGAGTTGCATGAAAGGTACGTGATGTTTCCATACTGCTTCGTGGAAGCATCAAAGCTGGTGGCGTGACCGTTCATCACGGACGAATCCACGTACGCCGGATACGATGGATCTTGTACCGCAACGTTGCGGTTTGGACCAAACAGCATTTGCAGCCGCGAGATGTCGCACTTGGAGCCGTCCGACACAAAGATTTCATCTGCTGATACCTCGCCTCCAGGATAAAAACGCGAAGCGATCTTCTCTCGCAACTCTGCCTGTCCTTCGCCGGGTCCATAGCCGCCGTACTTCGCATAACCTGCCGGTGTTCCAAGTCCACTAACAGATGAAATCATTCCATCAATAATAGGCGCTGGTATGGGCTCCGTCGTGTCGCCAATGCCGAGGGAGATTATGGCCGCGTCGGGTTTCTTCTCGAGGTGCGCGTTTTTTATGCGATTGATCTCGGGGAAGAGATATCCTGCCTTAAGCTTACCCATGTTCGGATTTCTTGATACATTAGTGACGGCGTGGACTTGTACAACACGCCGACCGGTCGTATACGAGGCTGCGCGCCTGCAGAAAGAGTTTGCGGGGGCGTGAACTGTGGTCAACCGCGTGGCCCCTGATGCTTGACGAAGGAATAAAATTAGACTGTATCAGGGGCCAGGCCAACCTTGCAACAAGGCGATTGCCTCCAAAAAAGGGAGCAGGCGTATCGATTCTTGAAACTGCAGTAAACATCTTTGCAATCACACGGGTATGAGGTCTATGCGCGACGCAAGTGATGGTCAAGTGCTGCGGCCGCAAAGCCAGCAATCGGAAACTATTGGGCTACTGTAGAACTGTACGAAGGTACACGTGTAGCCCTAAGTAAGTTGTTACTTAGCTGTTCGCGGGTCGCCCTTACGGAAAGTGGCGTACAGTACGATAGTATTTACTTAGTGTCGAAATTTTAGTAAGTTATCCCTGGTAGCTAGCTACCTTCGTAGAGCGCCAGCTACTAGAGCGCTAGCTAGCTAGAGCGCTGCGGCGCTAGCTAGAAGGCGCTAGAAGGCGCTAGAAGGCGCTAGAAGGCGCTAGAAGGCGCTACATGGCGCTAGTACGGCGCTACAGTGCGAGCTGGGCGCAGCCTCCAGGCTCCTACCAAGCGCTAGTGCGCTAGCTAGAGCGCTAGTGCGCTAGCTAGAGCGCTAGAGCGCTAGAGCGCTAGAGCGCTACAGCGCTAGAAGGCGCCACATGGCGCTATGGACTTCGGAGGCACTTCCGTAGGGCTAATATTTCCGGAAGTATGAGATAGAGTCGTACAATAGGCTTGTACTGTACGGAAGTACGGGAGTATTTTTTATGTACAATTATGGAAGTTCTTCCGTACGAAAGTACTTCGGAAATAGATACACAACCTTCGTACGAAAGTACTTTCGTACGAAAGTATTCATACTTTCGAAAGTACTTTCGTACGAAGTACTTTCGTACGAAAGTACGAAAGTACTTTCGTACTTTCGTACTTTCGTACGAAAGTACTTTCGAAAGTACGAAAGTACCTTCGAAGGTACGAAGGTACGAAAGTACTACGTTGTACTTTCCTTTCGTACATATTATAGTACGAGTACACGTACAGCAAACATACTTCCACCTTGGAAGGTACAACGCGCTAGCTGGATGGGTTGCGTGAGTCTTCCGCGTATATGAGAGACATTTCACTGAAGACCGCGTTCGCAGATTCTTGTTGAAGACATGGATGCTCCGCCATCCTCGAATCTTTCTGAGGACTGTATCAGCGAAGTTTCCGTCGTTTGTGACGGAGGCACACTGCCCGCGCTTTTTTGGGACGGGAATGAAGATTGGGTTAGTGAGGCTGCTTGCGCCGACTATGCCGCTCTTCATTCGCTTAAATTTGATGAGACGACTGCGATCGAGCGTGCAGAATCCTACAAATCTGCCGGGAACTCGGCACTTAAGTTTAAGCAGAATAAGGCTTACCTTCGAAAAGCTGTACAACAATACACGCTTGCCTTGTTAGAAAACGTGGAGAATAAGGAGCTACTCTCAGTTTTACATAGCAACCGTGCACAGGCTGCATTACTGCTCGGAAATCATCGTAAAGCACTCATAGATTCGGAAATGGCGATAAAAATCAACCCAGGGAACTTGAAGGGCTGGTTTAGGGCTGCAAAAAGTGCCTTTGGACTCGGAAACCTTCAACAGTGTATGGACTTTTGTCAGAAAGGGCTTCTTCTTGCAAATGAGCAGACAGAGTTGCTTTCACTGTTAGAGACTACCAGAGCTGCTCTTTCCAAGGCTGAAGAACAGGTGATTCGTGACAAGCATGTACAAGTTGAGATCAAGTTGTATATTGAAGAGGTCTTAATTCGTAACCTGGTGTTTGGTCCACCGATTCTTGGAACTCAGGAACGCTTTCCAGAGTTCTCCAAGGATAGAAGTTCTTTCTTGCACTGGGTGCTATTTGTTTATCCGGAATACTCGCAGACAGATGTCATCAAGTATTTCGACGAACATACTACCTTTCATGAACACCTTGATTATATGTTCTCCGATTCAAATTGTCCACTTGCGTGGGACAAGGAAGGGGTTTACACGAGGGAAAGTCTTGAGTTATATTACCAAGCTAACGCTGTGCAAGCCTATTCCATAGATTTCCTTGAAAACATTTTACTGGAACAATCAGGCGTCTACCAAAAGTATGACTTTATTCAAGGTGATGGGCATCAGTTCAATGATGCCCTTATTGACCCCCGCGACAAATACTTTGTTCGAGTCAAGGAGGACACGACTCTCAAACAAGTCTTGGCTGCAGAGGACCATGTTATTCCTGGGCATCCCGTCATATACATAGTTTCGCAAGATTCAGAGTTTAAAATCCGTTTTCTTGCTGGCAACTGGGAACTGTAGCCGTCATATGAACCACAATTTTTTATCCCAGAGTAAGCCAAGATACGCTGGCTGATTCTTGAAGAAATGGAGCCGGGGATAATATGATCTTGATATTTAATATGGAAGAAAACCTCTCTCATTCAGTGAAAAGCAACTGTCAAGGCAGATGCCATTCCCGGAGGTTCTGGGGCACACTGTAGAAAAGTATGTGAACCAACCTCTGCAGCCTACAGACTATTCCTAATTCAACAGTCTCATGTAACTTCTCACGCACACCGGAAGAAGTGACAAATGATCACATTAGCACAGGGAAATTGCACTGATTGTGTTTTTCAACAGAGGGAACAGGGCTTTACATTGACGGTGCACATGTTACACATAACTTTTGTGAGTAGATCACAACCCAGGGGTCTAAATTGTGAGCTTTGACTGACGAAAGCAATCTACGAAGGTAGTACTTTTAGTTCAAGCCCAAAACCAGCGATTCACTTTCACACGAAATAGGAAGCCGAACACATATTTAGCAGCTTCCTACAAGTCAACTTCAAGTCGATCAACACGTTGACCGGAGGAACGCAGACGGTGGCAAGAATACAACTCATCCACTCGAATTTTCCGAAGATCAGATAAAATCACCGTAGGCTGATATATCAAAATTAGCGGAATAACAAAGATCTACTTTTTCTGCCACAGGAACAGTTATACAAAGAAAGGCGTAAGCGCGAGTGACATATCCCAAAACTTGTTCCATCTGTTACTATCCTGATCATGGGAGCCCTACTTGACAAGAGAGCAGGCAAATGCAGTTCATGTATGTTTTCAGTCGAAAGTACCACGTGGATCATCACTACAAGTGGCCGACAAAGTAAACCGTGGTTCAAGAACCGTCCACAGCTCGCTCTCCTCAACATGCTTGAGGTGAGCGTGAGAGTGCAAACGAACTTCTGTCTGCCTATCGGTCTCACGCCGCTTGACCTGCACCTGCAATGGTAAAAGTTTTTGATTTCCTGTACCTCCTCCAGTGGTTGCTGGAACATAGCCAACTTCGCTGTCAAGGTCATCATGCCCCGCCTGATATGAAAACTTAACATTTAATACGTCTCCAGTTTTGTTTGAATAAGGTACAGCCGCAGAAAAGTGTTTTGAAAAGAACGGAAAATTTACCTGTTGAGCTGCAGGATCCGACTCGGACATTTTTTCCTGTTCAAATTTACGTTCATCTGTCTTGTCTAGGATCGACATAGAAGGGCGCATTTGATAAACATTTTTTAAAGGTGAGAGGTAAAGTGCACCACTCCTAATTTCTGCAACGTAATAGTAATCGTTTATAGGGGCTTCTGTGGAAGCTAGTATGCACGGGCCGCTTGTGCCGCTGGGGGGTTGAACCTGGTCATCCTCGTTCGTATCTCTCATTGCACGCAACTCCACCTCAAGCTTGTTGCTGATAGGTTTGAAACGTACTTCTTCGATGTCGCCCTCAGCAAATGGCCTTTCGAAAGATCGAAGGGGGTACTGCAAGTGACAATAAGAAGTGAAGTCTTGCACACGAGCTTCTTTTGAAAAAAAATGCGAGCGTCAAGTCACCTGAAGCACGCATAATTTCTTGTCTTGGACGACAGAACTAAAATAAATTGGGATTCTTTTTTCCCTACAGAGGGATTTAGGTTCAAAGTAAAAGAAACCGCTGCACAGCACTTCTAGTTTTCGGTGAAAGACACGTACATGGTGTTTCTGCGATTTAAAACTTTGGGGCAGCGATTTTCACTTCCATCCATCCTTCCGTTATGGAATTTGTGTAGTCAGGGGTCGTCTTGCGCCGCGCGCGCGCGCGCACTTTGAAGGTATTTAGGCTCTATGGAAGTACCTTCGTACGAAGGTACTTTCGAAAGTACCTTCGTACGAAAGTATAGAGTATCTTCGTACGAAAGTACGAAAGTATCTATCTTCATAGAATACTTTCGTACTTCCGTACGGTACGGAAATATGGAAATAGAATACTTCCGTCCGTACTTCCATACTGTAAATATACTTTATTCGTACGGAAATATGCCTTCGTACTTCCGTACTTCCGTATCGTACTTCCGGAAATACAAGAAATGCGCAACGTAGTTGTACACGTACACGTACAATAGGACTACTACCTTCATAAATAGTTTCGTGGGCACAACGTTGATTATTTATACGGAAGTATCATACTTCGGCACCATGGAAGTGCGTGTCCCGTGTACTGTGTATGTGACTATTAAGAAGTGCATTTATTTATCAAGTGCATGTGTACTGTAGCACTTGTGCAGTACCTTCGTACTTCCGTACACGTACTTCCGGAAATACCGGAAATGTGCAACGTAGTTGTACACGTACACGTACAGCTTGGCTAATGTAGTGTAGAAAAGTTTCGTGGGCACAACGTTGATTATTATGGAAGTACGGAAGTATCTATCTTCGGCACCATGGAAGTGCGTGTAGCCGTGTACTTTCGAAAGTACTGTGTATGTGACTATTAGGGCTACTGTAATAATAAGTGCATTTACTTATAATATCAAGTGCATGTGTAGCACTTGTGTAGTCAGACACGGTAAAAAATATGGTTCCTTTCCCAGAGTTGCAGTGTCATCCTTGCGCAGGGGCCATGCTAATCTTCTCTGTATCGTTCCAATTTTAACAGATGTTCAACGAATGAACGACATGTCCTCATGCACAACAGCATATATATAGTACAATATTACTTTCTTTCGACATATGGGTATTTTTTAAAACATTGTGAACTACGCGTGCGTTACTGTACACGTACTCGTACGTGTACATGTACTGCTGTACTCTGATTTGTCCGTTGTTTCCAGTTGTGGTTCTACTATTTACGTCCCCAGCCTCCTCGTCCCGTTCAAAACACGCTCTTTCATGCCGCCGCTCCTTGCGCGCACGCCCGTCGGCAAGGGCCAAAATGAACCAGATAATCTGAAACATGTCAAATGGCTTCGGTGTCTCCAGTGTAACCAGAAGTTTCCGGAGACAGATTTCAAGGCGCACCAGCGCGAGAGCAGGTCCCCGTGCGAGCTTGTAAGTGTTTGTTTCTTGCTTTCGCACAAGCGACACTCCCTATTTATTTCCATCGCGCATCTCAAATGCCGATCAATAATCGCACTTCATTCGGCCACTCATCAAGGGGGGCTATCGCTGCACATCTGCAGTGCTGCTCAGGAAAAAACGACAATAAAAGCTGAGTGGTCAACTTTAAAAGAAATGCATGCTGCTTAAGCACCTCTCTCCAACACTTGATTTTATTGAATTCGTGTTTTCCTGCACGCAGGTGAAGTGCGGCATATGTCATGAACTGTTGTTGCGTGGTCAGAAGGAAGAGCACGAGAAGAAATGTCCGGGAACGCGTTCAAAACCACTTGTTTTGCAGAGAAACATATCACGTAACTCTGCTAGCATTGGAAAGTTGAGGCAGGTCAGCATTTCTCAAGCAATTCATGATGCATCATCGGATATGGTTAACACTCCCCCGCCACCGAAGGAAAATTCAGCGCCATCTGCAGGGTCAGTCGCGATAAAGCCCCCAGTGCATGTGGTGCGAAAACCAACGGTGACGACGGCCAGTGTCCCTGCCCCGCTAACGAGGAATAATATCGCTTCGTCCACTACAAATGGACACTCAAGACCTATTTTGAAAGCCGCGAACATTAAAGAACGTGTGCGGCAGCATGAGGAAACGCCCACCGTAAATCCTGATAAGTTTTACGTAGGTGATAGGGCGGAAGTCGGGGGTAGAAAAGGCACAGTCATGTTCGTTGGACCAGCAGTATTCGCAAGTGGTGCCACTGTCGTTGGCATGCGTCTTGATGAAAGGCGAACAACGTCTGCATGCGACGGAAGATGCGACGGCGTGCGATTGTTTCGTTGCAAAGCAGGCTTTGGCATATTTGTTCCGATCGCTGATTGCAAGAAGATCGAAGGGGATGACGACAGGGAGCATTGGGATCCTCTCCCAGGCCCAGCCGGATCTTCGATCAGAGATTCGTATGATCCTATCGATGCCCTCGACCACATCGTCGGCCATGCGGGTGCCAAAGAAAAAATCCAGTCGGTAGTGAATGCTCTGCAGGTAAACCGCCGTCGCGTTGAGGCAGGAGGTAGAGCTGAACCAGCATCGCACATGGTCCTCGTTGGACCTCCGGGCAGTGGCAAGTCAATGCTTGCTCGACTCACTGCGTACATTGTGTCTGAGTGCGACGTCTCTAGGCATGGTCCTCTTGTCCGTCCAAGCCGTGCAGATATTATTGACGTAGGTAGATCTCCTGGAAGATCTGCCGAATTAATCGCCATACAATGCGACAAGGCAGAGGGTGGTGTCTTGCTCATCGACGATTTCCACCGTATGCTTCCAGTTGCTGACGCCGGCAGCTTACGAGCTGTTTCGGGCGTTGAGGCTCTGGATTCACTGGCTCTAGAAGTGGAGCGTCGTGCAAGGCGACCTGGAAAGGGAATTGTCCTTATCATTGCCGGAGACCTGGATGGCATTGCCGCTGCTCGCCGCCTATGTCCAGTTCTTGATGCCATGCTCCCGCCTCCTGTCGCTCTTTCAGACTTCACTTCAAAAGAGGTGGTAGCAATAATTAATGGCATGTCGCAAGAGCGCGGATTTGCACTCGCTGATGGACTAGTGGGAAGTCATGAGATGGAAGTACACGTTTCTGAAGCAGATCGCTGCGCTGAGCCAACCCGGAGAAATGCACACCTCGCAAGATCTTTGTTAGAGGCGGCCATCAACCGTCAAACAGAACGCGTGTTTACCTTAGGTACGGTCGGCCGGAATTCGTTGACAGTCTTACAAGGGGTTGACTTCATGGGCAACAGTGATGATGAAGTTGTTGGAGGTGCACCCGGGTCAGTGGCTCAGCAGATGCAGGATGACACAGAGAAAGCACTTGCAGAACTGGAAAACATCGTTGGTTTGGAAGGAGTCAAAAAGTTTATTAAGTCACTAAGAGCCCAACTTTTGGTTGAGAAGGAAAGGATTGCCGCGGGACTTCCTTCTTCTGGCGGCGGTGTCCTACATATGGTATTCGCAGGTAATCCAGGAACTGGAAAGACGACGGTGGCCCGTATCATTGCCAACCTGCTACGTGCGCTCGGAGTGCTTCGAAGAGGTCACCTTGTCGAAGCTGATCGCTCAAGCCTTGTTGCTGGATACTCCGGACAGACAGCACTCAAGACGAAAGCTGTAGTCAGTGAAGCTTTGGGGGGGGTTCTATTCGTGGACGAAGCCTATGCACTTGTTTCAGGAGACAGAGACTCTTTTGGTAAGGAGGCACTCGACACGTTGATGAAAGAGATTGAGGATCATAGGGAGGATCTCGTCGTGATCGCTGCCGGGTATATCAACGAGATGAAAGATCTACTAGCGAGTAACCCTGGCATGGAAAGCCGATTTCCCACAACACTTCACTTTGCAGATTATAACGCAGACGAGCTTATGTCGATCGCAGAGCGTGTGCTAGAGCCGCAGAGGATTACCCTAGGAAAGGGCGCGCGCGAAACTTTGCATGCCCACTTTTCGTCAGAACTTCAAGCACGTCACCCGGGTGCAAAGGGATCGAACGGTCGTGGTGTGAGGAACCTTCTGGAGGCAGCGAAGCGCGCGCAGGCTCTTAGGCTCGCAGATGTCAAGGGGGTGAAAAGCCTCGAGGATCTCACCACACTAACAAAAGAGGACTGTGAGCTTGCCTGTCGCAAGTAAAACGTGGTTGTTAACCACCGAATATGTTGTGAGGCCAGCTACAAAATTGCACACACAAGATAGATAAAGATTAATCGTTCACAGCACATTCGGGACTGTGCGGCTGTTTGCTGTATTCATTACAGCTAACGTGCATAAGTACTTCCTACTTTTGTGCATTTTTTTAGAGTTTTTTGTGTTTGAAGCTTTCAGTGGTAAGATAGCTCACGATGTACCACTTTCAACCAATGACCCTCTTCTATCCAATCGTCTCGAACGCCGGGCGGACATTACTTCCAACTGGTAGAATCAACCTCACTGGAATTCAAATCTCCTGCACGCAGGTCTTACAGGGTAGTCAGGATCTACAACCTTCACCTGACCTTGCACTAAAAGTTATATAAACAACTTCCGATAGATAACGAGGTCGGGACTATCATTTACGACGGGTTTCTCGTCTCTTCACCTTCCCCGACACCGTATGCAAGTTGATAATTGATTACATCAAGTTTGGGAGGTCTCAAAAAGGCTTCACTTTGGTCTCAAAGTTCCGTAGATATACAAATCACTTTTATCAAAAAAGGGTTTCGTAGCGAAGGCCTACGCCCTTTAAGCCGTGATTTTGCGTTGATGAGACAGAGTTAAGGGTGAAATAAGCCGAAGGGTTCAACCCTTAAGCTCCACCAATTCAAGCTAGATTACGGCTTAAAAGGCGTAGGGCTAGTACAGTTGGTCTCGTTCAGGGACGGAATTCCGCCCCTTTCCGTGTACACGTACCTTCGTATCGATACCTTCGCCTTCGTACGGATAGAACGGAAATAGAACGGTAAGTCGCGATCGTCTTAATAATATCTTCGTAGCCTACGAAAGTATCTATTTTCGTACGAAAGTATAAACAACTTACTGTACTGTTCAGTAGTTGTACAACTACTGTACTGTATGTATCATACGAAGGTACTATTTTCGAAATATTTTCAAAAAAAATGCCCTACAGTAGTATGATATGATACTTTCGTACTTTACTTTCGTACGTGTATCAACTATCTACCTACGTTCGTAGCTATCATATTCTACGTTAACGATTTTCTACTTTCGAAGATATCTACGAAAGTACCTTCGTACCTTCGTAGTACACTAGCTAGTGTACAGCTGTATGTACACGTACACGTACGGAAGTACTTTCGTACGAAGGTACATAGATAGCTACGTACTTTATTTTACTTATTATTTATCATAGTAAGTTGATATTCATACCTTCAAGCAAGGTAGTTAGTTGTTATGATACTTTTAATTAGGTACACTACAAGTACACGTAGGCCCTACGTAATTCGAAAAAAACCTGAAAAAAACCAACAAAAAAAAACGTAGGCCCTACGTGTACGTGTACACGTACTCGTGACAAAAAAACACGTACAAAAGTGTACGCGTGAGCACCCGCGCGCGAAACCTATCTCCTCCGCGCGTGATGCACGTCTGCGCGCGAAACTTTGCACGATGACAGTTCGAAGGCATGCGCACAATGCTACGCGTCACGAAAAAATCGTAGATCTTGCCCGAAATCGCGATTCGCGACGTTCGCGTACCCCTTTCGCGGCAGAGAGCATGAACGCAAAATCCCCGGCGTAGGAAGTTCGGCGTTGATGCCTGGAACGCGATGGTGCATAAAGAAATCCTTCGTGATCTCATTCGAGGAAGGAGATAGGTTTCGCGCGAGGGTGCTCGCGCGTACCCTTTTGTACGTGTTTTTTTTTGTTTTTTGTCACGAGTACCTGTACACGTGTACACGTACACGTACGTTTTTTTGCTGGTTTTTTTCGAATTACGTAGAGGACTGACTAGTTGTACGTGTACTGTGGACGCGTTGAACAGCTGTACAGTACCTTCGAAGATAGAATACATACCTTCATATGGAATAGTGAAGTACGAAAGTACTTCCGGAAGTACATTGTAGGGAAGTACGGAAGTACTTTCGTACGATTCGTACGAATGTACTTTCGAAAGTACTTCCGGAAGTACACGTACAACGTTGTACACGTAATTCCGTACTTTCGTACGAAAGTAGGGCTACGTGTACTTTCGAAGGAAATATCTTTATCATACTTTCGAAAGTACGTGTACGGAAGTAAGTTACTTTCGTACTTTCGTACGTGTACTTTCGAAAATATTTCCGTGCGTACGTTGTAAGTTGTTACTTTCGTAGGGCTACGTGTACTTTGAGAGTACAACTACTTTTGAAATAGATTTTCTACCTTCGTATGTTTATACAATGTGTACAGCACTTGTACAGCTTTACACGTACTGTACTGTACTGTACTGTACATCATTATTTCCGTACGATACGATGATACGGATAATTTATTTTAGACTATTTATGTGTGCAGTATATGTAAGTATACCAAGTTTCGCGTGCAGACAGACGTGCAACGCTCGCGGAGGAGTAGTGTTTCGCGCGCGGGGCCCCACATAGCTGTGGGTTGTGGGCCCTGGGTCGAGGTCATACCCTGTGAGCTGCTCCATATACGTCAAAAAAAAATCGTATTGCTCCACACACGCTGAGCGGCCAGTGCGCGGTTCACAGCGGCGAAACGGATCTGCCCCCTCGTAGTTGTCCTGATAGTCCGTCTGCGTGCGTCCGTGAATATGAGCTCCATCCGTAAAAACGCTCGTTCAGAGCTCTACAAAAAGATAAGGAGTGAAAAAAAAATGGAGAAGAAGAGAACAAAATTGGGTCGTCGAGAGGAAGAGCGTATTTTCTTTGGTTCAGAATCAAATAAGAAGCGGGTGCCAAAGACCATTGACAATCAACGCGTGAAGAACGACACTTTCTTTCAAGAAAACGACTTGGACATTAGCGGGGAGATTGTCGAAGACGAATTCGCCAGTTACTTCGTGAATAGCACCGATCCAAAGGTGGTTCTGACTACAAGTAGAAAACCTTCTCAGGAAATGTTCCGTCTACTTCAAAGTATTTTCTCAGTGATACCTAATGCATATTACTATGCCCGCCGTTCGTACTACATCGAGGAAATTATCAGGCATTCCAACGCGCGGGGCTTCACTGACATACTCGTTTTCAATGAGAATCGCAAGTTTAGTAAAGGGGCAAAGATTAACGGGCTCTTGCACATTCATCTTCCTGTTGGACCTACATGCCTATATCGACTCAGCTCCCTGGTATACTCAGAAAAAATACGAAATCATGGGCGTTCCACGACCCACCATCCTGAGCTTATCCTTAACAACTTCTCTACTCGCCTTGGGCACCGTATCGGTCGTATGTTTGCCTCTATATTTCCACAAAGACCTGAGTTTCAAGGTAGGCGTGTGGTTACTTTTCACAACCAGCGCGATTTTATATTTTTTAGGCACCACCGCTACGTATTTGAAGTGCGCAACGAGAGCGACGAAGATTTTTTGGCTAAATTCAAGGCTGATAGTTTATGCGAAAGTGAACAAGATTTGGTACAGAGCTATACTTCCGCAGAATTGACATGTAACACTCAAAAGAACAGCGAGTCGAAAAACAGTCAAAGAAGGGAGAGGGCATTCTCAGACGCATTTCTCCCAGTGACTGAGATAAAATCGGATGCTCACCATCAGTCACGAGAACTGATGATCAATTGTAAACATTCTATAGAGAGACAGGCTTTGCGAGCGCGTCTTCAAGAGCTTGGCCCGAGGTTCACTCTCAAATTGTTAAGCATTCAAAAGGGCACTTTCAATAGTAAGCATGGGGAGTACGAGTATGTCTTCAGCGGTGATGCTGGCGGTTCGAAGTACGACAGGCGAAAGTTCGTTCTGTAGTTGTTATTTTCGTTATATAAGTTTAGGTTTTGCCCAAGGACACAAGTTTCTTTCAGTTTTCTTGTATATATTCGAGGTAAGTGAATTGATGGAAGAAGCCATGCAAAATCTAGTGGTTCTTTTCATGACTTCTGCTCTGCCCGGAATTTCACTGATTTATTGTGTCCACATGACTGCTGTCAAGACTGGAACGTTCTAGATCAATATCACACTCGCAAGCAATAAGTTAGACTGCAGTCTTCATACACTCCCACCGGAAGTTACTTGTTTCTTACTAGCCTAGCCGGATTTGAAAAGCAACACGGCTACTTGGCCAAGGTAGAAATATATAAAATGTTTCGTCTCGTGTGTGACATAGGAGCCAAAATTGCGGCCAACAATGCAGTGCCACGTGGGATTGTATTTTTTGTCAAATTCTTTCTTTATGAATGCTGCAATATCTTTTTCAATATTGTATTTCTCAAGTGCCTGACCAAAAAAAAGGATGTCAATGAGGCTCCACGACTTCATCCCAAGTGAGAGAAGCTGAAAAAGACAAGGCGGCTAATTCGAAGCTTGGGAAGCAGAGTCAACACGCGGAGGGATAGTTACAAGTATGTTTCAGAGGCACAAACGGCACGGCAAGTGTTTTGAAGTCGGATTTTACCTGAGTTGCACAGTCCACGGCATCCTGCTGAAGGTCCTGGAAATAAATCGAAATATGAGTATCGATATCAGTTATTTAATGCGGTTGAGGGTAGGACTGGGTAGTGGATAAAGACGATCTCAGATGTTGACCCAGAGGTGTTAACGGCTTAAAAATTAAATTAATCTTCGCGTCTTCTCCGAAGAAAATAAAACAAGTGAAGCGCACCTCAGACATGTCCGCGTTTTTTATCACAGCTTTGCGCTCGGACATTGTGACTTCCGATGTAAATGTGGCGAATTGAGTGCACTTTCGGCGAAGACAGTGAAAGTGGTGAAGCGAAAACGAGCCAAAAAAGGATTCAGCGCTGAAAAACTGAAACTGGCTGTTTAAAGTAGCTGACTGCTGAAGGGCCTCCGTGTGAACTGTGCACCTGTACACGTAACGTGTACACGTGCACGTGCACGTACTGTAGCCCTACTAATCTTCGAGGCCCTGCAACTTTTTATCCGTACAAATAGATACTGTACTGTACGTGTACGTGTACGAGTCGTGTACGAAGATACGAAAGATAGATATCTATCTATTCTAAAAAATCATATTACCGGAAGTAAACGTACGGACGGAAATACGGATGTACTTCCGGAAGTAGGGCTACAGTAGTTGTAGTTGTACAATAGATATTCTAGGGCTATTGTACGGAAGTATTCTGGATTTCAAGCAGGTGTGGACGAATAAGTCGATCCTTCACAACACGTGAGCACGTTTTAATCTACGACTGATTGCCCATATGATAAGTCGATCCTTCACAACACGTGAACACGTTTTAATCTACGACTGATTGCCCATACGATAAGATTATTTAGCGATTAGCCAATTATACTGTAGCCCTACGTGTACAGTACACGTGTACAATATTTGTGATTATTTATCCCTAGCTAGCTACTGTACACGTACTGTACTTCCGGAAGTACTTTCGTACGAAAATAGACACTTTCGAAAGTACTTTCAGAGTACGAAAGTACTTTCGTACGAAAGTACAAATGTACGAAAGTACGAAAGTACCTTCGAAGGTACTTCCGGAAGTACACGTACAACGTTACGTGTACGAGTCGTGTACTAAAAGCTCTTTAAGGAAACTAAGTCGCTGAGGGGGGCGAAAACCTGTCATAAGATAGTAGCTTATTTTATAATGTGGCTTACGAGTATTAGCAGCTTATTAAATACCGAAGGTAGCTTATTACGGAAGTATTATTTAAGGTGTCCAGCTGTCCACACCTGCTTGAAATCCAGAATATCTTCGAAGATAACACTATCATAAAAGATATTTACCTTCGTATATAACTGACGCGCGTTACGATTCATCCGCTGTCAGAGGTACATTCCGTGACCCAGTTAACTTGCTTACTCATCTGTACAAAGTTGGACCTTCGGTAGATTCTATCTAGCGAAAAATACATTCAGAGTAGAAGGTTTCATCTTCTATAAAGGTATAGAATACTTCCTTGTGTGATATTAACTGTAACTACGGAAGCACGGACTGCAGCATTTCTGTAGGCTGTACATTCTATCGACTCGCCCTTACTGTACACGTAAAAGTACCTTCGTGCGAAGGTAGTCCCGAGAATAGACAAGAATAATACTTCCGTACGTGTACGAGACTGTAGAATACATGCATAGAAAATACCTTCGTAATCTGTTGAGCGGGATAGCCGTGCGTTTGCTGAAGACGTTTCCCTACGAGGGGAACGACAACAATGATTTTCTTTTATGAAACATTCATGTTCGCGTGCTAACAGCAACACGAAGAATATGCTAAAGCTAGTGCCCTAAAACAGGTGGAAGCTAGGTGTGCAGCTAAAATCCACATACCTAATACTACTCACTGACTGTTCCTGCAAATATACTGTGATTTTGATAGTAACTCTGCTGGAAGCATGGATTTTAAGGGTCTGGGCTTGCACAAAATCCGGACTCGAAGATTAGCTGACTTGCTGGAAATCAAGTTCAACAGGGCGTTCCCACTGGCTCACACCAGATTTGCTGTTGTAGTAGTAGACATAGCCTTCCGGCGCAGTGTGCTCAGTCCAACCATGAGCCGCGGTTGCATGACCACTGCCACTAACTCCGTGGTCTTGTTGGGACATGCCACTAGATTCCTTGCTGTAGCCATAGTTGGCTTTCTGTGGTGCGCTGTGCGGACCCTGTCCTGGTCCCATACTGGTTGGATCTGTGAAGCCGGAATTTAGGCCCCAAGGGTTGTTGCTGCCAGAATACGGTTGCGGGTTTGCATAGCTTGCACCGTAACCATATCCGCCTCCAGGTCCTCCCTGCCCCGGACCACCTCTTGGTTGCCCATATCCATATCCTTGAGAGCTGCGGGGAGGGCCACGCTGAGGAGGAGGAGCTTGACCTCGGGGGACGGCAGATTTCACTTCAACCTGAGAATATTAACTCAGTCGCGGAAAGCAGGGAGACATCTGAAGTGAAGCCAGAAAAACCTACCCGCTTCCCCATCATGTCGTGATAACGGTTCTGGAGAACTTGCTTTGCCGAGTCATCGCGTTGGAAAGTTATAAAGCCAAAGCCACGAGATTGATGATTGTGAGGATCACGCATGACGAGGACCTGCGAACCAAAAACAAAAAGAGGTTGCCAGCAAAGTTTTAGTCTACAACTCTTCTTCTTGTGCTCAATATCGAAAGGAGAACGAGTTCCGAACAAAAAGCAGAAAAGTCCCGATAAAAATACTTACCTCTACCACGGGTCCAAACTGCTGAAAGAAACTACGAACAACACCTGCAGGCGAATATCTTCTCAGTCTCGCACAAGAGAAAAGAGCTCGCTTCGGAAGGACTTTCAAATGACTTTCAAACGCGGCGAGGCTGGCGGAGAATCCGCGGTAAAGATATCAAGTTATCTCTATGAGTACTTGTGAAGAGACGCGATATTCTTCATACCTTCATCGACGCTTCTGTCGAGACCGCCGACAAAGATCTTGCTTCCGGCAGACGCATCAGCTGCGTTAGCCATATCTCCCATGTCCTCACCACGATATCAATTGGGGTTTTGCGGGAACCAAGAAATAGTTCTGGAGAAGCAAGTACGAAAGCTGAAAGCCGGAGGGCAGAACCTGTCGATTTGGGTAGAGGCCAAATTGTTTTTTCTCGAGATCTGTCCTTGATCAGACCAGAAATGACGTACGAACACAGGAGAGTGGTGATCCCGGTCAGATAGTCGTTCTTCAAAAGCCGAAGTAAGACGACCCCAGCACTAAGTACGGAAGTACGAAAGTAAGTTTATGATACGAAAGTATCTACCTTCGGGTGAAGGTACATACGAAGGTACCTTCGTACATATCTACGATACTGTATCTTCGAAGGTACTTTCGTACTTTCGTATTTTCGTACGAAAGTACAGTACTTTCGTACTCTCGAAAGATCTTCGAAGAAAGAATACTTTCGCACGTAGCCCTACGTGTAGTTGTACTTCCGGAAGTACGTTGTACTTTCGTACTTTCGTACTTCCATAAAAGTTGGTACGGTAAGTAAGTTGTTACTTTCGTGAACTCTTTCATATTAGGCCCTAGTACGTTGTACACGTGTACAGCTGGACACGTAGCCCTAGCTAGCTAGGGCTCAGAAGAATACCTTCATAGATACTTTCGTACTTCCGTACGAAAGTACGAAAGTACTTTCAAAGTACTTTCGTATGGAAGTACTTCCGGAAGTACAGCCCCATTTATGGGCTAGAAGTACAACTACAACGGTGTAGCCCATTATGTACAAAAAAAGTCTATCATAGCGTAGACTAGTAGCCCTACGAAGGTACCTTCGAAGGTAGCTAGCTACAACGTACGGAAGCACTTTAGTACGAAAGTACACTACTACTTCCGTACGAAAGTAGTTGTACTAAAGTACCTTCGTTCGTGACTCCTTCGTGGATATCATAAATCTTCAAGATACAGTACGTGTACGTGTACAGTACGTGACTACGTGAGTACTACGTGTACTGTATCTATCTTCGAGAAGGTAACTCATAAAAGCCCTACGAAGGTACTGTACGGAGTGCTTTCGTACTTCCGTACTTCCGGAAGTATCTATTTTCGTATCTTCGAAGGTACTTTCGTACTTTCGTATCTAGCTAGCTAGTAGAGACTATCTTGCTACCTTCGTAGCTCAATGCGATGTGTGATTTGAGGAATTAGAAATCCCGGGGGAATTATCTTGAGAGGTTGATTGGGCCAGGCTATTTCAGACGAAACGAATTCAATTTGTATCGACCGGACAACCGAACAGGAAACGTCCGCGCAAACAGAGTGTGTCCATAAATAGGATCGTAGTTCATTACGCGAACGCAGTTCGTTGAGACGCCGTCTTTCCTGCCAGCTGAGCCCGAGAATCATGCGGTGACACCCCTGCCACCCGCGCACATCTACCTGAATCAATCGGCATCTTGTACCGCGCGTTTCCACCCTGGGGGATCGGGTTCTTTCCCGTTTTCGTACGGGTTCATTTCAGCTCTTTTCTTCCTTTTCGCGCGGTCTCTTACGTTCCCTCCGCTATTTTTCGACGCAGTGAAATCGTTCACATCCAAGGCGGACAATGCGGTAACCAGATCGGTGCCAAGTTCTGGGAGGTGCGTGTCGAAATTATGCCCTCGGTCAACCCGCACACAAAATCGCGCGACGGCTTTTTTCGTCAACGGCTTTTTTTTCTTATCGATCCAACACGTCTTTCTTCTCAGGTCATCTGCGACGAGCACGGTATCGACCCAACCGGCACGTACTGTGGCGACTCTGACCTTCAACTTGAGCGCATCAACGTCTACTACAATGAAGCTTCCGGCGGTGCGCTACCCCTATGTTATTTACGCAACCCTGTGTATCCGTTGGACACTGAATTTGAAGGGGTGCTGGTAGGCTTCTGTTAACTCTGTGTTTTTACTACCTCCGTGCAGGTCGTTACGTCCCCCGTGCTGTGCTCATGGATCTCGAACCTGGAACCATGGACTCCGTTCGCTCTGGCCCTTTCGGACAGATCTTCAGACCGGACAACTTCGTGTTTGGCCAGACTGGTGCAGGGAACAACTGGGCCAAGGGTCACTACACGGAAGGCGCCGAGCTCATTGACTCGGTGCTTGACGTCGTTCGCAAGGAATCTGAATCATGCGATTGTCTTCAGGGCTTCCAGGTCTGCCACTCTCTCGGAGGTGGTACTGGTTCCGGCATGGGCACTCTCCTCATCTCGAAGATTCGTGAGGAGTATCCTGATCGCATGATGCTCACCTTCTCAGTTGTTCCTTCTCCCAAGGTTTCCGACACTGTTGTGGAGCCTTACAACGCCACTCTCTCTGTTCATCAACTCGTGGAGAATGCCGATGAATGTATGGTTCTCGATAACGAGGCCCTGTATGACATCTGCTTCCGCACCCTCAAACTTACGACTCCCACTTTCGGTGATCTTAACCACCTTATCTCTGCTGTCATGTCTGGCGTCACTTGCTGCCTTCGATTCCCTGGCCAGCTGAACGCCGATCTTCGCAAGCTTGCGGTGAACCTTATTCCGTTCCCCCGCCTTCACTTCTTCATGGTTGGTTTCACGCCTCTCACCTCCCGAGGCTCACAGCAATACCGTGCCCTCACTGTTCCTGAGCTCACCCAGCAAATGTGGGATGCAAAGAACATGATGTGTGCTGCAGACCCCCGCCACGGCCGCTATCTCACCGCTTCAGCCCTTTTCCGTGGTCGCATGTCCACGAAAGAAGTCGATGAGCAGCTGCTCAACGTTCAAAACAAGAACTCTTCTTACTTCGTTGAGTGGATCCCGAACAACGTCAAGTCGTCCGTGTGTGACATTCCCCCGAAGGGCCTCAAGATGGCAGCCACCTTCATTGGCAACACGACAGCGGTCCAGGAAATGTTCAAGCGGGTCTCCGAGCAGTTCACCTCAATGTTCCGCCGCAAGGCTTTCCTCCACTGGTACACCGGCGAGGGTATGGACGAGATGGAGTTCACAGAAGCCGAGTCCAACATGAACGACCTTGTCTCCGAGTACCAGCAGTACCAGGACGCGTCTGCCGAAGAGGAGGGCGAGTTTGACGAGGAGGAAGAGGACGCGTAAACGAGTTTGACGAGGAGGAAGAGGACGCGTAAACCTCGAAGAGGTAGTCTCTCCCTACAAAAATGTGTCTGATGAGGTCTGTATTGACAGCAAAGTCTTGTAGTTCACTTTTTTTTTGTAACGTTATTTCAAAACGCCTCTTCCTGACTTACGGTTACGTTGGTCTTAATAGAATAGTATAAGAAGCGAAGCCTGCGTACGTATACAATGATAAATACTACATGCTACTCTACAAAGTTGTATGAAGAAAAGCTCCTCTTATCCTCAGAAAGGTTTTCATATTGTTGCAAAAATAAAGACACTACGTGACGAGCCGAGGAGCTACCGCCATGGACATAAGCTCTTGGAAGAGTAGCTTGCACGCATACGGTAGAAGCACCTGCACCACCTTCATCCGCTCAGACGGATTCTTGCAGCATTCGAAAGTTTGATTTTTTAGGTTCGCCACTGCGATCAGGCCACAAGTCTGGCACACGTGTACACGGTAAGCATCAGACTGGTCCATCAACCGCTCTTTTAGAAACGCGGCAGCGCCGTGAGAGATGATGCAGTCACGTTCCATCTCACCGAAACGCAACCCTCCGTCTCTAGATCGTCCCTCCATTGGCTGGCGTGTCAATATCTGAACTGGTCCTCTTCCTCTTGAGTGGATCTTGTCATCAACCATATGCTTTAAACGCTGGTAGTAAGTTGGTCCAAGAAATATTTTCGCCTCGAGCTTCCGTCCTGTGTGACCATTGTACATCACCTCGTTTCCTCGTTTCTGGTAACCGCACTGGTGTAGCATGTCTGATATGTTTTCAACTGTCACCGGTGTGAACGGTGTTGCATCCCCTTCTTTTCCCATCATCGCCGCAACTTTACCCATCAAACACTCAACGAGCTGCCCTATGGTCATTCGCGATGGAATTGCGTGCGGATTGACAATAATATCGGGAACGACCCCTTCACACGTAAAAGGCATGTCCTCCTGCGTGTATGTCATCCCAATGGTGCCCTTTTGCCCGTGTCTTGATGAAAATTTATCGCCAACTTGCGGAGTGCGGCAGGAGCGAACGCGTATCTTTACAAAACGCAGCCCTTGGTCATTGGTTGTGAGAAGAACCTGGTCGATTATACCTGTCTCGCTGTTCTTCATACCAGTGCTACAATCACGCTTCGTGAACCGATTTGACGCAGCACTCGGGTCGTCATCTGGAAGCGGTGAAGTTTTGCCAATAATTATGTCCTCCCCGCTGACTCGCGTCCCTGGGCAGATTAACCCGTCCTTGTCGAGCTTACCGTAAGTTCCGTGTCGCATCCCGAGCGTCGTCTCTGGGCTCGGACACTCCAAATCTTCTTTGGTCAAACTCCCCTGTTTTTTCTCCTCGTCCTTGAACGACCTGTAGAAGATGCTACGAAATAGACCACGGTCAATGCTACTCTGATTCATGATAACGCTGTCCTCTTGGTTGTATCCGGTGTAGCACATGATCCCGACAACGACGTTTACTCCTGCAGGGAGTTCCCTGAAGTGCAAATGTTCCATCGCGCGTGTCGTCACGAGCGGCTTCTGCGGGTAGAACAAAACATACGCGAGCGTATCCATTCGTAGTTGAAAATTGGTGACATACATCCCCATTGCTTGCTTACCCATTGCGCTCTGATACGTGTTCCGCGGCGACTGGTTGTGATCTGGGAATGGGATAATGGAACCACAAATGCCAAGGATCATGGATGGGTGGATCTCGCAGTGCGTGTACATGTGCTGCACAGAAGTCTCGTTGTTTGCAAGCAACCTGGCTTGAACGAGATCTTCGATCGTCATCGAAATCATAGTCGTCTCCTCCTCTTCTGTGTCAACGTACTCGATACAACCGCTAGACACGAGATCGTTCCAAGTAAAACCAGTGATGTCCTTTTCCTGTAACATTTCGATGTTTCGTTTTTTAATCTTCATTCTCTGGTCCTCAACGATAAACAGCGGGCGAATGCAGCGGCCGTAGTCAGTGTATAGACGCAACTCCTGCAGCCTTATGTCGTGTACAATGCCGACCTCGGTTGTGATGTCGACTTTGCGTCTCAGCTCTCGGAGGGTTCTTACCAAGTCCGCAGGGTCACGATGCACACCAACCCACACACCGTTCACGAATATTTTTGTCGCATGGCTGATAACACTAGGTGAAATCTCCTCTAAGTTTTCCATTGTCCACTCCTCCAAAAACTCAAGCACAGGTGAGCTTGGTGAGCCTACAGAAACGAGTGCCATGAGGGAGAGGTTTTTCACAAGACCGCACGCCTGCCCTTCAGGTGTCTCTGCGGGACATACCATTCCCCAGTGTGAGTTATGCAGCTGTCGTGGCTTTGCCAGCTTTCCCTCGCGTCCGATCGGCGAGTTAAGCCGTCGAAGGTGACTCAACGTCGATGAAAATGACAATCGGTTCAAGACCTGAGACACGCCAGCTCTGATGTCTTGCGCTCCTTGCGCACCCCAGTTGCCCGTTGCAAGTGAGTATTTTAGTCCGGATGTGATAGTCTTCGCCTTGACTGCCAATGTCAGTTGAATTTCCTTTCCGCTGTCGACACAACGCTGACAGTAGAGCCGCACATCCTTGGTTAACTTCCGGAACAGCTGTCTGAATAGTATGGCGATCAGGGGACCGGCCAAATCCATGCGCTTGTTGCCGAAATGATCCCGGTCGTCTTCGTTGCGTCTTCCCAGTGCGCACAGCAGCAGTCTGTGCACGATGTACCCAAGATAATATGCCTTCCTTGTTTCGCACTCCTCGTCGACCCCAACGTGTGGCAGAAGTTCCTTTTGTAAAATATCCTGAGCGTACTTGATGCGTTTTTCTCGCGAAACCCCAACAGCGGAACCTCGTTTTCCAATATAGTCTAGGGCAACTTTTTTCGACTGAATAGGCAAAGCCTCTTCGATAGAGGGTCTCAAAAGCTCCATCGCATCGTGATCATTAAAATCGTACACGATGTGCTCCAGTATATCTTTATCTGCAACAAAACCGAGCGCACGGAATACAACAAACAGGGGAATATCTGTACGAATGTACGGAAGCGTGACTCTGATGCACCCAGGCTCCATCTTTGTACCTGGACTGTGCAACATCCTCGCGACACACGCACTTGCCGCCCGTGCACCGCTCTCTGGGCTGCTCCTGCACTCCGCCACCCACATATATTTGCTTGGCTGCCTCTTCTTGAAGACGTACACGTGGTTGCTGCTCATCTTCTCTTGAGCTATCAATACCTTCTCACTTCCGTTTATTATGAAATATCCACCTTCATCATACGGGCACTCACCAAGCTCTGTGAGCTCTTTGTCCGTGTGGTCGTGCAGTGAGCAGTATTCGCTGCGAAGCATGATCGGAACTTTTCCAATGAACACCTTGTTGATCTTTTCAACCTCCTCTGTCTTCTGCGAGTCTAAAGTGACAGTAGTGACTGTCTTCTCCATGTCCACGTACAGCGGCGCAGAGTATGTCAAGTTCCTTAAGCGCGCTTCTTTGGGAAACAGCGTGCTCGTCATGCCATCTGCCTCGGTCACCATAGGTTTTGAAAGATAAATCTGCTTAAAAGAAATTTTGTATGTCTTCTTTTCACCACCCTCTCCCTCCTCTCCGGGCACGTGCTGCTGCTCAGGCTCGAGCTCGAAAGACGACATCTCATCTACTCAGGGGCGGGGGATCGGTTAAGCGAGTTGCGGAATTCAAGAATATTTGGTTTGGAGTTAGCGTACACAGGTCAAAGCTACAAAAAACCCTAAAGATCGGGCGATTTCTTCGCCTGCGCGAGTCGTTTACGCACCAACAATCTCCTGCATCGCGTGTTGGATAAATTCATTGAACGAGTCCAGTTGCTGACGTGCTAAGCCTTTCTCCTCGAAAAACGAGCTGATCACCGTCCACGCGTCTTCTTGCCCGATCTCCTCGTCCTCCTCCTCTCGTGAGTACGTCGCCATGTTTTCCAGTTGTCAACGAGACGACCGCCAAGCCGCGGGCGTTCGCGCAAGGAACGCGCGGCGGGTAAATCGATGAAAGGGGATTGGGGCAACCGAAAACAGTTCTTACGAGCGCTGCGCGTTATGATCGCTCGCCCGCTCGTAACGTGCCGTAGTGCTCCACAATCTGCTCGGGGGCGATGTGAGAACACGGACGTTCACTAGTCTAATAATGTGTTCTACTCGTACTGTACTTCCGGAAGTACTTTCGTACTTCCGTACTTCCATAGCGTCACAGGTGGATGGATGTATGGGTACTGTACATGTAGTCTACCAAAAATCAAAAATATTTGATGAATAATTACCCATACGACATTTTCAAGTAGCGATGTAGCTCATGGGGCGAAGAGCCGCCGAAGGCGTGCGATGAGTTCAATATTGCTATCAAATCACTTGTTTATACGATGAAAATTCGAATATCAGAGGCTAAATGTACTTTCAAAGATAGAACTTTTGAAACCTGGTTAGACATAGTAGAGTGACAAAGTGGGGCAGTGGGCCGGGGGTCGGGGGGGGGGGGGGCAGCCCCCTCCCCCGGCCCCCGGGGTAGTGACATACCCCTCCCCCGGCCCCCGGGGTAGCG